ATGCATTATTTATATACTGTTTTTAAAAATATTTGATATTATTTTAATCGTAACTTATTTATAAAATATAGTCAAAATTTAAAAGATACTAATATTCTTAAATTTAATTAATTTTTATTTTTTATATTGTATTAAATATTTTTTTCAAATATTATTATAATAGTTTTATTTTTTATTTAATTAATGAATTTCTTCGTAATAATGTTGAGAATAAACTTATTTAAATTATGTTATATCATATATTATATACTACTAATGTATAAAAATTATTTTTACATAAAAAATTATTAATTAATAATTTACAAATCTCATAATTAATATACAATTGTACACATTAATCACATACAATTRATCATTGTACAATATTTAATGATAGCTATTTAGGGGTGATTCACAGGTTATGTTCGCACTTTTTAAGAAATCTAGACCCTCCCCTATGTTCGCAATTGTTCATACTGTTTGATTTGGCCGACACACCTCCCCAAGTGCTAACATAATATGTGAATTATCCCTTATTATATTTTAACTTTTAAGTACAGTATTATAAATATAGTATTACCGGTAAATGTTTAGATATTATTATAATAACATATTTAAAATATTATAATATACTAATAAAAACAATAAAATAACCGATAACAACAAACGGATTTAATTTATATGATATAAATAATAGCAAATTATATATAAGTAAAAGTTTATTAACTTATTAAATGAGAGAGAGTATTGTCTTTTAAATTAAAAAAATGATAATAATTTTGATAATAAATTATTGTAATGCAAACAAACATATGATTCGCGATAAGAGATATTTCTATTTATTGTGTTTCACGTGTTTTATACTGAAATTATTGAATAGCATTGTAATCGACCGATAAATGTGTTGCTTATATACAGTACTATAGCTATACTAKAGTTTACGCTAAAGGCTTTGTTGCCGTATTGAACGATAAAAGTAATTATAGTATAAATTTCATCGCAATTCTCGCTATCAAAGGTCGGACAACAGTTTGTGCAGATTATTGCAAATTACAGMCAACACAACTCAATACAAATATACACAAAAATACTGTATTGTATTGTACTGTATATATCCAGTCGAGACTATATTAAACTGTATTAAACCGGCGCTATGTCTCACTATCCAATATATTGCAACAATTTTTCAAAACTCAACTTAAATTAAACATTAAATAAAATCAATTACAAAAACTAATTCAACTTTCTTTTTAATTATTTTTTCAAAATTATAAAATATGTATTTAATATTTTATTAATTTTTTAAATCATAATTCTAACTCATATTTTAAAGTTATATTTACTAATTTTTAAATTTTAGTAAACAATTAAATAATTGAAAATAAATTTGATATCCAATTACTATTTGATAGCAGTTAATCATTTATAAATATTAAATATAAAATTAAATAATTTAAATGTTAATTATTAGGAAATTATTGTTTAGAAACATATATTTAATGAATATTTTCAAATTGATTGCATAGCGCTATCTATTATTGTATATATAAAATGGTTATATAGTTATTGAATATTGTATACAATGTATAGTCCGAACTCCGGACTCGATATTTATTAAACACAGAATTTATTCTTTAAAATTTTGGKTTTAAATTATTTTAAATGCATTTTATTATATTTTTTAAATGTTTATTTTTATGACTATCTATGACCATTGCAATTACATACATTTATGTTAAGATAAATKATTATTAAATGTCACCAGGTTATTACATAATTTACAAATTGACAATTATGATAAATGATTGGATATATACTTTATATTACTAATTAAATATTAGATACTTATATTTATATTGGTAATAAACAAACTATATTTATTGTATTTATAGAAAGTTATATGAAGTTTACATTTACATAGAAGTTCTAATTGTAATCCATATAATAATACAGTGTTTCAATTTATTTACTTATTTATTTGTTTTTATTTCTACCACAATAACAAATTAAATTAATTAAATAATAATAAATAAAATTATACAAATATTTATATTATTAATATTATTGTTAATACTAAATACAAATGTCTTTTTAATTCTATAAAAGTATGTTATTCATAAATATTATATAAAATTACTTTAAAATGTATATTTATTATAAATAATATGAGTTATTGTTWTAATTTACAACTAATTTTAAAAGACAAAAATAAATTTTAAAAATCTATAATTGTTTATATTTTATAAATAAATTGTGATTTGAATATTTATACATTTTACATAATATTTATTAAAACTTACAACATAATATAAGTATAATTTTTATATTTATATATTACAGTATTTTTAATATGTATAAAAGTTCAATTAGAAAATTATTCTTTATTTTATTAATCTTTTTAAACTTAAAAATAGAAAATAATTAACATTTTTATTTATAAAATACTAATTATTTTGTGATTTGGATAAATATGATATAAATATTTTTTATTTTTAAAAATTATTTTAGTTTTTATTGTAAACTATTAATTTGTTAATGTTAAATATCTTAAAGTAAAAATTATAAAAATCAATAAATGCAAAGTAATTTGAGTACAATTTTAGAATTTTATTTTACTTTAAAATTTATTATTTAATTATTTATTATTATAAATTATAGTATAATTTTAAACAATTAATATAAATAACATACAAAACTGGAATATATTAAAAACATAATATGATAATAACATTAAAATTAATTTAATTAAAATAAAAATATTAATAAATAGATGTTTTGATAATAATATGAAAGTTTTGGAAATTTAACTAAAGTTAAATTAATGATATGAATATTGGAGTCCATACTAAATGGAAATTTATTATTGCGTTAGAGTAAAGTCGAGAAATATTTGACACCAATTTTTGTCATCGACTTGACTGCAACAGAGAGGATAAGCCATTGAAGATTTGGTGACTTTTGCACACTTTTCGCACAAATTTCTTAAGTCAGCATTTTTAGAGCATTTATTATCCAAATATTTAATGTTATTTATATTCCTGTTTAGAGGCGAACCATTGACTTGATGTTCAATAAGTGTTTGAGATATAATCAGATAAATACAAATTATAAATATTACAAATGATTTTAAACTTAATGTCAATACAAACGATGACATTTTGCTGGACATAAACTAAATTATTTTAACAACAAAAAAGCAATTATAATGTATGAATGACTATAATTGAATAACATAAGACTAAATACCCAAAGTTTTTAAAACGAGGCAATTATTATATACTGTTTTAACTGATAAATCAATGGGCGGAGACTACACGCAAACGTTGAAAAYGTAGGAATTATATGAAAATGTAAGGATGTTTAGCCTAAAAAAATTGTTGTCTCGATTGTCATATCAATATTTGTCTCATCCCTTATCCCATACTTACATAACTTATGTCACACTATCACTCATTATAACTTAGTATCCATATCTCTCGTCCCACTCTTTCATTTAGTAAAAAAACTAATTTAGTTAAGAAATAATATGTCAAGAATTTCAGTGCATTTGCATCACTCGTCAAAATATATGCCAAACTCAGAGGATATTAAAAGATCCGTTCAGTTATTTAACACAACCATAATATATACAGTAAATTATTATCTTATGATTCAATTCATATTTTTACAATTTTTCATTTATTTATCAGATATTTAAAAAAAAATAATTTTAAGCAAATTAAGTTATGAATTTTTAGTTTAAAACATTGTATTTTCAAATATTTAATTATTTATAGATTATTAAATATTTTTTAAATAAAATTTATGTATTAATTAATTAATATATAATACTGTATATTATAAAAACATTTATAAACTATAATTTATAATTTTATGCTCATATAATAAAATTATTAAATTAATTCAAATAAGTTTGAATTATTATTAGAATATAAAAGTTAAAATTAAAGATATAATAAATATTGTTAAGTGTTTCGCTTTTTTAGAATTTTTTTATATATAATTATAATTAATAAATTTAAATATATTATATTACCAATTACTATGAAATTTTCTACTATTAATAAATAAGTTGTAAATAACATCATAAAAAATCAATATATAATACGTGTATACGCACTATATTTTAGATTTACCGTATATTATCATGAATTCACATTAATTAATATTGTAATGCAATGTTGTTTTTTATAATATAATTTAATTAAAAATTTATTGAAAAACTTTAATTTTTATATAATCTTTGCAATAAAGAACTTTATCTTTAAGTTATTTTTAATTATGCGATAATTATACGGTTATATTTAAAGTAAATTTCTTATTAAACATATTAGACGCAAATTATTGATAAATATAGTAGACTTGAAAATAACATGACATTCATTATAATAGAGAATTAGGTCACTTACTTCACTTAATTTATTATTATAACATTATTTATAATAAATAACATTTAGTGCACAACATTTCAACAGAATATTCTGTAATAAAATAAATGATTGTTTGTTAGAATAAAACCATTGTTTTCAATAGAATTTACTTTATTTGCMTYAATTGTAATCGATTATTGAATAATAAAGTTCCGTAAGTAATAATTATAAAGCATTGTTAGAAATCAAACATAAAATCTACTATAGATATAAACACAAAAACTTTAATAAAAAGTATATTTTTAATAATAGATGTTTTTAGTTATATTACCGATAAAGTATAATTAACGCAACATTAGATTATTATAATAGTATAGTAACAATTTTTTAACAAAATGTTCAAAATTATTATAATTAAAAATAACGTTTTATTCAATAATTTATTTATTAATTTAATTAATAAAAGATATAAAAAAGTTTAAGAGCCTACAGTTACAATCCTAACCATAACGTGCATTATTTTAAAATTAAAGTCATATATTTAAAATAATAAAAAATATGAGATAACTTAGAATAGCTTAAATGTTTGTATTGTATGTTGTATAATTATAATAGGGACTCATAAGATAAAAAATGATAAATTATAAACAGTCCTACAAATATCAACATAAATTTATATTTAAGATTTTAATGTTTCATAATATTATTAGATATTTTTGAGAACACATTATATATCGTGGATTTAATACGAGATGTATTTTGTGGTGAAGTAGTGCTATTTGTTGCCAATCGCTGTCTGTGAGCGTCCAAACACTTTTGATACCTGAGCTTACAGGCGGCCTCAATAGTCTTACAGAAAGCTCCAGAACTGGGCTCACATTCAAAACATAACGCCTCAAACTGGTTGTCATCGATTTGCATAATGAATCCACAATTTTTTACATTATTGCTATCAATGCCCAAAAATGATAAATACCTATATGTATGAAAATAGACAATTTAATTATTAAATAATTATCTTAATATCGTTTAGCAAAAACAAATTGAAATTATATAAAAATTATTAAAATTAAAACTTTTTTCCTATGTCTAACACAAAAATCAAATTTTTTCAAATATATAATTTATTAAATATATAAATTTTTATGAATTCTACTAATATTCATAATTGTGTAAAACATTTACAATATAAATATATTTCAATGAATATCATTACCTGACTCGACATTCTGCAAGATATTCAGCAGAATCTTTGGATTCAATAGTTATATTTGATGGCGAAATGTGAATAAATACTTGTGTATTATATCTCTTGACTGATGAGTCCTTGTTATCATTAAAGATGACTTCTTCAATGGCTTTATTAAGTATATCGATTCCCATTGGTTTCAATACTTTGATTTTTCCCAAATATATGGCACTAATTGTTTTTCGCGGTTCTTCAATAGGCGTCGGAAATTCAATGGCAGTCGGCGTCGCCAACGTTGACGAACTTCTGCTGCTTTCATAAAGAAACAAATTCTTTGGCCTCTGAGCTGGTGATGACCACATATTATGAGATTCATCACTGGATTTCAAGCGAATCATTTCATCGCGAAGATATGTGGCTATCCTTTGGGCACTATTGTCATCGTCTTCACAATGAAAGACATGGCATTTGAGTTCATTGGAAACACCTGAAGGAAGAAGAGGACTCTTCTGATTAATATCGCTGTCACCGCTCTTATGACAGTTAATATCATTGCTGTCGATATCATTGGTGTGTTTAGCAATAAAAGCAAAATCGTTGTTATCATTAACGCCCCAAACCTTTAAACCTTGAATTGTGTGACTATTAAGTAGAGTATTGCCACTCAAATCGTATAACTTAAGACACGAGTTGTCTATCTTAAGAATCAATTGCTGTGTTTGTCGACCCCAACAACGGACAGCATTATTATCACCTCTTGTACTCAATTCAATGATACACTTTTGGATCAGTTTAGAACTGGTGGCTGATGTCAGTTGGCTTTCTTCCACTTCCATCCAACCCAACGAATTGACTAAAAAGGTTAATGATTTGTTCACTTCTGAATCATTGTGATCAGCACTGGTATGACCGGCATTGGGATCAATCACTTGGTCCAAGTCTTCCAAATAAATAAGTGAATCTCTTTTAGCATCAACTTGTTTGTCACCAACAGGTGGTTGTCTCTGAATATGACCGCTAGGAATGTGCCAATAATATGGTCCCTCTTCGTCTTCATGTCGTTCCCATCCAAGTGGTAGTTCACCATCAGTTGATCCATTGGTTTGTTGGTCTTGAGTGTTGTTTTGATGCATACTTTGGTTGTCTTTCAAGTGTTGATTATTACCCATCATTGAGTTGATAGACAGCGCGGCGTATAGTTTCCTATAATTGGGATTTTCAAAGCTATGCTCTTCCGTGACCTCCCTGTCCTCGATGTCATCCCTGTCCTCGATGTCATCCCTGTCCTCACTATCCATATAATCTGGTGTTGTTTCCTCTGAACTGGACATCATTTTGTCGCCACAACTGGTCATCAATTCAATTGTCACCAAATTATGGCACAAATTGTTAACATTTGGTGATATTATTGCTTCAAATCATTGTATTATTAAAACTTTGATTTGTTTTTAATTAATAAATGATGTTTTCATTGATAATATAAAACACTTAAAAACGTTATTTATATGAYAATTGATTTGTCAATATTGTCATCAATTGTTTACTATTAATATTAATAGAAAAGTGATGTAAACTTAGTGTTTATTGAAGACATTGATTGATATATTGATTGATATATTGATTGATATATTAATAATTATAAACAAAATGCCGTTATATGAAGGCATTGGTATCGGTAGTGATAAACACAGTGTTGTCATTGAATTGGGACAGTCTTTCACTAAGTATTTTGATGACCAAATCAAGTGACCAATTGTTTGACAACTAAATTGTTTTATATATTTCATCATTAGATGTGGTTTTGTCGGTGAATACTCTCCGCGAGCTATCATTAGATCTCAAGTCTTTGATACCAAACTTAACAAAGTATGTGATTATTGATATGAGTCTAACATTTGAGGAATCAGTAGATTTGCATACATTTACAGCACTTGAATACTAAACATACATTCAATTGATTATATGATCCATAAGTTTATATTTTGTAGATCTAATGATTAAGGATAGGGAAGACCTCTTTGATAAGCAAATTGCTTACAATTCCTCATTTGCTATCATTTTAATTATTGATTTAATTAGTGGTTATATTTTAAATGTTTTTTTACTTTTTATGTAAAGATGGTTAATATATATTCAATAACTGACGACAAAGAGCTATATTCGGCATTAAAAGAGTTTATCCGTGTCTTATACTTCCGATATCTTGCGGTTAATCCAAAAGACAGACGTCTGGTGATAGTAGAGTCAATGTTTACGTCGTCTCGTTTTCGCAACCAATTGCTTAAAGTGTTATATCTTTATTATGACGTAAGTCTTGTGATTTTATTGATTTTATTAATTTTTTATAATTTTATAAAATTATTTTACAGATTCAGGCTTTACTTATAGTACCCCAACATTTGGTAGCGTTGGCGACATTAGGTCTGTCGACTGCATTGATATTAGATGTCGGTTATAAAGAAGCCATTGCTGTGCCTATCATTGAAGGCGTCACTGTTGTCGATGGTCTTCAATTTGCACCACTGGGAGGAAAGTCAATTCATTACAGAATTATGGACGAACTRATTCAAAGACGTGCAACCATTGATCATAATAATGAACAAATAGTTATAGCGGAACCATTAAATGAAGATGTTTTGGAAGATATTAAAATCAGAACATGTTTTGTGGCACCATTTGAAAGAGGTGTCAGACTTTCGCAACAAAAGCTAGACTTTGAAGAAGGTATGAGTATATCTGCTCCACCCAGTAATGTGTTGTATCCTATTGATGGTCAAAAGGTACTAAATATTCCCGGATCTCTTCGGGAATCAGTTTGTGAAGTGCTYTTTGAGATGTATGGCGACGAACACACGATTCCTACTTTAATAATAGACGCTATACTAAAGTGTTCACTTGATTCGCGGCGACATTTGGCCTCAAATATAATAATAATTGGCGGGACTTCAATGTTACCCGGCTTTCGGCACCGTTTGCTTAATGAACTAAAAGCTTTGGCCAAAAGTAACAGATATGAAAGTAAATTACATTTTCATGACTTCAAGTTCCACACAAATCCTTGTCCTGCAAACTATAGCTCATGGCTCGGGGCCGCCATATTTGCCTCTTCTGACATCGTGTCCACTCGTTCTGTGACTTTGGAACAGTATATTAAAAATAATCAAAAAATAAATGATTGGAGTGATTGGGTGCCAGAAAAAAATCGATAAAACATTTTTTTTTAATTTTTAATAAATACTGTACTAATAGGTGTTTATGTTAATTAAAAAAAAAATAATCAATAGTACTGTATATTTTGACACATTGAAGTATTGTTTACCGATATCTATACAATTCCGTATGTAAGCACATATAGCCACACCTCAAAAATTTAAAAATCAACATTTGGTACGGAACTGTAACTCACATATACCCCCCACTGGGGCAATATGTGAAGTGTTGGGGGTAAGAAACGATTAGGTATTGTAATTAGAAACCATTAAAAGGCCAGTTAATAGCAATTATTATAAAGATAGTTAAAATTAAATAAATGCTAATACAGTAATAATATAAATAATAATTAACACAGTAATCAGCTTCCGATCGGTCATTAAATTGAAAATTACCAATTTGTAGGCCATTATTTRGCATTAAATAAACCGGTCAATAGATTGCATTTTTTAAGTGGAGTTAATTACAGATAATCAAAATACTATAATACTTTTGTACAATAATTTCAATAATGGGCTAATTTGATAGTTCATTAAACTAATCATTTGCTATGGGAATGATTTTCACGTATTGCCCTATAGTTTCACATATAGTCCTTGAGGTTATTTGCGATTACAGACGGTATATTAAATTATAGTATACAGTAGATAAAGATTTAAACAGTTAAATACAACCTCAATTGGGAAGTTCCCTAATAAATTCCCTTCAATTTTTTATAATCAAATTCATTTAAATATATAAAAATAAATATGAATTTAATAAATTTGATAATACTATTTGACATATCACTAAATATACAAATTCTAATAACAGTTGTGTTTTAAGCATTATAATAAAATGTGTTGTTTAGGTTTCAATAGGTGGTACCACAAGAATATAAATACATTTCCAGAGAGCAGGGAATATATGCAACGTATGGAAAATAAAACGAATGATGGAATTTGTCACAACTCTATTGTATAATAATTATTGTAATATTAGTTATAAAATTAAAATTTTAAGTTACTATTAAAATTTGTTTAAATATTAAAAATTATTAAAAACATGTAATACAGTAATAACTTAATATTGAGTGATATTCTCAAATAGTATCACAAAATTTATTAAATGCGTATTTAATATTAAAATATTGATATTGAATATGAATATAATTATTATATGTTTAATATTTCAGTTTTGGTACTTTATATCAAAATATTTTTAGATATATTATCCATTATAACGAACTAAAGAGGAGGTAATTGGAGGAAATTTATTAAGAAACTTCCCTACCTTAAGAAGTCGGCGGACTTTACTTTTAATAAAATGTGAGTCTCTCTCTCTCTCTCTTTTTTCTCTCTCTTTTTCTCTCTTTCTCTCATTAATTAAATGCTCAAAATTACCAAAAACTGATACCACTGTTACTGTCAATAAAGTAGTGATAATGGTTTCAGATTGAGACCGAAAACACTTGAGTGATCCGCAAAGTAACAGATTTTCACTGAAAACTGTCTTCATTTGTCTCTTTAAATTAAAAAAAATATTAGATTGAGTTCTGAAGACAACATAAATTTTAAAAATTATTGTTTAATTATTTGTGAAATATTTTATAGCGGTTTTTAATTTATTTATTGTACAATTGAAAACCAAAACCTTTATTTAAATAATTTTATTTAAAAAATTAAATATATTTAATAAATGATAAAAATATGATTAATTGCTTAAAATTCATTACAATTAATATTACAGTATATAATATATAATACTACTGTACATACAGTATAATAAACTTTACATTAATATACAGTTGGGTTGCAAATGAAAACAAAAGCTAATTACAATCAATGCATAACTCAATGTCATTGTCTTCTCTGTGTGTGATCTCACAGGAGATGACTTGTCTCGGATGAGACCACACACAGGTGTGAGTGTGTGTGTGTGTGTGTGTGTGTGAGAGAGAGAGAGAGAGAGAGARAGAGAAAGAGAGAGAGATAAGACCCAAATGCAGACTCATCTCCGGTGGTCTTAAAGTCAATATTGAGATCACATTAGTAATGTATTTGATTGTATAATACATTAGTATTGACCACAAATTAATTGAAACTTCAGAACTTACAGAACTATTACTTGACTTGAATTTTGTTTAAATTATATGAATGTATGTTTGATTTACTTTGATTATGTTATTATATGATATTGATATTAATCAATCGTTAATTAAAAATCGATTTAAAAGTCATGATAAACTTTGTTTAATAAAATAACAATTTTGTATATTTGCTTATTTTTTTATTTATAAACATATTTATTAATATTTAATTTTAATGTGATTATGTATTAAAAAGTTAATTTTTGTTTAAATTAGATGACATAAGACCGACAGTTTGTATTGTAATACCTGATGATGTTGTTTGTAGACTTATATCACGCTTTTTATAATCCCAATCATATGCATAATTATCAGTAATTAATTGATTAAAGTATTTATGAAGCATATCATAATTAGGTGTATCCATGAAAGCTAGTTGTCTAATATGTTTCATGTATTGAACAAAAACTTTGGGAATATGAGTGCAAAGCGTTTCAATAGTAATTTGTTTCTTAAGATTTGCGATTTGTTGCAATCGATGCAAATAATGTCCTTTGAGTCTCTGCCAGGGAAGTCGTCCTTTAATGAAGTATATGAGCATAAATCCAATGGACTCCATGTCATCCCGTCTGCTCTGTTCGAGTCCAAAATGACTCCAACAACTCATATACCTCGGAGTTCCTATCAATGATTTACCAGTTTTCATAGGTATGTGCTGTTTAGTGTTGATATCTATATATTCTTTAGCTAATCCAAAGTCAATTATGTAAATAACTTTAGCATTGGGAGTCCCGGTGCGACCCAATAGGAAATTTTCTGGTTTGATATCTCGAAAAATTATATTTTTGTTGTGAATGTATTCAATAATCTTCAGAATTTGTGTAGCAATTCTTGCGGTTGTATTGACACTAAATTTGTTGTCACACAATGCAAACATTTTGTCGAGACTCGGATCCAATAACTCCATAACTAACGCGTGGTATACATTGCAGGGACCAAAATAATAGATGTTAGGAATACCTAATTGTGAGCCCAACAACATATAGAATCTATACTCTAGAGGCAACTGAGGAGATTCAATATCTTTGTGCTCCAATTTAATGGCCAACCATTCTTTAGTATATATATTAGTTCCCTTATATAATAATCCAAAAGCTCCGCCATTCATATAACTGTCCAATCGATAAGTGTTATCTATTAATAAACCTTCAACTTTTGGTTTATTCGCCATTAGAATTATGGTAACAATTAATTATAAATTGTGTCAATAAATCATTATTTGGCTTAAATCTAGTTTACAGACTAGACTTAATCTCTTTTGTTTAAAGACTTTTAAACTTAATTTCACGAGAATTTTATTTATATAATGAATAATTTAATTTTTGATAAATGCAATAATAAAAATTTTATTTTATAATAATTACAATTTATAATAAATCTTAGAATAAATTACAACAGATTAATAATATTTTGCTATTCATTAAATATTACGGTAAATGTATTGACTAAATATTAATACCGATAATCATCTATATTTTGTTCTCAAGATCTAAAAAATGATGATAATGTTGATATGACATTACTGGCAATACTAGTTTGCTGTTAAAATTATATAATATTAAATTATCAAAAATTAAGTGTTTTATTTAATAAATTAAAAAAATAACTAACAAATACCTGTACGTCATTAAGTTGTAAGTCTGGTATGTTATTTTCAACCCAATCGTACTCAACAATCAGATTCTCGTCATTCTGATCACTGCCAATGTCCACAACATCTTCCAGTAGTTCCAAGTCTTCTAAAAGACAATCTTCGAGATTTTCCAAGAAGTCTGATCTAACAATAATAGGACGATTCCTTCAAATAATTCAAACATAAATATTTGTGTCAAAATAAATACAATTTTAAGTTAATAATGATAGAGACCTAATGCCTAAATTTGGCGATGAGTTCAACAAATGTAATAAATTTTTAACAGTTAATCGTCCAATCAATAGCTCTGAATCAAGATTTTGCGAAAGACATAAATAAACAATATTTGTGTTAAGTTTTGCCACTTTRTGTATAAATTGTGTTTCATTCAAATCACTTAAATAAAATTCACTGCAAATATATAATAAAAATAATTTTTACTTATTTAGTTTATTTAATTTAATTATATTTTACTGACCTATAAGTGAGACGTTTGGGAAGTCGTATATCTAAATAAAAGGCAATTAAACTAATAAGTTGTGTGATGTATGCCAGTGCTGCACATATCCTATACCTAGCATTTCGATAACACGAATCTTTATTAGGATAATCCCTTTCATTTGTGGCTAAAATAAAATGTTAAAATTACAACAAATAAATGTAATTCTAGTATAAGTTAATAAATACCAAATAAAGCAAATAAAGAATAATCTCCATTTCCATTAATCCATGGCTCGACTATTGAATAATTGCTTGGGTTTGGACTATAAGAGATCGGTTCCAGTAATGGAGTCGATTCAGAGCTCGTCAATGAATGACAATCATTGCTATCAATTACACCTTCTTTTGCTTCAATAGGAAATATAAATGTCGTTAACTGTTTGACTCTTTGTTTAGCCATTACTTTAATATCTTCATCACAATTGTCTTTATCATCATTGGTTTTATTGATATTATTGTGACGTTTATTCAGATATTGTTTTGCATCTTTCACTTTGTCCTTCAATTTATTACAYCTTACTTTGCATTCACTTTGATTGGCAACAGTTTTCCTGAGATTATCTTCACTTGAGTTCAACTTTTGTTTGGCTTTCGTTAAACTGTTTTGCAGACATTCGCCATTGGATTCAATCAATCGGATCTTAAACTCCTTTAAAAACAATATAAAGTAATATAAATTTTTTAAAAGTAGAAAACTTTAACAATAATTAATACCAATTCTTCTTTAATCATCAAATCATTTAGATGTCTATCAATGGTCTCTGATATAAGTCTTTGTTCGTCTTTAAGTCTGAAATATTTGAGTTTCTTTTCGGCAAAGATTTCTCTGATTCTAGTCTTTGAAATGCCATAAAAGTCACCTTTTCTGACACAATCCATACAAAAGAAGGTACACCTGTCGTGACCGCAGACACGACATGTCATCACATATTTAGCACTTCTTTCATTTGGTAAGCTTTGGTTGATTGTGTGGTCACTCGACTTCTTCAACGACGATATCATCAATGAGTGGTCGGAGTTGTCACTGAAATGAGAGTCGACTGCATTGTGATCAACAAGAGGTATGTTTTGAGGACGAGTTGATGACTCTGACGACATCCTCGACATTAACAGTCAAAACACAAAATACAYGAATAGTTGTCAATCAATCAGTTGTTTACTAAACACTAAACTCATTGTCTGTTTTGACGTTTGTTTACAACACTTGATCTCAAAAGTCAATGATTTGGACATAAATGACGACAACTTTCATAAAATTGATATTAAATTTAATATTAAATTTAATTGTCATTTAATTTAACTGATTATTCATATATTTTTCAATACAATATTATTGTGTTTTTAAATAATTGTTTTAATATAATTGATATTTTAATATAAGGTATTATTATTGAAATTAAAAGCAAATAATTGACTGTTTGTACTGTTATTACTTAAGTCATAACAAAATACATTAATTGAAATAAATGTCATCAAAATGTGTCTTCAATTAGTGATTGAATGATATTATAGTAATTATTATTAAATGTAATCAAATTGATTGATATAATGACTAATAACAAAGTGATAGTACTATTGCCATATAATTTGTGTCAATTGGTTTGTGTGTTATATATGATTGTCAAGTTGTCGATCACCCAATTGAATCCATCACAACATTTGCCAACCGCTCTACTAATCAGTTATGGCTTTCAAAGCATCGCTCTATTGATATCTCATTCAAAGATTGTGATCAACAGTCAGGTCAGTCAAAGACACAGTTTATGATTAATTCTTTGATTACTAAATAATTTATATCATATTCAGAGTCTACTAAGTCTTGATGTGATACCAAAAGTGATAACTTTAATCAAAAGTATTGCCATTTATTATGTATTGTCTGTACTATTAGGCGCTCCCTTACTATCGTATGTATTAATATAATTAAATTTAATTTAATAACAATTTAAATGATTTATATTTATTAATAATTGATATTTCATTTAGTGATAAACTCAATACATTATATTTGGCACTATTATTGACATCACTGACAACACTTCCAATTGTAGTGTTGTGTCGATCGGACAAAATATTATCAAATTTGATAAATAGTTTATACAGCAATAAATTGGATGCAAGAGTTGACACAATTGTCTTCAGGATATCATTGATAACACTAATTGGTGGCTGGTTTGGGGCCTTTCCTATTGTCTTAGATTGGATGCAGCCGTGGCAACAATGGCCTGTTTGTATACCGATGTCTATTATAATGATTCAAATGTTATATATTTCTAATTTATTTTTTTCAGATAAGCGTTTGTTTGGGAGCAATGTTTGCCAATTTTATCGCCAATTCAATATCATTGTGTTTTGGTTGCTATAAACTAAGTTTTAAGTTATAATTTAATTATTTTTTTTATTTTTACTTAAAAAAATAATCGACAGAACATTTTATTCAGTGATTGTCAAAAATATCTGACAAAAGATTATCATATCTTATAATAAAAGCTTATAAATAAATAAATCTTAATGTGATAATAATTTTTATTGTATATAATTATTTACAATTGTGTTTTTAATTTTTAATATACAGGTGTATTAGAATTATTTATTAATAATATCAATTATATGAATATTTATGATTACAAGACAATGACTTAAATTAATACTGTAGTTGACTATCCATTAGAAATTTAATTATTGACAATTAGATTATATTAGATTTGTGTAAAATTTTATAATAAATTCTTTTAACATTACAATAATTATACAAAAATTATAATAATTTAAATTACTAAAAACTCCTTTTTTGAATCTTAATAAAATTAAACAAAATAATAACTTTAATTTTTACTATAATTTAAAATATATGGAAATAATTATAAAATTACATTACAATATACTGTATTATATGTAGTTATAAATTAAATGCTAGTAAAACTAAAATCACAACAAAATATTAAATCACTTTTTCTTTATGTTTCTAAAATCTTAATCATAGGAACATTAAATCAGTTATAAAACTGTCGATTATTTGAAAATTTAAATGATTTCAAAATAATGTTATTCTTGAATGGCATATGAATTATAAGCTCAAAGATATTTGTTGACAAAATAGATGTCCAATTGATGATTATGCCTGATATTGAAGCATAGGTGCCGTTAGATTGTGACTGTGCGGCGTTGAGTTCATCCTGAGAGCTGAAAACCCTTTATTATACCAATTATTGTCATCTTCTTGTCTGATGACTGACATATCTGGTGATGAATGACTCATAGAGAAGGGTTGTGCTGTCACCGGAGGATAAGATGCTGTACTCATTGGTGGATATCTTGACGTACTCATTGAATTGATGGCATTGGCTGTAGAGTATTGGTACCCTCTGGTACCTGCCTGTGCACTACTGGCCTGATATATATTCCTCATCATTGCCCCATTACATGCCGGCAACATTGACGGTGCAGCCAATGCTTTTTGTAATTGTTTTTCTTGTTTTCTATATTTAGCTCTTCTATTCTGAAACCAAACCTAAATATTTTTTTATAAAATTGATTTTTTAAAAATATTCTGTATTTATTGTAGATATAAATCTTACAGTTTATGGAAAATAAAAGTTACATTACTATATAAACAAATGATAATTAATATTTTTATAATTAATTATATAATATAATAATAATTTGTTTAAGTGTTTGATATATAGAAATACTAAATACTTTAAAAGTTTGTAAATTTTTATTTAAGATTTCAAGTTAAATAATATAGCATTTGGTTGGACTTCAAAATTGATGTTATATTGTGGTAATGATGTAGTGATTGCGGATTCAAGTCATGCAATGGTTTGGCAAAAGAAAATTATTTTCAGATAAAAGCAAATGAGAGAAAAGCTAAGAGTTTGTTGGATATAAAGAGAAAGCCGAGGAATAAGAGAGAGAAAGAGAGAGAGAGAGAGAGAGAGAGAGAGAGAGAGAGAGAGAGAGAGAGAGAGAGAGAGAGGTCGATCGCTGAAGCGTCACTCCATTAGGTCTGCAAATTAAATCAGTGATAACATCAGTGGTGCCCTTATCTTACACAGCGGTCTCCATAATAAGTCTATATTATATCTACTATTTCTATAGCATTTGTATCCCTCAATCGGTTTGACCCCTCTTTCTCGGCTCACTTTCATACTATAAAATACATGTAAAACAGTAGTCAAATAACATGCAATACACTTGTGATTACCATTGAATTACAATACAATGCTTTGAATTATATTCTTTTATTATCATATATCCTATATCTCGCACTACACTAACATTATTGTTCATCGAGTGAATCAATTGCTAGTATACTATATGTTGGGTCCAAATGTAAGTTAATATTGTGAAAGTTAGTGCTTTTCAATTGAGAAATTGTAAACTTTTTTCATAATTAGTTAGTATTTCATATATTGCTTAATATTATGCACCGCATCCTCATATGAGGCCTACCATTGGTAGACTGTGTTCACGTCAATCTCTATTAACACATTCTCGCTGTTAGACGTGTTTTGCACCGACAATAACAACAACTTTGTTGTTAAATATGGACAGATATATCATATATTCAATACAGAACTCATGCTTTCCTACAACTATAACATAGTCTATAATATAAGTTAATACAACATTCAATGTATACACTGTTATGTGTATAGCATTTGTATGCGCTATAGAAGAATTGATATAACTTATAGAAATGGAAAGTAAGTTACAAAATGTATAGTATATAGCATTTATAGGTCAAACATCAAGTGATGTTATTTGTCATATATTGACAGTTATTGTAGAAATAAATGGTAGAAATGGTAGAAATAGTACCTGAATGCGGGCCTCATTTAATTTGGTAATTCTGGCCAACTCTTCCCGGCAATAGATATCCGGATAATGACTTTTAGCGAACGCTGCCTCTAACTCTTGTAGCTGTTCCTGAGTAAATGTTGTCCGGTGTCGCCTACGAGCCGGTGTTGGAGGACACGTGCCGTTAGAGTTAATACTACTCGACGATGTGGTCAATGAGGTATGACTAGAGTTGCTATGATTAGACCCGAGACCAGCCATTAGTGCAGTCGGCGATAGGCTTGATGTGAGTCCCGGTTCTACTTTCATCTCTTTAAAATAAATCGGATGTATTTGAAACTGTCTTAAAGTAATAATAAATTTTTATTGAATTTCCTTACAAAAAGTTCTTTTCATAAAATGTGGTTTATATGAATAAAATTTATAAAAAAATACCACAAAATAAAAGTTACAACTAATATATAAATTATTATTATTTTATAAAATAAAAATAAGTCATTACAGGTTAGTTTTATTTAAATACTAATATTAAAGCAATATTTTAATTACTAATTTCTAGATATTTTTACATGTATTTTTTTATCATATTTAAAGTAGATGTATAGTAAAATTGCAATATTTTGATGCCCAAAAATACTAAATAATTTATGTATGTAAACATTAATAAGCTCTTTATTTATTTGATATATTATATAATAATGACATTGATATTAAAATAATCATTGAAATCATTAATTAATAACCATTAATAATAAGGTAATAAACCTGTTAGATATTAAAACTTGATTTATTATAGCTTCAATTTTAACAATAAATATGTAGTTTTATTCCTTTAATTATTATTAAATTATGTAATTATTTTATTTGAATTTTTTGTATTAGCAGTTACAGTAAATTATTAATTACATTAATGAATATATAGATTACGATTATATAAATACTATTAAAAATAAGTCATTTTGACTAAATAACTATAGTATCTATATTGTAACTATATATCTATTTAAATTTGATACTCTACTTATACATTATTTTTATTAATTATTTGGTACAATAAATAAATATAATTTTATTTTGTATTTAATCTAGTGTTGGCAAAAAAAGAGAAATTTATAAAATAATAGAGAAATTTCTAGAAAGTTTCTAGAAGAAATTTGTATCTATTAATCTAATAAAAAAAATGAATACAATTTTACAAAACTAATTATTATTATTAAATAATTATAATTATTTTATATATAGGTATCCCATTAGTATAATACTGTACTATATTTTAAAGTATAATATTATATGTATAGTATTATATTTTATTAATATAGTATTACAATAACTATAGATATGGGGATCCCATAATAAAGCAATAAAGTTAAATTTCTATAGAAATTTATTCCTGAGAAATTTTCTAGAAACTTTCTATTTGCCCATCTCTAATTTAATCACTGTATGAAAAATGACTAATTTTTAAGCCGTTTATTTTTGGAGACTTAGAATATAGATAAAAATATTGAAATAATACAGTATATTAATTTTTTATTATTATTTATTTTAAATAAACTATAAATTAATATAAAATTCTGTGTAAAAATTGTAATTTATTGAAAATTTCTATATTGCAGTCGACTGCTATTATATGATCAATTTTACAATTAATAAAAAATAAGCAATTAAAATATTATTGATTTTAATATTTAAAATATGGTTTACCAGATATTTAATATATAGTATTAACAGTTAAAAACAGTGATTTTTAAGATACTCTATTAATACCAATAGAGCCAAATACTTTGGGTATTACTTTATTACAACTATAGCAGTGATTGCCATTAGTGTTATCAGTGATAGATTTTTTGATAAATGCTTAAYATATATTTTAATTTAATAGAATAACAATTTAACAAATATTTTTAAAATTTATATTAAACAATGAGTAAAATAAACTTATCCATAATCATTTAATTTGTATTACTTTATATGTACAATTTTATTTTTATAGATCTTATTTTAATCACTAAACTATAGTATTAAAGAATTAAGTTGTGAATATTTTCCTTTTTTTCAGGGAATTTATGGTGAATTTATGGGGAATTTATGGGGAATTTATGGGGAATTTATGGGGAATTTATGGGGAATTTATAGGAAATATATGGAGAGTTTATTATGAATTTATATGGAATTTAGTGGAAATTTACTAAAATTTAAAACTGTACACCCTATACTGACCCAACATTTTTCTATATTTTTGCCATTTTACCGACTATACCCCTTCACCTTCTATACTCCTTCAGTAATTATCAAATGTATTATTAATATTTTTATTAATAATAAACTTTTTTATTAAAATTATTTTAATTTCTTGCTTTATTTTTCTTATATTCTTTAAAATAAATATGTAATTTACGCAAGTTTTCATTACTAATATACTGTATGTATGTTTTGTAAATATTTTAATTAATCATTAAAACATTATATATAGATATATAACGAATGCATTTGATATCATAATGCAATTTATTTACAAATAATTGCTTATACATTGTGTCAATTTATCTAATATTATATCAATTCATTTATTCAATTTCCAATCGTTTAAATCGATTGGAAAAATAAAAAACTTAAAAACCATTTAAAGAGCACTTTCTTACAAAACTCTCATTGAATTCAATTTTGTGTTATAAATCTAATTTTTGTTATTTTCTTGACATTTAAATTAATGTTGCAGTTATTTATCATATTATTTATTATGTTTAGAATAAAATAAATATATATTAATAAAATATTTTTTGTTAAACAATTTAAATGATTAGTGTTACATAATTTTTTAATAATTTTTAAATAGTTTTCTTTAATATTAATTTTCGTTGTAAGTTAAAACTTGCAACTATGTTAAACTTGTTTTTACTAAATTAATATATCATGCCTACTAAATAAGTAAAATATAATAGGTTGTTTTTAGAATCCTAATAACTTTAAGACATTTGTTTTGTCTGTTTGTTTGTTTGTTTGTTTGTTTGTTTGTTTGTTTGTTTGTTTGTTTGTTTGTTTGTTTGTTTGTTTGTTTGTTTGTTTGTTTGTTTGTTTGTTTGTTTGTTTGTTTGTTTGTTTGTTTGTTTGTTTGTTTGTATGTGTGCACACTTCCTCAACAACCATTTTTTAATTCAAAGCTAAAAATATATTGTTATATTTTCAATTTTAATTTAAAGCAATATTATTTCTATGGGAAATTTTAAATGATTATTGAGCTCAGGTAGGTTTTAGGGACAGGTAGGCTGGTGTCGTGTAATTACACTTTGCTATATTATATGAGTTACAGGGCACCGGGAGGTAAGCTACCTGTGCTAAATTTTTGCAAAATTTTCTCAAATGCAAAAATTTTCAATTTGTGTTAAAATTTTCAATTTGTGTTAAAATTTTCAATTTTAATTTAAAGCAATGTTATTTCTATGGGAAATTTTAAATTTTTGTTGAGCTCAGGTAGGTTTTAGGGACAGGTAGGCTGGTGTGTCGTGTAATTACACTTTGCTATATTGTGTGAGTTTATGGCACATGTTAGCTACATGTGTTAAATTTCAGTAAATTTTTTTCAAATGCAAATTTTTTTTCGCAAAAATTAAATTTTCAATTTTTATTAAAATTATTTAAATATATATAAAAACTAAAATTTCTCAAAAGTTTAGTCGAATTAATGTGTATTGGTTCAGTAGTTTTGTTACATTAGGTTATGTAGTAGTTGTATAAACAAATTAAGTCTCATTCAAATTACTTATAGTAAATATTTTTAAATTAGTAAAAGAATTGCACGGCTATACATGTTGCTCGGGATAAACTAGTATTATTTTAAAATTAATATTTAATAAATTATCAATAATATATAGTAATAGTATATACTAGTATATAAATAGTGTATATAGTAATACATAAACAATATATAGTATAATTTTAATTACATCTAATAAATAGTTATAAATTACTACCATTATTTCTAAAAATTTTAGTGATGCTAATAAAATCTCAAATTATAAATTTTATGAAAATTATAGCACGTTTTTTAACTCATAAAATATCTTTTAAAAGTACATTTAAATTATTATAAACTTTAAATTTTGAATTATTGTTCATATTATTGAATTAGTAATTTCATAATTAGACTTATAAAAACATTTGAAATAAGTATAAATTTCATATTAACCTTGTTTGACATTTTAAGCAATTTGATAATTAAACAGATATTTTAAATATGTTGTCAATCTAAATATAAATAGATAGTGAATTAGAAAATAATGATTTAAATTTTTGATTATTTTAATAACAGTTACAACTATTTTTAGATATTATTAAATATGTTAACATATAAATTAAATTTCTATATATTATTTTGTATAATAGTTATCAATATTTAAGTTAATTACAATTTGTTATAAAGCTATTGATACTTTTATATAATATTATAAATAATAACAACGATCTAAATGATCTAAATAATCACTTAAAATATGACAATATTTATTTAATTTAATTGTTTAAACTATAATTAAAAAGTTGATTTAAACTTTAAATAAATTAAAATATATAATAGATATGTTGATTATACACTACTAACAATGAAAGTAAACACAATCAATGATTTGTTATCATAAAAGTAAGTAATACTAAATGTTTGACTATTAGTTATATATAAAAATATTTGTTTTGGACACGTGTTTCTGGTATTTTAAGTAATAATCAATTATATAATGAAAACAGAGTACAACCACTTGTAATGTTCACAATTGATATGATGCATACATACACTCATTTAATCGACTATTTTATTTATATATGAATGTATTAGCGTATAATTTGGGCGCACTGTTAGTCTAGTTTAATGCCTAAAGCATTGATTGCTTTAACAATGATTTTGGTTGGGTTTACAACAAAAGGTGAAGAAAAGCGGACAAAATCCTCACTCTCTCCGGTGGTTTCAATATTTCATAGCACCTGCTCTTAAACTAACGCAAAGTGCATCAAAAAGCATTACAAAAGCCGGCTTTAATACTCCTATTCAATACATTGTATTTCATTGCAAATACTATATTATTATTGCTATGACATATGTGCTTAACATTTGATACATTTGCCCAAATATTTCAATTTAAATACGTATATCATTAAGGGATTTATACAATTAAGACATTTTAGCTAAGCTATCCAAAATAGTGGACTAATTATAAACTTAATACTTATATTAAGTTAAATAAAGTTACATAAATTTATAATTTGACAATTATTCTTATAAAACTTTCTAAACTTCTAACGAATATATTATTTGTTAGATAAATAAATACATGTTATTATTATTATTACATATTTAAAATATAGTTTTATTATTTTATTTGCAAAATCATAGATACTTTATAAGCAAATTACTTATTTTCATATTAGCAACTTGATAGTATCAAGTATTACTTATAATTATAAACTATAATCTATAACTTTATATGTAAGATATTATGTTTTTAATATTATTAAATTTTTTATTATAAACCCAATATATGTTAAATATTTATGAAGATTTATTAATTAGTTCAGATTAAACAATAAAGCAATAAATTAAATTATAATAATATAGATACTACTATATACTGTTATATATCGACACTAAAAGTCTAAAAAATTAGTTATATATCTAATTTTAGATAACTATAATAAACATTGTAGTCTATTATTATATTTATTACTATTTTTTATTAAATAAATATCAAATTGTTATCAAATTCTTGCTAATATAAATTGCAAAAATTTATAATATACAGTATATATAAAATATTTTATTAATTTATTAAATTTATAGCAGATTTGTTTGAGTTAATTAGATTAGTTATAATTGATTTAATAGATAATTAATATATGACTATTATTAAAAGTTAATAATAAATTTATAATTTTAATTTTTAATATATAATTTTAGTGTCAAATAATAATTTGATTTATTATATATATATTAAACTTATTAAAATAACTAATAGTTAAAAAATTGTGATTAAATAAATGTTATTTTACTTACATTTTGGAAATTATGGTCTTTTTAAAAATTGAGGCAAAAATATAATTATATAATTAGACTAATCTAAGTTGATTTTCCCAAATTATTAGTTATGATTTTATTAAATTTGAATGATTTTATATTGACTTTACATGACATGAGAGATGAGTTAAAGAGAGAGTCAGTGAGAAAATCTTGCAAAAGTAGAGTCCGTTGTCGTGTTTATAGTGCTTTTGATCACTGCTTTCAATAGGAATTTGTCGACGAATTGGGTGTTAGTCAGCAAAGAATTGAACATTTGATTGGACACCGAATCAGAGCATACAATCGCTTATGTATTTCAAACATAACACGCCTTCAATTTGGACAGACATCTCATACCAGACTTACAATTAGTATTATTTTCGGCTAAATATCTTGTCTTTAATTATGATTTTATTCAAAATTATATTTTGCGTGTTTTTTATCACAATTTGAAAGATTCAAAAAACAAATTCTAACAAATGTTAGTTTTTGAATAAATTGTAATTTTGTTTAGAAAAAAAACTAAACAATATATATATATATATATCTTCTATTGATTTGACTTTACGTTTGCCAAATAAAATATTGCATAAAATTTTAATAACAAACATTTAGAGCTACTTTTTATTTGACATCTCACTTAATTGTATAAAATATAAATTGGTTTAATGAAATGTATGATATTATTTGGAAATATATACTGTATATGAATAATACTATATATATACAGACATCAAAATAAATATAAATATTTTATTTCATTTGTTGTCATTCATTCAAATGGACGTAATGTAAAGGAAAGTGTATGTCAATAAAAATTATGATAACCATTGAATTTATTGAAGAAAATTAAGTTTTGTGACGACATTACAAAATTAAATCACCGGCTGAACCAAAGCCAGAGCCAAAACTAGATAATAGGGCGACGCATACCATATATACTATATATACGCTTACATCCAGTTTGTGCTCTCTTTTCAGTCACACTTTAGACTCCAACCCAACTAACACTTACAATACATTCATTTTTCTTATAATTTTTTATCTTTTATAATCCATTATAAAAATATTAGTATTTAAATGTTGTATGAAATATACTTTTCTAATTCATCAGCTATTGATATGATGTTATCTTTTTTAAGATTATATTTTTGAGTATAAAATGTATAATTCATTTCTAACTTATGGTTCAAATATAGAGTTGAATTCAATTTTTTGATATTTGTTGATAAATAAGTGCCGATTAATGAGTGCCGACTTTGGTCGGAATAACACGTGTTTTCGGTAATCATATGCAATGATGTCTCTAAAACTATAATCAAAGCCATAATAGAGTGTATAGACAATCAAATGTAAAGCAAAAACTGAAAGCGATTGACGCGAGTCTCACAGCGGGTGATCACTATTGAGGCCACCTGTCATCACTTACTACTCAATGGATAACTGTGCCGATGTATACATCACATTCATGTGCCACCGTTTGCTTCCAACAAATCAATTGGTGATACAAAATATGCAGAGCACGTGTCCGACTTACCAGATGGACAAACATATCATAAGATCCGAAATGGGCCATCACTTACTCACCTGAAGGTCTTTATTATCTCTTAATAAACTTTAATCCCCTAAACTATACGAAATGAACAATTCATTTAAAAGAGTTTAAATTTAAAGCAATGATTATTATAGTTAAATATGCTGTTAATGTCTGTTAAAGTGCCATTCAGGACATGGATATACTCATTGAAGTAGAAGAGGATTAAGTGTTATTTGACAACAGCCAGAGCCTGAACGCCTGCCTGTGCTCACCGCCAACACAACTGTAGTATAAACTCCTCCAAACATTTCTATCAACCACTGCCTACAATGATATTATATCTCAATGACGGATCTTTGAAAAACTTGTATTAAATCTAAATCATAGAATATAAACTGAAATTAATTTCAAACATTTGATTGAAATGGGATTTCATTTCCGCTATTTTCGGATGCATTTACTTTTAAAATCTTGAAATAAATTGAAATATTGTACTTTTATATAATTTATAAGTAAGACATTTATAATTGAATTGAAAATTTTACAAATAATTGTTTTCTTGTTAACAAAATATATCTTAAATTGTAGTTTATATAATTAGTAACAATAGTAAATAATAATTTTTAAAACAATTTGTAATGACTAAATAATTTTTTAATTTGCCTCAATAGACAGTGACTTCAATAAAAATTAACTATTGGCTCAACAATTGTAAATATATTGACGATTTTTAGGATAAACATCTGTGTTATCATACTATACATATAATGTGTGGGCAGTGAATACTATTTTGAAGATTTCAAAATGATTTTTCACATCAAGTGATGATGAGATGGAAAAAAGCAATGGATAAGAGAGAGAGAGAGAGAGAGAGAGAAGGAGAGAATCCCTCATGAATTTGAATGAGTTGTGTTACAGGAATAGTGAATAATATTAATACATTTTGGGCTTACAATTCAATGCTTACAATTGCTGTTCACTACTATACACCCCCTCCGGACTCGAGAGTAGAGCACATTTCAATTATCTGTTCATTACTGAACTAAATTACTATACGACTCAATTGGGCATGAATTGGGTGCTCACGGCCTACCAGTGCATTACTGTATCATCACTATGTTATACACTTATTATACTGTATGGATAGTCAGTCAACTTTAAGAGTAGCCAGTAATGTAAAAGAAGCTCTTCTGGTACTGAATAATGTCAAATAAGCGCAGATACCATACATTTTAGTAATTTTACTTTTTTGTTGTTGTTTTTATTTACTATTTTATAAAACACACATTTACTTATTTATTGTCTATTAATAAAGTAATTAATAAATAACTGAAGTAAAATAGCTTACAAATAAAATAATTGCTTTATACATAATCAATAATATAGCACATAATAATAGTGTTAACATTTTAGTAGCCATTATAGCCACTGTCCACCTGAGGCCACATCAATAGATGACAATTTGTGTTTATACTGTAAAATAAGATAAGATATACGCTCTTTGAATACAACATTAAATAGTTAGCCCTAAGGGATGAACAACTTCTCTGATTATTTCTTTTAATGTCTAAAGTCATTGCATTTCTGATTATTTATAGTAAAGTATATATACGTTATTGTATTGTAGGCGTTATACTCAGCAAAGATGCAGATAAAACCCATTTGTATTAGCCATACGAGTAGGTGAAAGCTACCGAAGCTATGCTTTATTTACTAGATTGCTGTCAAACTTATGAAATATAGACCTATAGTACTGATCACTGTAAGCTGACAGTGCACTCACATAATTGACTTAGCATTTAGTCCCAGAGTTACACTAATGGACTGCTTTTAGAGCACAGTTTGGCTCAACTTTTATATTGCCGCTACTCTTTGCACTTCTCATAACTCATACATCATATAAAAGTTGGCATAAAATTTCTCTATTTCTACTATAGATCTAAATTATATAATAATTTTTTAACAAAATTAATCAATCAATAAAACATATGATATTTGAGCATGCTTATATATTATGTACTATTTCACTATATTTAATAATTTAACTTAGTAATATAAGTAAAAGTATTTTTTTAAACCATATTTTATATTTAATTTAAAGAAAAATAAATACTTAATATTTTTTTTAATTCAACATAAAATAGTTACCATATTTACAGTATTTTCATAAATAAAATAAAATATATTAATCTAAGTTAGGTTAAGCTTAATCTATATTCAATATTAAATATATCAAAATAAATTGAAATGATACAGTATTATATTCACAAAAAATTGATAATTTAAAAAACTAATATATCAAATAATTATATAACATTGAATATATCAAATATTTTTTAGTTAATTAAATATAATTTATTTAATTCGAGGATCAATTATTGACTAAATAAATATATACTATTTTATTGCTTTAATATTTTGATTTTTATGAGAAATAGTTTAATTTAAAAAATAATAAACATTATTATGACATTTATTAAAGTAAAATATATAAAAGTTTAATATCAAATTATATAATTTATTTTCATTATTAAACTAATTAAAAATATATTAAATTTTAATTATAAGTATTTTATTTATGTTTTTCTCTTCTGGCAATAATATATTCTGTGTATGAAATGAAGCCATCGTTGTCTTTGTCGTATTCTTTTAACAAATGGTCGATCACTTCTGTAAAATAAAAAATATATATAAATATTATAAATAAAATATTTGCTGACCTATAAAAAAATAATAATTTTTAAAAATTTATTAAACAATTTATAAATTTAACAATTATCGAAAAAATTTTACGGTAATTACGGTATATTAAGCTTAATACTAAAAATTAATCTCAGAAATTACTAAAATTCTTAAAGATTAATATCATAATAAATTATTATTGTAGTAATATAAATAATTCATTTTAAATTATATACTATTAAATATTTTAAAAATATATATATATATATAAATGACTGACTCGAGTCTTCGTCAAACTTTTGGTTCCAACGAATCTGATTTCTATATCTTTCTCTAATGTGGTAATACTCCATAGGATCCACATCCTCGTCATCAGTCATATCATCCTATATTGCAAATAAAATTATCAAAGATTATATAAATTTATAAATTTATAAATTTATATCTAAATAATATTTATACAAGTTATAACAAGTTACATTTATTATAATTTATACTTCATAAATTTAATATAATATAAAATTAGTTATTAGTTTTAAATTATAGTATTTAAAATATATATATATATATATAATATCTCTACATTATAAGTTATATAAACTATAAAAAATAAAATAATATTTTATTATATTATCTTTTATTAAATTAAGGTTTATGCTGTAGTAAAAAATAAAATTGCAATATAATTAAATACAGTAGTATATGTTTTAATAATATAGTAAAATTAATAATAAAATTAATAATACTTGTAATTTATAAAATCAAATATTTAAGTACAATTATAAATATATATATATGAATAATAATAATAAATAACTTGAACAATATTAAAGCATTGTATAGACTGCTTAAAAACTATTAACTACTTTCTATACAATTAAATTAAAGCATTTGAATTACAGTAGCATTTGGATACAATGTATGTTATTTTGATAGTTACGATAGTTGTACTAACTTTAATTAAACCCAACTTATTATATATCTTTAATAGTGTAAAAAATAACAGATTTTTACCACAAATAGTTTATTTGCTCTCAATTAATGCAAATAATAAAACAAAAAAAGTTTGTTTTAATTGAATTAAGAAACAAATTAAATTAAAACTTTATTTAAAAATAATATATTGATTTTCAACTAAAACATTTATTTTTACAGTTTGCATTTGTATTTGATTATATCAATTTAGTTATTAAATATCAATTGACGATTTAATTTTCAATATTTTCTGATAATAATAAATTATTATTTTAATATTTTTAATTATATTATTGTTGAGAAAAAATTGTCAATATTTTTTTTGAATTAAACTGATAAAAATGTATAGAAATGTAGAAAATGTATTATCTCATTTGATTTTAAGTAATATATTAATAGCATAATTAATCACATTTAACATTAATAATGTCAAAAACCGTTTAAAATAATTTTATTATTGAGTAATACTGTATGATATTTAAATGTAATGTTTATAATTTATTTAATAATGAATAGTAAAATTATAGTGATTTAATTTAATTTACTTCATTTGAATTTATGTATTTATGTGTTATAAATTAATAAATTGTTTAATATAATATTTTAATACTAATTTTTATTAAAAACTGTATTTAATTAAATATTAAAATTAATATTATTTATTTCTGAACTAAACCAATTTTTATATTGTAATACAAGTTATATTTATAGTTTATAATTGCGTTTTTAAATGTTTTTTATTTAAAATAATATTATAATGTAATAATTGTTTTATTTAAGTTTGTTATCACAATCACACATTATAAATGAAAAACTTTTATAACTCATTTTTTATTAAAATTTGTGACATTTGTTTAACCGATTTTTGTAATTGTAATAAATTGTTCGCAATTAAGGCCCAATACAACAAAAAAATCGGTTAAACAAATGTCACAAATTGTAATAAAAAGTGAGTTATAAAAGTTTTTCATTAATAAAATGTTTTTATCTAAAATTCTTTTGTAAAAAATTATTATTTATAAATATCTTAAAATTTTAAGATAAATGGTATTTATTAAATGCAATATTAATACTATAGTAATGTTATTAATAAGTAGTAATAGATATTTTTATATTAATAATATAAATCATACAGAGTTATGATAAATTACTTGACATACATTGTTTTGTATGGCTGTTTGAAAATTATATTAAATATTATTATATAAATAGAATGATTCTATAATATAGATAATGGTTGCAATTTCATACACTAAATCATAAATCAAATATTTTAACTAAATAAGTATTGACAACATTTGCTAGTGTTGTCATCCATTGAGTATTTTATAAATTAATTCAAATTAAATTAGTTTTACATTGATTTTATAAAATATTTCGATAATATACAGTATGTAAACGTATAAAGTGTACAGTTTACCTTGGTGCAACAATTTTATACAATAGATGTCTATCTAAAGCAAGTCTATGCAAATACCATGATATCATAGTATTGTGTAAATGCATATGTAGTCTATGAATAGCGTAAAAACACATATTTTCAACTATTTATTTTTTAATCAAATCTAATATTATAATTTACATTTTTTATTTAAAAAGTGTTATTACTATAAATAAATAAAATATAAATAAAAAAATGTAAATTATAATATTAGATTGGATAAAATTGTTGCACCAAGGTAAACTGTACACTTTATACGTTTACATACTGTATTGTAGTAAAAAGTTTTAAGTATATTTTAATTACATATTTGATACTAAAAATATAATAACAATAAATTATATAACAAATTATGTTTGTAGAGTCATATAAGGAATTAAAAATCCCGAATAGTGATGGTAGATCAGACCCCCCTGAGTCTCCCCATACCACCCACATAACTGTTCGACCTCCGCAATTCGAGATATTCGACTTTAAAGTGGGTGGTATGGGGAGACTCAGGGGGGGTCTGAGCTATCATCACTATTCGGGATTTTTAATTGCTTATATGACTCTATCAGACAACAAATTAAATGACTATAAAAATAAATGAATGCATACTTTTGGTGCAATGGTTGAAGTCTTTTGTGTTTCCGTTTTAGCCCTCAAATAGTCGGTATCGATGACGTGATTCATAGCCGTCAGTATCTCGAGTCCGTCCAAAACGAGATTATTGTCGAAGTCATGCATTTGGAAGTAATAAAAGTCGAGCTCTTTTTCCGATGTCTTACTGTCCAACTCTATGTGATACATGTCTTTCACATCTTCTTTTATATGCCTTTTAAAACATACAGATATTAGTTAATAGTTATAAAAAACTGTTTATATTTTTTTAGATTAATAACTAACTCGATATTTGGCTGAAAAAAGTCATCGCCATGAGTTACTACCAAATCAAATAATTTAGCAATAATTAAAATTATTGCAAACTTTATATACATTTTATTTAAATTAATTATATAAAATCAATCAATAGATTTTTAAATAAATAGATTTTTATATTTTTAATTAAAACCTAAAAATAAGTACACGACAGCCAACATGTGTTATTTATCATTATTTAACAATAAAGTGATTAATAGCTATTTAATTATGTTTTACTAATAAGTGCTTAATCAATGTATTATGATTTCTGCTATGAGATTATCTATAAAACATTGTTACTGTATTTCGTATTACACGTAATAATTATTTTTTATTCAATTTATAAAATAATAATAATAATACAGTAAAAAATAATTATTTATAAAATTGCAGAAAAGTTACTAATATATTAACTGTTTATTTTTATAATATAAAAATATTTATAGTAAAAGTTTTCTACTAAATTAATTATAATTAAGAAGTATTATTTTTCTTCATCATATATCAATTACAATATTTACTTTAAATATGATGATACTTTTAAAATGCATTTATTTATATTAGTATAGTAAATAAATTTATATAGTTTTAAGTTATTGTTAACAACTTGTAACTAACAAATAACATATTATAAAATTATAAAATAATTATAGTTTAGCGATAAATTGTTAACAATAAATAATTAATATATCTTCTCAATTGTTAACAATTGTTTGTTTTATAATGTTTGGGAAAGAGTGGATAAGTTTTGTCAAATATTAAGGAGGAATTTCAGGGAATTCCTAATTTTCTAAACTCTTAATTAAACATAAATTTTAAGAATTTTTTATACCATTTAAAAATGGCAATAATTTGGTGACCATTTGGTAATTTCAATAACTTAGTAATCATTTACCGTTTTGTTAATGACATGATTTACAATTTGTGACCACATGTGACAATTGATCCCAATTTTAAATTTTTATTTTTCAATTCATTGCTTACCGGTACGTCTTTTTGTCGTTTGATATCAAATTTGTTGTAGTGATAATAGACTCAAAATTTTTGTCAATTTGATAACTTTTATTGACGTTTTAATGATGAAAATATAATTGTTTAAATATTATTAAATAATTTATATGATATTTTATTCGACACATTTACGGTAATAATAATAATATAAAATACATAATATGTATGCGAATATATTGTGTATAAAATAGTATATTTAATTTTACCATAATATTTATAGAAACTATTGTATAAATAAATTATTTGATTTATATATTACGGTAATAATAAACATTTTTATTTAATTTGTAAATATATTGATATTTATGTAAACAAATGCTAATAAAGTATAAATAATTTCAAAATACAAATCCCTTATGAGAAGGACTGTTAAGTTTGTGTTCTTGTTTAAGATCTGGTAGGGCTGTCCTCGTGTGCCAAACTAAGATTTCACTGCAATTGACGGCTTTAGGTTCGAGTTGGTCGACACCAGTGATCAGTTGATGAATGAAAAGTGTTTCCTGATATCCACGACTAGCTTTTAAAGTAAAGTAAGCATTAGGTTTGTCCAAAAGTAACTGTAGATTCACTGCAAAGCCTGACATATCAATTGGAAACTGTCTTTCCTTTTTCCACATTGTATTCCAATGATTAACCTTTCCATTGATAACAATCGGTGTCTCAACAATAAGTCCTCCAACGAGACCCACTGGCCATACAGAGACTCGACGGGTATTTCTCATTTCACTAAAAAGTTTCAAATCATAAGTATTGTCGTCGTCGGCAAAATAGACAACACCTCTGCCATCAATAGATTTGACATTTTCTCGAATCCAATCGATGCCAGCATTTCTTTGGAGAACACCCCGTGGTTTCAGCCAATTTGGATCAGTTTTCTTCATTTGAAACTGTGTTGGTGTGACAACATTTAAATGTGTATATTTCAAGTGACCATATTTTTCAATATCCTCAAGAAATTTGGTCACTCGTTGTGTTTTAAATGGTGAGTCTTCGACTACAATCCAATGAATATTATCGACTAAAAGTAGAGTATTTGATAATCGGATGAGTTCTGCCTTTTGAACCAAACGATCGTAAGTAGGAGTTATGACATATATTGTCGGCACTAATGGTGTCTTCAATGACAACCTGTCGGCCCTTATCTTCAATGTCTTCTCTAATTCATTATTTTCAATACAATCTAATAATCAGATTTAATACAATCAATGAAATATTATATGATATTAGTTATAATCTTAAAAACTTACAAAAATTCAATACAACGGATAAAACGAGTAAAACAATTATAACCAGAATCTGAATAATCAAAAGTTTGGTCCAAATCCTCATTAATTTAATATATTCTTCAGTCTATTATATTTAAAATATTAATATTATTGTTAATAACCATTAAATAGACTATATTTGTATTCAGATGAAAGAGATGGCAGTAATCGTAGTGATGGTAATCAGTCAGTGCTATAACACTGGAACCGGTTCTTCAAGAAGTCTATATATATTTGACAGTACTATACGTTACTATACCTACACTACTGTATACACAATGAGTGGATCATACTATCCATTGAGTACTACTCACTCACTCATTCACTCATATATAGTGTCACTAATCAAGTAGTACTGTATTGTTGTTAAACAGCAATTGCTATATAGTATATACAGTGTGTATGTAATACTATGTACTGTATGTTACAGTATGTATGTATGAATAGTGCAATAGTTTAGGCAACAGTTGTATTGCATGTATAGTTGTAGTCAGTATTGCTAGCATTGAGACCATTGAGACCATTGAGAGGGCCATTGGCTTCACTGCCTATCAAAGTGTTTGTTGTCTTGAGTTGTGTTGACTCTTGTGTTGTCTTATGTTTGACTAACCATTAATTGATTGAATATATTATGATTGTTATGTAAGTCATTATATGGGTCTTATGGTGATCAGAGGACACGTTGCAATCAATGATGGGATCAAATTGTAGATCAATCACACCATTCATGTGTCACCCGTTGGTTACCTGGGTATGTATAACAACATTATAACCCATAATACAACTGTCATCTACAGTATAATACCTGTGCTAACAATAGCCAGTGTTTTGTTGTCACACTTGTCCTCTCATTTTCCTTGTATTGCAATCATTGTATTAGACATTGCATTCAATATCATTGTATAGCATATTAATATCAATTTAATTATTGCAAACATTTTAGTTTTATTATAAATTAATATCTTTTTAGTCAATTGAATACAATGTAATGTATTTTATACATAATATATATAAAATAAAAATATCACATAATTATAGTATTATATTGTATGATACTTTTGAATAAATAATTAGCTAATAATAATAATATTAAAATAATTGTTGATTATTAATATATATATATATATATATATATTTTTCGATTAATTAAAACTTAATGTCATTATAATCATTCATTAAAAACCTATATCTGTTTTTATATATAATTTGTGACAAATAATCAAATATGAATAAAAATTAAATTAAATGATACTTTAATTTTTGTATTAAACTTAATTAACTTGTATTAAATAAGTAACATTAAAAAGTAATTTTACAATCCTAAAGATATATTATCAATTGGTTTACCACTAATTATTATTGTCAAAAACAACAAAAATTGAATTGTTTAATACATTATGTATTTATATGATACTTATTGTAAGTTATAATACAGTATAACGTATAATATGATTGGGTGTTTAATTTTGTGGTGTATGTTGTCATTCAAATTAATGATTGATTATTTTCCTTAATTAATATAAATTAAGTGTATTGTATTGTTTATTTAAATATAGCTTATTATTTAAATGATTATAATAAATCTTGAAAACAAATTTAACTTTATTTTTAAATTAACTAAAACTATAATTGTATATAATTTAAAAATCTATTAAAATCAGATGGTGGTATCTCTTAATTTCTCAATTGAATATTAACAATAAATTTAGCATTCATTTTATTTAATATTTATTTTTTAAAACTACAGTATAGTATAATTTTATGAGAATTAATTAATTTTTTATATTTTGAATTTTAATTAAAATATGACATGATTTTAAAGCATTTTGATATATATAAATAATTAATAAATTACTGGATATAATTTTAGCAAAATATTAGTTTATGAAAATATAATATAAATTTTGACTGACAATAAAACTTAGAATAAATGATAATTCAGTGATTTGACACAATTACATATTACTAAACATTTGTAACAATTAATTTATTATAAATTAATCTTTATAACTGTTTTGAAATTATATCTAAATTATTAATTTGATGTATATATATATAATTTTTTATTTTGATCAATTATATTTTTAAAGTAATTTCATTTTAGTTTTACTATAAGTTATARAGTTATTTAAATGTTATAAATTTGCAATTATTCAATATCAATGTGATTTAATATACTACAATCAAATGAATTTTAAAAAAATATTATATAATAAATTGTTTTTGTTAATTATTCATCACTCACTATAATGGTTTACAAATATTGCAGAAATTATATTATAGGGGTAGGGCTAATACAAAATTGTTTTAATAGTTTAATTCAAATCAAATATTAAAAAACAAATCACCTGACAATACAAAATAATTTTAGTTTAAGATTATTTGAGCATTATTTTCAAAAATATACTGTTTTTTAATATTTATATATAGTTTTGATCCAATTCACAGCAAATTACTGTATATTTATATTTGTTGGTTTAATAACGTGTCCGCATTTTAAATATATGTTTATCATTTTAATTAACAATTTATCGTTTATTTGTTAACATTAAACACAATGACCTAATCTCCAATTGTCTGCTAAATTGGTTAACTGAAAAGATTACATTTTTTCATTTATCAATAATTATTATATTTAGATATAAATGTTATACCAATGCTAAAAGGTTTTGTTTTATAAATTAAGTTTGTTTTGTTAATATAAATTGCATTAATTTATACAGACTTTAATAATATTTATGGCACAATAAATTGTAGTTTTTATCAAAAGTTAATATATGTTGAAAACATTTTTTTTGCTTTAGTATTAGAGATGTATTTTAAAAAGAGTCAATTATACGATATTATTAAAAATAAATGAAGTATAAATTATTAACTTGTAATATAAATAAAATACAAATAATTAGTATGGTTTTTGTTGGGTTAGTATTTTTCAAATAATTAAACAAATTGTTATTTAAAATATATTTACATTATATATTATATTTATTTTTTAATTACATTTTACTGGTAAATATAAGTGAAGTATCATAAAGTGTAGACAAACGTATAAAAAATGGTTTTACTTCACAGAGTTTGCATTCAATAATCAATTTTTATTTTATTGTATTTGTATTTTATAGTGATCTTCGCTTTCATTGATATTATAACTGATTTGAAAAAAACTATTTCTCTTTTATATAACTCATAAAACTTATACTTAATGTAAAAAGTTCTTTAAACTCTATTTTATTTATAGTATCAAACATTTTGATTAAAACTATGCCACATATTAATGCTATAAAATATTATTATTTACTGTTTTATACAATCACTTATCAGATAATAAATCTACAATTTTAATTTTGGATAATTTTATATAATTTTTATTTATTTAGATTTAATTCAGATTAATTAAATCTATGTGTAATAGACATAAGGGTTTTGGGTACATATAATCTAATCTTATTGTCCATCAATAAGATTGCATTATATTAATGTGTTTTGGATATTAAATTCAAAACAATTATATATATATACAATGGATGTCTCAATGTTTCCGGTGTTTAATTCATTTTCATTCACATATTTAATACTTTTCAATGACTTATTTTATGAATAAACAACAACAGCTTTGTTATAAAAAAAATGTAATGATTTCCCAACTACTGGTTTCTCCGCTTTTTAGTTGTAGACGGCTTTACAGTGACTTTATTTTATTGTTAATTCATATGAAATTAGTTTCTAAGTATCAAATAATTGTCTTTTATATGATATTTCTACGTTTCTCAACATTTTGTTTGCATAAAACTTTTTATACTTAATATTTTATTCAAAAAAAGCTTTGTTTTATATTCATAAAAATAATAATGAAATGAATTGCTTTCTCATAATTTACACAATATTGCTAGTATATACTGTATATATTATACAGCATTAATAGTATAGATTTTATTCAATTTGTATGCAATTTTGAGCTTAAATGACGGTGCGATTTGATGATTCAATTGGCAATAACATACAATTGGCTCTACATTTATATCCATTATTCAGATAATAAACAAACCGTTGCTGTGTTAGCGTTGTGTTGTTTATTTAGCAATTTTATTTTTTTAAATTGTCCTGTAAATTTATTCAATTAATTTTTTAATCTTAAATTAGACCCATGTTGCTCATTTTTTGGACTACGTTTTTATTCATGAATAGTATAGAGTATTATTATTAATTAAGTTTTATCAATTACTATTTTATAAATATAATTTTTGGTAAATTACGTGAAACTATAGCAATACTTTATCCAAAATCGAAACGTCAATAAAAAAATTGTTGGGCGTATGTATGCATGCATTGCATACATATTAATATTATTTGTCTATACAGGTATATACTGTATTAAAGTAAAATTCAATATTTTTTGGCTATAATAATGACCCAACAGCTCAACAACAGCTGCAAAAACCGTGACATTAATGGATAGAATAGACGAGACTTTATTGATTTCTCGCATCAATAATATTCAAATAATAATATAAATATATTGAAAGCAATTGTTTTGTTATTTTTTTTTTTATTCACACGTGATTTGGTTTTTGCATATTTTCCATTAATATAATTATAACAAATACTAAATTTTGTACAAATTTTTTAATATTATATCTATAGTTGATATAGTGATATAATTACTATATCAAACACACACACAATTTGATTGATGATTAACCTTAGAGAATATTTATACAATAAAGCTATCTATGAATCATAGACTATGATATACTTTATTTATTAGTTATAAATACTTTTAATGCTAATACATTTATTTATTAATTTCAAATATTGGTTAATTTTTTAGATTATATTGTAGTTTTAATCTTTTATATAATCAAAATACAGTATATTGTATATTTAATGTAAAATATTTTAATATTGTATCACTTTTTAAGCAATATTTCCATAATTACAGTATTATAAATTAATTTATGTTACATACAATTAGGGTTAGATCAGATTCCCTCCCTCGTCTTATTTTCCATAAGTTCCTTATATTCCCTGTTCCCTGGGAATTCCCTGGGAAGACATTTCCTTGTGGTACCACCTATCGTACCATAACTCACATTACATAATGTTTAATTAAAAACACGTTTGTATAGTAAATGACTACAAAATGTATTTAATATTTTTACTAAATGTTTAATAATATTTGAATCATATTTTGATTGAGTTATTACTAACATACTTGTCCCAATTGAAACACATAGTCATTGAGATTAGGTACTCTATAATGTATGACAAATTATATTTTCCCTTTCTAACGATCAAGGGAGGGAATATAATATATTTTCCATATTTTCCGGGAAAATTGGAGGGATTTTATTTGGAAACTTCCCTCCCTGGGAATCTCAATCTAACCCTACATACAATACTATTTATAATTTTTAACTTTAATATTTGGTATAACTTGTATGTAAGATTGTCCAAACGTTTTATTAAAATTTATATAACATTTCAGATGTATTATATAATAGATAATTAATATTTATAAAATGTGTATATTTTAACATAATTTTAATGCAATATACAAATTAGTAAGCTATAAATCATTATTTTAAATTGCAAAATTTGATACTTCAATAAATCAATATTTATGTTTATCACATTTTATTTGCATATTAAAATTTACACACATTATTATATGAATTACTAATGATTACTTATGTTAATTTAAAATTATAAACTAAATGTCAGAGCTATGAAAAAATGATGAGAAAAACAGTGCGTTTAATAATTTTTATATAATTCAACGATCAAACTCTTACATAATGTTTAATAATTAACTTTTAATTATTTTAATTTACTGATAGTCACAACATATCAATTATATTGTATATACTGTAGTAATTGTTTGAATGTTTGTAGTAAAGTAGAAACTGTATTTTATGATATTTATATTAAAAAATAAATATATAATATATATGTTTAATTATGATATATATAATACAATTTAATTTGTATTTTAATTTTCTTATGATAATTAAGGGATAAATTTAGTCAAATTGTAGTTATTTGGATTATAAATAAATATTATATAGTATTTCATATAAATTGACTATAAGTTGAAGTGCAATGAATTAATAAGTTTTGTTTAATAGTTTGTTTGTCAACTTTTTTAGATTATATGTTCACTAATATTGATGTTTTTATAAAATTTATTATTTTTCTGTTTTTGTATTTAAAACCTCATACTATATGAACCCAATGGTAAAATAATACACAGACAATGAATGTACATATAATTAAATAATAAATACTAAGTTAATAATAGTTTTATGAACTTTATTTCTATTAAATATAAAGATTTCATAACCAAATAAACTAATATATTCTCAATTTTATTCACGTTTTGTGTTTTATACCCCCAAAAACAGGTCAATTCATTACAAAAAGAAAAATGCACTCAAAAAGAGATCAAAGATTATTCAGGACTCAGTTCTGGCGCTTTGTTTACCAATGTTTGGCTGCAAATGTAAGACTTGTTTTGTTATATATTTTACACATTTTTTTATTATACATCTTCTAAATTATTATTAATTATAAAATTACTTATACTTATATATGCACTTTAATTAATAATTGCAAATTCAATTATTTTAAATATTTAACATTTTCCCTCAGAAAAGAATTTTATATATAGTATAATAAATAATAAAAGTGTCATTTGATAAATACATTTAATTATTTGATTACATTTTATGATAAAATAGAGATTCAGAGCCTTCATATCAATTTGTGGCCAACAATAATGATCGGACATCTCGACTAAAAAATTTAAATGCATTATTGAATAATATTCGGAAGTTTTATGAAACAGTTTTGGACCAAACAATTGTATTAAGATATCCTGATATCATTAAAATAGCTCAAAATCCGAGCGATGAGTCGTCCATTTGTGAGGAAATGTTTATAATTTTGTTACTAATGCTCGGGTGTGCCGTTCAATGTGAACGCAAAGAGCACTTTATAGATGCCATCAAACAATTAGATATTTCAGTTCAACACTCAATTGTTGAATGTATTCAAAAAATTACTGATAATCCGGAATCAGTTTGGATTAATTCTGAATGGAATGTATTACCAGAAAATGAAGACGAAAAACATCGATTGTATGATCTTTTAGTTCAACACATCTCTGAACTCGTCAAAGAAAGAGATGATTTGTTTAATCGGGTAATTGATTTGCAGCTCGAATTGGACACTATTTATGTGAACGAATCAGTTAAGAGCACCAATAGCTCTGTTTGTATGCCTAGTCTTGATATAAGTAATAGTGTGAGTGACCAGAAGTCGCATGTTTTAGTTGAGTTGGCAGAAGTCAAGTCTAAGTTAAGACGAGTTCAACAAGAATTGGAAGAGAAGAACGAAATTGTTTCGGAACTCAAAGAAATTGTCGAACAAAGCAAAGAGTCGTGTAATAAATTGAAAGACGAAAATCTAGAGCTCATACAAGAAGCCCGATCTGCCAAAACATATAGGGATGAGATCGATGTCCTCAATGAAAAAGTTGGTAAAGTTGACAGATTGGAGAATGAAGTGCAGAGATATAAAGACAAATTAAATGAATTAGATTTTTATAAATCAAGAGTTGAAGAGTTAAGAGAAGATAATCGCATTTTAAGTGAGACTAAAGTGATGCTCGAAGAACAACTGGAAACGAGTCGCAAACGAGCGGATCAATTGCCTGAACTCGAGTCACAAATACTTAAATTAAGTTCTTATTCTAATGAAATGGTTATTCAAAAAGATTTGGATAGAAATAAAATGGAGAGATATATTGAAGAAATCACTCAATTAAGGTTTGAAAAGAAGTCCAGCGCTGAAGAGTTATCTAGAGTTCAGTCAGAGTTGGCTCATCTCAAGTGTCAAATGAAGATAGATTTGTTACAACAGAATGGTGAGGGAAACCTATTGGATCAGATCAATAACGACGCCTCAAAAAGGGTTCTTAACCTTGAATTAGAAAATCAAAGGTTACAATCATTAGTGGAAAACATTAAAAACAATCAAAAATGTGATACAAATGACTCTTTCCTCAATTATAACAATATTAATCACACAAATGGCAGCAATAGTGTTACAAGTGATGATGGCTTTATAAGTGACAATCAATTGATGGAAAAAATAGCAGAACTTGAAGACGAAAATAAGAAATTTGACGATAAAAATAAGAGTCTTGAAAACGAAAATAAGAAACTTGAGGATCAAAATAAAAAACTTAAAGACGATTATGTGATACTTGAAGAAGAAAACAAAAAAATAAAAGACGATAACAAAAAATTTGATGATAAAAATAAATCATTGAATGAAGAGCACAATAGGTTGCAAACGGAATATAAAATGTTACAAAATATTTATAAAAAGCTAAGAACTGATTACAATGATCTTAAATTGAGACACACAGACCTTCAGGGAGAAACTCAAGAATGTAGAGACAGAATGACACTCTTGGATGTGGAGGTCTCCAAACTGGCCAACTATTGTGAAATTGTTGCCCTCACTAACAACTCAATTGAATCTCATCGCAAACGATTGATCAATAATATTGCTAACCTATTAACACAATACCATGACTTACTTACAGAAATTAGTGGTGACTCTGAAAAATTGATTACAGATAAAGTACATGACTTGAGCACCAAAAAGAAAAAGTTGGATAAAATGATCAAAGAGTATGATTTAACTCTTGAGAAGAAAAAAGTGGCCGTTAGTAGTCATAACGTTGTCCGCCGTATTCATAGGTCATCCACTGAACTATGTTTGTCGAGTAATACAAATCTTGCTCTTAGAGAGCAATCTAGAGATCGTAAATCAGCACCAATTGATAATTTGATTGATGAGGCCATATATGGCCGCATATGGGAAGCACAGACACCGCCAATAGCTTCAAAATCTGCTTTACGTCCGATAACATCCACCAGTAATTCATTATATGAAACACACAATGGAAAGCCTTTAGAAAATGTAAAACAAATGGTCAACGAAGCTCTCAATCAGGTTTGCATTTTTTACTGTAATTTATATAATTTTATATTTTTCAATTTTAATAAATATGTTAATTATTTATTGTAGATAAAGGAAGAGATTGTAAAATCTGATAATACATTGTGTCCAACACCTCCTCCTCGGCCACCGCCACGCGTGTCGACAACTATTGAAAATAAAATTCAGTTAAGTGTCATAACTAGTCCAACACTGACGCAATCGAGTGCAAGTCCTCCCGATTTGAGCGCTACAACTGCCTCTAATTGTCATTCATTTAATAACTTCACGAGAGGTACTTTTAAAAGCAATTCAATTAATTATGGAAGTCCTATACGACGACAACAGTTACCATTCAAGAACGGTGTTCATCATATCCATCATTTTCATCACTTGCATCCACACTCAGCTTCACCATCACTTAACTCGGACTCATCATTGACTCCGTTAGAAGACTCTGAGCTAAGTGACAGTGCAGTTAATAATCAGAGATCTCAACACTTAAATAATTGCGATAACGTTACTATTAATAGTAATGCAACCAATTCTGTGTGGTATGAATATGGATGTGTCTGATCAGTGATCACTCATCACTTTGTAATCTTTTATGCAAATACCATAAAATTTTAACACTATCTCAACAAAACTAATATTACACTGTTATTTGGTCTCATATTTAATTCTAAATATAATTTTATGTAAATATATATTTTTAATATAAAATGTATTATATACGGTAAATAATTTATATTTAAACTATGCAATTGAATATTATTAATGGCAAACGTTGGTGATTAGTCCAATTACCGGTATTTTATGGATTTATTAAAACAATTAATATATATTATAAGAAAAGATATTTTGTTGCTTAATATAAATAAAATATAGTTATTAATAACTTCCGTCCATAAATTTTATAAAAATCACTGCCAAATAAACCATTCAGTAAATATGATATTTTAGTTAATATTTAATATATACTGTAGATGTATAATAATAAATATATATTTTATTTAAAAATAATCATTAAATAGTTTATTTAATACAATAAATGTGTTAATTTAATTTTTGAACTTATATAATCTTAAAGATAGCAAACAGCGTATAATTGCTTACAATGTTTATCGATAACATAATATCAATATTGAATTATCATTTCTAAGTAAAGAAAATTTATGCAAAACACCATTTATATAATAGTGACTTAAAATAAATATCTGTTATATTAATAAATAATAAATTTTAATAGTATTATTTAATATTACTTATATTTTAATATTTCATAAAAGATACCATTATCTGTGATTTGTTGATAAAATTTTAACCTGAAGTTCTGCTTTTTTTTATAAATTTCAACATAAATTAATATTTTTAATTGAGTTTATTTTGAAAATAAGGATTATTTCAATGTAATATATATAAGTGCCTTATATACTGTACATTATAAACATAAAATTATTTAATATTTAAAAATAAAATAATTATTAAATGAATTTAATAATAATGTACACTTATTATTATATTATTAAAATTATAAAATAATAATTAACAACATTTTAACAATTATTTAATAAAATATTAGATATATTTATATATATGTAAAATGAATGAAAAATTAGTTTAATTTGAACAATTCATATACTTTAAGATCAATGCTTAACTGCTTAACAATTCTTAATATAACAAAATTCTTTCATATATTTTATAGTAATATTGGTTTTTATAATCGATTATAACTTGTTATGAGAAGTTTAATAATAATAAAATTAGAAATACTGTATATAAATGTTTATAATTTAATTAATATATTAACTGTAATAAGATATAGTTATTGGTTATTGTTTATAAGAAAAATGTGATTAAACTATTGATAAATCATTGCTTGACATTATATTGTTAAAGATTAACAAAACAAAACAAGTTTATTATTTGGTTAAACATTGAATAGTTGTAAGCGATTGATAGCAAAGATGGCAATCAGGTTTCGATGGAAAGGATTTGATTACCTAATGTTGTTTGAGTCAAGAAGTGGACAATCGATGCAACCATTAATCAATAGTCGTTAGTTTGGACCCAAAAATGTTATCGAAAAAGATTATAATTGAGGCGAACAAGGATTTGCAAAATAATTGATCAGTAAAACCGTTTTTGTGCGGGTTTTCAATGCATAAACAGACGGATTAAGTTTATGCGAGACATAATGTCAGTGCAAATCCAATCAATTAAATCAATTTGAAAGCTCTGACCATCACATGACTCATGAGTTATACAATTCAAGATTCAATGAGTACATGCCATCGACACACCTGTTCTCCCTTACTGTCTCTCATGTCATTCCAATGGGACAACTCTTCATCACCACTGCTATTATATCCCAATGCAAACCAACCGATCATATCCTTTCTATTCATACTTTTTTTGTTGTAAACAGATATCATTAGTGTTACATCTGGTAACTGAAACAATGCTATCTGTAAATAGTGTGTCAATCATCAAAATGTTACAATCAGTTAGTTATTAGTTATTGTTATATAATATATGTTATAGTTATTAATATACAGTAAATTATATTAATATAAATAATATTATTATAATATGAGTAAAAAATTACCTGAAATGTAAACGACTCTTTGAACAGTGGATTTGGTTGACCTCTTCTAACACTTGTTTTACTTCTTGCAATTTCCTGACCACTGGACGAAACCAGTGATAGTTTGACATAAGTGTCCGGCGCTCTACTCATTGTTATATTTCTAAATTGACTTCCTATGATATTTGTATTTAAATTGTAATTAATATTAAATAGTAATTAAATGTATAATTTAAATAAAGTATACCTTTAATGACAGATACACTGAGTCTACCCGTAGTCCCATTATATGCCAGTCCTAACAACAGTTCCGGAAGGCTTGTACTTTGCATGGATTGCGCCGAACCCGTGCTATCACTTCGGGTTATACTCGACACTTCAGATCGTGAATCGGACTAAAATTTTTGTAAATTTATAAGATTTTTATATACAATATATATTAATTTTTATAGTTATAAACATTTGTACTTTATAAATATTTTTGAAATAATATTATTGATAGTTCATAAACAATTTTATAATTAATAAAAAATTATGTATAATTATATTTATGTATAAATTTAGAGTACAAATAGTATTGTTCATAAATAAAATAAATAATCCAAATATGTGTATAATTTCAATTAATATAACATACGGCAAGATTAGATCGCGGCTCAAGTGATAACCACAATCGGGTTTCCTGTTGTTGGGGTTTTGCAGATGAAAATGCAATAATACTTTCACCTGTAATTAGTTATTTAAACGTAACGTTAATTAAATTATAAGTAAAAATTAAAATAACAATAAATTTGTTAAATATGTATTACTGTAGATACCTATCATTTGTTCTCTTCTTGCAAATGCAGTCCCATAAACCCTAAATCTGATGGCTAATCCCAAGACATCTTCGGGATTAATGCGACTGAAGACAAACGTTTCATTAAAGTCAAGATTGCCATTGGATTTAATTTTAGTTTTATGTTTGTATCGCTTTTGTGGTAATAAGACGAGTCGTACATATATTTGATTGGCTCCTCCGCGGTCTTTGGAAGGGATGTCTGTGCCCTCAAAGACAGAGATAATCAACTTCTTTGTTGGCGCGTCGTAGGCAAAGCTTACTTCCAAAGAACCGCATTTTGTTATTGAATGTTCAGTTTGTGAAAAGTCTTGAGATATGGACGACTGAGCGTCTGATTCGCACTTTTCAAATGCTGTATTGAATTGTGATTTTAAGTGATCCCTGTATTTGATTGGACTCGAGGTTTCAATTTTAGTTGATTTACTTTTATTGATTTGAAATGAATTTTGTGATCGTCTTAACTCATAATCATTGTCACCACTCCCGGCTTCACTCGATCCCGAACCCGATCCTTCACTTGAATTAGTTTTACCGATACGTCCCTTCTCTGCCAATGATATTAAATCTTTGGAAGTCCTTCCGTGACTCACTCTTCTCTCTACATTTGTCTCAGATTTTACTTCTTTTTCAATTAAAGGTTTGCTTTGGTTTTCAATTCTTTTGTTGTCTTCATCTAATGTTTTATAGCTTTTGTGTCTATTTTTTAATTCTTGTTTTAGTTGATTATTGTGAGAGAGACTGATTTGTCTATTAAATTGATTACTCGTAGATCTCTTCAATCTCTGCAATAGTTCGTCTTCACTATCGGATGAAGAGTCGAGTTCGTCATCATATGAAAAGGCGTTCACTTTTTTGGTATATTAAACAAACAATTATATTATTAATACATTACATACATATATAATACAATTATAATTACATATAATTAACATTTATTTAGATTTTTATACCTAAATCTTTTGATGCTTTATCCTTTGTAATGTCTAATGGTTTATCACAACAGGGAAAGCCTCCAATTGTATTGAAGCAAAAYTTTTTAGTTAAGTATAGATAAAATATGAACAAACAGGTCATACAAACGGCTACCAGTCCTAAGAAAGCACTCGCTTCGGTCGGAACTGTCAATCATATGATTAAATTTATATTAATTTAATTTTTTATTTTTATTAATATCATTATATAATAAGAATATATATATATATATATATATATTAATATTCTATCAAAAAATATGCAGTTTTTTAATTAATGCTATATACAATAAATTAGTATATTATAATTATAAATGTTTGCTTAATAATGAAATATCTTAAAACTTGTTGGTAAAATAATAAAATGCATAGATAATAATTTTTTATTATTGTTTTACAATATTTGGTTAATTTAAATAAATGTTGTCAAACATGTCATAACATAATAAACATGTTTCACGTAAATTCTTATCGATTTATTTGTATTAGACGTTAATCAAGCAAAACAACAAATTAATAAACCATAAAATTATTAAATTTTTTACGTTTAATTGGTTTATTTATTTTGCATTTTATTAAAAATAGCATAAAAATAGATATAACTAATAGAATATAACTAAATGTTACAAAACAGTAATATTGTATTAAACAATAATTGATTTGATTATATGAATAGATATGATATGTTGAAAATTAATATCAATGTAAATAAATGCGTAAATATATATCGTTTAAAAATTATATATATATATACAGACCTGATAGCATTGTTGCTGCAAATCAACAAAAAATATATTCACTAAAATAATAATTGAAAGACAACTATCAATTGAATTACATATTAACAAATTGATGGTCAAATTCACGGCATTTTGCAGCCGAAAGCAGGCTTTAGTGTAAAACTGGTAAATGTATGGCAATGTATGTGTTGAGAGCTCAGTCTCACCATTTGCAAGACATACATAAGCCTTATCTAAACAAATGAATGCCTCAAATACTCAAACATTACATTTTATCAAATTGTATAACGCATTGCATCCAACTTTCCTCAGACTAGTCTTTTCAACCAATATATACACAATATATACACAATATATATACAACATCTATACATCTATCCATTAGAAGGTATACACTCTATCATAAATACTATAATATTATATCATATATTCTAAATGTGTAAATCTAGGCAACCATCGATTCATAACACACACACACACACAATACATATGAAAAAAGGGAAAGAGATAGCGAGTTTTGTTATACAATTATCCAGATATTAGTGTTTTTATGGTTTATTTTATTTTATTCAATTATATAAAAGTTATAAAAAATTATGTTTACCAAAAAATTCGTAAATTGCTATTAAATAAAATATATTTTATCATTTTAATGTAACCAATTTTTATTAAATGTAATTTTGTTAAATATTTTTTCTTTTAAAAAATTATTTTTTTATAACTGTTATTACTAAAAATTGTATAATTTTTAAACACCAGTAAAAAAATTAAATTAAATATTTTTGAAATTTGACATTAATTAAAAATAAAGTATTAATATTAAGAAATTAACTTTGATTTTATTAATAATATTCAAAATATAATATAAAACATTTTGAACATCAAATTAACATTTGAAATGTTTTCTTCATTCATACAATGTTGAAACTATCAGTTAACATATCAAATGGTAAACCACTTATAAGTTATAATACAAAAGTGTCAAAATTTGTCAAATAAAATGTCAATTGCTTTCAATTGAAACAAGTTTTCAAATAACATTAATACTGTTGATTGAAGTCACAACTGTTCCCAACAAACATATTGAACTAATTTATCCTAAAAATGTTATTCAAAGTCAAAATTTGAGAATTTTACTATTAATTATCTAATTGATCAAACATTAGTGTTTAATAATATTTTTGATTAAAATTTATTTATTAATATTATAAAATCATCATTTATTACAATAAGATATTCATAGAAATGCTAAAGTAGTCGACAATTACTAGTACTTATAAAATAATTATTTATGAATTAATATTATAAATTAAATTTAGTTTTCCTATAGTTTATAATTGAATACAACATCTTAAGCATGAGTTTTAGTTATTAAATATATTAATATACTTCAAAATACCTAAAGTTTATAACATAATAACATAAAGTAATATAATAGTTACCTATAGTACCTAACATTATATACAATAATTGTAGTATTAATATTAAATTGTATTATATAATATACACTATAGTACAGTATTAATAACATGTATAATACTGTATAATTAAAATGCATTATTAATACTGTATAATAAAAGTGATAGCATTTCGGTTAACACAACTGTCGAGTGATGGCATTACTCATTAACTTTGGTTATAATTAAAAATAGAATTATAGTTTACTTAAAAATGGCTAATAGTTTTATGTAATTATTAAATTAAATATAAGATTTTAATTATTTTTATCATTATTTATTAGAATTAAATAACAGTATGTGTAACAATTATCTAAAAATAAATATATTTCTGATAATTTTCGTTCAAATTTTAAGCTTAAATGATAGAATAATAAATTATCAAATATTTAAAGAAGTTGAATAATTTATATTTTTATAAAAATTAATATATTACAAATAATAAAAAATAAGATTGAAACATGTATATGCTATATGTTTATGTTTCAATCTTATTTTTTATTTATTAAATAAAATAGTAAATTGTAAATATAATTATWAAAAATATTAACAAATAATAAGTTATTTAAGTGAAATGCAAGCTTTAGTTATAGTAATGATGATAGAGTTGTATGAAAATAGTGCCCAAATATGTTTGTTTCCATTAAAGGACTACACATTGACTGCAATGTTGACAATCATAACGCCTATGCATTGAATGCATTGAATATACATTCTATAGGAACGCCTAATACATAGTCAGCCCACACAACAACACAACACTAAAACACATAACAAACACAACAAAACTTAAGTCAAGCAAACAGTTTGTGTCAATCTTAAGCATCGGTGACCTGATTAGCCATTTGTGTGAAGAAGTTGATTGAAGAGTGCAGTTGTCGACCATCTGTTACTTAATAAGTGTTGAATGAGTTGATCCCAACAAACAAATATGATATCCGACGGCTATTTGGTAGGAGATGGTTCGTGGCAGCTCAAGATATATGTTACTGATCTTAAAGTGGACAGAATTCTTAGGGTTAAAGGAGATCTACATATCGGCGGAGTTATGCTTAAACTGGTCGAAGAACTTGGTATTTGTCACCACTTTATCATCAAAACTATAACAATATTGACTGATATTTATTACTTTCTGATATTAATGTTTAACAGATGTGGCCATTGATTGGTCAGATCATGCGTTATGGTGGCCATCGAAGAATATTTGGTTAAGTAGGACGCGGACAACACTGGATCAATACGGCGTTCAGGCGGACGCTGTCTTACACTTTACACCAATGCATAAGACATTACGCGTCCAAATGCCTGACTTGCGATATATCGACACTCGAGTGGACTTCTCTATCAAAACATTTACAGCTGTCGTGCAATTGTGTAAAGATTTAGGAATCAGACATCCGGAAGAACTTTCGTTTTCAAGACCTTTGGTTACGGCACATCTTAAAAGGAATTTCCCGCATATGGGTGTCAGTCCTTTGCAAAGACAGAGAGACGCAATGGGACCGATAGTCCAAACCAATCCAACCACTCCTGTCAGTAATATTGGTACACCTGATGGCAAATCAAGTCCTCTTTTTATTGATGATAAGTTAAGTCCTCTTCGTAATGGCAATGGAGTGGTGACTAACGGCAACGGAACAATACATACCCCTTACCACTCCTCCGACAGTTTTGCGTATGGAAATGAAACCATATCTCCAGCATTGGCCACAAGTCCTTTAACGCCAACAATAGAAGCAAAAAGCAATCTCTTGAGACCGAAATCACTTGTGGAAAGAGCGCGACTTAATGCCGGTTGGCTCGACTCGTCGTTATCTCTCTATGAACAAGATGTCCGAGAATTTGATTTACTATTATTGAGATATAAGTTCTTTACATTTTATGATATTAATCCAAAAATAGACGGGAATCGGATTAATCAGATCTACTCTCAGGCCAGATGGTCAATACTTACTGAAGATATCGATTGCACTGAAGAGGAAATGATGCTTTTTGCTGCTCTTCAATTTCAAGTCTCTCTTCAAAATAATAATCCATTTCCTGAAAAGCACAACACAAGAGCTGATGATGATATTGATGCCGCATTGGATGAGCTCCAGATATCATTAGAAGGCGCACCAACTGCTATACCATTGGGTAGTGATATAACACATGTACCAGAGTTAGCTGATTATCTTAGACTTATGAAACCTAAAAGATTTACATTAAAAAGTTTTAAGAGATATTATGTAGTATTTAGAGACACTAGACTTTCAGTTTTTAAATCAAGTGAAGATCGAAGTAGTAATGATCCGGCGTTTGTCATCAATATGAAGGGTTGTGAGGTTACACCTGATGTCAATCTTAGTCAAGGAAAATACGGTATTAAACTTGAAGTTCCAAATCATGAAGGAATGCAAGAATATTGGATCAGATGTGAATCGGAACAACAATACGCTCGATGGATGGCCGCCTCACGACTGGCCACTAAAGGCAGAACAATGGCCGACTCTTCATATGACAACGAAGTGAAATCAATTTTGAATTTTTTAAGTCTTCAACATCCGGCACATTCAGCCTACACCACACATGTCAGTGCCCATCAAATTGATAATCCGGAGGACTTAATCGCTCCCAGATTTATTCGGAAGAAAGGAGGCCGACAGGTGACTGTCCTTTCAATGCTTATCATATGTTTTTATATCTAATAAAATATTATGCAATAGTGGGTACAACGCATTTTGGACGCACACACTAATGTCAAAGGACTGACATTAACTGAAGCCAAATTGCATTTTATCAAAGCCTGGCAGGCATTACCTGACTTTGGAATCTCTCTTTTTGTGGTCAAGTTTGCAAACTCTAAAAAAGAGGTATAATTTTGTCATAATTTAAATATTAAAAATATCATTTAGTTTTATTATAACACAATTCAAATCATTCAAAAGCATTACTATCTGACAATTACTTAAATTAATAATAAATTTTGAAATTCATCCAATTTTTGATATAATTTTTTATTAAGGAATTGCTTGGAGTGGCGTTTAATCGGTTGATGCGAATGGATATAAACACAGGCGACCACACAAAAACATGGCGTTTCAATACAATGAAAGCATGGAATGTGAACTGGGAGGTCAAACAAATGTTGGTACAGTTTGAAGAGGAAGACGTTGTCTTTTCCTGTCATAGTGCCGATTGTAAAGTTGTCCACGAATTTATTGGAGGATATATATTCTTATCCATGAGATCTAAAGATCAAAATCAGACACTTAATGAAGAACTCTTCCATAAATTAACGGGCGGTTGGATTTAGAGCTTACCATCAATTAGTTTACTAATCATAGAGATTAATCACGACTAACATTAGTAATGATTAAATATATTTATATACAATGCAATACAATATAATTTTTTTTGTCATTTTAGTGATGAGATGACGGATAAAATTTTATAGTTTGAAATTAACTACTGAGCTATGATTAATATGACTTAAAATTGACAAAATTAAGTGCTTATTTCAGTACATAGTTTATGAAATATTAGTAAATTGTAACAACAATAACAACGATTCAAATAACAAATAATTGATAAACATTTGTGGCCAAAGTTAACAAACAAAAGTTAATAACTGTGCAAATATGTTATAACATATATATTTTATTTTGCAAATTGCAATACTCATTACCGTATTTGAAAAATTGATTTACAGTAATTATTTTACCTTAATGCCTTATTTATATGTTAAACTTGTTAAAAATTAATACTTTATACAAAATTTGATTTATTCTAAGATTAATTAATCAAATTATTAACTAATTTAATATATAAATTTATATACATCTATATAGTACTGTATAATTGTGACAAAATTTTGATAAAATGTTTTGTTTAAATTTAAATGACAAACTGATCTAGCCAATTGAAGTATTGATATGAACTAAATTATAAATTAATTTTAGTCATTTTATTGGTAAATCGCCAATTTTACAAATATTTTAATAACCATTATTTTAGTTTTTAGTTATCTATTATCATGACTTAACACTTGACAAATGACATCATACTTATATATATATAAATATATAATACATAATTGTGCCTTAAATTTCAACACATTTTAAAATTGAATTTTACTTTAATCTGTAAAACATATTTATTGTGAACAACTATTATTAATATAAATATTAATATAATAAAGAAAATAATTTTAACAATAAAAGTATTATTATTTATATAAATATTGCTATTTTTATTACTATCATATAATCTAATGGTTCAATAATGAGGTTATTAACTTATTGTAAAGTTCCTGTCTGTCTAACAGTCAAATCGATTTGTGGCTATATTTTGAAAATATCACCGAAAATAATAACGGATTGCCTGACAATATTATATTAATATTTAGCTATTTATTATATGTATTCAATATTTTCAGCAATTTTCTATAATAAGATAATAATGTATAAGATACAATATCCAATGATATTATCTATAGTGATATTGAATATTATTTTCATTAATAATTTATTACTATTATTAAATATTAATAGAATTATTTTTGAATATTATAATTATTGCAAAATTATAATTATATATAATAAAAGTATTAATTTGGATTAATAATATACTGGTAATAAACATATAAATTTAAGCAATATTGTACTGTATATCTCTAATTATTGTTTTATCATTTCATTTTATTTATATTATATTATATTATATTATATTATATTATATTATATTATATTATATTATATTATATTATATTATATTATATTATATTATATTATATTATATTATATTATATTATATTATATTATATTATATTATATTATATTATATTATATTATATTATATTATATTATATTATATTATATTATATTATATTATATTATATTATATTATATTAATTATATTATATTATATTATATTATATTATATTATATTATATTATATTATATTATATTATATTATATTATATTATATTATATTATATTATATTATATTATTATATTATATTATATTATATTATATTATATTATATTATATTATATTATATTATATTATATTATATTATATTATATTATATTATATTATATTATATTATAAAATTATAGTTTAATTTAGATGAAATAATAATAAGTTTAGTTATAAATCTCAAATCTCAATATTTAGTTTAATTTTTAATATGATAATTTTATTTAGTATTAAGTATTTATAATACTGTATATTATTATTATTTTATAAATTAAATATATAATTTGAATTTTATACCAAATACTTATTTTAATACATTTGAAAGTGCTTTCTATGATAATTAAAAAAATAGTATCACTTATTCTATTCTTTAGTCACTAGAATATAAAAAATACTATAAAAATCTTATTTGCTATAAAATAAATAAATTAAAAAGATTTAGTTTTCATAATATTTTGATAAAATTTTGCTACAATTTGAACACTAGATGTCTAACTTGTAATTGTAATAAAGTTATAAATAATTAAGAATTTATTAAATAAACAATGTATTTGTTTTTAATAATATAAATATAAAGAATAACCTTATTTAGGATAACTTGTTTTTAGTGTAGTGTTTGGTAACAATTATTGTATAAATTATAAGCACATTATTATTAAAATTGAATATAAAAAATCATTTATATATTCTTATGAATAATGATATCATTGTTAAAGTATTGATGAAATCATATTTATTAATATCCTAACCTTTATGCTTTAACCACATAATTATATATTGTATTGTAGTGTCATTCCTATATTTATTTAATTTATACAATAAATACTGTATAAGAATAACTTTATAAACCAATTAATTATTATTTTTTATTTAATATTTATTTTAAAGTTTATTATTATAATACTTTATGATTTTATCAATAAGCGATATATCAATCATTTTACTATTTTTCTTTCTACTATTATTATTTTTCTATTATATTAATTATGTAATTTATATATTTTAATATCTAATATACTATCGTATCAAATATGATATATATCAATTAATAATACAATAAAAAAAATTATATATAAATATAAAATTATAGACAGATTTTTAACAGAGAATATTAATTACAAAATGACTTGTTATTAATTAAATGTCATAACATTGATTCACTTAATTATTTTTATATTAAATAACTACAATATATTAAGTTTTATAAAAACATTGTTTATTGCATTATTTATAAACGAGTTAAAAAATTACAATATATGACATTAATACTAAATATCTTATTATTAATTTTAACATTTAATAAATAGTCTTTAAATTTGATGTAAAGATATACTCATTATATTTAATAAGTTTAGATTGTAGTGGTCTATAGTATAGACTCTATACAACAGTTTAAAACAAGTATAAAAACTTGATTTATAAACATTGTATAAATTTAGGCATATACTGAATGATGACCTTGGTGATTAACAATATCTTTACATTATTTAATAATGTTACTACAAATTGTTATTAAATAAATAAACATAATATCATATAAAATATTTAATATATTAAAAGTTTTTCAATACTCAATTAAGGGACTAATACCGGAAGTTTAATACATTATATTTGGCCAACAATTTTAATAAGTACTTAAAAAAGTCATTGACATTAAAAACATTTTTAAAAAACTTAGTATGTATTGCATATATTTTTAATAGTAGCCAATTAAAAGTTGTGAATAAGTTGCCAAAAACTACTATAAATTATGATATTATCATAAATTGAATGACTGAGAGAAAGTGTAAACAATTGTCATTCAAAATGTTGAATGTGTTTAATAAGGCAATCAATTGGTGGTTCTGTTTATTAACATTAGATTATAACTTATGATATTATATGATAAGCCGGTAATAGTTGTTATATAATGTAATATCAATATAAAGAGCATAACATTTATAAGTGATGGCACCGATAGAGTAGATTAATACAGTATATGGCATATTGTGAACCACACCCATCACTGTATGCTATGTGTGCGCAATGCAGTCAATGCAGGCATGAGATGGGCTTTGCCTACATTACACTCGACATCTCTCTAATACTTGTATTACTGTTTGTAATATTGTTTTATTAGATACGATATGTATGTATGTATGCTATGAGTGAATACAATATTACATACAATTGTTAAGTGAGTTGTTTTGCATTCATTCAATTGACTCGTCAATGACTCACTCAATGCAAACCATTTAATATTTGACTTTAAAAACCAATAGTTTTTCAAATAACTTTAAATTAATGTTTTTATTATATTTGTGATCATAACTGCAATTATTTAATTATATCAAAGGTTTGTCTTATTTTTTAAACAATTATTTTATAAATGATTTTATGTTTGATTTTGATTGAGTTTTGTATTTTAAAAAATGATTTTTGATTTGTTTGACATGAAATGTATGGCTAATAATGTTTAACTTTTCATATAATTATTAACTAATGTTTTCAAATCTATGCAAAACTCTAATGTCATTAAAAGGCATTCAATTATCGATATATTTATTATTGAATGAAATGCTTCAACACATGTCTCATACATTTAATAATCAATTGTTTGACAACAAGTATATTAATATGTCTTTCAATGACTTTTCAGTTAATTTACTTCAAAATCATTGCTTTTCAATAAATTATTACATTATTTTAATTATCATTTTAAATGAGTTAAAACCGTTAGCTTTTAAAAACAGTAATATCGGGTGCGGTTCACACATAATATCATATTTATTAGACATATCAGTGCTCTGATGACAAACTCTTTATTTTTTTAATATAATTTTTTTATTTATATAAATTTATATAAATTAAATCAATTGTATGATTTAGCACTAATCAAACTCATTTGTTGGACATTAGTTTATATTTACTATTATTTTTAATAATAATAAATAATGTATGATTTAGTGATATATAATATCTAAATACATATTTTATAATATCATATACAGTATTATTAGCTGTAATCGATTGCATGACTAGTTTTTATGGTTAATATTGTCACACATTTAATAAATATTTTATTATTTTAAAGACAAATGAATTTAAGTAAAATGAGTTAAATTGATAACATTTTAGTGAATTTGTTTAATTATTTCTAGTAATAATCATAACTTTAATTAGTAGTGAAATGTGTAAAACAAGTCAAGGACTCAATAAAATAGCAGTCAATCTATAAGTTGAATGCAATAGAGTTTTATTAATAGTTTAGTAAAATTAATAAAAATATGTGCAATAATTGTAACAAATTATTGATAATTTTTAACAGAGTTTGAGACGATCTCAGACATGACAACCGATATATCAGTATCGGTGAGATGGGATCCGGTCACCAACCAGGAGATGGAGGATTATGACTATGACGGTGGCAATAGCTCTTCTCGGCTTTTTGAGAGGTCGCGTATCAAAGCACTGGCCGATGAAAGAGAGTCAGTCCAGAAAAAGACATTTTGCAAATGGGTTAATTCACATTTGGTTCGGGCATCCGGTCGAATCACAGACTTATATACGGATCTCAGAGATGGCAAAAATTTGATCAAATTATTAGAAATTCTTTCCGGAGAGAGATTACCGAAAATAACCAAAGGAAAGATGAGAATCCATTGTCTCGAAAATGTAGACAAAGCTCTTCAGTTTCTTTTGCGAGAACAAAGAGTACATCTCGAGAATCTTGGATCACACGATATTGTCGACGGCAATCCACGACTGACTTTAGGTCTTATTTGGACCATTATATTGAGGTTTCAAATTCAAGACATTACCATTGAAGAGGTGGATAATCAAGAAACAAAATCAGCTAAAGACGCACTATTATTGTGGTGTCAAATGAAAACTGCTGGCTATCACAGCGTCAATGTCCGCAATTTCACCAACAGTTGGAAGGATGGGCTGGCGTTTAATGCACTCATTCATAAACATAGACCTGATTTGATTCAATACGACAAACTCTCCAAATCAAATGCCATTCATAACCTCAACAATGCATTTACTGTGGCTGAAGATAAACTAGGATTGGCTCGACTTTTAGATGCCGAAGATGTCTTTACAGACAATCCGGATGAAAAGTCAATTATTACATATGTAGTCACTTATTATCACTATTTCTCTAAGATGAAGGCTGAAACAGTTCAAGGAAGACGTATCGGTAAAGTGGTTGGACAAGCAATGGACAATGATAATATGGTCCACGAATATGAAACATTAACTTCAGATCTACTCAAATGGATTGAAGTCACTATTGATACTCTTTCTGATAGAAATTTTGCCAATTCATTGAATGGAGTTCAGCAACAATTGTCATCTTTTAATAACTACAGAACTGTTGAAAAGCCACCAAAATTTGTTGAAAAAGGAAATCTTGAGATATTATTGTTTACAATTCAAAGCAAAATGAGAGCAAACAACCAAAAGCCTTATCTTCCAAAAGAAGGTAAAATGATTTCCGACATAAACAAAGCGTGGGAACGGTTAGAAAAAGGAGAACATGAAAGAGAATTAGCTCTTAGGGAAGAATTAATAAGACAAGAAAAATTGGAACAATTGGCCGCACGTTTTGATCGCAAGGCAGGTATGAGAGAGACCTGGCTTTCAGAAAATCAACGACTCGTATCTCAAGACAACTTTGGTTTTGATTTGCCGGCTGTCGAGGCGGCGGCAAAGAAACACGAAGCCATTGAAACTGATATTTTTGCGTACGAAGAGAGAGTACAAGCAGTTGTTGCCGTTGCTCTTGAATTGGAGGCTGAGAACTATCACGATATCGATCGTATCAATGCTCGCAAAGATAATGTTCTTAGACTTTGGAATTATTTGTTGGAATTATTGCGAAACAGAAGAACTCGTCTCGAGTTGTCTATGGCTTTACAGCAGTCGTTCCAAGAAATGGTTTATATATTGGATTCAATGGAAGACATCAAAGCTCGGCTACTTTCAGATGATTACGGAAAGCATCTGATGGGTGTCGAGGATCTGTTGCAAAAACATAGTTTAGTTGAGGCGGATATCAATGTTTTGGGTGAAAGAGTTAAGTCAGTCGTTCATAATTTGCAACGTTTTATAACAGAGGAATCAGTCGGTGGTTACAAACCGTGTGATTCGCAAATAGTTGACGACCGCATCAGACAATTAGAAATGGCTTATTCAGAATTAGTTCAATTGGCTATTGATAGAAGAGGTAGACTTGAAGAATCGAGAAAATTACATCAATTCTTTTGGGACATGTCTGAAGAGGAGGCCTGGATTAAGGAGAAGGAACAGATATTGTCTTCCGGAGAGATCGGTCATGACTTAACAACTGTTCACTTATTAATTAGTAAAAATAGAGCTCTTGAAGATGAGTTGGCAGCACATGAACAACAACTTATGAGTGTTGTTAGAGTTGGAGAAGATCTTATAAATGCCGGTCATTTTGGTGCAGAACATATTCAACAACGCATTCAAGAAATTCTTACGATTTGGGATAATCTTAAAGAACTTCAAGCTCTCCGAACAATGCGATTAACTGAAGCTATTGATTTCCATCAGTTTTTTGCCGATGCAGATGATGTGGACGCGTGGATGTTAGACACATTAAGATTGGTGTCCAGTGAAGACGTCGGTGTAGATGAGGCTAACGCACAATCTTTGCTGAAGAAGCACAACGAGAGCTCTGARGAATTGAATAGTTATTCAACAGTTATTGAAGCTCTTAAAGAACAGGCACAAGCATTGGGTGAAGTAAATAGAAACGATCCGGAAGTGTTGGATAGATTGGCTACAATTGAACGAAGATATAAGGAATTACTTGATTTGGGAAAAATCAGAAAACAGAGACTTTTGGATGCAATTTCACTCTACAAACTGTTTAGCGAAGCCGATGGCGTTGAACAATGGATTGCTGAAAAAGAAAAGATGTTGTCGTCTATGGTTATGACAAGAGATATGGAGGATATAGAGGTTATGAAACATAGATTTGAGACTTTTGATCAAGAAATGAATGCCAACGCCTCGAGAGTGGCAGTTGTGAATCAATTGGCGCGACAATTGTTGAATGTCGAGCACCCGAATTCTGAACAGATATTGGCCCGACAGAACCAACTCAACCAGAAATGGTCTGAATTGAGAGATAATTCGGAACAAAAGAGAGAAGAAATTAATTCGGCCCACGGAGTCCAGACTTTCCATATTGAATGTCGCGAAACAATTTCATGGATTGAAGAAAAAACCAAATTATTGCAGGCGACAGAAGAATTGGGCAATGATTTAACTGGAATTATGACTCTTCAGAGAAGACTCAGTGGAATGGAAAGAGATTTAGCAGCTATACAGCAGCAGTTGGATCAAGTGGAAGGGGAAGCAGATAAAATGAAAGTTGAACATCCAGAAGAAGCCGAAGCTATTACAGAAAGAGTGTCTCACATATCACGTGTTTGGGAACAATTAACTCATTTATTGAAAGATAGAGACGCTAAGCTAGAAGAAGCGGGTGATTTGCATCGTTTCCTTAGAGATTTGGACCATTTCCAGGCGTGGTTAACAAAAACCCAAACCGATGTTGCTTCAGAGGACACACCAACGAGTTTATCCGATGCGGAGAAACTTTTGAGTCAACACCAACAGATCCGAGAAGAGATAGATAACTATACTGAAGATTATAACTCAATGATGGAATACGGACACAAAATAACTCACGACCAGACAGATCCGCAATACATGTTTTTGCGCGAACGTCTTAAGGCTCTTAGTGACGGATGGACTGAATTACATAAAATGTGGGAAAACAGACAACAATTGTTATCTCAAAGTTTGAATCTACAGATGTTTTTGCGGGATTCAAAACAAGCAGAAGTGTTACTCAATCAACAAGAGAACTATCTGTCGAAGGATGAGACGCCGACAAACCTCGAACAGGCAGAGAACCTAATCAAAAGACACGAAGCATTCTTGACCACAATGGAGGCAAATGATGATAAAATCAATGGAGTCATTCAATTCGCTCACAGACTTAGTGAAGAACAACATTTCGATTCCGACAAAATTGTTAGAAAAGCTGAAAATATTAACGATAGGCGACAACTGAATCGAGAAAGAGCTCAACAAATGACTGATAAACTTAGAGATGAGCTTCAATTACAACAGTTCTTACAAGACTGTGATGAACTTAATGAATGGATTCAAGAGAAATATATTATAGCACAGGACGAAACATACAGAAGCGCTAAGACAGTGCACAGCAAATGGACGCGTCATCAGGCATTTGAAGCTGAGATTGCATCCAATAAAGATCGTCTCATCCAAGTTCAACAAGAAGGCCAAAACTTGATCCAAAGTAAACCTGAAATGCGATCTTTAGTTGAACCGAAATTATCAGAATTAGAGCAACAATTTGAAGCTTTAGAGCGAACCACTAGTGAAAAGGGTCTTAAATTGTTTGACGCTAACCGTCAAGTTCTTTATGAACAAACTTGTGATGATATCGACACCTGGATTACCGAATTAGAGAGTCAAGTATTGACATCAGAGACCGGACAAGACTTAACAAGTGTTAAATTGATTCTTGAAAAACAACAACTTATTGAAACACAAATGGCTGTTAAAGCCCGACAAGTGAATGATTTGGAATCACAGGTCGAGTACTTGGAAAAGATTGAACCGCAAAAAACAGATGAAATTAAAGCCAAAAAGGCGTACGTAGAGGATAGGTTCCAACGATTACAGGCACCACTTCTTGAGAGGAAGCAACAGCTCTTAAAGAAAAAGGAAGCGTATCAATTCAGACGAGATGTTGAGGACGAAAAAATGTGGATTCAAGAGAAAATGCCTTTGGCTACCAGTCCTGACTATGGAAACAGTTTGTTTAACGTCCAAATGCTTATTAAGAAAAATCAATCGCTAAGAACTGAAATCGATAATCACGAACCAAGAATTCTGAATATTTGTGAAAATGGAAGAAAACTTATAGATGAAGAACATGAAGATTCTTCTGAATTCGAACGACTTATCAATGAATTGATAACAATGTGGGAACAACTTAAAGATAAAATGGATAATAGAAAACAAAAACTTTTGGAATCAGAAAGAGCACAACAGTACTACTTTGACGCTTCTGAAGCTGAATCGTGGATGAGTGAACAGGAACTCTATATGATGGTTGAGGACAGAGGAAAGGATGAATTCAGTGGTCAAAATGTTATGAAAAAACATGAGTCACTTGAGAATGCTGTTGAAGATTATGCAGAGACTATAAGACAATTAGGGGAAACAGCTAAAGAACTTATTAAAGAAGAACATCCACAAAGGTTTGCTTATAATTGTTTATACAATAGTTAACTAATATTTATTATAAATATTGTTTTTACGTTTATAGTGATGCTATTGCTATACGACAATCACAAGTCGATAAACTTTATGCCGGTCTTAAAGATTTATCACTTGAAAGACGAGCTAAATTGGAAGAGGCGTTGAAATTGTTTTCATTGAATCGAGAGTTTGATGATATATTGCAATGGATTGCTGAACGTGAAGTAGTGGCCGGATCTCATGAATTAGGACAAGACTTCGATCAGGTGACTGTTCTTAGAGAACGATTCAAGTCATTTGCAAAGGACACAGAATTAATTGGAAATGAAAGAGTGACCGTATTTAATGAAAACGCCGACCAATTAATCAATAGCGGTCACGCAGATAGCGCTCAAATTGCCGAATGGAAAGACAATTTGAATGAGGCGTGGGCTGACCTGTTGGAACTGATTGACACTCGCACTCAGATGTTAACGGCTTCGTGGGAATTGCATAAATACTTTCACGATTGCAAAGATGTTTTCGGGCGCATTGTTGAGAAACAGAACTCAATGTCCGACGAGTTGGGTCGGGACGCAGTGTCGGTCTCGAGTTTACTTCGAAAACAAGCAAACTTTGAACACGACTTACAAACTTTAGAAACTGCTGTTCAACAGATTCGAGACGAGTCGGCAAAACTTCAATCGGCTTACGCCGGCGATAGAGCGCGTGATATAGTGAGCCGAGAGGCAGAAGTAGTGAATGCATGGCAACGACTTCTTGCTCTTTGTCAGAATCGTCGCGTCAAACTTGAAGATACCGGTGATCTCTACCGTTTCTTAAATATGGTCAGAGACTTAATTCTTTGGATGGATGACGTCGTTCGTCAAATGAATACATCTGAAAAACCTCGGGATGTTTCCGGTGTCGAACTATTGATGAACAATCATCAGAGCCTTAAAGCAGAAATTGATGCCCGAGAAGACAATTTTGCGACGTGTGTTGGTTTGGGTAAAGAACTTTTGGCTCGAAGTCATTACGCGTCTAATGAGATAAAAGAGAAACTTCTTGGTTTGACTAACCAAAGATCAGCTCTAATGAATCGATGGGAAGAAAGATGGGAACATTTGCAGCTTATTCTTGAAGTCTATCAATTTGCGAGAGACGCAGCTGTGGCTGAGGCATGGCTTGTGGCACAGGACCCATATCTTTTAAGTCAAGAGTTAGGAGTAAGTGTTGTCAAACAATATTTTTGTAATTTTTAATAACATTATTATTATAGCATACCATCGACGAAGTGGATCAGCTTATCAAGAAACACGAGGCCTTTGAAAAGTCTGCGTCAGCTCAAGAGGAAAGGTTCGCTGCACTCGAACGGCTCACTACGGTATGTCTTACTGTCATTGTTTTGCTAAGACTTTTCAAACATATAATATCTACAATTGTGATGACTTATTGAGAGTTTGGTAACAAATATATGGTGTTTTTGGTGACCAATTCTTGTATTCTTATGTATAAAAGCTTGAGTTAAAAGAACAGGAAAATGATTTGATAGACGAATGTGATCGAAGAAGAGCTTATGATGAACTCGACGATCATATGCGAAGATCTGGATATTACGATTCGGTGAAACTTTTCATACCATTTCGATATTGCAGTTGTTTTTTGCTGTCGATGTATTAATTCAATAACATATTAATGTTAACAATTAAACGCTCATTAGGTGTGGCCAACAATTCACTAATAGCCGACATTTCTTTTAATTGTTACGGAAAACGTTGCTTATAATGATAATAATAGTAATTATTATTAATTACAGTAATAATTTTGTTGTTATAATGTTGAATATGATATATTAATATTGGTTTGAATTTTTAATTTACTGAAACTAAGATAAGAAAAATGCATTGGATTTTCATTTATTTCCCATTTGTAATGATTTGCCATCAAATTAGACTATTGTGTGTGACTTTCAATTAATGAATATATAATTATTGATATATTTATTAATTTCAATGAATTGAAACTATTATTTGTGTTTTTAACGGTCACACAGAACTATGGCATGAAAATATTAAATGTTTTTTAATATTTAATTTAAAATATTTTTTTTAATATAAGATATTAATGAAAAATTATTTAACGACAGTTTGAACTAAAAGAATACAAGAAACAAGAGGAAGAAGCGGCGGAAAGGCGACGACAGGACGAGACAACCAAATTAAGACCACAAAAGTCCATTTCACCCGAAGAACAACAATATGATAGGTTTGTCACATCTAATTAGGTTTGTCTTCAATTTCAAATCATTATTGAAAATATTGTTTTATTTGAAACAGAGCTGACAGTGCAGATGCAGGTGTTGATAGTGAACCACAAATCGAGGAGAGAATTGAAAGTAAGTTTCAAATGAATTATTATTTTTATTAACTTAAATAAGAACTATTAAATCGGTACTACTATTTGAATATTTAGTTAAATTGGGTTATGATTTATTGTAGCATTAATTTTGTTATTTTATTTATTAACAAACTTTTCTTTAATTTCAAAATATCTAAAACTAAACAAAATTGCATGAAATGCATGTTTAATACATAATGGCATGAATGGTATGTTTAGAGATTGTATTGACTCAAACACCTAAAACTCCGACCCTATCGTCGGTGTCTGAAATAACAGTCACTCCTACGCCTTCTCCATCTCAGTCGCGCTCTGTTCACACCAGTAAGTCTGGAAATCTTAAATCTGGTCCAACTGTCCATTAAATGACTTTTTTAACATAAATTTTTTGTTTATTTTATTTTTGCATGAATTTATTAATTAATGAATTTTAATGAATTGCATGGATTTGAAGCCCCAAAGAGATCTAAGCGATCGCGATCTAAGTCACCCTTCAGCAGTTGGAGACGCAAAAAGTCACCCTATTATGACACTGACGAGTCTTCTATGTCAGGTAGACATGAATGCACTCCAATCACTATAACTATAACTATATTTAACTTATTATTGTCTTATTTTTATCCAATTAATCGATTTTTTAAATTATATATACAGTATATTATGATTGTTTATAATAATAAATTTATTAACAATTAATGCTAATTATGAATAATATTTTAAAGAGAGATACAGTACTGCCGATGAAGACGTGTTGCTCGAGGGGGCACTCAATAGAAAACACGAGTGGGAATCGACAACCAAAAAAGCCAACAATAGGTTTGTAGTTTTAGTAGTAGTAGTAGTATCTAAACCAAGTCTACCACTAATCTATAATTACTTATAATCTAATTTTTTTAGATCATGGGATAAGGTTTATATGATATTAAAAAGTGGTCAACTATTAGCATATAAAGATCAAAAACATTTCAGACAAGAACCTGAAAATATATATCGAAATGAGACACCAATTGATTTGAAAGGTGTTGTTGTAGAGGTAGCAGCAAATTACACGAAAAAGAAACACGTGTTTAGACTGAAACTGCCGAATGGCGCCGAATATCTGTTTCAAGCCAAAGAAGACGATGAGATGAACCTTTGGATTAATAGAATCCAATCAGCGATTACTGAGACGGAAACATCTCCCGGACCGTCGCGTTCACAAACAATGCCCGCAAAGGGTGACGACGATCGTAAAGATGAGCCAAAAAAGAGGGGATTTTTTACGCTAAAGAAGAAATAGTTAAATCTATATTTTAATTGTTTAATAATAGAGTTTATTATAATATATGAAACGTTGATCTCCTCAATGAGTTTCAACAGTTAGTCAAAGCATTACTATTGATTGTGCCGTCACTTGTGGCTGTGCTTCCCATTCATTGCAAACCATTTATCACATTTCTAAACACAACTTCTATATATCTTTAGATCACAATTATAGCCATTTATAAAATATTACAAATTTTATCACTAATTTTATGATAATCAATGGGCAACTAATTATTTATAAAATATATTTTATTTGAAACAATTGTTCATTTTATCTATTATCACACTTTGGACTTTAGAGTTGTTTTATTTAATAGTTTATATTTATGGTCATATAATGTAATCATTGTTTTTTAATTATAGACTGAAATATTTCAAATATTAAAACAAAAACTAATGTTTGTATTATCTGTTTATGAAAACAACAATACAATACATCATTATAACTTGATTTTCATCAAAATTTCCTATCAATAGTGATATCAAAGGGTTTATATCCATAAAATGTATCATTACTTTTACAAAACAACCCATTCATTTGGATTAATATTTTGTTTTGTGAAATTGCTTTAAAAATATGATTATAAATGAGATTATAGTGGTATAACTTTAATTGTATTTTCTTAATGTAAATACAATTAAATGTAATACAGAATATTTTGAAAACTGTTTTTTAAATGGGAAACGCGTTAATTAACGATTATTGTTAAAAGCTTATGATTAATCACTGCCACTATTGACAAACAAATAACACAACATTTGTTTTTTATTTTATGTAAAATCAATTTGATTATTAATATATATATATATATAAATATATATACAATTTATTACATTATTATAAATTATGTTTTTAAAATGTTTATCTAATTATTATTTATAAGATTCGGTTTTTTAACTTATATTATAAATATAGTGTTATTTAAAATATTTTGAATCAARAAGTTAATGTCATATATGTTTACGAAATAATTATTTATTTACTTTACTTTTAGAAATACAAACCGTTTCTTAAAACGAATAATTGTTTTTAAGTCATTTTGTGGTTAGATATACAGTATAACAAAAAAAAAGTTATTTTCACTCATTGTTTTCTTCTTAAATAAATAATATATTTAAACTTTTAAATTACCGGTAGATTATGTTTAAGAAAAACAATTATCCCTTATTTTATGCAATAGATTGAGGTTTTATCGATACTTACATTGTTTTGAAATATCATTTAAATTCATTTTAAAAAATAAAAAATATATTATTAATTAAATTTATTGTTATCTTCTTTATTAAATTCAATAAATTTAAAGATAATTACCGTAAGATATGTTTATTAAAATTAAATTTGAATTGTTATAAAAGGGGTTTTAATTTCTAAATAATAGTTTACAATTGCAACAAACTTTGGTGCATATATTGGATTTATTTTACTGTGAAATATATATTACTTATTTGATCTTAAGTTTGAATTGGGTGTAAGGGGTGGGGGCGGTGGTTGTCGGGGTAGTAAACTTGATTTTTCTATTTTTGAAGAAATTGAAGTATTAGTTGAATGAATTGGTCTCAATGGAGGCGGTGCTGAGCCGACACCTGATGTCGATTGACCGCTACTAATATGTGAAGTGATTTGCGGAGAGTTTGAGCGCTCGACAGCCACAGAATCGTTATGATTGTCGGTCTGTATATTAAAATAAATAATTATTAATAATTGATTGTTTATATAATTAAATTATGTATTATTAATTAAAAATGTTTAATAAAATACTTTATCTTTATTTTCTTCATCATCAATGACTCCATTTTCATTTTCATATTCTTTGAGTACAGCATTCAAATTAAATCTTTTTTGATGGTTAGCATAGAATGTGCGGACATGTGCTTCACTTTTGTTTCCGATTACTTCGGCGATGGCTTTAAAATCTTTTCCGTATTTACGGACCCCTTGAACGCCGAGTAACAGTTCATCATTAGACCAGCGACTGTTAATACGAGCCGTATTCTGGTATTTAAGAAAATCATTATAACATTAATTTCTATAAATATTAATCAAATATAATGACAATACTTCTGACAAACGAAAGCCTTCCATTCCATCTCCTATTTTGTGTTTCGATTGACTTATAATTTGTTTGTTATTTTGAACGTTTCTTTTTAAAGTAATTACTTCTGAGTCGAGACCTTTGAGAATGGCGTCTCCCTGACCCGGAGGACCATTAGCGATGGCAATCAGGTCGTCATTACTCAAATACATTCCTCGCGGAGGTTTACGAGGTTTCAATTGAATGTGTCGATTGGATGCCGATTCGTGTTTCTTATGTGTAGTCGTGTTCTTCATGGCTCCCGTTCGGCGCCAATAAGAATAACAAGTTCGACAAAGAACTCCTTTATTAGTGTTGTGGAATTGACCACTTGATGTCGTAAAACAATTAGAACACATGGGTTTACCATCTCTTGAATTCTGAACAGATAATTCCTTATTGTTTGTCGTATCACTTTCATTATCAGAACCGTTATCTGAACCGACATCACTTCCATCATCTTTATGTGATGTCAGCTTCTTTGCCTGTCTATCCATAAGACTTGTTCGACTGCGGGTTTTCTTCCACGAGTAGTAATACTTTACTAAACTTGCAATTGATTTGTCGGGCAACTAATTAACAACAATTAGTTAGTTATTACAAAATTCAATCAACTTTTATAAATAAGTTATCAAACCATTTGTCTAATTTTATGGAAATGTTTGTCATGAAACTGAAAGGCCTGTTCAAAAAGCACTTTATCCTCAACTGTCCACTCATCGGGAAAAGGCGTAAAATTAGGTAAGTCTGCCATTGCTTTCTCTAAATTGAATTTATGCCAACACAACATCCCTAAGGCCTGTTCACTATTATAAGTGTACTTTTCTTTCGCCAAATTCAGATAATCGTCCACTGAATCAAAAAGTTAGTAACAATTATCAAATGATTACTAATTTTAATACTATTAATATTTTGATCGTACGCTTAATATCGGGAATGTCATTACACGGCGACCATACGAGAACTGCTCGTTCAGGTTCGTGATCGGGAGCTATAGTAATAAAACTTGTGGTCAATAAAAGCAATTTTGACGGACAATAACAAACCTGGAAGTATAGACACCATTTCTGGAACTATTGCCTGATATTCAGATCCCACTCTCATTCCTGGAGACAATAAATATATAAATAATTATTTTAATAATTATATCAATTATTATATATTCAAATCAAATATCATTTTAAAGTAAAACATTAAGAGTAAAGAAAAATAATAAAAATGATGGAAAAAAGTGAAATAATTTTGACAAAGAAGTGATTAAATGATGTCATCGGTGGTCAACAAAGCGTACAAACCATGGTCTGAGTCGTCTGAATGGTTGCTGTCATCAGTAGAATGAATGCCATTATTGTTATTAAGAGCCGATTCTAGCCGTGGCTGAGGACTGACCGCACGGTTTCTACGGCCATTAGAACCGTTATATTTCGACTCATTGGCCAAACGGTCGGCTAAAACCATTGAAAATGACTTATTTGTAATCAACTGATAATCAACAATAACTTCTTCGGACAGTTGAGTCAATTGTTGTCCCAATCGTTACAATTGACACCACTTTTCAATCGTCTAATGCTTTGTCAAAAGCAATGTTATAAATGAGTGGCACTTTTGGGTATCCGTACAGTCATTGCTATACATCTATTGCTTATAGAGTTACCACTATTACTGAATTTTCCATCATTTTCTCAAATATTATTTTAAATTATATTTCAATTTATATTTATTTTGATATAATAATTAAATTTTATATTAATCACACTTTCTATATATATATGTATAAACTATGTATTAATAATGTTTATATTGTAAACTTGTGAAAATAAGCAATTTGATAATAAACTTATCATATAATGTTTATAGGAACTGTAAATAGCCAACTGGTCACACTATTTGCAATATACAATTTACTGTATACATTGGTTTACAGTACTGTACAGTATATTACAAACAACATTACATACAATTAGAGTTTGGGCAAATTCCCTCCCTCATCTTATTTTCTAAAAATTCCCTATTTTCCCTGGGAATTCCTAGGGTATCTATTTCCTTATGCTACCACATATTGAACCCTAAACACCGAATTTTATTATAAGATTTGAATAACAAATGTTGTATTAAACTGTATTTTGAGTGCTATTGTTAAAAAGTATGACTAAATTCAATGAATTCAAATTTATTTTTAAATTTCAATGATATAAGTTTTAGTATTATTTATTGCAGAAATATATACTTTTCTCTCTAACGAGATAGGAAGGGAAAATATAATAGTTCCCCTATTTTCCGGGAAAATTGGAGGGATTTTATTAAGGAATTTGCATACATTGTAAAGTTGCTCGAACTCTACATACAGTATTATGTACTGTACAGTACTGTACAGTACAGTACTCTATGACACTGTACTGCACTGTATTATATGACTTAACTTTCCTCTCGATTTCCTAATAGACTCGTCTAATAGTTATTTCAAACATAACTTTAATTTATCATAAATTTAATTAAATATTATTTGATTTGTCAATCAAGAGTTGAATTAATTAAATGTGTGTAAAAATTTTGGTAATTAAATCAAAAAAATGAATATTTATTAGTTTTTACAAAAGTATTATAGTATTAAAAGTTTTGTTAAAAGCAAACTATAGGACACTTAAAATAAGCGCATTTTCTAAGCTTTGAATGTATTGCTAACAGAAAGCGCTTTACATTTGATTTAATGTTTGATTAAAATAACATTTTATAACATTTTATACTATTATTTATAGCCATCGATGACAACAAATGTTATAATTTCTTCTATTAAATGGTATGTTATTTACTAATATTATTATTATTATTATTATTAGTTAAGATTATTATACAATTAACTAAATTATTATAATGAAAAATTATTCTTCGGGAGTCATTATATTTGGTACCAATTGATAGTCGCGAAGACATTCGGGAATCGATTGCGACGATTGTTGACTTAAAGCGTCCGACCATTTGTCAGATTCTTSTGATTTTTGACTGAATGTCTGGTTTTGTGGCACCAATTGATCCGTGAATGGCATTGTTTGCCGTCTAATAAATTTGTCTTGTAATGGATCTAATGGATCACTATTGTCACTCAAATGACTTTCACTAACAGATATTCCATCAATTGATTGCTTGTCTGTACTGTCTTTGATGTCATTGTTTGAGTACTCATTTTCTGGACAATTGGTTTGGTTTGTGTCTGTCTTGAACTTCTTGGTGGTGGTGTTTGTCTGTTGATTTGAATGACTTGAATCGTATGAGTAATTGATTTGAGTGTCACTGAAGTGTCTTTTGCGGTGACTTTTGTTGGACTCAATGGAAGTCATGTTTTGATTGATTCGAATGTCGAACGCATTGATTGAATGAATGCATTGAATGTTATATTATTTGACTTTAATGTCAATACAATTGACTAATGAATTCAATTATAACTATTGATAACTAAATGATAACTTTTATTACATTTAATGTCAGAAAGAGATACGAGTGAAGCCATTGACAGACAAACCAAAGCAAACGAATCCAATTGTGACAAAACTATTGAAACAATTATATAGACATCGAATTATACTGACATTACCACCGCTGCTATTATCACTCGTTTACGTGGATTACACGTACACACAGAAGTGGAAACGTAATAATCAATTGACGAATAGAAACACTTAAGACATTGATGGCTGGCTGGAAGTATTACGCCGTTCAACCATTTCTTACGGGTTGGAAGCGATGGGTTGTGGCTTTTGGTTTAGTGTCCACCTCAACAGCTGCTGGTCTTTATTTAGAGAGATTAATAAAACTAAGATATTCATCATTTAGAGGTCGAACTCATCTCTACGGTGACACAACTGTCCGCTACGGTTGGCTCGACCCGCAGTCAAAGCTTAGATTTGAACAAAATATGAAAGAAAAACTTAACGATTGATTGGACTCTAATTACTATACATTTAAGATAGTCTTCTTTAATATGATTTGATCGAAATTGTATATTATTGTAGTTATATTTAAATATCTTATAATCTAATAAAATATAGTTTTAAWAATATTAATATTGATATTCTGTACATCTATTACCTAATTCACAGAAAACAATAAAAATAATAGTTATAGTTATAGTTACGGTAATGTTAAAAATTATTTATATAATAATCAATTACAGTTTCAAAACAAGTTAAAACTTAGCGGTAAGTTATAATTTTCATACAATATTATCATAAAATACTGTATTTATTAATAATATATTTTATTATAAATTATAATAAACTATATTATTAATAAATACAGTATTTTATAATTAATTATAATTTATAATCTCTCAATTAGTCTAACTTAAGAATAGAAGAAAATATTTGAATATTTAAAGAAATAAATGATTATTTAAACAATTTATTATTTGGATAACCATTTATTATATTTTATTTGTCGTTACAAATACCTTAAAAATAATTTGCCATTAATAAGACACTATAAACTACAGTACAATATATAAATTATTAGGAAAATAATAATTATTATTTATTTATTTGTAAACCATTAATTAAAGGTTTAACATATTTTTTATGTTAATTATTTGATGTTTGATGTACTGTAAAATTATAATAGAGTTGATTGGATTAAAATAATATATATTTAAAGTTATATAAGTATTATAAAACACTTTTTAGTAGAGGATATGTTATATGATATGATATACGAGTAATACAATGCAATGCAATGAGTGTTTGATATGTTGTTTACATTGATTGTTATGAATCACATGAATGACTGTAATATTGATATTAAGTGCAAACTATGTGTTCATTAATTTTGAACATTTAATTGTCAATCATTTGGTTATTGTATTGAATTATTTTGAATACAATAAAACAATTTGATATATAAATGGAGACAATATTTCACGAGAAGGTTGTAATTGGTTTGTAAAGACATGACTAATGATAATTGATGTCCAAATGTGTTGTCCTCCACAGCAAGAGGGCCTACTCTGTGCTCAACACTGTCTCAATGCTTTACTTCAGGGCGAGTACTTCACGGCCGTAGACTTGGCTCAGTTGGCCCAACAAATTGATGAACAAGAGAGACACCAAATGGCTGAGGGAGGAGAAAACCGGGAGGAATACCGAAGATTTATTCAGGTTTAACATATTATAATACATTGTCATCAATACCATAATATATCTGTACTCATGTGTTATGACAGTCGCCATCCGATAATATGGATGACTCGGGTTTCTTCTCAGTTCAAGTGATAGCTAGTGCTCTAAGAGTTTGGTCATTAGATTTAATTGCATTCAATAGCACCTGTGATGTAGCCATTGCTGCTCAAACTGATCCCACGTTTGTATTATTGATTTAATTATAAATTAACATTAATTAAATYTAATGGCATTTAATTTGTTTGAAAGGAGACAAAAGGCATACATTTGTAATTATAGAGAGCATTGGTTTACAGTCCGAAAGATTGGTCGGCAATGGTTTAACTTAAACTCATTACTCTCGGGACCGGAACTTATATCAGACACTTACTTATCACTATTTTTAGCTCAACTTCAAACTGAAGGCTATGCCATCTTCATCGTCAGTGGTATACTTCCGTCTTGTACTGCCGATACTGCTTTAGCCGATCGTTTAGTCACTCAACTAGAAAAACCTCGCCTTTTGACTGAACCTTCAAAAACTAAATCTAAAACTAACAAAAACAATGAAATTATTGGTAATGAAGACGAAGATAAACAAATGATAGCAGCAATGAAAATGAGTATTGAATACAATGAAGAAACTGAGAGAAAACAACTCGAGGCCGCACTTGCACTGAGTCTGGAACCAACTTCAAGCACAACCAACAATAGTAGCCAAATGATGAGTGAAGAAGAAATGTTAGATACGGCCATAAAGATGTCTCTCCAGGCCTTATAATATTACCGGTACTTTTGTGGTACTAATTATTAATTTACTATTTATTGGTAATTATCAACATTTTAAACATTTTAAAGTTATTACAATATATTAACAATAAAATGACTGTTCATTAGAATTAACAAATAATTTATCCAAAAAAATGGTTGCCTTTTGGATGGTTTGACAATATATTATCAATTGTTTGAACCAAACCAGTGGTTAAGTTAACAACTATTATATCACTTGACTCTACGTTGTGTTGGCACTAATCTATAGATCCATCGTATTATAATTTATTTAAAATGTTATATAATTTGTTTTTAATTTGTTTTTTAAATAACAATTTGTTTTTTAAATAACAATTTGTTTTTTAAATAACAATTTGTTTTTAATATCATGTATTAAAATTTACAATAATTAATAAAATTAAATGCTTATTATATATTAATTTAAACCTTTCATATTTCTTAGTTTTATTTTATATTTGAATTTTAAAAATAATTGTCAGAAATAATATCATATAATGTATTTTATTAAAATTTTTATAAATATTATTCATTTATTACATTTTTTACATTACATTTATTACAAACAAATTGAAACAATTTTTTTATACCAATAAAATAATACTACAGTATTATACAATACATTGAACACTAATTATTAAGTTGACTGTATTTGAGTACATAATATGTTGAGTAGACTGTATTGTGTGACATATCATACAATACATTGCATAAGTGTTGTCATCATTAGTACTACTAATTCATTACTGACGAGACATTTAATCCATTAATTTATATATTGTTTTGTTTTTCAAATCAATTGATTTGATTAATATTTAAATGAATTAAAAAAACTTTAATGTTATAAAAAAATTGTTTCAATTTGTTTGTTATTAAATGGACTACACATCAGGTATTTAACAAATGATATCCACATTGAAATTGATATGAAATTTAATTTGAATTGTTTTTAAATGATCTTAAGGTACAACTCGTCGGTCGCGACCAAACAATGCAAATGAAAGCCATAATACAAATGTCAACTATCCTTATGGTTCATATGATGCCTATGAGACCAATTCACAGCCATATTCGGCAAACATGTACTCTGGAGGACCATCTGTTTACGACCCGAATGGTCCGCAACTATTTGAGGACACGAGTGCACAGTTTGATGCACACAATACTTATGATCCCTATATGAATAGTGGCAACAATTTTGTGCCGCAAATGTTTAATCAAAATATGGGAAACGCTTCAAATCTCTTCAATCAACAGCTTATTTTAACTGCTGGACAACAATTGTTGACTAATCCTATGGCTGCGGCCGCTATCGACCAATACGGCCAAAACTTAGTTAATAAAGGCAAGAGTTGGGTCGGCAGTAATGTAAGTTTGCAKTGATTRCAAAAAATTACAAACGACTAACAATTATTGTTGACATAATTTCAGCTGAAATATTACTTCGCTGTCGACACTTCTTATGTATTGAAAAAGTTAGGTCTGGTATTCTTCCCGTTCACTCATAAAGTAAATGATAATCAAAATATATTTAGATTTCAATAGTCGATTGAATGATTTTTTTTAAGGATTGGTCGATTCGCTATAATACCAATGAATCGGTTGCTCCAAGAGATGATATCAATTCACCGGATCTCTATATACCAATGATGGCATTTGTGACATATATTTTGTTTTCGGCTTATTTGTTAGGAATTCAGAACCGATTTTCGCCCGAAGTGTTGAGCATTCAGGCGTCATCAGCGTTGGCCTGGCTTTTCATTGAAGTGATTATAGTAATGGTATCACTCTATCTCTTTAGTATCTCCTGTTCTCTTGGATTTTTTCATACCATTGCTTTTGGTGGATATAAATACGTTTGGTTTGTATTATTGATAATTTTCATATCGTAATAGATATTATAACATAATATTTATTTTACTCATTAGTATTGTGCCTCTACTCTTGATGTCGACATTTGACAGAATGGGTTACTATATTCTGTTACTTTATTGCAGTTTATCTTTGGGTTTCTTTTTAGTAAATATTTATCATTAAATTATTAATTTTGTTATATTATTGTTATTATTAACTTATTATTTCATTAATTCATAGCTAAAAAGCCTTCACATTGCTGTTCAAAATAATACCCAAACCTCTGTCACCAATCAATCAAGAAATGGCTTATATCTAGTAATTGTTATTTGTTTATTACAGCCGATTGTCATGTATTTTCTTACTCGACATTTCATTGTTTAAAATTTGATAATAATTTGTATTTTAATATATATATATAAATAATAAAAATCAATTATTTCAAACAAATTTTAATAATTGTTTGCTTTTATAAGTTGCTATTGCTTTAATAAAAAAAATGCGAATAGTTAAATAAAGCTAAAAGTCTAATAGCAAAATATCTATAATACTGCTATATTACAATACAAAAATAATGGCAGCGGTGGGATTCGAACCCACGCCCTTTCGGACTGGTGCCTAAAACCAGCGCCTTAGACCGCTCGGCCACGCTACCTATTGGATAACCATATTATATATTTTTATTATAATAATTAATGAAAATACTTAGCAATGATAGAGAATATAATTATTTTTTATTATTAAAAATATTGAAGTTTTTGATAACTTTAGGTACATATCTAATAGTAAAGGAAAAACGTGTACTTCTGTCCAATTGTTGTCCGACTCTATAATTATGACAAAGCGATAGATTTGCTATTTTGTCATTAATTATATCACTTTTAACTTCACGTATTCCATGAAGATATGACTTATAGGCATCTTCTTGAAGTATAACAAGACTTCTTGGCTCTAAAAGCAGTGAAAATAGTGGTATCCTTTGATCTCCTTTCTCATCCATACCATCATTACTTTCAGATATTTTATTGTAAAAATCCAATAGTGTTTGTGAACCGGTATTAATAGTAGCAACAGTTGGATAAAATAGTGGTCCGTCTTCATGAGGCTATTATAATATAATTAAACTGATTTATAAATATTAATATATAGCTATAAATCAATAATACCATAATTCCTTGTCCGCTGAGATACTCATTGATGAGTACATGATTGGCTGTATTACCGCCAAATACTGCTAATTCTGAAAGTCTTGTCGTATATATTTGTAACCACTATTAAAAAAAATTAATTGTAATAATTGGTTAAATTATAAATATATAACAAACTTGTGGTAACTCTTGAGCAACCATTCCTTTAGGATGAGGCAGTCCTCCCCAGTTCTGAAGTCGACGATGTGATAGTACTGTCCATTTGGGTTTCGGACTATTAATCACACGATCCATAAGCAATTGCTCTTCATTTTCATCGATAAAATTTTTGACATAATATATAGATTGCGGAACTGATAGCTATTATAAATTGTATCAAATATTATTCAACTAATAAAAACTTTTGATTTTTGAATAACTTCTGAGCGGTATCTCAAGCCATTGACATCAATACAATTAAACATTAATAATAATAATAATAATAATAATAATGTAAATTAATTGTCATTTAGCATTAAAGTTAAGTTTCATTCATATAATAACAACAATTTAATTATTACATTATTAATAATCATTTATTTGCAAAATTGCAAAATTTTTTATATATTAATTAACAATTAATGTTTTGTATTTGACTACTAATTAATTTTAATAACACTTTAGTGCACTTTCATGAAAGCAATTTAAAATTAGTTAAAAACTGTTATTAAATAAGAATTAAGTTATAATACCTTTAGTGACATGACTTGAAAGTGTTGTCCCATTACTACATCCGATACCATATCTGTGTCACTAATTGTGTCACTAATTGTGTCACTAATTGATGCCATCAGTGATAGTCATATTCAGTCAATAATTATAACAACAAATTGTTGAGACATTCAAATGAGTCAAAACATTGAATGTTTGCAATCATTGGTTCACTCATTGGCTTAACTGACGCAACACTACATGTATTGCATTGACTGTTAATAACAATATAATACAGTATTAATAGTAAAGCAATAGACAGTACAGTACTGTATAATACATAATGTAATGTAATATTGAGCTATAATTGTCTCATTTGATCACATATTTGCAGACAATGTGTTTAATTGTAAGCAATAATAAACTATTGATTATCACTTTAATTGATTTATCTGTCTTTGTCTATATTTATTAGTTTTCAAATTAGATGTAATTATCATTAGTTTAGTCCCTAATGATTGGTGCCAATCAAAGTCAGACCACAGCCAATACAATGCCACCAATGGGTCACATCTCAAGACGCCATATGAGGGCTAATGAGATGATTGATACCAAAGATTTTATGGCCCGACCTTATCAGGTATTGTCTCAATTGTTTGATTGTTTCAATTGATTTCAAGTAATTAATAACTTTGTCGGCTGTGCTATCAATAATAGGTTGAGTTATACGAAGTGTGCAAAACTCGTAATACAATCGTATGTCTGAATACCGGCGGAGGAAAGACATTCATAGCAGTAATGCTTATTAGACACATGTCGTGGCAATGTGTCAGTGATGGCAAACGTACCTTCTTCTTAGTGCCACTGATTCCTCTGGTGTCACAACAGGCCTCAGTTATTAAGACCCACACAGATCTTAGAGTCGGTCAATATTCGGGCAGTGCTTATGACGAATGGACTAAAGAAGAATGGGTTCAAGAGTTAGAAAAATACGATGTATTTGTAATGATTGGAGAAATTTTTCGATCAATATTACAAAAAGGATTTATCAGTTTATCGAAAGTTAATCTCTTAGTTATAGATGAAGTCCATCGATCCGTTGGAAATTCTCCGTACAGAGAAATCATGCGAATGTTTGACACGTGTCCAGTCGACAAACAGCCGCGCATTTTAGGATTGTCTGCTAGTCTTATCTTAAGTCATGCCTCACCCGATAAGATCGACAAAATGATCACTGAATTGGAAAAAACAACGAGAAGTACATGTGAGACAGCATCTGATTTGCGGACAATCAATAAGTACGCCACCAAACCATTTGAAGAGATAATAGAATATTTACCGTTTAATATGAATATATCGAAGAATATACATATTCTTAAATTAATTGCCGATTCTTGTATTGCTTTCTTGGAGGACATTGATTATGAAGCACTAGCATTGCAGAAGAATGTGGTGAGTGTTAAGACATTATGCAAATCAATTAAAGACACTTTATATGTGTTGACAACAATGGGTGTTTGGTGCGCACAGAAGGTGTCTCAGCTCTATATACGAGAACTCTGTGATACGGTTGAGATGTGCCGATCGTCTAAATCTCATTACACCGCCTTTATATCAGCCGTACTGACGGCTCTAAACGTAATTGAGGTTCAATTAAGTCAATTATTAAGTGGTTTAACACCAAATGAAAAGCTATTGCAATATACATCACCCAAACTCTTGAAATTGTCTGAATTGCTTAAATCTCAATCAAATATTATAAATAATACACATCTTTGTTGTATTATTTTTACTGAACGAAGATCTGTTGCTCGAGTTCTTTGTCTTTGGCTCCAAGAGTTGGTTAAATCAGAGTCGAGTGAATATTCTCATCTAAAAGTGGATTATGTTTTAGGTCACGGAAATAGAGTCGGTATCGGAGGAAATGCTCTTTCATTAATGACAAGTAAAAAACAAGAAGAGACACTGAAAAAGTTTCGTTTGCATGAATCTAATGTTTTAGTGGCCACTTCGGTACTCGAAGAAGGTCTTGATATTCCTCGTTGTAATTTTGTCATTAGATATGATCTGCCGAAGACATTCACAGAGTATATCCAAAGCAAAGGCAGAGCGAGAGCAGAGTTAGCTAAATATATTATATTTGTCGAAAAGAGCAATACTTATGACAAAATGATTGATAGATTAAACAAATACAGAGAAACGGAAGATATTCTCAATAAGTGTTGTCATAATAGAGTTACTCCTTCTGAAGCAGAAGTTGACGAAAGCTTTGACGATCAGCTTCTGGAGCCATATATGCCTAACAAAGTGGAGGGTTCTGCCAGAGTTACACTTAATTCTGCGATCGCTAATATCAATAGATATTGTCTTAAGCTTCCATCGGATTCCTTCACAAAACTTACGCCTCAATACAGAATTGAAGAGCAATCGAGTGGTCAATATGTTTGTCGATTACGACTTCCCATAAATTCTCAGATAAGAAATGAAATAATAAGTGTTGTTATGCCTAATAAAAGAACAGCTAAGAAAGCGGTTGCTCTTAAAGCCTGTGAAATTCTTCATAAAATGAAAGAACTGGATGATAATTTTTATCCGGTTGGCAAAGAAGCCATTGATTTTGTAAAAGAACTTGGATTAGAACCACCTGAAGTTGAAGGGGACAAAGCGAATAAAGTAAAAGCACCGGGAACTGCTAAAAGAAGACAATACTATACCAAATTGGTAGCCAATGTGCTGAAGAACTGTCAGATTGAGTCTCATGTCAGGTGTTATTTGTATGAGTTTGCAATGAAATTGACTCAACCCATACCTGAAGAACAAAACACAAGAGGTCGTCAAATCACAGATCCGGCCGACACTTCCAGAAATTTTGGAATTTTGACTACAAATAAGGTTCCAATGATATGTGATTTTCCAGTCTTTACGCGTTCCGGTGAAGTGACGATCAAATTTGTTCCCATTCGTGACGATATTTATCTATCGACACAACAATATGAAGATCTTCTAATTTTTCATAACTTTACATTTTGTGATGTCCTTCGTTTAATTAAATACCCGCTTTATTTTGATTCAGAAAAAGCAAATTCTAACCCAATTGTTGTTCCGATTAATACAATTTCAAACTCTGGTCATAAAGATATTGATTGGGAATTTGTTTCATCTATCAAAAGATATAAAGACTTACCACCAGATAGTCAATCGATTGAAAAGCGTATGAATTTTGAATTTGATGGCAATAAATACAAAGATGCGGTTGTGATCCCATGGTATCGCAAAGATAAGCCGCAATTTTTCTTTTATGTGGCAGAGATATGCACTAATTTGAACCCCAAGAGTCCATTTCCTGATGATGGCTACGAAACTTTTGAAAAGTATTATTTAGGTAAATATAATATAGAAATACTGAACAACACTCAACCACTTCTTGATGTTGATCATACATCTGCGAGACTCAACCTATTGACTCCTCGTTATGTAAACCGAAGAGGTGTTTCACTTCCATCGAGTACTGCAAAAACTAAGAAAGAAAAACGAGAAAATCTGCAACAAAAACAAATTCTTATACCAGAACTCTGTGATGTCCATCCATTTCCCGCTTCTTTATGGAGAAAGGCTGTGTGTCTGCCATGTCTTCTATTTAGACTCAATTCATTTCTAGTCGCAGAACAGCTTAGAACTCTTATTGCTAAACAAACCGGTGTTGGTATCGTTGAGCCCACTCCTGATATGTCTTGGCCTTCACTTGATTTTGGATGGACAATGATAACCAATGAACAAAATTGTGAGATAAATGACATCGAATCTAAACAATTGTCTCAATTACAGCAATTAACTGAACCTATTCAAGAAGTTTGGGATTTTTCTACTGAAAACTTGTCTGTTGAAGATAATAGTAATACTTTATTGATGAACAACGAGCAAAATAATGAACAAGACTTTCTTATTGATACATTTGATCCAAACAGTTATATTATTTCTGATGATTTCGATGATGACATAGAAGACGAATTTATAGATAATAATTGGATGTCTGATATACCGGTTAACATAATTGGCGGTCCAAATGGATTGCGTTCGACAGCATTCACAAACAATTGGCAATTTGATACCACATCCAGTCTTCAAAGTGGTGTTCAGATAAGAGAATTGACAAATATTGATGATAGTAGTCAACAACTTTTGCCTGTACGGGTTGGATCCCCTTCTGTTATTAATGGTTTGTCACAAAACAATGCAATTTCCAATCGGGAATGGGTTATTGATGAGCCAACAACTGTGTTTCCAATTGGTGGTTGTGATGCACCAGCAGTTGATATCATATCGAGTACACATCATCTTAACATTGCGAGTCTAACTAAAGATTTGGCCAATTTTCCTGTCGAAGACTTTGATAGCTGTGATGGCTTCTCTGATTTGGATGATATATATAGTGATGACGACGAAGAATTTGATAATAAAGAATGTGTTTCAAACAGTAATAATAAACAAATTGGTTTCAATTGTCATAATAAAAATGATAAAACTAAAATTGCTGATATCTTAAGATATGAATTGCTCACTGAATGTGATAACAATGTTATGCAACACAAAGATGACAATGAAAAACAATTTCTTAAATTATATAAAAATATTTGCAATGAAGAAGAAAAGCTGACAGAAATTAAGGAAATGACATATAATTCGAATATAAAAAGTGATGATTTATCACAAGAAAATGAAAGTCTTTCAGAATTGGCTCAACTTTTTAATGATTATTTAATGGATGAAAGGAATGACTTATTTATGGATCAGGATTTTGATTTATCTGACGAAGAAACTGGTGATGAATGTCATAAAACATTCGATAACTTTAATGAATTGAATATTAATAATAATGATAAACTTGGCGGAGATAAAGATGTCAAGACTAATATTGATTCAGTCAGGTTTGTCGACAATTAAATTCAATTTACTGTTATATTATTTTATTTTAATTAATTATTGCTTTACTTTATTAATAGTTTTGGAGATTTGTTGCCTAACCGTGATTTGAATGAACCGCCGGAAAAGCCCTTTATAGAGAATTTCGATCCTTTAAAGTCAGACACCGATAAAGTAGGTCCCAGTCCTTCACTTATATTACAGGCACTTACAATGTCTAATGCAAGCGATGGCATTAATCTCGAAAGATTGGAAACAGTTGGCGATTCTTTCTTAAAGTAAATGATTTTAATTTTTTGTTGTATAAATCAACCAATTATTGTTATAATTAATGTTTAGGTATGCAGTCACTGCTTTTCTTTACTGTGTCTGTCCCGGTATACATGAGGGTCGTCTTTCTTATCTACGAAGTCGTCAAATAAGTAATTTAAATTTGTATCGATTGGGAACTAAAATAGGGATCGGCCAGTTCATGATGGCTACCAAATTTGAACCAAACGATAATTGGTGTCCACCCTGTTATGCTGTAAGTCCTAATGATATTAAATTATAATAATATAATTCAATATTGATATATAGGGTATATATATAATATGTATACGATATTAATTTTCAAAATCAGATTCCTGAAGGACTTGAAAAAGCATTAATTGAATCAAATGCTGACAACGAATCAGCTGTTTATGACATCGGAAAGATTAAAGGATTAAACAATTTGAATGAACAACAAATTAGAGATCAATTGAAATTACAATCAAATAAATCTCAAAATATAACAATTCCTTACAACTTATTGACTCAACATTCAATTCCTGATAAAAGTATCGCCGATTGTGTCGAAGCATTGATTGGTGCTTATCTGATCTCTAGTGGTCCAAGAGGTGCTCTTCTATTTATGAAATGGTTGGATCTGAAAGTGATGCGCAATGATGAAGATGATGACATAGATTTGAATGATCCTATTTGGCATTGGCTGCCAACACCTAAGTCACCACTTCTTACACCATTTGACGAAAGCCTTAGCGAAGTCGATAACTTGCAAACTGTTAGAAAGCAATTGAATGACTTGTATTTGGGCCAAAAATTAGACAAATTTGAACGTAAATTGGGCTATGAATTCAAAGATAAGGCATATCTGGTTCAGGCGTTTACTCATAATTCATATTATGAAAATCAAGTGACAGATTGTTATCAACGATTGGAGTTTTTAGGCGACGCTGTTCTCGACTATTTGATAACACGATATTTATATGAAGACCCCGCCGGTCACTCCCCGGGAACACTGACTGACTTGAGATCAGCTCTCGTTAATAACACATTTTTTGCTTCATTATCTGTTAAATACAAGTTTTACAAACATCTGAAAATGTTGTCATTTGATTTGTTTCGAGTTGTGATGGCTTTTGTCGATAAATTCAAGAACAATGACGAGAGAAATAATGATTTCAATCTTTTCATAGCTGAAGGCGAATCTGAAAATGCAGAAGATATTGAAGTTCCCAAAGCATTGGGTGATATCTTTGAGTCCGTTGCCGGCGCCATATACTTGGACAGTGGGATGTCATTGGATGCCGTTTGGAAGGTTTACTATAAGATGATGAAACCTGAAATTGGTTTGTAGTTAATATGTTTACTAAAACTGTTTAATTGACTAATATTTTATTTTCATTGAAAATATAGTTTACTTTAGTTCACATGTGCCTAAATCGCCAATAAGGGAATTGTTGGAAATGGAGCCACAAAATGCCAAATTTGGGTTTGAAATGATTTTTATTGATAACAAAAATGTAATATTATATTAATTGCTATTATTTTATAGTAAACCTGAGCTGATATCGGGTCGTAAAATACGTGTTTGTGTTGAAGTGTTTGACTTCGGAAAGTTCTACGGAATAGGACGTAACAAACGTATCGCCAAATGTACGGCCGCTAAGAGAGCGTTGAGAGCCTTAAAAAACAGGCGTTTTAACTAATCTTAAATATAATTGACTGTGATTTTCATAACAATTTAATTAATTTATTATTTAAAAAAAACCGTCCCATTGGTTACACCATTTCACTCGATAGTAATAATTGTGTAATTAAAGCCATGGGAGCCTTTTAAAGCATTTTTTACATTACATTTAATAGTTATTCTCCAGTTTATATCAATAAATATATATATATTGTATTTTTTCATGTTTTTAATAAATGAATAATAATAATATTGTTTTAAATTGTAACTACCGTTTAGCACAATTCTCTCACTATAGTTTTGCGCAACAATAAGCATAACATGATTTTAGGTATTAATAGTATATTTTTTCTATAAAGATACCCATCAATCATCACTTATTATACAATAATTGCAATTTCTATTAAATTAATTACAAACTATAAATAATGACAAATACAGTATTATTTTATGATAATACACGCTTTACATATCCACGAAACATCAATACGATTAATATATAAATTTAAATGAATATATACTGTTATGTAAATTACCGGTAATATAAAAACAATTAAAATAAGATAAAAATGTATTTTTTGTTGACTGATTAGTATTACATGTAGGGTATATTACTGTATATTGAATGCATTTATTATGATTAACATTAGTGTCAAATACAGTATATATATATAGTTTATATATACAGAAATTTTGAATTAAAGCAATATATTGCTTGTAATAATGGAATAATTAAAAAAATTAGACTAAAACTCAATTGACAATCAATTATTAATTGGCGTCCTTTCGATTACTTGAAAACTTTTTCCGCGTGTTTTGACTTAAAATTCTATTACTATTAGGATATCTATTGTGAGGATATGTATTGTGATTTCGGTTTTGTTGAAAATTTTGTGGTTTATTATTATTATTATTAGAACTGCGAAACTGATTACCACTCATTTGGTTTGAATACGTATGACTCTTGTTGTTGTTGTTGTTGTTATTGTAATAACTTCTTTGAATATTTGTTGGGGAATTTCGAGAAGAGTTTGTGCTATTTTGGCGATGCATTGATTGACTTTCTGTTTCCTATACAATCAAATCAATATACAGTATTAGTAATAATTCATAAAATTATAAACAATTAAATTAATACATTATCGCTATATTCTTCTGAAGAATCGGAACATTGAGACGAGGAGGTCGAGTGATCGTCAGAATGTAAAGAAGTAATTGAGTTCTTCTTTGGTAATGTAAACCTTCTACTAATCTCTTCGCGATAGTCAACCACTTCATCGGTAACTCTTATAATGCGACCTAAAATGCTTTGGTTTTGATCGACTGTTGCACTCAAAGGTCCCACCGCTTGGTGTAAGACATCGAAAGCGTATTCAAAGGCGTGTTTAACCATTATAGCGCCATAAGAACTCTTTCCAATATCATTACTCGGGTTCAAAGGATCTTCAATACATAATATAGAAGGTCTGTAATCCGGATCCATTTGCTTCTGAATATCACTTTTGGCGACATAAGAGCCGCCATCTTTGATACGAATACCGACGCGATAATAGTTAAAACATCGGCCGTAAAGTTCAAAAAATTCCTTAAATTTAAAATAAAAAATAGACTAATAATTTGATTGTTTTTAAAATTATATTAATAAATACCAATAAAAGCACTCCTAAGTTGGCCTTCAGGTTTTGAGCGTCATTCCTGGGATGCAATTGAATAAAACTTATAACCATTAAAATCAATGAATAAGAACTGATTCCACCGGTAAACACTTCTTTCAGATCTCTTTGAAGCAAAAACTGTTTCAAAACTAATACCAATTTTGGGAGATTTGGAAATTGCTTTTTAAAATGCTTTAAAAAAGAATTATAATTAATTTTAATCAATTAGTTTAAGTGTAAGAAATAATTATTACTTTAATAAGTTTAGCACTTTTGATGCCATTTGATGTATTAAAACTAATATCGACCCTAACATTAGTCTTTAGATCAGTTAATTTAATAATAGGAACCGAAGCTTTGTCCAGAACTTTAATAGTCGTTTCGTCAACAATTCCTGACTCTAATAACTTCTTCTCTAATGTAAACAATGGTATTGACTCCCACTTTCCGACGACAACCATATCTATATCACTGGTTGGTAAATAAAGACCAGTTCTGAAAGAGCCAAAGTAGTCAACTTTTGCTTGAGGCCATACATCAGTCACCACTTTAGTGATACGTTTAACCACATCTTCTCTCATTTGGTGTTCACAAGCCGTTGGTTTCATGTAATTATAAAAGTCTTCAATTTCTTGATGCAAACCAATAATTCCTGGTTCGTAATGTTGCCGAAGTCGACGCCAAGGCGTTCCCAAATATTTTGCAATTAACTGTTGATTATCATTCAAATTGTAAGTCGAGGCCGGATTTTCACGGCGAACACGTTTTACTTGTATTTGCGTGCCGTTGGCCACCGAATTGGTCACTGAATTGTGGCTAACGTTTGAATTAGTTTTTCCATTGATGACATTAGTTTGGTTTGTCGACACTTTAACTACAGTATTGCCATCATTGGGCTCATCACCGAAGGGAATAAAGTCTGGCTGTCTTTCGGCCGTTGGATTCGATTGATGCCATATATCCTTCCAGAGGTCGAGTGCCGGCCCTTTGTGCTCGTCTTGAAACCAACCAATACTCGGGTCCATCATTTTTGGTCAATAATTACTTAAATCGGTTACTTTAATGTTTATTAATTAAATTAAAAATATTAATTGTGATAATCAAACAATTAATAACAATATTATTCGGTAAATGTTAAATAGTGACCAAAATTGAGATCAAATGTATTAATATATCTTCAAAACAACAATATCTTAAAATGCTTATAAAATGAATAAAATTATCCAAAAGAAAAGACTGTCTTCGGTTAAACAATTGGATCAAATGGTCGTCAAAAATCAATTCAATGGTCACTTAATATCAATACAATTAAAAACAATCTGTGAATCACTTCTTCACGACTTATTTGGTAACAAATATCAAGAGATTCAGTCATTGAATGTTATATTCAATACAACTATACATACATTACATTACATTCCAATGGCAAACATATCACGTGTTTAACATACATAACGTTCAACAATGTGGTCATCAAAAGACATAACAATAATTCAAATACAAAAATATTTTCATAATCAAGAATTTATTATTGGATCAAATAATAATCAAAACATATTTTTTTAAATCAATTATGTATTAAACAATTGGTCCGCCGGCACTCTGCAGTTGTCCCAACTCTCTTTGCTTAGCCTTTTCCAGCTTTGATATCTTCGCGCGTGACTTTGCACCCAATATACCGCCACCCCATTGACGACGGATCTCATCAAAGCGATCATTAAAGTTGGTTTTGACCACTTCTACCAGTTTTGTAAGACTCACTTTATCTTCGGGATTAACATTAGTGAAGGCCACTGCAGTTGTTCCCTTCCTTCGAGTAACGTGTCCGAGACGTGATCGACCGCCACGAACTACACAATACGGAACTCCCATTTTTCGACAAAGTGATGGCAAATGCAATACTAACTCTATTGGCTCGACATCAGCAGCGATGGCAACCAATTGTGCCTTCTTTTTCTCAACAAGTGTTGTGATTGTATTCACACCTATTATGAATTTAAAGGTAATCCAAACTAAATTTTTAAATTTAATTGAAAAAAATACCGAATCGGAGAACTGGCGGTCTCTTAGAAGGTGCCGACTCTTTACCGGCCGCTTTGTTTTCCGCCTCTTTCTTCAGACGATCTTTTTTAGCTTTTTTAGATTCGGGACGATATTTGTCCAAAAGACGGAACAGTTGAGTGGCTGATATTATAGTTAACAATTGTTAGTAATCTTTTACATTTAATTATCTGAAATACCTGTTTGTCGATCGAGAAAACCACTTCTAAACTGATTAATCGTCGGCGGAATCTTCAGTCTTTGCAAGAGAATAGCTCTCTGTCTCTGAACGCGTATATATCGCGGCCAACGGAAAAATCGTGTCAAATCACGCTTCGGTTGGATGTCACCACCTTTTAAGACATTTAAAGATTAACAAATCAAACGACATTTGTGTTAAACAATCAACAAACCGATGCCAAAGTTCTTCGGCTTCTTTTGGATCAATGGGTCCACTGTTTTCTTAGTGTCCTTTGCAGTCTTTGCGGCCACAGCTGTGGGCAACGGCGCCACTTTGCGGACGCGGACTTTCTTTGTTATCTTTTTATTCATATTTTCAAACAATCATTAAACTAATTGTTATTTAATCTTAATTTCAAACCTTTTTCATGACTGCAATCACTTTATAGTCAATAGATTTCAGGAAAAGGAAGTTTCAAAACAATACACGTTTTGAATATAGTGTTGACTATAGAGACACCTATTGTTCATATATACAGTACATAACACTTACATTACATACAAGTATTAAAGATTACATTTAAATTAGTACTATATTTCGTTCATTTAATTCAAACTTAATTTCATTTTTATTATAATTTAATTAAAATTGTATATAAACTCATACAGTAATGTAATATATTTGAAAATTTTATATGAAATTGTATATAAATATAATATCTATAAAATTTAATTTATATACAGATATAATGTAAATTATGAATCATTTTTAAGTTTTTTATTTTTGTGTTCATTATCTGTAATTTGTATATCATTTGTCGGTAATTTTTGAAAACAAAATGCAATATAAACTAAAATGACGTCCCATTCAGATTGTGATAGAGTTCCCAATTGTTTATTAAATTGGTCTGAATTGCTGTTTAATTGTTGTTCAGCATAATTATAGTCGTCTTTATCACCAACTAATGAATTGCTATTATCTTTGGAGTAGACCTCCAATGCAGCCATAAAATTCATTAATTGTTTGCTTTCTCTTTTCTCTTTGTTTTCATTGAATATTTCGTCAAAATTTTTTCGGTAAACTAATTTCAGACCATATTCTCGGCAAATATCAATAAATATGGGAAAATAAACGAGAAATTCAGGACAATCGACCACTCCTTCCAAATGGAAGTCATATTTAGCACCAAATGTAGGTATTTTAACATTAGAATCATTATATGAATCTTCAAATTTAATTGAATAAACACTATTCCCAAACATATTTGATTCACTTTTACGTAACCTTTTGATGATTTCTTGTGAGTCAGGGGTTGTTCCGATAAACATTCCTCCGGGTCTTAAATTATCGCTAACATTCTGTATCATTTGTCTCGCTTGAGACAGACTTTCAAAGCAATAGTGAAATGAGAATTGAATGGAAACCAAATCAAACTCAATCTCTTGATTCTTGTATTTTGGTCGCAACTGTTCCCGAGTACAGTCAGCCGTTATGAACTCAGCCGTAAATATGTTGTTATTATTGTTACGATTGCCGGAACTGTCTTTCATTTGATTATATCTTTCTTCGCATTGTTTAACTGATGTTTCAGCGATGTCTACAAACATTTAAATAAACTCGTTATCAAATAAGTTAAACATTTTAGTCTATATGTAGAGTATGTCAGACCTGCACACACTATATGAGTTATATTAGCCTTTTTATACTTCAAAAGATCACCTCCTTTACCACAACCAATGTCTAAGACATTGAATTGACGTTCATTTCTAATTTTCTGTATAATATCAGCTAAAATAAAATAACAATTATTAAAACAATATTAAAACAACTTATATTATACTAACCAATGGTCACCGATTTGATCCAATTGTTAAAGTTTCTTAAGTGGTAAATACGACTGTCTTTGCGGGCATCCTTTCCTTTTTCCTCTAAAAGATTGTAATGTTTGGCCACTGTCTGACCCAATGGTACCTCACAATTGAGTTGAGCCATACTTATTGATGGTAATTATGGACCAAATGTTTGTGACTATTCATATAATAATAATAATAATAATATAAACAATAAATTCAATCAATAATTGTTTTGAATGTTGTGTTAATGCAGTCAATGCTCTCAATATAGTTCACTGTTGTCTCAATAATAAGTGTTAACTGTATTACAGAGTATTAATCAATTGTATTGAGTGTTACAGTGAGTCTATTAATGAGTGCAATACTAAGCAATGGTTGAATTGTATAGTGTTTTGCAATAATTGATTCAAAACAGAGTCAACACTTAAAGTGTGTCACAAATGACGCAAATGACAGACAATTGAGTTGACATTTGGTCGACATTTGCTTGGATTAAGTGACCAATTGGTGACAATGTTGTCGATTCGCAATTGGTTTGTGTCGCGGATGTTGTCGCAGACATCAGGTGTCCAACGGATGTGTCACTTGAACTCAACAATTGTTGACTTTTATTACGCCGACCAACAACTCAATCACATCGCACAGCAATTGGACTCTTTTGATGGTCGAAAAGATCCCATCAGATGTACTCATTTGGTGAACCAATTGAGGTATATTTGATTACAATTAATATGATATAACATGGTTTGATCTATTGGTGATTAGGACGGCTCAAGACAAAGTGATAACATATATCTTTAAACTAATGGATGAATGGCATTGTGTACGCACTCCAAGAGACTATCGCTGCAAATTCCCAGGTATTGCACAACAATTATCACCACAATTATCACCACAATTATGACAATAATTATCAATATATGCAACTGTTTGACCACCAGTTTGTGTTAAATTAAGCTAAACTGTGGTCATATTATTTCATTTGTTTTAATAAGATTTGGGATATAATTTAATTTTAAATGTATTATAATTATTACAGTATTTTTGAAAATATCAATAACTAAATAATTTTTGTAAATAATAACAAATTTATTTATGTAATAATTGTTATAATTAGCATTATATACATTGTGACTATAATTTAAAAACAATTACTTTATTATGTGATGAAATTTATAGATGACTTATTAACCGGAGAAGGAGCCGAATCTCTAAATGGTCAGATTTGGTTTGGAGCCGAATGTTTGGCCGCCGGATCTAATATAATGAACCACGAAAGCGAATCAGCTTTACTCAGACCAATGGCTAAATCATTGACTACTGCTTTGGATCAATTAAGACTTGATTTAAGGCATTGTTGTGATGATTTGGATGAGAGGTACCGTATATTCAATTATTGTAAAGCATTTATAATAACTTGTAGTAAATTGAATGAATATAATAATAATTTGATTATTTATGTAGAGGTAATATATCTTATGGAATGGTTGTAAAACTGGAACAATTTGATCAATTATTTGCAACATTTGAATACGAATACGTGAAGTCAATGTTACCAATCAAAAGTGCAGATGAAATTGAAAAACAACAAGAAGTAATTGTTTTGTTCAGTGAAACACTTAGGTCTGCACTTCAAAGACGCCTCATATCACAGGATGACATCGATGATTGTCAACCAAAGGCTATGATTGCTATCCCAAGGCTTGCTATTGTTAACGGATTGCTTATTGGCAATGGATCTGCTATTTGCAAGAAGTCTAAAGATCAGTTATCAAACCTTTTTAAACCATTTCATAAGTACTAAATAGTCGATTAATTGATTATTTTTAATTTAATACTTACCGGTAATTAAATTTTATTTTAATTTAAAGTTTACTTCTGAAAATACGCGATCTTTTGCTTGTTTTACGTCGAATTGAAATCGATGTCTTGGAGAAGCTTTTAATTAACGAAGAAAATCTTATTTCCAATAATTGCGATGAAATATCTCTTCAAAACATTACCATTCAAAGGAAACGAAGTAATTCCGTTCCTGAGAATCGGACTCAACATGTATTCCTTAATATCAATAATAAGGCAAAATCTATATCAACACTGTCTTTAACCACTTGCATAAAATCGCGATCTAATAAGCAAACGATTGATAATTTTGAAGATAATTTAAGTGTCACTTCAGTCGAGTCAACCACAACAACGACAACATCTGAGGACTCATTCGAAATTGCTTTAGGTATTACTTTTGTGTTTAATTTATTTTAATATTATAAATAATGTCAATTTTGTTAATTTATTTTGACAGCAATTGATGCTAAAAATTCACAGTACATTCCGACCCAAACTAGATTATTATTACACAAACTTTTTGTCACAATTTCAGGTATAGTTAATAGTATAATATTAATGAAATTACGTTAATTTAAGTTTCATAACTGTTTTATTTTTATATAGGAATTGCTGATCAGTTACAATCCAATTATGCGAGTGATTTGAGAAATATATTGCGAAATGTGTTTGACTTAAACCGATCGCCAGATGAAGACGATATAAGTGTTGAAGAAGCTGTTGAAGCAAAAGAATATCTCAAATTAACTGATATTAACAATAGTGATGAAACAACTCTTCAAACTTTGAACTCTAATGACGAATTAAATGGTCATATATCGAGATCTACTACTTTCACAAATGAAAACTCATTGATGAGTCAATTAAGTGATGATTACTCGCCTCAAACTGAAAGTATTATATCCGACGATATGACACAAACAACTCCTCAATTGGGAGAAGAGTCACAACAATATCTTTTGCCTCCTATTTGGGTTCCCGACGAACTCGTGTCGGTTTGCACCCAATGTTGCTCTCAATTTACAATTATTAGGAGACGCCATCACTGCAGAAACTGTGGACAAATCTATTGTCATAATTGTTCCAATAATTTCACTCCTTTACTACGCTATGGATACGTTAAACCGGTTCGGGTTTGCGATCGATGTCACCAACAAATGTCTGTTCAAATTCCGACTCAAACATAATCTTAATTACAATTAGTCAAAGATATGTAAGAAATCTTAACAGTTTTCATTGTTATATACAGTAATTTTTATTATTTCAATATATACTTATACCGTAAAAAGAAACAAAAAAATTATTTTTATTAATTATTAAATATATAAAAATTTTATAGTAAATGACAGATTGTTATAAACAAATTATCAACAAATGCGTAAAACTTATCGTAATATTATTATAAATACTAACTTACCGTATAAACCCGCAAATAGCCCCCCATGGCCATATGGGGCTATATGTGGAAAGTGGGCAATAAGTGAAAAATAGTTGATTTGAATAAAATCACAAATAGCCCCACTATCGAAAATATTGTAGTTTTTTTTGAATGTGTATATACCCCCTCATGCCATCTATTGACAGTGTCTAAACTAAAACTATTAATTATAATAAACTGTAAATTTTAATTATTTTTCAATTCAATGCTATTATAGTGTATTTAAATGCTTTGTTTAATAAATGTTGTTAACATTATTTATGTTATGACCGATATATATGTATGACTAAATGACTGTATGACTGTATGACTGTATGACTACATGACTATGTATGACATCATCACTATGTATGACTGTATGACTGTATGACTGTATGACTACACGACTGTATGCCTACGTAACTATGTATGACCTCATGTATGACTGCATTACTATATGTATGACTATAGAAACGATTCCTTTTCCTGTTATACATTCAGGCACTCCATTGTTGTTGTCATCAAAGTTATTACCACTTCACGTGAGCAATGACTGAACAAATCAAATACTTTGATTCATCTTCGAATTATGTCGTAAGTGCTGAACACATCAATTCCCACAATTGTCAACATTATCTCATCACTGGTTATAAAATGTGATTATGGATGTGGTGCGGGGTTATTAATTATTACATTTGGCCATTTGTGGATCAGTTCTCTGTGAGCGCTTCAAGTTTTCGATTAATGAGTTCCCTGTTCACCACTGATATTTTTGTTGGAACAAGCACGGATAGCTAAAGAAATTGAAGATCGACAGGTGGCCACTGAAAATCCCAATCAAACAATTGAATTGGCTGAACAGCCCGCCGGCCCGTCAAATGAAGCAATCATACAGATCGATGACCCGTCAAATATCTATCAGATCGATGGCCCGCCATATGAAGACATCAATAAGATGGCTGACTCGTAAAATGATGCCACAAATCAGATCGATGGCACGTCAATTGCTGACACCAATCAAATCGATGACATCGTTATTTATTTATTAATAGCCATGGATTTAGTTCTTGTTAACTACCCGGATAACCGTTTGAGAAACAAAACAGCTTTCGTGACGCCATGATCTTATTGTTAGTCGTGTCCGTCAATCAGCATTTGCCGATCTTCTACAGAAGCCGGTCCTCAAGTCAACGATTTTATAAACGCCAACAGACCGGTCATTACGGCCAACATTTCAAGAATTTGTTTTAAGTTCAGAAATCGGTATTATTAACTGATACTTACCGTACAATACTTGTAATAAATAATTTCCCGATAATTCATATTTTTTTCATTATTAATAATTTATGCAATACATTTAAAAATATTTTTTTCTATATTATTTAAAATTATTTGATTTATAAATATTTAAAATTATTTGATTAATAAATGTTTTATTTTATTTATTTAATACATAATCCGTATAACAATCATAGCTTATTACACATCATTACATATTTTTTTATTTATTAGACCGATCTTATATATATAACCCTTTCCCCAATCGTTCCTTCCCCCACGACTTCACATATAGCCCCAGTAGGGGGGCTATATGTGAAAAATAGCCCCCTACCAAATTTTGATTTTAAAATTTTAAAAAACCGTCAGGGGGGGCTATATGCGGGTCTATACGGTAATATAAGGTTTATATTAGATTTAGTCATTACTCATCCTAACATTTACCGTATTATTATTATTACCGGTAATTACCGTAACAATTGTATACCGGTAATTGAATCGTAAAGTCAACGAAATACTACCGGTATTTTATACTGTATTATAAAAATTGAGTTTAATTTTCAAAAGATTTAAATGTAATAAAAATTAGTTATTTAAATATTACGTTTGGTATTAATATACTTATTTGTTACTAATAATGGAAAAGTGTTTTTATGCAATATTTAACGTCTAACCGGTTTAATGATTGCAATGGTTTTCAAGTTAAAGTAGTGCTGACTTATCGAGATATGGATAAGCTTTGAAAGGATTAACTTTCATGTCGTTGTTGTCGTAGTTGAATGAGTAGAAACAGGTCTCACAGAAAAAGAATGGATTTTCTGGAAGTCGCTGATTATCAAAAGTAATCCATTTGGCAGTATTTAGATTACAGATACCACACCGTACTTGTGTTCGACGATTTGTGCTCACTATCTTCGGGTAATCCTTTGGATCCATGCTATCGACGCACGGCTTTAATAGACGAATATCACTAAAGACTAGAATGTGTTCACAATCGCCCTGATGTTGGTATAGGTATGGATAACCCAATTGGATCTCTAAATCACTCAATTTTGTTTCTTCCATAAGCTTCTTCTCAAACGTGCCGATACCTCTCTCCTGATTCTTCGCCCACTCTATAATTGGTCTTTAAGATAACATTTCATTATACTATTAAACTAAAATAATTTTAATAATTAATTGATTCATTACTCGCTATAATCCCTATTGAATCGATTTCTCATATCATTATAGAAAGTATTGTTAATAAAGAAGAGACCGGATTTGTAAACATCGGCTGCCGTTTGAGTCAGTGCTACCTTTGGATTAAGACTACAGTCACTGGCATTTGAAATATCTGAAACACAGGTTAATGTGTCGCGCAATTCAGTCAACCATTGAGATGATAGTACTTCCAGTTCTTGATCACAAACAAATGAATAGCGATGAGTATTACCAAAGTGTGTACTGAAACGGATCGGTCGATACAATTGAACAGTTATAATAGCAATCGGTCTTTCAATGGAAGTGATTGAATCAACTGTTTGAATGTAACAACAAATCATAATTACTATTACATAAACTAATTGGTTGTCACAACTGATGTTAAAAATATTATAATTCTTCTATTGTTTTGCGTATAAACAATGATATTATATGGTTAGACATACCATCTGAATGTGTATTCTTATCGACTCTAATCAGTTGATTGCGATATCGCAATGACTGAAGACATGCTGTCCGATAGCAGCGGTCGATGGCATACCTCTCGATGTGTTGCTTCTGAAGACGTAATGTTTCTAAGTTGACATTTGATGGCACTTCAAAAGTCTTCTCGTAGGCCACATAAAGCTCTTCATCATCGCCTTCACAATCGAGATTAGATACATCTGAGTCTTTCTCCAAGAGTATCATCATTTGGTCATCGATTTGAAGCTCACTTTTAACAAAATCCTTGAGATTGTGTTCATTGATATTTAATTCAGACATGACTTGATTTTGAGCCCACGTTTCGATCAATTCATTAATTTTGACACTTCCGGCCAAAATCCATGGCCTACTGTCCGGTCTATGGATTCTCTCCATTGTCTTCAACAGTGTCTTTAATGATCACCTCTAATGATAATACCTTTAATTTCATCCAACAGTTAATCTAATAATTTCTACAATTTTTTAAACTTTTTTTAGTGACAAACAAATGATTGAATAAAAACAAATTACGACAAATATATTGCTTTTTAATTGAATTACTAATTGTATTGAAAATGTGTTAAACAAACACTTCATTAAATTTAACAAACATTTGTTTCAATTATATCTATAATTAACTAATTAATTGATTGTATTGTAAACTATATATTGTTTTGTCAAAGCATTACATTTAATAACTAATACATTTGATTGCAATTAATGTCATTTTAAGTCAATTTTTTCAGTATTTATCAGTCAGTTATGATTTGATATGTAATTTATAACTAAGTATTGTTTTGTACAATAAGTTCATTGATTTTTAAGTGAATTAATCTTTAAAGTCATGAATTTGTATAAATCTCTTGTATTTCGTCATCACTTGAATTCTTTGACATTATTATCACCGACTGGTCTCTCCATTAATCGGCACTTTTGTCGGACATCTTTTAATTCAAATGCTAATCAATCGGTAAAATCTGAGTATTTATGAACTTATTTAACATTATTTGAAATGCAGTCACAAGAAGTGGTGGCACGAGAATCATCACCAGAAGTGGACAAATTGTATAAGACTATAGAGATTGAGGTCCGATGTGCCGATCGGGAAGTGCTCAACAGTTATGAAACATTTGTCAAAATGAGTGCCAATTGTTTGGGATTAACTGTCAACCGATCGTATGAATGAATCTTAAAATTATTTCAAATTAATGATTCATTGACTTATATTTTTTACTTTAATAGTTGGGAACCATTTCGTGCAATTAAACGAAGAACTCTATTGAGAGCGGCATTCGTTAAGAAGAAATATCGGGTTCAGTACGAGTTTAGGACTTATTTCCGAAATATTGAATTCAAACACTTGACCGCATCGACAGCCGATACTTTAATTGAATATATTGAACGAAATCTTCCCGAAGGAGTGGCACTAATGGTGTATCGGACAGCCATTGAGACAGTGCCGCAACATATCAGCCAACAATTGGCCACAACTGACACATCAAGTCTTTGATATACAATAAAGTCAAAGATGGGAATCATTAGTCTTTTTTAGTGAATAAATACAATTAATTACTTTAATAATTGTCATAATTATTGTATTGAATTAATATATAGAATAAATTGTTTGCCATTTATTGTCAAAAAGTTTTACTCTAAAGTAATACTGTACTAAGTTTTCAATGATTGAACGGTCCCTTTAATATCACTTCAAAACAATGGCAGAGAAGTAAARGCAAAGAAAAAGTGTTTGATTTTTGAAGATTTGAGTCGTTTTGGACACCAATTAGTCGGCAATGGATGGCATCGAGTGATGCATAGGAATGGCCGGTATGTTAGTCAAGACATGTCTTTAATTGTTATTTAATTGTTTGGCATTTATAGGCAAATATCACTGCAATTATTGTGATGAAGACATCAATGATATTCGTGTCAAATGCAATGAATGTCTCGACTTTGATCTCTGTCTTCAGGTATGTATAATATGTGTTAAGACTATTTGATTGATATATTTTGGTTATCTTATAGTGTTTTTCTTGTGGCGCCGAAATCGGTAGTCATCGGAGTCGACACTCATATCAACTAATAGTGAGTCAAATGAGTTAACAAATGGCTGATTGATTGACACGAATGTAGGGATCGTTTGTTAATTGCATTATGTATTGTGTTTAGGATTGCGGAACTTTTCCTATATTTACCACAAATCAACACAAATGGAGGGCTTTGGATGAGATCTCACTCTTGGAGGCCATCGAACAGTACGGTTTCGGCAACTGGTTAGCCATTGCCGACAGTATAGGTCTAAAGGATGTAACCGCCGATGAAGCCAAAGAGCATTACTGTCAATACTATGTCTTGGGAAACATTGGAAGAGCTGTTTGGTCTCAAGTGAACAACAATACGTTTTCAATGCGAGACCACACGTGTCCTAATGATGGACCTCTATCTCCTGGTTTAACGACACCACTTCCAGCCATCACTGAAGTGAATCGTCAGGACGAAGATTCGTTGGGATATTTGCCTAAAAGGGATGATTTCGAGAGAGAATACGACAATGAATGCGAGTCATTAATATCGACTCTTTCGATGAACAACAATGAAGACGACGAACTCGAGATTAGTCTAAAATTAGCACACATTTCAATGTATCAAAAGAGACTTAAAGAAAGGTTTGAAAGGAAAGGCATGGCCAGAGAGTACGGTCTAGTCAGCCATTTCTTTAAAAGTCATAATGCATTTAAAGATCAAAATCAATCGACACCTCAAAAGAGTTCAAATGGTATTAATAAGAAGACACCAAAACAATGTTCTTCCATTGATTGTGAATCTCCTGTGAAGAGTCCTTTTGATGACAAATATAAACCATTTATTAGGTTTCAATCATTAGAAGAGAGCCGAGAATTAACGCAAAACATTCAGAGAGAAAAGGAATTAAAACAAAAGTTAAAAGAACTGATTAGATATCGAAAGAATGGTTTGAAACGWATGAGTGAAGTGAGTGCCTTCGAGACTGCGAGGAATAAACGCCAGAAGAGAAAGGAAAACAAAAAGAAATCGGTAGGCATTAGATCTGTGGTTTGTACTCAATATCAGAATTAATTATATCATATAGTTTTCAGATACCAAATACAGACGCAAGTATTGGCTCCGCAGTTCACAAACGACTAATGGCCACCAAATTGTCATCAATGGCCACCAAAACAGGTTTAGAAGCAACAAGAGATCAAAGCTCAAGCACTTCTCAAACCACAAAAAAAGGCACAAAAGTGTCGTCAGAATTAACTCAAAAAGCCGTTAATAAACTTAACAATGACTTTGATATTACTTCTCTTCCGGGATGTCGTCTTCTATCAGATAGAGAGAAGAAATTATGTTCTTCTGTTCGCTTAAGACCCTCTCAATACATCACTTTGAAAACACTCATTCTTAAGGTTTGTATTGATATTTAGTATTTTGTAAATTAAGTTATTTTAGTCATTTCCAATTGAATACCATATTCACTGTAATTATATATTAATACAGTATTAGTGTAATTATTATTATTATTATTATTATTATTTCTATTATTCTTGAATTACTAATTGTTTATACAAATACATATACATTTGAATATTGAATTTAAGACTTAATGACTCATTAATTACATAAATCTGAAACATTAGGTTTTAGATTGAAATCACTTAAATCGGAAATATTTAGTTTTGTTGCTCTAATTTCACAAAGGATGCCAATATATACTTAACGGATATAACAATCAATTAAATCAATTATTTCTTTAATTATTAACAATATAGCTATTATTGAGGTTTTAAAATTAGTATCCGTACCGTAATTATACATATCATATATTATAGATATTATGTATTATTTTATAATTTAATATAATTTATAATATTTTATAGGATCACAATCAAAGAGGAACGACAAACACTTCAAATAAGTGTAATGAAGGCATCGATAAGTCTTTGTATAAAAAGATTCACAACTTTATGGTTAAGAGCGGTTGGATTGCGTCCACAATTTGAAAGCACTTTTCTATCACTATTTATATTATTTTTAGATTTTATTATTTAAGTTATATTTAAGTATTATCCGTACGTTTATTAGTGCGATAATATTATTGAATGATTATTATATTAATGTATTTCTACTATTGTAAGACTTATTTTGATATTATTGACATTTCCTGTATTAGAAAGAGTAGTAATTAAGCAAAATTTATAGAGAATAATATTTCTATAAATATTAATGGGTTTAATGTCGTCCACTAATTATATATATATTTATATTTAAGGTTTATATATAATTATTGTAAATTTTAATCACATCTATATCTAAATTGTTTATTTTTAGGAATAAATAAATTTTTTAACTATAAGGACGACTATTATTGTCAATGTATTGGGCATTAATATACATTAATATATATATAGGTTTGATGCGAATATGATATGAATACAGATTTTGAACATATTTTATAAAATAGTACATTAAATGGTATGCTATGGCGGGTCTTGTGATATATGATATGATAAATTATATTTACATTTTTTATTTGTATATAAATATTGCCATATATTATATAATTATTTATCCGATACAATGATTGAAATTTGTCATTGCTTATATATATATATACAAAATAATTATATTATAATTTAAAAATAATAAAATTAATTAATAATTTTAAGTTTGATTAATTTATTTAAATAACTAAATTAGCCAAATATATAAATATATATAATTTCTTATTATTGTATAATTTATAAATAATATTACGTAAATCTTAAGTCTATTGTATTTAATTTGATGTAAATATTAGAATTGAAATTTTTGTTTCTCAGAAATAACTTAATTTACAGTTAGAGTTGATTCAAGTAATATCTTGTTTAGCTTAAGATTTCTCTTAAATTTAAAGCAAAAATTCTTAATATAAATACTTAATTCTTATCTTACAGTTAGCTAAATAATAAAACTGAAATATAATTCAAATGATTAAGTAAAGCAATATAAAAATATTTATAGTTTTCATTGGTTACACAAATAATTAGACTATTTTATAATTGTTGTATAATATTTTGTTTAGCCTAAGATTCTTCGTAAGATTATCTGAGTAGTACAGTATGTTTATATGATTTTATAGTTTAAGATAATTTAATTCAAATAATTTAATAAATATTTATAATATATACATTTTATACACAATTTACAAATCTGCAAAATTATATGATTTTAGTTTAAGTATTCTTTCAAAGTTTTGTTATTTTAATGACTAAAAATTAAGTCTAAATGTAAAGAATTTTGACTTCAACTCGAAGACAATTTTTAAGCTAAACCTTCTATAAGAATGAGAGCCGGTGTCTGAAAGTGTGAGAACCGCCCAAACAAATGCAAATTTAATGGAGAAGAGAGAGAGAGAGAGAGAGAGAGAGAGTCTTTTAGCTGAGAAAATAGTAGGCTTTTGTAACTTTTCCAACACTTTTAGTGCAATTATATTGCCGTCCATTCAGTTGTAAAATCATTAGTTTTGTAAACTTTTAGTCTGTGTTTGAATTACAACTGGAGAGCTCTCATACAGTGCACACTATGTGAGTGAGTGTCCCAACACAACAAATACTCCTTTAGTGAAAATAAAAGTTTTTTTTGAAGCTTACAATCAATTTAATTAAGTCTATGAATGTGTCATTCAAATAGTTAATTATTATAATGAAGAATAAATTAAAATTAATGAGACATTGGTTTTGTGTGTTATTTATATTACAATATATCGATCATTCATTTTCTTCTAATGTAAGTCAAAGACAATTGTCTTTTTAGGATCTATTATATGAATAAATGTTTTCCCAATGATTTAAGCGCTAAAGTTATTTGAAAGCATATTTTAAAACCTATATAATACTCTAGCCGTTGGCTATTTTCGTCTACTTTTACAACAAACCAATGAATTTCGCAAATATTTCTTAAAAATACTTCATTTATTCATTTGAAATATTTGTGTTAACCATTACTTATATCTAACCTTTATATCTAAAAAGTTATTGTATAACTTTCAACACATTGAATATACAGTATATATAATTAATATAATTTCATGTAAAGCACTTACCTATAATTTATATGTTAATTTCTTACATTTATTAGTATATTATTAATATTACTATTTTTTTTATATAATTAAAATTTTAAATATAAATTTGTTAATATAAAATAATATGACATTTATTTCATTATACAACATAAAATTAAACCAATAAATTATTTTTTAAGAGCTAGCTTTATAAATTTTTAATTTAATTTTTAATTTAATACATACAGATTTAACATATATGAAGATAATTATTTGAGAATTAATATTGATAATATAATTTAATTTAATTATAAAGTTAAAAATACATATAATAAACATGTTTTTTATTTTTTTATAAATGGTAACAATGTGACAGATTTTTCAATAAACATTTCTATAGACAAATATTTATATTATATAATTTATTAATATATTTTAAGCAATTTATATCCAATTGGTATTTGTCGATAATAAATTTTTATACTTATATAAATAAATAATCATTGAAATTTTATTAGTTTTATTTAAAATTACCTATATTAATCACTAATTTATTTTAGTTTATTTAACAAAATATTTAACAAAATATAACAAAGTTTTAACAAAATATTTAAATTGTGATATTATTTTTGTGCTACTAAAAATATTTAATAAAATAACTAGATTTAATTATAAAAATTATAATTGATATACATTAATAGATGCAAAAATTTGTTTAATAATTAAATTAATGCTAAAACTTTGGAGAAATTTAAGTTAGAAAAGATCAGAAAACATATTTAATACATAAAAATATTGTATATTTGTCTGAATAGCGGACTATTTGATGGGTTATGTTTGTGATAGCAATCATTGATATAATTCATAAGATTTTGTTATTAAAAGATTAATTTATAATTTATTAATATTTTAAGTTAAATAAAAAATTTATAGTATATTTAATTAAGATTTAGTTTTCTAAATCACATAAAATTTTAAATTTCAGGATTTATCTTATCTTTAAAAAAATAAAATATTTTGACAATTATTATCAAGCATTTCAATAATTGTATTTATTTTAACTAAATTATAGAAAATTTATAAATTAAAAATTAGAACTAACTAATAGCCAATTAATATAATTTCTTTGAAAATAATTAATAAAAATAATTATATATTTAATACTAGTATTCAAGATGTGACACATATATAGACAACTGTGGTGTTTGTGGTGGAAATGGCAATACATGTCGAAGAGTTGAAGGAGTGTTTGATTTGGATAAATTAAGAGTCGGTTATAATGACATATTGTTGATACCAACCGGTGCTACAAATATTAGAATTGAGGAGAGATTTGCTACAAATAACTATTTATCGGTCCGTAATATTAATGGACAGTATTATTTGAATGGGAACTGGAGAATACAGTTTCCCAGAAACTATACATTTGCCGGAACGACATTCTCTTATTATTCAAGAAGAAAACCATTTGGCATATTATCTCCTGAAAGTCTTCGAGCAAACGGACCGACAACAGAGCCATTGRTTATTGTATTGTTATTTCGAGAAAAAAATAAAGGATTGGTATTTGAATATACAGTTCCTACTGATAGTCAAATTCCTGGTCAGCATTCACTTTATACATGGATTTCGACAGACTTTTCTCAATGTAGCAAAACTTGTGGATCAGGCATTCAAACGAGATCTGTTAATTGTGTCAGAGTTATGGATCACTTGCCGGTGACCGACTCTCTCTGTGATTTAAGTGGCCGACCCATTGATAATCAAATATGTAACGCTCAGCCCTGTGCTAATTGGTTTACTTCAGACTGGACACAATGCTTATGTCATTACGGTATTCAACATCGACTGGTATATTGTCATTCATCGAGTGAAGAACAGAGCGGAAAAATTTTGGCCGATAATGAATGTCTTCAACTCAACCAAACAAAACCAACTTCTTTACAGAAATGCAAACTTGAAAAAGATTGTGCCGTTTGGAGAACAGGTGATTGGCAAAAGGTATTCACTATCTATTAAATCTTATTTATAAATATCAAAATAAATATAATTTTTTTTATTCAAACTCTAATATCATTGTTATATTAGTGTAATTCAAACTGTGGTCCGGGAACTCAAGTGCGAGAAGTGAACTGTACTTTAATGGACCAAATAGTGAACGAATCAGACTGTGAAGTCAATGTTCGTCCGATAGATACTCAAGAATGCAATGATATTTCATGTGATGGCGTCGATTGGATGACATCTGAATGGAGTTCTTGTGATGAACATTGCGGACCAAATATGCAAACGAGGAAAGTTGTCTGTTCTGATCAATTCGGGACTATATTTCCATCTGAAGCCTGTGATGTTAGCCGAATGCCTCAAACTAGTCGGTTATGTAGTGAAGAGCCTGAATGTACATCTATTTGGTACACTTCTGAATGGAGTTATTGTAGTACTAAGTGTGGTAATGGCGTACAAACAAGACATGTCTTCTGTGGACATACTAATGAAAACTCTGAAATTATTAAAGATGAAGACTCTCAATGCATTTCTGATAAACCCCAGAACGTTTCAGTCTGTCATCAAACTAATTGCACCGGTAGTTGGATGTCTGCACAATTTGATATGTGCACTGGTATGTACTGTATTAATATGTTATGTATAAAGCTTTTCTAATTATTATTTTGTTTACATCACTAGTTCCATGTAGTGGCGGTCAAAAATCAAGAAAAGTCATTTGCTTAAACTTAACTAATAATGTGGTCTCAGATGAAGACTGTGGTTCAGATCTAAAGCCGATTATCAAAGAAGATTGCAATACAAATGAATGCAATGAAGATATTTTGATTGCTGTAACAGATTGTAAGAATTCCAAGTATGGGTGTTGTCCGGATGGCATAACACCTTCTGAACAATTATATAGCAATTGTTCACCAATTGATATAACAAATGGATGTAATTCCACTGAATTTGGTTGTTGTAAGGATTTAGAAACGGCTGCTTTCGGACCTTTTCAAAAGGGATGTCCCATTCGGTGTAATTTTACTCGATTTGGGTGTTGTCCGGATGGCATCACTGTTGCCAATTCAAGCACTTTAGATGAATGCCCACAACCAACACAAGAAACTACAATAGTTACCACTCCTGAAACTACAACTACAGAAGTAGTTATTACTACAACTATGATTTCTGAAGAATTTGAGAATTTGAGTTTAACAAAATCTGATTGCATTGGAGAGGGATCAGGGGATTCACCTGACATCTCATGTGGTGAAAGCACTGAGAAGGATGTGGACACACAAAGTGAAAAGTCTTCCGATGGCGGCTGCAAGACATCAACATATGGTTGTTGTCCCGATGGCGTAACTGCTGCTTCGGGTAGTGATGGTGACGGATGTATTGAAGGAAGTGGTGATGTTGGAGAAGTGGATTGTAAAGATGAATCGTGTATTCCTGAAATTACAACTGAAATTATTGATTGTAATGCAACTGAGTTTGGATGTTGTCCTAATGGCAAGAAAGCGGCCACTGGTCCCCGATATTATGGCTGCACGTGTCAGGATTGTATGTATTCAATATACTATATATTGATGTTTTCGATGTTGATATTGTTTTAATTGATATTAGCGTCAAATATTGAACATTACTATTAATATAATATCAATTATATGTTAAATTAGTTGCCAACGGGTGCTGTCAAGACAAGTATACTCCGGCTGAAGGACCAAATTATGAGGGCTGTGTTTGTTCCCGTATGCTTTATGGGTGCTGTAATGATGGTATTAATTGATTTATTCATTAATATACTTTTCTATTTAAATAAATTTTATAATTTTAATTGAATAGGTGTTACCCCAGCAATTGGTCCAAATTCTGAAGGATGTAGTTGTGAGGCATCAACTTATGGTTGTTGTCCTGATATGGTCTCTCAAGCAAAGGGATCAAATTATGTTGGATGTCCATGTGATTCGTTAACTTATGGTTGTTGTCCTGGATCAATTACTCCAGCAACTGGACCTAACTTTGAAGGCTGTTCTTGTGCTAATACACCATTTGGTTGTTGTCACGATGGAATTACTATAGCATATGGACCCAAATTTGAGGGCTGTCCATCCGGACCATCACTTGACTTGAAATTAGCTTCAGAAGTTTGTGGTCTGAATAAAGAGAGGGGTTCGTGTCGTAATTATACTGTTAAATGGTATTTTGATGTCACATATGGCGGATGTAACCGATTTTGGTACGGAGGGTGTGAGGGAAATGGCAATAGATTTTCATCACAAGAACAATGCGAGTTATCGTGTGTTAAACCTGAGGGTCCAGAAAAATGTGCGCTTCCGAAGGTTAGCGGACCGTGCAATGGATCGTACGTTATGTGGCACTTCACTACTGAATCAAGAAGTTGTCAACAATTTATATATGGAGGATGTCTTGGAAATACTAATAAATATGATACTAAAGAAGTGTGTGAACAGTCATGTGTCCATCAAGAGACTGTTCTCGATAGGTGTGATCAGTCACCATCAGTTGGTATGTCCTAAACATCTATGTGTTAAGCAATAAGTCTTATTGAATGTATTGATGTAAACAGGTCCGTGTCGTGGAAACTACGAGCGCTGGTATTATCGTAAAGAAGAGGGTCGTTGTCTGCCATTTAATTATGGCGGCTGTAAAGGCAATCAAAATAACTTTCAATCGGAGGAAGAATGTCGTAACTCTTGTGGATCACAAACAGCTCAAGAAATTTGTGCCTTTCCTAAAGCAGAGGGTCCCTGTTTGGGGTCATTCCCGCGTTGGTATTATGATAACGACTTTGGTATTTGTCGGGAATTTATTTACAGCGGGTGTGAGGGTAATAAAAACAGATTTGTCGATAAAGGCAACTGTGAGAGGATGTGCAACCAGACTAAAGTCATGGCTAGAGCTGAAAGTGTGTGTTCACTACCCAGAGAGGAGGGCCCCTGTAGAGCAGCTATTATCCAATGGTATTTCAATCAAGAAACTCGACGCTGTGAAAGATTTTATTACGGCGGTTGTGAGGGAAATGGCAACCGTTTTGATGACAGAGCCTCTTGTGAGCGTTCGTGTCTATTCGCGCACTGGGATCGCAATATATGCCATCAACCTAAAGAACCGGGAAATTGTTTTGATTATAGAGAGCGCTGGTATTACGATCAAAAAGATAGAAAGTGTCATCGTTTTTATTACTCTGGATGTAAGGGTAATGAAAATAATTTTAATTCATTTGAAGACTGTTCCCAAAAGTGCGGACCATTTTCTGTTGTGTCAACTGAGTTATCGGTCAAACATTTTAAGACAGAATATTGTTTCAAATCCTATGAGTCGGGTCCTTGTCTTCAAAATGAAATTCGTTGGTTTTATGACAGAACTGATGGCGTTTGTAAGGAATTCCTATACGGCGGGTGTGAAGGCAATGAAAACAGGTTTACTTCTCGTAGCGATTGTGAGGCCAAGTGTTGGAACTCACAGAATATCTGCAAACTGTAAGCTATTATATTGTATAATAAATTTCAAAAAATTATAGAAATTATATTAATTTTAGGGAAAAAGTTGTCGGTTCCTGTTCCGGGCGTTTCACTCAATGGTATTTTGATAGCAATTCTAATGAATGTCTTGAATTCCTCTTCAGCGGATGTCATGGAAATGCTAACCGATTCAATAGTAAAGAGATGTGTGATGCCCAGTGCAAGTCACACACTTCAAGCGCAAGTGTTGGCACTGTATCGACGGTTCACAATATCTGCGATCAGTCACATATTGCCGGTCCCTGTCGGGGGTACTTTCCCCGATGGTTTTATTCTCGTGAAGATAATCAATGTAGACAATTCATTTATGGCGGATGTGAAGGTAATGATAATCGTTTTGATAGCAGTGAAGAGTGTGAAAGAAAATGTTTAACCAAAATATCAAAGCCTTGGGAAGGACCGGATGATTATGAATCGAGAGAAGGTTTGTATTATTTATTTAACAGATATTAACAAAAAAACTAAATTAATAATAATATATATTTGTTTAGTTGTCTGTCGTCAGGAGGTAGAGTCAGGTCCCTGTACTGAGACTCAAGCTCTTTGGTTTTATGATCCTCAAAGTCATACCTGTTTACCATTTGTTTACGGCGGATGTAATGGAAATAAGAATCGCTTTAAGACATATGAATTTTGTATGAGATTTTGTTCGGGAATATCTCCTCTACATTCAGTTCCGCCACAAATTCCTACTGAGAGAAGACCTGTCACTGAAATACCATATGAATGTTCAGTTGTTGAATGTGAGGAACAGAGGTGTCCATTTGGTATCGATGACTACATTGATGAGAGGGGTTGTAAAGCTTGTCGCTGTTCTAATCCTTGCTATGTCTATCAATGTCCTGAACACATGTCTTGTGCTGTTGAGGTATATAGAGATGAAAAGGGAGAGCCAAGAGCTCAACCTGTTTGTAGGCTTAAAAACAAACCAGGGGTTTGTCCGTCAGATTTATCATCAAACAGTTTAACTTCAGAGTGTATCGATCGATGCAGAACTGATGCCGATTGTCGTAAAGCTGATAAATGTTGTAACAATGGTTGCGCAATGGTGTGTGTCTTACCTGAAAACATATCAAATGTTTCAAAAAATATCTATACATATGAACCACATCACCCAAAAAGTGGTGATACCAATGATAATGAGTTTGTAGTTATAGCTGGAAGTAATGTAACGCTTAATTGCGAAGTCTCGGTGCAGTCAAATCAGGTTAGGTTAGGTTGGAGTAAAGACGGACAACCATTTTATTTGGTTACCGATAGAATACAATTGCTTCCAAATGGTTCCCTTTGGATCACTAATGTTGATAAAGAAGATGCCGGTAATTATGCCTGTGCTGTGGACAGCGGCACTACTTTACATTCAAGACTCATAATTCATGGTATGTTATACTTTATTTAATTATAATAAAGATATAAATAAATTAATTGCAATTATAACAAATGCTATTAACCAGAACCGGCACGTATACTACCCGGTCCACAAATTGTAATAGCTCAGTTAAATTTGCCCTCATACTTACAATGTAATGCTATTGGAAATCCAGACCCTAGAGTTACATGGTTTGATATTTACTAATTAATACTAATAATAATTTAACTAAATTTCAAACAATTGAATTGTTAGGTGGAAAGGGCAGCAAATGTTGCCATTGAATAGTATACAATACAGACAATTCAGTAATTTTACATTACTTATTAGACGTATTGATGATAAAGATGGGGGTGTCTATACATGTCAGGTATGATTGATTGGTTTAATACTTAATTTATAATAAATACAAATATTCGCATCAATTGTATTGTAATATTATCCTTAAAGGCATACAATGGTTTGGGACCAATAGCTCTATGGGATGTCATATTATTGCTTGATTCAGATTCAACTGAACCTGATATCAGGCCATACGATGCTTCAGCTTTCAACTCGACTAATATTAGAGATAATACTAACTATTCAATTAATGGCAACATTCATCCCATTGATCCCAATTTAAAGCCAATTATAACTAACCAAATGCCTGGTATAACTAATAATGATTATATCTAAAGAATAGTATTTATTAATAACAATTAAATAATTTCTTAAATGAATAAACAGAGCGCTTGAGTGCAGATATAAGAACTTTATCTTCTGGTTATACAATTGGATCAACACTTGAGTTGGAATGTGTTGTCAACGGAATGCATACGACTATAGATTGGTTCTTCAATAATGATATACCAATAGTGTCTGATAATAGACATTATAGGATACTTCCTAACAATACTTTAATAGTATATAACTTATCATCCAATGATTCGGGAGAGTATAGGTGTCGCGCCTCCAATCAATATACACAAGTGATTGCAATGTCCAAAATACGAGTTGAAAGTGAGTTATCAACTATTTGTTTAATTTTTTGAATAACAATTATCGTAATTTCATTATTAATAGGTCAACATATACCGACCGATTGCGAGGACAGTCCATTTTTTGCTAACTGTGACCTTATAGTAAAAGCCAAATACTGCAATAACCCTCATTATGCAAAGTTTTGTTGCCATTCGTGTCTTATTGCCGCTCAGGTCGACAACAAGTGGTAATCAAAAATCAATTGACAGCAATATATCACTGCCTTTAATATAGCTTTATATATATAAATTATATTAACTATCATTTAAATTAATTAAATTAAATTAGTTAATTGATATAAATTAAAAATTATAATTTTATAATCATTATATATATTTGACAATTATTACAGTATATCAAGACTTGAATCATATAAAAAATTATTTATTTAAATTAATCAATATATCAGTGTAAATGAAGTTATTTGTAAAAACTATTTTTTAAAAATGAATTTACAAACATTTAGTCCACATTTATCTCATTTATCTCTTTAATATAATGCATGTTATACTCAATCTTTTGGATAAAGTATGTCGTAATGACCTGTAATATATAAAATAAGTCAATCAAATAAAAAATATATTCAAATGTATGTAAAACCTGGTCTATAAAGTAAAAACACTTTCGGTGTTTGACTTGAGTTGTCATCGATGCCAAAGTCGTGTGTATTGATCTTTCCTTCAGCTCCTCTATCCATATAAACAATCCTAACGCCAACTTTGAAGACAGTGGTCAAAGCAATGATGTGGATGTGATCACTCTCTTTATACATTGGCTCCACTTCTTGCTTACAAAACTCAACAACAGTTCTGTGGCCTTCAATAAAATTAGAGAAGAAATCCGATTCTCTCTGGAGATGAACTGATGTTATGAGTCGTATATAACAAACTATAAAATCTGATGACTGCTCGTTAAATAATTGGATTAATTCCTCGAGAGTCATCCCTTCCGATATTCTCTTCAAAATATCCATAAACTATTCAAAAAATAATATTTTATTTACAATTATTTCGTTCACTTAATACCACATCATTTACCATATCATAAAAGTCTTCAATTGTATATTCAGTATATCCTTGTTTGACAATTTGTTCCTTACTTTGTTCAGCAATTGGCCAAAACCTATTCAACTCTTGTTTATCATTTAGAAGATATTCAAAGTACTTGAAAGTAAAGGCGCGAAAAAAGCAATTCCCGTCGGGTCTTGTCTTTCGGATAAATAAATAGTTTTCTTGTAAATCCTGTGATTAAAAACCAAATCAACTATAAAATCAATTGATATCACAAAGAGAACAATCAATCAAATTATTAATTACAGCAATCTTTTGCTGATAAATGAGGTCTTCAGATGAGTATTCGTCACTAAGTCGGGTTAATTCAAGTCTTGGTCCAACTAAACAACAATTCTCTGCGATCTCAGACTCGATGGCCTTTTCCTGAGCCATAATCAACTCATCACTATTTGCCTCTTGAGCTGCAATCAAGTCATCAATCAATTCATTTAATCCAACGGACGTATTCAACACTACCTTTGTTTGCATTGCATTCTTCGGCGTCTGTGTTGACATTCATTGCGGTGACAGTAAGTGTCTCTTCAAGTGGTAATTAGTGGTCAACCAAATGTTCAAATGAGACACAACTTGATTGTCAAACAATGTGTGGAAACAATACTTACAATACATTCATCCATTGATTACGTCTTCTCAATCAAAGCAATAGTTTTAACATAAAAGTCATTTTCATTTCATTTCATCAAAACTTTTAAATCATTTAAACAATTAATTTATTAACTATTATCGGATCAAACTATCCGTTATTTTACATAAAAAATCATTTTTAGTTAATATTTTCACAAAATCCTGAAAGGAGTTTGTTTTTAAATTCTGTCTGTCTGTCTGTCTGTCTGTCTGTCTATCTGTCTGTCAAAAATTAATATTTTTTATACCATATATTACTGTAAATTATTTATACGAGTAATATATTGTATAAATTTACATCATATAACATATGATAATCAATGATTGTTAATCATACAGGTATTATCAGATGATATAATTTATATATTAATAAAGTACTTATATTATATCAATAATCTATTTATCAATATCAATATATCTACTGTATATTAGTATTAATAAAAGTTAAAAAATAATAAGTTTGTTTTGACTTTGTTTTAATTCAGATTATTAAAAATATATCAATGTTTGTTGAAATTCAAATTTTATTTAYATTTACAAATAAATACATTTTGTAAATATTTTGAGTATTTTTTGTCTAATTTCACGAAAACAGAATTTTGTGTCAAAATATGATTGAATATATGTGTTATTTGATGTCTAAAATGAGTTTTTATAAAAATAATATAATTTTATATATCTTTTAATACAATTCATGAAATAATATTCAATAAAACTATTGTAAACATTTTTATATTATATATTTAAAATTTATTATTAAAATTGTTATTATTATTATTTGTTATTAATTCAATTATTTTATTTTTAACTTAAACTAATAATTTTGAGTATTCATTTTTAATAAACTCAAAATTATAAATTGTTTAAAATTAGTCTACTATTTATAATGTTTGATTTATAATAATAAATTTTATAAAATGATTATACAGTTTCTTATTTATTTAGTTTATTATTATTATTCAATCCGACGGATATCCTTTTGTTGATTATAGTATTAAGATAACAAAAATGTAGTTAATATTATATATGCTATAAATTAAACTTAATATTAATTTATAATCTAAGAAAATAAAATTATAATTTGTTATCAATTGAAAACATATACATTAAAAATATATATTTCAATTATATTATAAATTTAGTTTTAGCATTAAAATGAATACTTAGGTTCAGACTAATAAATTATTACAAATAAAGAAAAATTAATTTTTTATTTTTGAATTTTGATACTATACTCAGTATAGTATACTGTRTTAGCCAATACATTATACTTTCATAATATAATGATTTAATGCGATAGCACTTATTGTACTATAAATAAGTTATTTATAGTTMAGAAATGTTTGTCAAATTGTATTTTACATTATTGCAAATATGCAAATGTTTCAAATTGAAAGTATTATTGACCTGAATATTATAAATATAATTAAACAATTGTGTATTCAAGTCTATAAAACTAGTAAATAATTAATACAAGTATCAGTAATTTGATTTATTTACTAGTATTTGGAAAATGTGTAAATACATTGCAATGACCATTGACTACAATTTAGTGTCATTACAATAATTGATGCAATTCTAGTACTTATATACTGTAATATGAGTTTATGTAGAAAACGTGTTTCAATTTAATATTACTAGAGTTATCCAAAATACATAACAAATACAGGTACACAAATATATACTGTAATTTATCATCAATATAGATATACTACTGTATATAATTTATATTGCAAAATACTGACATATAATTTATAACATTATCATAGTCTGGGTTAAATAAATACTGTATATACTAGACTAATGTGTAGACTAACCGCTAGTATCGTTATTTAGTTTTCACGAACTCCTGAAAGGAGTACGTATCTGAATTCTGTATGTCCTTCCGTCCGCATTTGATTGAATTTTTAAATTTTGACTTCAGATTTGGATTAATCATCAAAAATAAGGTATAGGGGATCAGCATTAAAATTTTGATATCTCTTCGGGAACATATAGAAAATGGCGGCCAAAGTAAAAAAAAATTTAGATAAAAATTTTTAAGTATAGATTTGAATAAAGCATCAAAAAACAATCATAAGGAATTAGCATTAAAATTTTGATATCTTTTCGGGAACATAGAAAAATGGCGACCAAAGTAAAAAATGTTAGGTAAAAATTTTAATGTTAAGAATTGTATAGAGCATCAAAAATAAGGTATAATAGATCAGGATTAATTTTTTCAAAAATGGCGGCAAAAGTATTAAAAATTAAATGTAGTTTATTTTGTCATACTGAATCATTTGATATTTAAAATGACTATAGTTAAGTTTATTTTGTCATACTAAATCATTTGATACCCTACATGACTAAAGTTGAATTTATTTAGTCATACTGAATCATTTGACTATAGTTGTGTTTATTTTATCATACTTAATCATTGGATTTTATTTTTATTTTTAATTCGTATTAGGAGTTCTTATGGAAATGCTTTMTAGCATTCTCAACTGATTATATTTATAATTCATAAATATTTTTTAAAGTAACACTTTATGAATCATACAGTGTTTTCCTATTGCTTTTGATTGGTTTGCAAATGATTTGATATTTTTACAAATACTTTTGAAGTTGTAATTKAATGTATGAAATGTGTTTGAAAAATACAATTATATACTRTATTATATAAATATGAATTAACTTAAATTTCCAAATGAACTTCAATTTTGTAGTTACTGTATATAATATAATTTATTTTACATATTTTGGTTCTCAAAATTTGTATTCACTTTAGTATTAATGCATTATTCAATACCCTATAAATTATTAGATAAAATAAATAATGGATTATTTCATTAAAGCAATGGTAAAAACAGCATCTGTTATGTAATACAAAACATGACTTAATATATTGGTTGTGAATGTGATATCTATTTATTGAATTAAATGTCAAAATAAGAATTTTTAAACATATTTGTTGAGTAATTATTGTATAAAAGAGATCGAAATATATTAATTATAGATTTATTGTTGAGTTGTAGATCCCGGGTTCAAATCCCATCTATGACTGACTTTTGTAATTCCATTTTCATGAGTTATAAGTGTTTTCAATGTCACTCTGTGTTGAACTAATAATCTTTAATAATGTCAACGTTTATCAATTTACTCGACTAATCCGTTATTTATTAGATAAGATAAGACTAAAAAATTAGTCTAATTATACCCGAAATTATGTGTTTGTTATTAAATTTATTTTAATTAAATTAAAAAATAAATTCAAATTTAATTTAAAATTATTTTGAGAACGTATTATTTGAATGAACTTTTTATAGGTCTTTAATAAAGAAAAGCCATTAAATTGTATTAAATTTATTGAATGAAAACTATTTGTGTTTTAAAGCAGTTATGTATTGTATTTAGTGGTGAAATGCGATAATACTGTTATAGTATTACAGTATTACTGTATGAATACTGTATTGATATTTATTGGTAACGCCTTAGAGTCGCGCAGTCGTTGTGTTGCTCGGCGTCGGAGACATGCAGTGAAGCGTCATTGCATTGCATTGATTGAGTGATTATAGCATTAAATACATTGAGAATGCATTCAGTGTTCAAAATGGAGTGAAGTGTCAAACAGTGAAACCATTGAGACTTCAAAACAATTGAAACTTTTGAATCAATTTATGATTTATTAGTCATTTATTTGTCGATAATATAAAAGAGTGTTAAGTGTCGTCATTTGGATCAGTTATGCCTCCACCACAAGCGCCAGATCCTCAACAAGACTTAAATGGCACAGTCGTGCCAAAGACAGAGTTGGAAGAGATTCAGATGAAGGCCAATGCTGTGACCGATGACTCACTGGAGTCGACCCGACGGATGTTATTACTCTGTGATGAGTCAAAAGAGGCCGGAATCAGGACATTGGTGGCACTCGACGAACAGGGGGAACAATTGGACAAAATTGAAGAAGATATGGACAAAATTAATACTGATATGAAAGAGGCGGAGAAGAACTTAACAGGAATGGAGAAGTGTTGCGGTATATGTGTGTGTCCTTGTGGTAAGTCTAGTGAGTTTAAGGAGGACGCGGGCACCTGGAAGTCATCAGAGGACGGCAAGATTGTCTCCGGACAACCACAACGTGTTGTCGATGAACGTAATGGTGGAGGTATTATCTCTACGCAATACATCGCTAAGATTACTAAAGATGCCCGAGAAGATGAAATGGAGGACAATATGGGACAAGTGTCTACTATGATCGGTAACTTGAGGAATATGGCCATCGATATGGGACAGGAGATCAGCTCACAGAACCAACAACTCGACCGAATCAATGCTAAGGCGGAGTCAAATAAGGACCGAATCCAAGGCGCCAATGAAAGGGCACAAAAGTTACTCAAATAACCGCATATTTCTTATCAAATGAACTAACAGTTAGTCTGTGGTTTCGCATCCCATTCCTTATCACTATTGATAACAACATCTCATTCATAATTTGCTAAATGACTTTCAGTTATCAAAAAATTAATTAATATATAAATGAAATTTAATTTATTTTTTATATAATTTATAACATTTATAGAAAATTGTTTTAATTGTTATGTTTAGCCTTTTGTCACATTTTAATAATTTTGATAACTTAAGGATTGTTTTGAAGTTATTGCAAGAGTTAATCAACTCTTAAAAACAAAATACCTTAACATTGGCTCTTCATTTTGTATTTTATTATTATATTAACATAAAACTACATTATTTATTGAGTAAAACCTCAAATTATATGGATTAATACAATATATACAATATAATTAATCGCATATATAATCTTATTATAGAAAATTTCTAAAACATACTCTATTCAGATGAAAATATTTTAACTTTGAAAACTAAATATATAAATAATACAATTATTTTAAATCAAATTTTAGTAAAATTATATATAAATATTTTATTGTTAAATATTAATAATAATATAAATTTATTACTGTATAATATCTATACATAAGTTATAACTATTGGATAATATGTTAAAAATTAATTTAATATCAATTAATTATAGCACTTATTTAAAAATACAAAATGATTTAATACAGTATAAAAATTATATTATTAAATACATATACACTTAAATACGGATAATTAGATATTTATTTGAATAATTAATTGATCGAAATAACAAAATTGTTAAATAATAATAAATTCATTTTTTTATTATTAATTATTTAAACATTTGGTTGTTTTAATCAATTGTCACGAATGAAGAGCCGATTTTGCAAAAACGTGTGATACAATTGTTGTATTCATTGAGAGCCAGTGTTTATGCTCTCAATATATGTATATAACATAAACTTATATATTATTTATTCATAAAATACTCAGATTTTAAAATTATAATTTAATTTAATAATATATGAAAACAACATTTAAAGTATTTGGTAACAAATGTGGATTAAATCAATGAAGTGCTTTAGTATTGGAAACATCGAAATTATTGAATCCTATGTTATTATCAATTATTGATGATTTAAAAACATGATTAAACTATTGTGAACCAAACCATGCGATATATGATATTAATAATGATATGCATTTTATCGGGTTTTAACTAAATATATGTATAACCAATCAATTTAACTATTGTTAAGTTTTTTCAATGTATTGTTTTCTTCCAACAGTTTGGCAAAATATTTCATTTATTAAAAATTATTTATTAAACATAAATATCATACAAAATTAAATTTTATTAAATTAAAAATTATTAATTTGGTTTAATTTGATTGATATAATTGCTAAACTTTGGCAATGCTGAGAGTAAGTCAGACATTTTGACAATAAGATTGCAATGATCTTCATTAACATCAATATTATCATTCATTTGTTTGATATGTCTATCAATACAACTCATTAAGGCATTTGAACAGATAGAGTACATGTCTGCGCCCGACATTTTCGGAGGACATAAGCTCTCAACTTGTTGTAAATCAACGTCGGAATCAAAGTTAAATTTTCTCGTCAATGCTTTCAAAATTTTAAGTCTTGAATCACTGTCTTCAGCTAATCCCACATATAATAATCTGTCAAACCTTCCGGGTCTAAGTAAAGCACTGTCCAGCAAATCGACTCTATTTGTGGCTCCGATAACAAAGACCTGATTTGATTTATTGATTCCATCCATTTCTGCTAACAATTGAGAGACAACTCTATCCATAACACCTCCTGAATCGCCACTATGTCCTCTATTAGGTGCTAATGAGTCCAACTCATCAAAAAATATAACAGCCGGCGCGTGTCTTCGGGCCCGACTGAATAGATTGCGTACATTTTCCTCACTTTGTCCGACAAACATATTAATCAATTCGGGTCCTTTGACGCTTAAGAAATTTAGTGAACATTGATTAGCCGCTGCTTTTGCCAACAATGTCTTTCCAGTTCCGGGCGGACCGTAAAGTAAAACTCCTGAGCGCTTGAACCCCAATGAACTAAGTTGTGGACATTGAATGGGCAGTTGAATGGTATCTAATATTTCTGATTTGATGTGTTCGTGACCTCCGACATCATTCCACGTGACATTTGGTATATTAGGTGATCCGTCAAATTGTAATTTCTGTAATTCATTCAATGATTTAAATAGATGATCGTTCGTTAAGACAACACCAGAAAGTGCATAACTTATGGTATCGGAGTCATCAGTTTTATCGCAAATCGAGTCATAAGCATATTTAAGTGCTTTTGAAATCAAAGTCTTGAGATCTGCTAAACAAAAATCAGTAGTTTTTTGTGCCAATTCTTTATATTCTATATTACAGGTAACTATTTGTCCAATAAGTGATCGAATAATGGCTTCTCTTTCATCAGTCTTAAGACATTCAATTTCTATGAAATGAGTAAATATTAAATTTAACTCATTATTTACAAATTTTTTCGGTTCAGAATTGGTTGCAATCAGTATTACTGGATATTCGTTAACCGATTCTTTCAGTTCAAGTAATGTCTGAATAAATGTCTTCGTAATTCTTGAGTCGTCATATAATTCATTATTTGATAAAATGTTAATATTAGAGATCAAGACAACTGTCGGCGCATAACAAACAGCTTTCATAAGACTGGCTTTAATTTTAGTTTCCAATTGAGAAACACTTTCGGTCAACAATTCGTTAATATTAATGTTATAGAGATGAAGATTCCAGTGTTTACACATAGCTCTGACAATGGATCTCTTGCCGGAACCAATTGATCCTTCAATCATAATGGTACCAATTCTAGTCTGTTTAGACATTAGATACGGCATTGTTATGTCGCATAATTTTTTTATATAATTCTCTAAACCACATATATTTGGATTATCTTCAAATTGATTAACATTTGTTTTATAATAAGATGAGAGAGTAACCGGAATAAAACAATTTGAAGTTGAAATTTGATACAAATTTGAATGATTTGAATCAATTAAACAGCCGGTACTGTCAATATGTGAAACCCGAAAATAGATAACTGGCCAATCATTTTGATATAACTCTTTTGATTGATTATAAAATGATAGGTCGTCACGACTCCAAATACCAATTATATCATTGGTTACTAAGTATCGGCTTTTATTAAAATAGATTTTAAGTAAAGATGAAAAATCAGTATTTGCTGAATATTCTGGTGATTTTATAAGTGAAATCTGTATTTCTGGACAATATTTAATTTGATCGCTCAATACTTCTTTTCGTATCTGAAATTAGTAATCAATTATTTGTCATATAATTCAATGTTTGAATTAAGTTTTAAAAGTAATAAAATAACGATTAAGATTATTACCATTAAAGTAACATTAGGTTGAATTAATGGCTGATTGATTCCATGAGAGGACAATCCTTGCAAATTAAACCATAATTGTGGTGATATATAAACTACATTATCATTGCTTATTGAATCGATAGCAAACAATTGGGACAGTCGTGATTTAGGTTTAACGTGATTATCACTTGTAGAAAGCCATATACGCACCCAATCTTGAGGTTCAGCTTTAAGTTTATTGATAATAGCATTTGTTGAAAGAAATACACAACCATTTTCAGAATCTACTTCAGGTATGGACGGACTCTTCGATAATATTATTACTTGAAATGAAAATGACATACATTTTAAAAAAGTTGTCGAAGCAGTCAATGTCTGTATAGCCGCAAGACTTTTGTGACCCGACTTTTGGTCAATAAAACCATCAGAAGAGTTGCAAAGAGTGGGATTTAGAAGTAATCTCGAAGTAAAGTTCATTAAATTCAAAGCATTCATTATCTTATTATCGGACACTTGGTTTGATACCAACTCTTCACTTTTAGTCGTATAAGATAAATGTCTTTCATTTACACATTTACTTATATTTAAGATTATAAACTCTGTATCCAATGTCAATAATCCCTGAAGAATTGGTTCACAATTTAATACAATTAAGTTGTCGTTGCCGTCAAATGTGTCATATTTTCGACACAATATCTTCGTGTGATTTTCAGCAACCAAACTCTTCAACTGTTGACACCATTTATCATCATTTTTCATATAATTATATAACTGATCCGTTTTCACTCCAATAGTTATTTTACTAATTTTTGGACAATTTTTTATAAATTTGATAAACAAATTGTTTTGACTATCAGTCAGATTATAATGAGTTAAAAATTGTTGATTAACTATCAGTTGTATTGAATCATTCAATTGGTGACCAATTGAGTGATTTTCCAACAATTTAATAGATATAAACAATGCGTTCAGATCTTCATTGGCCATCATTTTATTAATAATACAACCGATTGTATACCCATTTTCATCAAACAACTCATCCGAAAGTTTGTTAATTAAATAACAAATTAAATAACTATTGTTTTGGTCTTCATTACCATTAAATTGTATGCTATTGGTGTTCAACAGGCTATCATCTAATGTCAATCTGAGTGGAAGTGCTGTTTCATACATTGCTGAAGACATGAAGAGAGCGTTGATGAGAGAAAAGTGATGAACTGATCGATACAAACAAATGATGAAACGTTTGATTGAATTCAATACTTGTATTCAATATAATGTGTTTTGTTGTCATAGAGAGAGAGCAATGAATAATACACTGAATATAGCATTCATTGCATTACATGTCATAACATTTGAGTGACATTTCAATTGACGACTCATTCAATGTAAACATATGTTTGTATGAAGAAGTGAACCATCATTTGGTTGACCACAAAGTTGTCACTGATTTGTCACTTCAGAGATAATTGTTTTGTTCAACCTTTTCATAACATTTCTAGTCATCACTAATCTAGTCTTTATTAGTTGTCGTCGACTATGGGAACTACAGATTCAAAGCTAAATTATAGGAAAGCCATCGTCGAGTTGACCACAAAAAGCCAACCAATTGATACCAAAGACGATCACTTTTGGGATCAGTTTTGGTGCGAAAACATTAACAATATTCAAGATGTTTTTGCATTAATACCGGCGCCAGAAATCCGAGCTTTAAGGGAAGAGTCGCCTTCAAATTTGGCCACTTTTTGCTATAAAGCGGTCGAAAAGTTGGTTAAATCAACGGACAGTCTGTGCAATACCTCAGCTCAACAGCAAATTGTTGTAAATAGTGTCCGTTTGCTAACCAGAGTCTTACCCTATATTTTTGAAGATCCGGATTGGAAGGGATTCTTCTGGTCGAGTCTTCCTTCAGCTTCATCTGAATCACATAAAGATGATCAAGAAGTACGCCAAGAGAATCTTCCGTTGGCACAGTCACTGCTTCTGGCCATTTGTGATCTACTTTATTGTCCCGACTTTACAGTTGCTCCGTTGCCATCAAAAGGCAGTAAATTTGGTGCACCCGATTCCCCACCTGAAGATCTGCAATCTATAGATAGTTGTGAATACATTTGGGAAAATGGCGTCGGATTTACAAATCCAGTGACAAATTCATCGTTTTATGACAAAAACAGAGCGGAATTATTACGTCTTCTGTTGACTTGTTTCAGTACATCTATGTATATAACAGCCAACGAAGCCGGACATACACCGAACCGATGGATACAATACTTTACAAGTGTTGAGAATCGTCATGCGTTGCCATTGTTTACATCATTATTAAATACTATCTTCAGTTATGATCCAAACGGTTATTTACCATTCAATCATTTGTTGTTTAACGACTCGAAAGAACAAGTGGTGGAAATGGCTCTTCAAATACTAATTGTGACCTTAGATCACGATTTTAGTACAGATAATGCACACAATTATGGCGGTGCTTCTGAAGACTTACTTCAAGACAATCTTTTTATTAATTACTTGTCTCGCATTCATCGAGAAGAAGACTTTGCATTTATTTTGAGAGGTTTTACGAGATTGTTAAATAATCCATTGATTCAGACATATATTCCCAATTCAACCAAAAAAATACAGTTTCATCAGGAATTGCTCGTACTTTTCTGGAAGGTTTGCGATTATAATAAGAAATTCATGTTTTATGTTCTTAAGAGTAGTGATGTCTTAGATATATTGGTACCAATTCTTTATCATCTAAATGACAGTCGAACTGATCACTCAAGAGTAGGACTCATACATATTGGAGTCTTTATTTTATTGTTATTAAGTGGTGAACGAAATTTCGGTGTTCGACTAAATAAGCCCTACTCGGCCAGTGTTCCCATGGATTTACCAATCTTTACGGGAACTCATGCGGATCTGTTAATAATTGTATTTCATAAAATTATCACAACTGGACACCAAAGACTTCAGCCGTTGTTTGACTGTTTGTTAACTATCATAGTTAATGTCAGTCCTTATTTGAAGACATTATCAATGGTTTCGAGCACTAAATTATTGCATTTATTGGAAGCATTTTCTACTCAATGGTTTCTTTTCTCTAATCAAACCAATCATCACTTGATTTTCTTTTTATTGGAAATCTTTAATAATATAATACAATATCAATTTGATGGCAACTCTAACCTTATTTATACAATTATAAGAAAGCGTCATATTTTCCACTCTTTAGCTAATTTGCCCACAGATTTCTCTACAATTCAAAAATCGCTTAATAAGAAAACAACTTTAACTCGAAAACCTAAATCATTGTTCACTTCAACATCGATAGCCTCCACTTCGAGTCCGAGTTCTCCGACTTCTCCAACTATGACATCGCCTCCTACGAGTCCATTAGAAAAACAAGAAATGATGGCACCGTTAGTTGATTCAAATGAGAATTCATTGAATCTTATATTAGCAGCGACGCCAAGAATAGATAAAATGACTGAAAAAACTCATCCAAATCCTAAAACCGTTCGCACAGACGATGATATGCAAAGTAATGACACTTTTGAATCAAACATTAGTAATAACGTATTGACGCGTCAATCAAGTGAGTCATCGACTACTTCGGGTAGAGCGGGTCAATGGCAACCAACGACTGAATGGATCAATACGTGGAAACAAAAATTACCGCTTCAGACAATTATGCGAATGCTTCAGGTAGTGATCAATCATATTGTTATTATTTTAATATCCATTCACCGGTTTTTGTCAGGTTCTTGTACCTCAAGTCGAGAAGATGTGTATCGATAAGGGAATTACTGATGAGAATGAAATTCTCAAATTTTTACAACACGGAACTCTTGTGGGACTCCTACCAGTGCCACACCCTATACTTATTAGGAAATATCAGACCAACGCGGGTACAACACTCTGGTTTCGGACATATATGTGGGGAGTTGTATACCTGCGTAATATTGAGCCTCCCATTTGGTACGACACTAATGTCAAACTCTTTGAAATTCAGAAACTCTAAGTGATCTAAAAATCAATGAAAGCAAAGTTACTTTTACCGTAATCAGTGGTTTTCGTTATAAAAAAAATATTCGTAAAAGACATTCTTTTATTGGACACAATTTGACGTTTATTCCTAAATTTGTTACTAAAATTGTTGACCAAAAGTTATTATCAAACAATCTATTAATTCTAGTCATTTAACAGTATTTTATTATTTTATTCATTTATTTGAATGTAATTTCTAGTCTTTATATACAATTTGAATCAAATATTTTAATTGTTAAGTATTACTAAATATTTGTATGTTTACTATTAAATGTAAAATTTTTAATCATTTCAATTATTAAACTACTTAAGCAACTGATTGTCAGTGACATAATCTTTAGGATATCCAATGAGTCTTTCATCGTCGGGTCGCATCACTGGCCAATCAAAACAATAATTAAATATAAATAAAATATATAACTATTATATATGAATACAAAAACAAATAAATAGGTGACCAACCAATATATCTCTCTTTAAATCTAGTTATGTATCCACCGGGAGGTGTGCGGGCACAGTCAACGATCAGATAACCAATACCGAAGACAAAGACACCAAAAGTGCCGTAAAGATATGGGACATCATTCCAGCCCTGTTTGAAAGCTGCTATGTCTGCAACCATTATCATCATTAGTACCATCATTGACAACATTAACCATTATATATGATATATGCTTACATCGCTGACTTGAGCCCATCATTCGGGTCAACATTACTACCAATTATTTCAAATTAAAGTATAATAGTATTAAAACAAATTAGTGATGTTATGACAGACTTTATGACAAACTTTCAGAGATTATCACTGAAGAGATCAACTAATTTAATGTTTGTTTATATACAGTATATACAAACATAACATACAATATGGGCTGTTCTACACTTTAAGACCCGTAAGTGTCTATTCTGATACAACGTTACTGAAAATAACAACAAATAAGTCATATCTTAACTATTTTTTGTTATTTAATTTAGACTTAGTATTATAATTAAAATTATGTTTATTAATTTATTAATTTATTAATTTATTAATTTATTAATTTATTAATTTATTAATTTATTAATTTATTAATTTATTAATTTATTAATTTATTAATTTATTAATTTATTAATTTATTAATTTATTAATTTATTAATTTATTAATTTATTAATTTATTAATTTATTAATTTATTAATTTATTAATTTATTAATTTATTAATTTATTAATTTATTAATTTATTAATTTATTAATTTATTAATTTATTAATTTATTAATTTATTAATTTATTAATTTATTAATTTATTAATTTATTAATTTATTAATTTATTAATTTATTAATTTATTAATTTATTAATTTATTAATTTATTAATTTATTAATTTATTAATTTATTAATTTATTAATTTATTAATTTATTAATTTATTAATTTATTAATTTATTAATTTATTAATTTATTAATTTATTAATTTATTAATTTATTAATTTAATTTATTAATTTTAATTTATTAATTTATTAATTTATTAATTTATTAATTTATTAATTTATTAATTTATTAATTTATTAATTTATTAATTTATTAATTTATTAATTTATTAATTTATTAATTTATTAATTTATTAATTTATTAATTTATTAATTTATTAATTTATTAATTTATTAATTTATTAATTTATTAATTTATTAATTTATTAATTTATTAATTTATTAATTTATTAATTTATTAATTTATTAATTTATTAATTTATTAATTTATTAATTTATTAATTTATTAATTTATTAATTTATTAATTTATTAATTTATTAATTTATTAATTTATTAATTTATTAATTTATTAATTTATTAATTTATTAATTTATTAATTTATTAATTTATTAATTTATTAATTTATTAATTTATTAATTTATTAATTTATTAATTTATTAATTTATTAATTTCACGGCTTTTTAGTATACTAATAGTATTATAATGTTACTGACCAGTAGTCATTAATATAAACATCTAATTTTTTGATAGATATAATCTTAATTATAAAATTAAGTTTTAATTAACTAAATAAGAAAAAATAATTATGATATGATTTATTTATTTATATATTTTTAGTAACATAGTATCAGAACAAACTGGCGTTAAAGTGTAGAAAACCCCAGATATGTAAACATTATATGTTTGACTCAATGTTATTATTGATATACAGTTTATAAGTTATACCATAAACTCTATGATATATAACATACTGTTTGGCAAAATGAGTCCATATTTGGCACTTCAGTCATCATCTATTTGATCTGTTTGGTGACATTTGTGTCAATATAGACGATARTAAGTCATCCAGAAATGGACAGATCAAACACTTCGGTGATATCGTCAAAATACGAACAAATGATGACTGAAATGGGTATGTCTTTCAACGAATTCAATGTCAATAACTAATGATTGTTATKTCTGGTGATAGTCGACCATAACTTCCAAGTGATTCGCTTCAGTTCATACAGAACTGCTTCAAAGTTACGTTTTATTCAACATAAGACTAATTGTATGTATTAACCACTTAATTGAAATCCTAGTTACTTCCTGAAGAATAATGATTAATTCAAACATTATCACCCAATTTAGTCCATTTGATTGATCTGTGGAATTCAATTGAAGCCATTCGTGACAGCGGTTTGAACAATATTCAAGACATATCATCACAGATATCAGTGCAACGCTTGGAAACATTGGTTACATCAGTATTTTATTCGCTATCAAAACGTCTTCCACAGTCATTATCATTAAATTTGGACCAATCTATTGAACTGATGCTCAGTTGGCTTTTAGCCACTTATGACCCGTAAGTTCAGTATATTGAATAAATTGAAACAACTGATCCAATAATTTTTCAATATAATGTGTTGTTTTTATAGCACTGGTTGTGGCAAAGTTAATGTCTTTGGAGTGAAGATTGCGTTTGCAATCATGTCTTTCGGTAAATTAATAGACAAACTTCGGTATATATTTTCTCTCATATCAGATGCCAGTCGAGGCCTTCTAATTGAAAGTTATTTTAATGCATTTCTTCGAGAATCAATGGCTCTGACGGCTAGTGTCGCAGAAACGACAACTTTTCAATACGACGATAGTCTCTCGTCGTCTATCTTTGACTTTAGTCAAGCCATTGATTTACATTTATTTATGTCAGTCTTCATAACAACAAATAGTCCTCCACTTTGTATTTCATGGATAGTAATACTACACCGAATGGCTGAAGTCGAACAAGTGGTTCATCCAATTGCTTGTAATGCCTGCAATAGACAGCCTTTTAATGGATTTCGATATAAGTGCCAAAAATGTTTTAACTATAATTTATGTCAGGATTGCTTCTGGAGAGGCAGACATTCAGGTTCTCATAATGCAGACACACACGCCTGCAAAGAGTACGGCTATTGGAAGTCACCGACAAAACAAATCGGACATTCTTTACGCAAATCATTTCGTTGTATTCCTTCAAATCGGACACAATTACAATATATCGACGAACCACCGAAAGATAAGCGCTTTAATTTGAGTCATATCGTACCTCCGTCTCCCGTTCCCACTATTCATCACATGAATAGTTTGAATCACATGCGATCGACTTCTTCTGATTTAGAGTCACTTTATGGAAGTTTTAAATACAGATCTCCTTCTTCTATACACACAACAGCTACTAATGAACATAAGACTGATGACGAAGAGCACCGTCTCATTGCACGATATGCCGCCGCTTTAGCCAATTATACTAAAGGATCGGTACTGACTAATAGCACTTCACAAGTAGTTAATGATATTTCAAATCAGCAAAGAGTTATTAAACAATTAGAAGAGAAAAACAGAGAAATTATGAAAGAAATAGAAACACTTAGACTTGAAAAACAAGAGAATGAGATGAAAGACTCGCGGATTAAATCGAGCAGTCATTATGCAAATGTCAGTCAAACACAATTGGATCCAATTTTGTTGACTGAATTGTCGGCATTAAGACAACGTAAAGAAGAGTTAGAATCACATTTGAGTGCACTTCAGGATAGTCGACGCCAACTAATGGTTCAATTGGAAGGCTTAATGAAATTATTGAAAAATCACGGAAACCTACTTTCGATTCCTAACAGTGCCCCGAGTTCTGCCTCTTCAACACTTAACCGAAAATATGTTAACTCATTGACTTCTACTGTATCTGAATCAATGTTAAGTGACATAAGTAATGCCACCGTTTCTACGGTAAATCGGGATCTTTTAGTTGCTGCAGATTCTGTCACTAATGCTATGTCATCGCTTGTTAAAGAACTTAATTCAGATGATGAAGAAGATTTAGTCCAACAAATCAAACATAAAGTTTTAATTAATGAAATAATAGACAATACTAATAGACAAAACATTAATTTGGATAAAGATATCGAAATAGAAGAACAAAAATTGGTATTAATATTAATTATTATTAAAAATATCTTTTTTTTTATCCCAAAACACAATATTTTTGTTTAATTATAGAAATCCAAAGCATTGGCCGCTTCGGTGGCTTTTTCTTAAGTTGTTTTATATTTAGTTTAATTTATTTGTTAAATGGTATGTTATTATTATTWATTATTAGTGTTATTATTACGGATAATTATTTTTTTGAGTTAATTTAATTAACAATATCAACTTATTTATTTATCAGGCTTATAATATAGGTTTATATGTCAAAAATAAATCAAATAATAAACAAATAAAAAGCAGTTCAAAGTGTAACTCACTTTATACTACAACTGATGATGAAAGCTTCATTCATACCGATGATGACGATTTTGATGACATTGATGATCAATCGTGGAATATATCATAAATTACAATTACCTCACCGGTAAATGTTTTATAAGACAGTATTATAATTTAAATAAAATTATTTTTATTACAATATTTATTATGCCATTAATTTTTAAATTGATTAATTCATTTACTTTTTTAAGAATTGCGTTGCTTTTGTCGATTTAGTAGTAAATGATTATAAATTTAGGATTTTGTTTCTATTAATATAATGAAAATCATTGACAATTTAATAGTTATATACAGTATAATAATATAATAAATATAAATAGCAATTAGATTAAAATGATATTACCTTTAAATATGTTATTAGTTAATCCTCCTTTGATGAGATGGATATACATTGATTTAGTTTGTGAAATGGGTTTATTAATGAGAAAATTCAATTGCTTTTTCATTACTTTAAGTTTTCTCATTTCGTTTGAATTTTTATGTTTAGATTCTTCCGATGAATCGGAATCGGAATCATTAAGAATTTCACATTTCTTTGCGTTCAATCGGAACCAATCTTCGTGTGATTTCTCTTTTCTGATTTTATGATCCAATTTATCACACTTTAGTGCCAAATCTATGCGTTGTTTAAGTGATCTTAAGTTTGAACGATCGATAATAAAGTCTTGAATATCATTGCCTTTGTTTAATGTATTACACAATTGTTTGTAATAATTTGCCTCTTCTTTTGGTTCGCATATTAGTAAACTAAGACCGGTATTAAAAGCACGTGCCGTACGACCACATCTATGAATATAAATTTCAGCCGTTCTTGGGATTTGGTAGTGAACCACATGATCGACGTGTGGAATGTCCAGTCCTCGAGCAGCGACATCACTGGCTATTAATACAGATTCTGAATTTGATGTAAACTTTTCTAAATTCAATAAACGTTTCTTTTGAGGCATTGATGAGTGCAATGACAGTGGATTCAACTGAAGAATTCTTAAAATATTGACAATTCTTCTCAAACAGTCTTTGCTATTACAAAATATTAAAGTTCTTCCCTTAAATAAAACTAAAAAATAATAGAGATATAAGTCCTTCTCTTCAGATAAACAATTAATTTTGAATTCAGTTAATTGTTGTTCAGGAATGGCGACACCTTTTTTGGTCAAATCAATCACTTTTGTTGACTCAGACTTTAATCCAAAAAATTCAATAAAATTTTTCAATTTTTGTTTTTCTGTTAACTTATTTGTCGTATTTTTCTTGTTTTTTGTTTTCATATCAAGTCGTTTTGGCAAAGAATATGTAAGAGTTAGTGTCGCAGAAAAAATAAATATCTGTTTTTCAATCAAATTTTGTTTAATCAAATTCAATAGTTTAACTAAATCTTTGAAATGTCCTTTTTCTGCCATTCTGTCCGCTTCATCGATAACTAAATATTTAATATCACATATAGTTCTCGATGTCAAGTGATCAGACGATTCATCTTCCATTAGTTCCCATAATCTTCCGGGTGTCGCAACTATTATATCGGGTCTTAATTTTTTCAAAATCCTTTCTTGTTTCTGAACAGACATTCCTCCAACAAGTACTCCAACAGTTACTCCAATATATTTAGTAATTGCTTCTAAATGTTTCTTCACTTGAATGGCTAATTCTCTGGTCGGCGCCAATACCAGTGCTCTTAGTTTGGATTCGTCGGAATTCATCTTATCTTTCATTATATGTGTGACTAAAGGTATACCAAAAGCCAATGTCTTACCACTTCCAGTCTGTGCTGCGCCTAATATATCCAACTTGTCTTCGATGGCAACTTTAATGGTTTCCGATTGAATCGGTGTCGGACTTGTAAAAGTCAAATCATTTAACGCCTTTAGGATATCATCGGGAATAGACATGTTTTGCCACAAATGCATTGATTGTAACGTATCAACTGATGGTTCATTGTCTTCCTCGTCATCATTATCATCACTGTCCTCTTCTGTGACATTTTGTTTAAACTTCTTTGACTTATTTTTACGTTTCTTGACTTTTCGCTTATTATCTGTTTTGTTGTCTCTGTTTTCGATGCAATAATCACCCAACTCTTCAATAGCCACTAAACCATCAAAGTCTGTATCATTGAATCCTTCGGTCGATTCAATGACCACTGGTTTCCACTTCAGAGGTTTGCTTTTAAAAGGCATTTCAAATGATTATACAATTAACACATGTTTTCATAATAAATACAATAGAAACACGTTTTATTGCAACAAATATATTGATGACTACACTGTAGTTTGCAATTACTGTTAAACTTTCTATCGTGTACTGTGTGTACATTAAATCTGTTAATAAACGTTTATGATATATATATATATACATGTATTGCAAATATTTAAAATACTTTCATTAAATTTAAATTATTTACTTTTAATACATACATTATTTAAATATAGTTAGGGTTTGTAATGATTCCCAAGAAAGGGAAATTCCCTAATAAAATCCCTCCAATTTTCCCGGAAAATACTTTATTTTCCCTCCCTAACTGGTTAGAAGTGAAAATACTGTATAATTTATATTATTACAATACTGTAGATAATACAAAAACTTAAATATTTTGAATAAAATTTCATTGATATATTCAAATCTATAAGTTTAGTGATATTATTTATCAATACATCTCAAAATAAAGTAAACATAACATTTGTTTTTTAAACATTATAATAAAATTAATTATTTAGGGTTCAATAGGTGGTAGCACAAGGAAATAGATTCCCTGGGAATTCCCAGGGAGTGGGGAATATATAGATTTTGGAAATAAGACAAGGGAGGAATCATAAATACATATAAATTTTATTATATAATAGTTTATATTAATATTATACAATACATTTTTAAATATAATTAATATGTTAGTAATTTTTATTATTTAAAAATACATGAAAATCTAGTCTATATGTTATGAAAAATAAAAATATTAATGAATTAAAATTTAAATATGTATATACAGTATAAATTAATATATTAGTATATATACTGTATATATAATTTTATTTATAGTATTTTATTTAGATATTATTAGTATTATACTGTATGAGGCTTATAATAGACAGTATACGGTATATTATAATACTGTACATTATATGTATAATAATTGCAACAACCAATCTGACAAAATTAATTTTTGAAACATTTGAATCACTTATAAAAATAACTGTTTTTTTTGCTTAATATAGCAATTTGTTAATTACTAAATTGAATTGAAAGCTTTATTTAAACTGAAAATCAACTTAAGATACAGTACTGTAAGATATTATAAATTATATTAATAATATAATGTATGCTAAACTTTATGTTAACATATAAATTGTATGAATCAATTGTTTTAACAAATTGTTTAATAGAGTCATTGTATGATAAAATTGTTTGAAAAGATTTGATAAACAAATATGCTATAAATAATGAATGAACTTAAAAAGATTGCTTTAATAATAGATTTATAATTTTGTAAAGTTTTCAAATTAATTTGAATTTGCTTTAAAATAAACTAATGTACAGTAATTATCAAGTATTGATCAAACAAATAGTATACAATAATCAATACTATATTATAATTGCTTATATTATTTGTAATGAATGGTCAAACTGTTGTATGAATGATATGAAAATATAATTGTTATTAAGAGCTTAAACATAACTAGAATATTGTAGATATTATATTTGATATGAGTGTCGGTGCAAATTGGGCTCAAATATATTAATCCTATGTATAGTTTGACTGTTTTCTATAGTTAACTGTATATTATACTGTAGTTCTACTAGTATTACATAAAATAGAGTTTAGGCTCTATTTAATGTTATGGATTGCATTGTATAATATAAATACTTGATTGCAATTCACTTTGTACTATAAGATAGTGTATTAAAGTAAGTACAGGAATGTTGTGCAAAATGTCATACATATAGCACTGGTATATACAGTATGGTTGAGATGAAGCATATATCGAGCAGATAGAGAGCACTGAGCACTGGCTTTGAGAGCATTTAGAGCAATAGTAGAGCAAATGTATGACAAATGGTATAAAATTCAGTACAGTTGTAGGCATAAGCACTGGTATGGCAATAGCAAAGTTAGGTAACTTATGTAATGTTTAGTTAGCATTGATTGGTTGTGCCACTTGTGATGCTATGTTATGCCATTGCATATGATTGTATTGAATTAAATATTCAATTGAATGCAATTAATTGTTAACTAAATTGTTGTCATAGAGGGAGAGAGAGAGAGAGAGAGAGAGAGAGAGAGAGAGAGAGAGGGAGAGAAAGACAGACAAACAGAGATGATGTGATGTGTGGCACAAGTGATGCAACCCTTCAATCATATGAATCCATTGAAAGCACARAATGTTTGTATGGGTTGTATGGGTTGAGGCCAATGACCTCAAGCAGGCCTTCCTTCCAGTTAAGACATGACACACACTGAGAGTGACTCTATTATAATAAGTGTTTGACTTATCACTACCAGTGCTACCAGTGATGCCAGTGATACCAGTGCTCACAATCATATGTTTATGTTGACTATCACTGTCTCCATAGTCCAAAAGTTCACTAAACTATTGCAATATTATATCGTATCTAAAGATATGTCTTCAAAGACATGCATTTGACCATTGATTGCATGTATGCGACCCATAATTCTCATGATATCAACACAATCGATGACTTAACAATCACTTGCATCACATCCAACACATCCAACCATCACTGCGTTAGTTATGATTCCGTACACGACTTGCATGCGATTCAATGGTTCCTTAAGACGTCCACAACATGTGATTGTTTTGGACAGCGATGGCACTCAACAACCCAATCACCATCAGTGGACTCTTGTGCCGCACCAACAAAACAATCAGGTCTTACAGTTATATCATATATGTTATTATATTAGTACATATAGTCATACATTTAATTGCTATCAAATTAATCATCAAATTAGTTAACAAATGTGTTAATACACTCATTAATTGCTACTTTTCTATACAATATATATTGATATATCAAATGTAAATACAATGTATGCCATAAACAGTGTTATAATTAATGTTATTATATTTATTTGAACGCCTAATGGATGCTTCAAAATGTATTAATTAATTGAAACGTTTCCTCATTTAATAATTGACTGTAATATATGATATAATACAGTATATCATATGAAAGACAAGTCGATATTTAGTTCACATTTTTAATGTAAATAACGATAAATAGATATAAATAAATTTATTATACATTAATGTCATAGATATATAATATTATATAACATAGGATACGGTATTTTACTTCAATTGAATGCCTTTTAAATATTAAAATAACATTAAATATTGATGAATATATTTTGATTGCTTTCAATTAAATTTGCTTTTCATACACTAATATAATTACTTAGATTTACCTTTTATTAGTACATTCATCAAATTTTTTAGTTTGATTTATATTTATAGCTCAAATTAGATATAACAGTAATCAAATCAGTTATAATATTATAACTAAATAACAAAACTATACAAAGAGTTAAAAAAGATACTTTAATTTGTAAACATTTTTTTGTCTTTATCATACATTTAATGAGAAATAGAAATTATTGTCAATAATTATTTGATAGTAATATTAAAGTATTTGTAAAAATATGATTAATGTTAAAACTCATTGTGATTAATGTCTAGAGTTAATAATTGCTTAAATAATAATTAAATTACAGTAACTTTTTGTAATTGTATTTTCAACTATAGTTGTGTTATTAATGGTTAATATTTTTAGATTAGATATTAATTATTCACAACATTAAATATATATTTTTTGAACTAATGATAATTTAAAATATAAATATGAATATTAAATTAGAATCAAAATATTGAAAAATTATTAATTTTAACATTTATTACATAATAATTTAATAGTTGTTAAGATATGTTGAAAACTCCTATTAAATTAGATTAATTGAGGTCAATATATCCATATAATATTCATTGTAATTTTTTTAGAACTTTTTATATACATTATTCAACGTAAATAGGTTTGACCTATGACCTTTAATTATTTTGTTTAATAAACGACATTTATAAATATGTACAATATTTTTATTAAATTTAGTTAACATTATATTTTGTTTACAAAACAGTATTAATGAAAATTAAAARCATTTTTAATAATATTTCTATTATGCCCTAGTACATATTATTGATTTTAACTTAACAGTAGAACTTATATGGTATTCATTATATAACTATAGAAAAGTGGAAACTTTTAATTAATATAAAGATATACTATTCTATAATATAATATCTATACAAAAATCGAAAAATACATACAATTAATTTGCTTAAACTTTAACTAAAAGTATAAAAGTATTTAAAATATTTAGAGTATCTACTAGTTTTAATTGACATTTAGCAATATTACAATATTATTCAAAATATGTTGTACTAAAATCTATTACTACACTAAATCTATGTACTAAAAATTTGTAAAAATTGCTAATAATTGGTTTATTATATTTTAATGAATTCGTAATTGTTATTATCAATAATAGTTAATTAATGTATGAAATAATAGAAATGATGATATGATAACAATATATATATATATATATATATATATATATATATAAATCAGGGTTAATCACGGTTTTGGATCTTAGGGGGCATAGAGTGGGTGTACCTTTTTATTGCATTTTTAAACAGCCAAATGAACATTTCATAAAAATTCCTTAAATTCCCGACTATTCCCAAGTAAATGGGAGGAACTTTTCAGGAAAATATTTTCAATAAATTCCATTATTTTTTGAAATATTTTATTAAATTACTAAAACTAAAAATTACTTAAAATACAAACTTTTAAGATTTACCATTTTAAAATAATAAAGATATTAATATTTACATATAATTTATTATAATTATCTTAAGATGATTTTCTATTGTAACAATAACTTTATTGAACAAATAGTCTGTTTTAGTTTTTTAGYACATATTTTTAATCAAATAATTTTATATTTAGAGAAATATTGACGTAATACTTAATTTTCATTTAATTCTTAAATTGATAACAATTAATTTATTTTACTAAAAATTTTTAAAATATGTAATAATTATGCATTTAAAACGTAAAAATAATTAATATAAATATTATAATATGATGTACGTTTCATTCTTATCTTAAAAACGTATTTTACTTGTAATATAATTAGTTTTATTATTTTAGTTTCATATTTTAACGTAATTTTTAACCATTTTATTTTTACTTAATAATTTAATTTAAATAAGTTGTTAAAGCATAATAACAATTAATTACAAAATATTAATTAAAATTATATTTTAAAAAAATAGTGGGGTCTATTTCTACTGGTTTTAAACAATTTTTCTATTTGGTTAAAAAGTGTGGGGTCACAAAAACTCGATCTTGAGGGGGTGGAGTAAAATGGCCATACTCTGCCCTACCCCTGCTTAACCCTGATATAAATATAGGAAATATATAGGAAAACGTGAACACAATTTAAGTGCCTATCAATGGCTATCATTGTATTCATAGATTGTATGAATGGCCTAATCATTAGGTCTATGACTTAAGTGTAAATAACATCCTATGCTAAGACAGTAATTATTAGAGACTGAAAAATATGTGATTTACATATTTGTTGTCGTAATAGAATTTATTCTAGAGATTATTTTATCCAACACTATAATTATCAACATTTTAGTAGTTTTTCATAAGTTATAATAAGTATTTTAAATGATTGAATATTTGCTAAAATGTCTTTGAAGACAACTTAGTAACACAAATCTACTTAGAAGTCAAACTAGTTATTAAATGTATGAATGAATTAACTTTTGAATAAATATAGATTATTAGTGATCGTCGATAAAAGAGAGTCTAATTTTAAATATTAATATATTATTGTTAATTTAAATAAAAATACCTTTAAAATTATTCAAAAATAATTTAAACTTTGAATTTTTTAAATATGAGATTTTTAATGATGACACTTATTTTAGCTTATTATCTTAATTTTGAGCACTTATTTGATTACATATTTTGAAAATATCTGGCAAATAATTTACTGTCTATAGTAATTACTAATTAGAGTTAAACACATTTGTTTTGGTTAGTCTCTCAAATGGTTAATTTATTATACATGTATATCATATCCGCTAAATTATATTATAGTTTAGATGTTGGAAACCAAACTATTATCAATAAATACAAAAAAAAATGAAACTTGAATCTTATTTAATGACTTGGTTTAAAAACTTGTTAGGATACATACTATATATATATATATTATAGTGAATAATATAATAATTAACTATAAATTTTAATATATTTTCAACATATAATACATAATATTTTTAATTTACTAATACAAGTTTTTTCAATAAATAACAAACGAAACTGATTGGTTTTTATACATATTTATATTTATCTAAATTTGAGTTTTTGTGGCACATAATACATACTATAATATAATTTATGCGACAAATATACAAATATTGGCATTAATAATTTTGTGGGTTTAGCATATTTATATTTATTTATAAATACACATTGTTTAATATTTATTATATAACATATATACTTCAAGAATACTATTTATTCAGAAAAAATCAATACAGTATAGTGTAATAAAAGTGTCAAACAATTATATTGATTTTATTTTTACTATAACTTATATTTTTATTAGTTATCATTTCTATTAATATTTAATTCTTAATAAAATAAAACAAATAGAAAGCAAAGCTTTCAAACCAATTTAGTTTTGATTCTTTAGAAAATTGAATTGTCTTTAATATAAAAACAATGTTATATTCAACATAATCTCAACACTATATGAAATAATCTTCAAATTGGGACACACTTTAGGCCATCTCTATATTCATTTAGATTTTAAGTAATATTTATGTTTTGTTTTTGCATTTAACACTTAAAAATTTAACATTTTAATTAGTTATTTATATATAATCGTTTAGCATTTTGTTTTCTAAATGATTTTGAATGTGTTATCTTTAAAGTTTAATTATTTATAATACAATTTGAGTGAAAAATATGAATAAATTATTCTGCAATAGTTTTCTGTTCATAAAAAAGATTTAATGAAGTACTTTAAGCGTTAAATGATTTGTGAATAAATACAATGCAATATAAATATGACATAATATTAAATACTTTATATACATAATATTATATATAGTTTATTTAATAGTGTAGAATAATGTTATCTAATATCAAATATTAAACTATTAAAACTAAAATTAGTGTTTAGATCATTGAATCAAATGATTTATTATTTGAATGTGAAATATTTTAAGCATGAAAAACATTTTTCTTTTAGTTTTTTAAATAAAACATTTAACAATAAATAAATAGAGAAAAAATATCATTTTTATTTAATATCTTATAGTTAGGTAAATACAACACAAATTAAACACAATGCTATATTTTTTAAATGTCTCAAAATAGATAAAATTTGGGTCAATTTAATTATCTGTTATATACATTGATATATTCATTGAATGATAAATAAAAAAAATGTTTATTTTGTTATATAATATGAAGAATTGAATGTGTGGTTTAATTAACTGATTGCTTATATAAGATTTGTCAATATTTATATAAATGACACGTTTATACTTATGTTATCATTTTGAACTTATTTTAAGCATTGATGTTTCAAATGGTTTTCAATGAATGAACAAAAAATTGTATTAAAAGCAAAGTTATTTTAGTCAACAATTGTAAAAATGAATGAATTGACAAAACCGACGATTGGGTTGAAAGACATACATTTCTGACATAATTCTTAACAAAACGTTTACTGTTTTTTGGTGACTCTATTATAACTTATAAGACATAATTCATATGATTATAATTACATAAATTAGGATTATTTGAACCATCAAAACAGCAAAACTTCATCTCTAATCCAACAAAACTCTTATAGAGACTGGTATTAGCAATTGTATCCAATTATAACTGTTATTTTACTGGTTTCCTCGTTTTATTGTCTATTCTGTATTTTATAACAACTACAGTATAGTATTATTCTTATTATTCTAGTTTTTCTTTTTAAGAATTAAATCATTTAATTAATTTACTTAAAATATAATACTATACATAATTATGAGGGCATTGGCTTTTGGGTTTGAATTTAAGCCAAATCTATATTTTGATTATTATTATAAATAATTTAGATTTTTAGTGCTATATTGTATTATACAAAAATTTAGTGTAAGACTCTTACAATTAATAGCACTAGAAATTTATTATATTTTTAAATTAAACTATTTAAATATATTGATTAAAATATAGCAATAAGTGTTAGAATACAATTAACAGTTAACAAATAATTTTTATATTTCAATAAAAATTGATTAAACAATAATTGATTTTGTTTAATATACTCACTTTCAAGTTTAGCATGATCATTATTACGTTAATTATGATAGTTACATATAGTTATATTGTGATCACTTATTGTATATAATAGACATGAAACATATATTAAATTTACAATAACAGATGCATCAAATGATAAAACAAATAATATTTTAAATGTTATATTAGTTTATATTTTTCTTTATTTTATTAAAATATTAGCTGGATGTTTTCAGATATTTACTTATATAAGTATAGTAAATAATGTGATTCTAACCAATTATAATTAGTAATTTTATAATCATTTATAGATATTACTGAAAAATTATTATTTATAAATTATCGATTAAAAATGTAGACTTAAAAATTATATCAAATATTGTAGCAATTTTCTCTTATCCGTTTTAACTTTTTAATTAAAATTGAATTTGTGATTTTGTTGTTGTAAATAATCTCATAAATTAAGTGTATTTTTACTTAAATTTCATTATTTATTTATTATACTATTTGCTAAATTTTTACTTTTTCATATTTAAATTTAATTTTTGTATTGCTACAAAATGTAAATTATTTCAAATTTAATGATATTATTTTAAATAAAACTAAATATATTTTGAAATATAGATATTACATTTTTTACATTTAAACATTATATTTTTAATTATTATTGATAACTTATAATTTAACGTAATATAGTAATTTTATTATTAAGTGTATATAATTTCTAATAATTTATAAGATATATCATATATTTTATATTAAAAATCAGATGTTTTTTACTTTATATATCTACATTTGTATTTTATTTGTTAACATGTTATTTATAAGTTATATATTGCAGTAAAATATTTATTTATTATTAATAGTTTATTATTCATAGTTTTTAAGAATATTACATTTTTAATATATCTATTTTAGTATATTTTTAAATATTATTTTTAATGCTTATAGATAAAAAATTTAAAATTAATGAATATTTTATTCTTATTTTAATAAATCTTATAAATGATTTGCATGACATTTAATAAAACATGTATTCAAACGTCATTTTAGGTAAATATTTAAAATTTATATATAACCAAATACAGTATTTATATATATATTTTATTTTTAATTAAGTTATTTTTATAATTTTTCAAAAATTCTAAACAACTATTATATCAATTTGCAGTCAACATTCAGTGTTAAAATATTTGATATTATAGTAGTAATGAAGGCAATGAAGGATTCAATATTTAAATATAGCGATTGGTTTAAAGAGATTAGTCTTATTTTTACAACCATTTTAATAATTATTATTATTATTGTATGTTATTGTGGTTTAAATTTTGGGACTAATAGCTCTTGAATGTCAACTTTAATTATACTATATTTGTTAAGTTTTTTATTCGCAGATTTATAATATTTTAGATACAATAATTGAACATGAATTTAACCATATATTTATTATTTGCTAAAAAACCCTAAATTAACAAATTATAATTAATTAATTATAATAAAAGTTTCATTATTTTGATTATAGTGTAATAAATACTGAATAATACTATTATATAGTAAATTATTACTGAATACTACAATACATTAAATATTTGAATCAATTCTCTTAATATATTTATGAATTACATGTAGTTATTAATGAATGTATTATTAATATTATTTATTTATTTGTATAGTAAGTTAATACAATACAATTAATTAATTGTCAATTTTTAATTAATTAATTTGTTAACTATAAACAATTGAGAATAATAAATATATTATTAATTTTATAATAAATCTTTCAATCAATACAGTATTAGATTCAATATTAGAAATTCATCAATATATTAGAAAATAAGAAAAATAATCATTGTCAAATACAAATAGTAAAACTAATTTCATATATTTGTCAACACACAATATTTTAATTATTATTTTAAATTATAAGTAAATCAAAACTTAGTACAATTAAAATATTAAATTAATTAAAATTAAAATTGTAGTCATATGTGTTTCAAGTACAATATTCTTATTTTTTAATTATATGTTATTCAAAAGTCAAATTTATAAAACCAAATCAAAATAAACACTTTTTCATTGATAACGATTTGTTTCAATGCTAAAACAAATTGTGAATATTTATAATATTGTAGTATTTTATTTTAAATTTAGTTTATAAGCTTATAATTTATATTATTAACTAGTATATAGAAATAGCACCAACTATTTTAAATATATAATAATAACTGAGAAATTGATTTTCTAATCACCATTAGTTAGTTTATAAGTGATGGAAAGTATTAAAAATTGTCCCAAATTGTATGTTTGTAACTATAAAAGTGAATCTACTTTTCTAGTTTATATACAGTAGTAACGAGATGTTCACAAAAATAATTTTTGACATTATATTGATTTATTAAATATTATTAAACTTTTTATCAATGATTGATAATAAACATAATGGAAAAGTTATTTTTGTGAATATCTCAATAAAAATCAGTTAGTAAAGTACTGATGATTTATTCAATTTGAAATAGTGTTTATTAAAATGAAAGTAATGTGATATACATTTATATATTTATTTTATAACAATTTTTTTCTAAATGATTAAAAATATTTTATTTGAAAACAATACGAAATTACTAAAATTCCAAACTATATGATTGTTTGTCTAATTCTTATATAATATTATTGTTTTTACAGAATTTTAATAATTATTGATATATTATACCTTCTGGTTAGAGATGTGCAAATAGACATTTTCTAATAAATTTCCATAAGAAAATTTCTAGAATGTTTCTCTGGAATAAATTTCTAGAATGTTTCTCTGGAATAAATTTCTATAGAAATTTTACTTTATAATTATACTCTACTATGGGATCCCCATATCTATGACTATTGTAATACTGTACTAATGATACATAATATATACTACACTACTATATTAATGGGATTCTTATTTATAAAATTAATATAATTATCTAATTATTATTATAGTTTTTGTAAAATTTTATTTATAATTGATTTATATTTTTAGTTTAATCTAATTAAATGAATTATTTTTTATTTTGAATATGATTTAAAATATTAATAATAAAATTTAGTTGATATTTATAGTTATAATTAATTGTTTCAATATAACAAATATTGAGAGAACAAAATTAATATTGGGATCTCATAGACAGAAATTTCTTTTAGAAACTTTTCAGAAATTACTCTATTATTTTTAAAATTTGTCTTTTTTGCCAATTCTACTTCTGGGGTTAGAATAGTGTCTTTTTAAATCTATTTGTAAATTACATTATAATCAAAGTTTATAATTGTTTTAAATAATAGAATAACTCTACTAACAAATTATTTTAAAACTTAATTATCAAAAATTATTATACACATAAATACTATTTGATAACACAATTTGTAAAATTATAAATAATGGCTAATACATGACATGAATACCTTTTTTTGAATAATTTGATTTTAACACATTTTACGATAGTTTTAAAAAATAATTAATTTTTTTGATAAACTATTTTAAAAGACTTATCATTTATGAGTTAAGCTATTATTTAAACCTACAGTACTTTAAAATAGATTTAATGCTATTTCATGTATCACTTGTTTACTTAGATGTTGTAATCTCTGTATAATACTGTATGTTGTAATGTCATTAAACATATTGGTTACCATAAATTAAATTTATTGGTTAACTATAATTTTACTACAAATCTAATTTAATAAAGTTTGTTGATCTTAAACTACATCTCAAAATTTGTTTATTGATTAACAAATTATTTGCATTGAAATATGAGATAATTATAATTATATTTTTATTTATAGGAATCAGTTATAGTTCACTCTCAAGATGACCAAACACTCTACTTCTCCTGGATTTTAGGTAACGATTTTTACAGTATTAACAGTCTATTATTTCAGATGATTTTATACAATTTAAAATAGAGGTACAAATAAATATTTGTTTTGTTACTAATGTTACCATTATTTAAGTATATATTATAAAAGTAGTTTGTTTTAAATAGTTTTGTTAGTCTCATTTGGCAGATAACCTAAAGTTAAGCAATTATATAATTTATACAATTTTATTGCTCTAATTCTTGTTATTACAATTACACGGAATTATATGATTTAAATAATTAAATTTATTAATTGGCTTTTTGCCAAATATTTTGCAAAATAACAACTTGATATGCTTTTATTTGACACAATTTAACTTAACATTTATTTAAATTTATATAACATATGTGTTGACAATTCTATGTCTCAATAGATTTAAATATTAATACATTATATGAAAGAAAATCTAAAATCTACATCAATGGAAATTTGATATGTTTTGCTATAATAATAATAATAAGGGATTGTATTGATTTAAATTTGTGCCATTTTTTGTAGACATTGAAAAAAATGTGAAGACATACAGTATATTGCATTAAATTATATATTTTATATGTTTATAGACACACATCAGGCATCAGTTGATCGATCAGCTGAAGGAACTTCGGGCATCACTTCCGATGATAGACATGTCATTGAGTGCAGTATGTGTTTATGTTACGGACAATTATAATATCATATTTTTAAATATTGTCTTATAGTCTCAGATATTCACCAAACAAGAAATAGTGATCAAATACAAGAGGAGGACATTGAGATTGAAGAGAGTCGGGGATATCTATTGATAACATTACGACGCCGTAAATCAATCCAACGAAGCATTCATATCGATCCCATCGCTCTTCTTGATCACAGCTATTATGGCATTACATCACGTCTTCTCAAGTATTCATCCAATTGGCACTTCAATACATTCACATTGGATGTCCTGACTGGTGGTCACTCCTTATCAAGTCTACTCTTTCATCTATTCATTGAATATGATTTTATCAAAACTTTTAATTTGGATGTCATTAATGTTATGCGATGTTTTAGTATGTTTTTAATTTTTTTTATATGTAACAACAAATTAAAGTTTTATTAATATTAATTTATTTGTCAATGAATTACAGGATTTTTAGAAGCAGGTATGTGTTAACAACAATAGTTTGTGATTTTTATTTAATGAAATGTTATTTTTATAATAGGATATCACGACACAAACCCATACCATAACTCAGTTCACGCGGCAGATGTAACTCAAGCCATGCATTGTTTTATTCTGGAGCCAAAAATACGCCAATACTTGACTCCAATGGAGGCTATGTGTGCTCTATTGGCTGCTGTTTGTCACGACTTAGACCATCCAGGAGTTAATCAACACTTTTTGATTGCAACCAAAAGTCATTTGGCGGCTCTTTATAAAGTTAGTTTAAATTGCAAATTAAAATATAAACAAATATTAGTAAATCTATTAGTAAATAATTATTATAATAAATAAAATTATATGAAATTATTAGAATTTTTCAGTATTGGAAAGCCATCACTGGAGGTTTGCAATGTCCTGTTTTCATGAGTCGCAAATTTTTGAACATTTTTCAGCCAAACAGTGGCAACAAATTGAATCAATTGTTAAATTATTAATCTTAGCGACTGATATCACTCGACAAAGTGATTACATTGCAATCTTTAGAAAACATTTGTCAGATTTGGAGTCATTTTCGATGACGATTCCAGAGAACCGTCATTTTATACTTCAAATAGCTCTGAAATGTGCAGATTTGGCTAATCCTTGTCGTCCCTGGAATTTAAGTAAGCGTTGGAGTCAACAGATTTGCAATGAATTTTATAGACAAGGAGATTATGAGAAGCAACTAAATATACCCATTACTCCCATATGTAATCGACAAACCATTAGTATTGCACGCATTCAAACCGGTAAACACTAAAGCATTTTCTTAATTGTCGTATTAATAACTTTAATAAGTTTTTATTTTATTAAAATTTTAGACTTTTTTAAGAATATAGTAAATCCATTATTTGAATTATGGGACCAATACCTATGCTCTCCACTTTCAAAACAACTCATTAATAATCTTCGTTTCAATGATAATCAATGGAATCATTCATTGATGAAAAAGACATTAAAACGCCGACACTCTATCGGGTCTATTATGACTGCCAAACAAAGTGATAAATCCTTAAAACAATGCATTTCTTTGAATGATCTCAAAGATTTACCAATCGATTTAAGTTTAACACAATTTAAGAGTCTCTATGAACCCAAAGCCAAACAATGTATTAATGGGTGCGGAACTCCTCCTAATTGTCAAGAGTTATACAATAAATCTGACAATAAATCAAAAGTTTTGTGGGAATTGCAAACTGATGAAGAAGAAGAAGAAGAATATGATGATCAAGATTTTGAAGACGAAGATGAAGATCGAGTTCATCAATACGCCTATCAAAGCATTACAACTAACATAAAGACTTATTCATTACAAATGCCATCTCAAACACCCATTGGTTCATATTTATACGATAAGGTAGTTATATAAATATGTTTTGTAATTATACTAAAATAACTTATTTTTATTCAAACATTTTTCAAAATAATATTATAGAACATACAATTAGAGTTCGGGCAACTTTCAAAGAGAGGGAAGTTCCCTAATAAAATCCCATTAATTTTCCCTGAAAATAGGAAAAATATTTTATTTTCCTTTCCTAGGTCGTTAGAAAGGAAAATATATTTTATATTTTTATAACAAATAATAACAAAACTTATTTTTTGCATAAAATTTCATTGAAATATTTAAAAATAAATTTAGTGATACTATTTAACAATAACACTCAAAATACAGTTTAATAAATTTGTTATTCAAATCTCATAATAAATTTGTTGTTTAGAGTTCAATAGGTTGTAGCACAAGGAAATAGATTCCTTAGAAATTCCCAGTGAGCAGAAAAAATAGGGAACTTTTGGGAATAAAACGAGAGAGAAATTTGCCGGAACCCTACATAAAATAATGTTTTCAATTTATATTATTTAATAACAATTATTATATTAAATATAGACTGATTTTATATACATTGTTGAAATTAAAATTTATATTTTAATTATAACATGTATTATATTTGAATAATTTGAATATTTCACAATTTATAATTTACTATATTTATAGAAACATATGATAGGTCGTCGTGGGTCAGCTCCGGGATGTATAGGAATCTATGCTAGTTGTGAATTAGCTGCCGCTTTAGTCTTTTTTCACGGAGCGGTTGCCAATCAGGACCCACAAAGACGGTCCTCATTTCCTGCCGAAAAAGTTGGCCGCCATTCGGCTCATAGTTTATATAATATATCAAGTGGTGCTAAACTGAACCGTAATACTGGTGTATACGGAACGGGAGCCATGAGAGGCAAATCTCTTGAATATCTGGTTTCTTCATTAAAGAAAAATAAAAGCTTTTATCACTCAACCACTAGCGCTCATACAAAACTGTTGAGAAGACAGGCCTGTTCTTTAGATTCCGGAGCAGATACTGGAGCTCTTCAATGGTTTTTTAATAACAAACCCCGAAGAGGTTCAGTACCTCAAGAAATTCTTATTGAATCGTTGGCTAATTATACAACTTAGACATCTTATTAATAAACTGTATGTCAATTATGTCGTATGTTTTAGTTAAGCATTCATTATAAGTGCCAACAATTGAGACAACAATTTTAATGAATGTTTAAAAGTTTAAAATTAGTTGATCTGTGAAATCAAGTGATGATTTTAAGAACTTTTTTAATATGTGTATTAATGTTGTGTTGCATTTTCTATGCAATAATTGCTCATAAAATTGTTTATAAATTTTTCAAAATCAATATAAAAACATTTTTTTTATGGGAAGTATTTGAGCCAATTTTATACTAAACTTATACTAATGTTAATTGTAATACTAGTCATCCATTTAACTTCCAAACAAATTAATGCTCAAATTTTTTGAGTGATTTTTTAAATGATTAATAACATTATACAACATTTTATTAATTTATATACAGTATAAATTATATATATACATATAAGCATATATATATATATATATAATATATATATATATATATATATATATATATATATATATATATAATATACAAGAGATATTGATATAAATTGGTTATTACTTATATTTAATATCTAATTTAATTTTATTTAAACTATTTACAAATAATTTATAATGCATAATGCATTATAATAATAATAATAATAATTAGTATTGCAATATTTACTTTTTATTTTAAAAATAAACTATATATTGTGGTTTTATGCAGCATTGTTTACTATGAATAATATTATTTTAATTTATAATCAATGATAATTAGAAAGATTAAAAATGTTTGATTTTGGTCTATAATTTAAAATGTATAAAAAATGGTTTGAATATAATAATAATAAAATAGTCGATAGAGTTTAATAATTTAATGTATAATTTTTTTGTAATTTGCAATAATAATTTACTAAATAATAATTATTATAAATAAATTTACATACATAAATGTTTTATAAAGTTAATAAGTATAAAGTACTTTATGATTATACTACAAAAATCATTTACATAAGTTATTATAAATTTATTATCAAATTGTAATCTAAAATTAAATTTCATTATTAGAATTAGATTTTTTGTAGTCAATTATTGTAATTATTTGATAACTATTATAATGCCATTTAATTTGATTAAATCTTATTTCTTTTAACTATAGTTTAGATTTTTATAGATGTATTAATTTTGATTATTAGAAATAATGTATTAATTTACATTACATTTATAAATGAGTTATGTTTATAACATATAAGTGTAGTAATAATTATTATTAAGCTTAATAAAAAAAAGTGAAACAATGTGCGCTGTATTACAATAATACAGTATAAACTAATTGCATAATTAACAAAAATTATAGAATTGTAGTTAACATGTTTTTTCTATTTTAATTAGTTGATTGATTAAAATTCATAAAATAGAAACCTGTTAACTACATATTTGTTATATTAATTTAATCCAAAACTATACACATTGTTTCACATTTTTTACTAAACTTAATTATTATTACTTAATTCTTTTTATTTATACGTAATTTATCTAGTCATATTTTTAAATAATAATAACTATTAAATTAGTTAATATATTAAATTTATAAATATTTTATTGAATTTCAATTTGTAATCAATAATACAAATGGATTGAAGACTCAAAACTTAGATTTTTATAGTAAATTGTTTTTCAACGAAAATTTATTGTTAATATCGATACTAATATTATATAATATAATTTTGGTATTATTTGAAATACTTTTGAATAATTTTTAACACTTGTCTAATTTTTTTTATATAAACATATACATTATACATATAGTACAGTAGGATATTGTAGTAAATCAATATAAATTACTAACAAATTAATATACTTATTATATATAATCGATACACAACTACTGTATTTAACAATATTTATAAATATCAAAATACTGATGTAATCAGAATAAAATGATTGTTAATATTAGAGTTTTATACAGTTTGTTCATAATTTATAATAATTATTTTATTCAAACAGTTATATTACATTAAAATATTAATTAAATATAACTTATTACGAGTTTGAATATTTAAAAACTGTTTTACTATGGATTTTTAAGAAATCAATTTTAATAAATTCAATAAATATCGGGTTTTATGATTTTTGTCTATATTTTATTATTAACAATGAATTTCAAATTAAACACATATTAATGGCAAACAACTAATGGTAACAAAATTGCCGTAAATTTATAAAATACAAAACCGGTATTTTAGTTGTAAATTATAGACAATAAAACAAAAAAATAGAACAAACATTAATAAATATTTTGTATTATAATAATTTTAGTATATCTATAAAACTACGATAAAAGTCACTATTAATTTATTATAAATAAATTATATTTATTTATCAATAAAAAAAATCATCAATTAGTTGATCAAATTTACAAAAATATTAGTATTTACAGATATAAATGTCAAAATTATAATAAAAGATATTATAGTAATACTAAATATTTAATTAACTAGCGATCAATAAAATTAATTCATAATCCACTTTGAATTCGTGACTTTAACTTGTTTTGTGTCTCTTCGTCCTCTAATTGATCCACAGTTAACAAAGATATACCCAACTGGTCCTCCTATTGTTACTGTATTACAAATTACAAATTCTTTGTGAAAAATCAAATTTAAAGACTCACGCGAGTGAATGGTTGAGCCATTTGTTTGAGAAAGCGTTTGGATATCTGAACGGCTTCTTCTATACTAAGATTAAGTACGGAGTCATTGAGATATTCTTGTATCCATTTCGGCAATTTTGACATTTTATCCCAACGACTAAATCTCTAATTAATAAATTTAATTAAGAAAAAGTTTTGTAATTGTTTAAAAAAATTAATAAAAAGTATATACTTTATCAGCAAAACACATAATTCCGTAGTCTGTCTTTCCTCTGAAAGCGCGACCAACACATTGAGCCGCGTGTCTCATGGCATCAAATGTGAGAAAATCATTTTCCCTAATCTGAAACTGATCCCTAAGGTATTCAAGTCTTGCTTTTAAAATACGTGATTGCGTGTAAACGAAGGGAATGCCAAACATTATAACACATCGACCCAAATGATGGTCAAAGTCGACGCCTTCCGATACCTTTCCTCTGGCGACTGACAACAGGACAGCTCCCCTTCCATTTTCACACGCCTTTACATAGTTATATAGAGCGAGACTGGTTTCATGTGAGTCTTGAGTTTCTATAAACAAGAGTTTATGTCTTTGAATGCTATCGACAATTCCTTGTTCATACCACGCCGCAACTATTTGTTCCATATATAAATAACTTGTAAAAAAACAAACCAAACCATCGGGAACTATAGTTGACATCTCAACCAATAAGTTACCATAATTTCGTATTACAGACAAATCATTTCTACTTTCAAACTTTGAAGTCACTGCCATTTGATCGTTACCTTTGGTGACAATCATTGGAAGAATGCATTGACGCGATAATGTCATCGTCAAAGAAATGGCTAAAACTGGTCTAAAATCAAGAATTTTTGGATACATTTCTAATGGCGATAAAGTTCCTGAAGTAATAATAACCGATTGAAATCTTCCAAATACTGGTTTTATAGCAATGGAAGCGTCTAAACAACTAAAGGTAAGAATTGGATTTGAAATGGTAGGCGTTCTGTCGTCAAAAGGTTCTATCAATAGTGAAAAACCTTTTGTATAAGTGCTGACCAAAGTTGCAAAATTGCAGAGAAGTGTCAGTGGAGTGAAGTCTGTTATATCATTCACTTCAAGTGTTCTGATAAGTGAACGAAGTCTTTCTGCACAAAACCTCAAAGGTTTTCGTTCGATACAGACTTTGGTTGAAATATCTTTAAGAAAAGCTGCGGGACTTTCTTGTGTTACGTGTTGGACACGGAGTCGAGATTTGACATATTCTAGAAGTCGTTTCAAGAAAAATACAAAATGCTCGGCATTTCTAATATTTCCAGGAATAGCTTCTTGTAATATGTCATCCGGAAGCACTGGATTAGCCAAAAATTGATCAGTTTCTCGAGCGATATGTGCTTCCCTTAATCCTTCAACTAATCTTTGATATTCAGTTTTAAGCCTTTGTTCATCAACTTCTTTAATATTGCGAAGAGTGTCCTGTAATGCTGTGATATTTGCCTGACATTTATCAAGAAGACGTCTATTAATGGTGACACTCATTGATTCAATGCAGACATTATCGATATTATGCGCCTCATCGAAGACTACAACAGAATTTTTCGACAATTCTTTTGACACCAATTCAGCAATTTTTGGATCCAAAAGATAATAATAACTATAAACAACAACATCTGCGTATGTAATGGCATATCGGGTCACAAAATATGGACAAAGACCCTTAGATCTGCCATAGTTTTTAAGGTCATCAATATTATAGACACCATTAGGTAATAGCTGTTCGCGACCTTTTGAATCAAAGTTCTCATAAAATGTGCAAACATTTGAAGCCAAGTCATCCTCCGATTTGGTGGCCATTCGCTTATGAGATGCCGTTAGTCTGAAACACTTGCCGTCCACAGCTTTACCGTCTTTTTCTTTACTAACCAAAGGATGAATACAAAGATTCTTTCTTGAAGTTAGACAAACGCCAACAAAACTATTTTGATTGTTGTCTTGTAGTGACAATTGGTTGTAATAGTCGTTCAATTGTCTTAACTCTTCAATCACTTTCTCAATTTCGGGAACAGTTCGCGAGCAGTAAATTAGTTTTGATATATGTTTGGGTTGTTGTCTTTGATAAGCAATAATCAATGCCAACAGTGATATAGTCTTTCCCGTTCCCGACGGCATCTCAATAGCTCCGTGTCCTTTGGCGTCCAAACATTTCTTCAGTTCACACATATAGAGGTATTGTTCCGGATATATATAATTATACGGGAAATATACGTCCAGACCGTCAATATTTAACCTTAATTTACAGATACTTTAGTTTTAATTCAATTTTTATTAATCATTCAATACTTACTTCATTTTTATACCAAACAAACAACTATTATATAAATATTAAACTAAATTAATCGATAGTTAAAACTGTTTTTTTGTTAACTAATTAATTACCGGTAAATATATTCAAATCAATGCCCACAACAACAACACAAACATAACTTTTTATCAAATTATACTTAATATTCATATATAACGTTATATTACAAGTGGTTAAGGATTAACACAAAGTTAAAAACCTTTAATACAGTATTAATATTATATAATAATCTAAAAAACTGTATTTTTCATTATTTATCGTACAATACTATAAATTTAATAATAAATAAAATTATTAGTCAATTAACTAATTAATATTTAATATAATATTAATAATTAATATAATATATATAATTAATATTTTTTTCGACTAATAGAGTAAGTGTTGGGGATATGGATGGCTAATGTGGTAGTGGACGACACTTCCTATAATTATGCCATCAATTATATCATTATTAAACTTTAATTTATAGATTATAATACTCTATTAAATTAATAATTGTTTGTAAAATAATAATCAATTAAAAATGAGTGCTTTATTTAAAAAATCAATTTTATAATAATATTAATTAATTATAGTTTAGTTTGTTTTTGGATGACTAAGTGGTCCATTTGAGACATCGAGTGTCGCGATGTGTCTTAAGACATGAGACACAGCAATACCTCATTCCGCAGTTAACACACGTATAGTTTGAATCAAAGCCACAAACACTACAGAAATGTCTTTTGGCCACAAATGCCACTCTTTTAAGAGGTTTCTCACTATTGTTTGCAATGATGGCATCAGGAGAAGGAGCAGTACATGAAATATAGTTTGCCTCTTCAGTCTTCGAATCTTCTTCGATAAGATTATTAATGGTAAGCATTCGTGAGCGAGGAATCTGATGTCTCTTTGCAGCCGAAGAAACGCCCGTTGAGTTGGCTTTAGGGTTGTCCTCAAATTTGGGTGCCTTCTTATGCATGGCTAAGTTTGCGTGGGGGTCCTCATGAAAATTGTCTCTTTCTAATTGATCCAATTGGTTACGCTTTCGCCGATTGCGACCACTTTCATCCAAAACTCGGTATTGTTGTCTTTGTAATGATTGACGATTAGAGGCAACCATTTTAGTCTGTTTTGCACTCATTTTCATTTACTAAAACATCAATCAATTAATTGACATCAATGAATGAAATTTGGTCCATAAGATCATCGATTTGGTTCTTAAGTCTGTCTAAAATTTCGCTGGAAATGAACAGATGAGTTGAATCCAAGTCTTGTATTATAAATCTTGTGCCCAAAGCATTGGTTTCATCCAAATGTAGTAAAAACTGTTTCATCTGAGGATCGCATTCAATGAGTACTCCTTTCTGGACGTGAACCATATCTTTGGACCAAATGAGTGATTATCAAAATGAATGGCTCTTATTGTGAGCTCCGGTATGTGAGACACCAGTGCTCTCCAGTGGTATAACTCCTCACTTAATGTCTATAAAACTGAATGACTGACTGACTCTCATATCATCAAAGCTTTGATACATTTAATACTGTTTTGATAAACGCTTTACTCTTAAACACTGATTATTAGCGACAATACAATCAATCAAACCATCACTTGTGGACATCAATGACTTGTTTGTTATGATTATAGTGATTGCAATCATGTGTTTGTTTGGTTTCCACTTCAACAGTGTTGATGAAACTGACACTTCAATTGATGGACACATTGGTGGTCATCATTGAAGTGGTCATCCGATTGTTAATCAATTTTTTCCGCATTTAATTTAAATGTGTTTTAAATGACAAATCAATAGTCATTTTAAGATTATTTCAAAGCATTTATTTTAAAGTTTATTGTTTTTGTATTAATATTTGATTTAATGTAAAGAACTGATCAATTATTGACAATCGGATATTCATGTCTTAATTGAATGATGCGATGAACCGATTGATGGACACGAAGAAGCCATTGATTGGTGACAATGACAGCAACGCAAGTGGTCTGTCACTGTTGGAGCGATTCCAACGATTGGAGACATTGTTATCAATAGGTCCGACACTTTTCGACGGCAAGTCCATCAACTGTGAACTTCTTGCTGATGTACTTCAAGCTGTTTATTATGAGTGTTACAGGTATTGCCATCATTACCATCATTGATACCATTGTCACTATAATAGCTAACATTTAGATAACTATTTATTGCTTTAAATTAAAAAATTTACACATTTTTTGATTAATACTTAATCCGATTGCTATTTAGTTAAACCCTAAGATAATGTAAAGCTCTTGTTATGTATCTTATAGTGTATTGTATTGTAATATCATATACAGTATAATCTGTATATCAAATATTTGATAATTATTTAGATATACTGTATGTTATATAAATGATATGATATATAAATTGATTAAATACTAAGTTATATAATATCTAATAATTACAGAAATTCAAACACAACTCGTAATAAACAACAACAAAAGTTTTGTGAATTTGTCAAACCATTGATTGACAAGATTAATGAATTGCAGCTAAAAACCAATGATTTTGAACAGTTAAAAGTGATAGGAAGGGGAGCTTTTGGTCAGGTGGCTCTCGTCAAGGTATCATATTATTAATATCTAACACTACATCACTAAAAACTATTAATTAATTGATGAAATGTTTATCAAAATTTAAGGCCAAAAATAATGGAAACATATATGCAATGAAAACTTTGAACAAACTTGAAATGCTTAAGAGGGCTGAGGTTTGAATAATTATATACTTTTTGTTTTGTTTAATTGGCTATTGTTTGTATTGAATTGCATTATTTCATATGAAAATAGACGGCCTGTTATCGTGAAGAGAGGGATATCCTTTTGCACGGATCGCGTGATTGGTTCACCAAATTATACTTTTCATTTCAAGATGAATGCAATCTTTACCTAATTATGGATTACTATATCGGCGGTAATCATATGCATCTAATAATTATTAACAAATATCACAATACTTTTTTAATTAATAATTTGTTATATTTAATACTATTAATATTTTAAACGTTAGTTATATCCAAAGATTTTTTTAAAGATTATTTAATAATATACATTATCTTTTAGAATAATTAACGATATTGTTATTGTTTGCAATACAAATATGTCAAATATTAAATATTTAGCGCAATTGATTTTAAATTTGAATWTATATTTACATTTATCATAAACTAATTTGATGATTAAAATTATAGGTGATTTACTTACATTATTGTCCAAATACGATGACAATCTTCCTGAAGATATGTGTCGATTTTATACCTCACAAATCATTTTGGGTATTAACTATTTAATTGCACCGATAGTTAATAAATTATAACAAATTATTTTAATTAATGACAGCTCTATCCTCATTACATGAAATGGGTTATATTCATAGGGATGTTAAACCCGATAATATATTGCTTGACTCTAATGGACACATAAGACTCGCTGATTTTGGTTCTTGTATTAAGGTTTGGATCCATTAATTAACAAATTGTATACTTAATTATTAAGAAACAAATACTTTCAAACTTAGGTTTCTAATGTTAAAACTGATGGGATTTGTACTATAGCTGTGGGAACACCTGATTATATATCGGTAGGAAATATATAGTATTATAACTATACACTACCGGTAATGTAATAATTTTATTTGTTTTATTAAAGCCTGAGATTCTTAAAGCAATGGAAGGCAATCGAAATTCTGGTAATATTTAATTATTTTTGGAAATATTTCAGAATAATTATATATTTGTATATATTTTGATGAATACCGACAGGTCTATTATATTCATATGAAGTCGATTGGTGGTCACTAGGAGTTGTCATATTTGAATCCCTTTATGGAGAAACACCATTCTATGCCGAGTCGTTAATTGAAACCTATTCCAAGATTATGAATCATAAACATTGCTTTAAAGTAATTATTTCTTTACATTACCGTAATTGTATAGTTTTACAATTTTTTAATATAAATTATTTATTAATTAGTTTCCAATTAATGCAAAAGTCACGGATGAGGCTAAAGATCTCATATCACATTTGATTACTGACCAAAATTCTAGATATAAAAATTTAGACCAATTTAAGGCTCACCTTTGGTTTACAGGTATTTCAAATTTTAATAATATTAAATCTTTATTACCGGTAGTATATATAATTAATTTCATTGTTAATAAGGTATTCAATGGGATTCACTACAATTAATGAGACCGCCATATCAGCCAACTGTGAGCGGACCTGAAGATACTTCCAATTTTGATATTGAAGAGTTGAGACCACCTAATAATAATAATGCCAATAATGCAACGGCAGGATTGGCTATGAGTGCTACCAAAGATTCTTTACTTAATATTCATTTGCCATTTGTTGGGTTTACGTCAACTTTTACAGCTCATGAAGGAAGACATATGAAAATTAATGATCAATCAATACATAATTGTTCATTTGATAAAAGTAATGACAACTCAATACTCGAATCATTACCACCATTGCCTGAAACTGCAGCTCCAGATGTTATAAGTATACCAAAAGAAACGATTGATGGTTCAACTGATTTAGATAAAAGTGTAACTCTTGAAAATGAATTGAAAGCCGCGAGACAAGAATGGAGTGAATTGTCTACACTTTTGACTGAAATGAAAAAAGAGAAAAACTCTTTATCAATGAGATTAAGAGCTAAAGAAGAAGAATTGGAACAACAGATAGAAAAAAATACACAATTAAGACAACAGTTAAGAAATGTAGAGAAAATTAAGAGACAGCAAATCGATGATATTGTGACACTTCAGGCACAGTTAGACAAAGAACGTGAGCTACGTATTGAAGGTATTTTCTAATTTATTTTGTAAATTATTTCAATACATTATTTTATAAATAATTTATGATTTTTAGCTCAAATGATGATTAAAGAATCAGAGGACCGACTTTTGTTACTCGAGAATCAGTCATTTGATTCAAATTGTGTTCAAATTAGTCAAAATTTTGCTGAAAAAGAAGAATTATATTTAGAAAGGATTTCAGAATTGGAACAACAATTGGAATTATCGCAGCAAAGCATTGCTAAAGAAGAACCAAATGAAGAACACATAAATAAATTAGAACAACAAGTACTTCAATTACAACAATTGCAACCAAATTGGGAAAGACATGTCAGCGAAATCATTGATTGGGTCTCTAATGAAAAGGAGGCTCGAAATTATTTACAACAAATGACTGCTTCCATGTCTAAAGAATTAGAAAAACTTCAACTTCAACACCAACAATACGTTATGAGCCAAAGATATTCACCACCTGTTCATCAGTTCTTGGGAACAAATAAACAACAGAGTTGGCAGGAAAGGAGATCAGCTCGTGTTGACAAACAAGAGTTACTACAATTACAACTTGAATTACAAAATGAAATCGAAGACAAACAAAGGGTTCAAATGGATTTGCAAAGAGTTCAAAGAGAGATGAATATTGTTTTAACAGAATTAAATGAAACACGAATTGAATTACAGAAGATTCAAGAACTGGAGAGAAATAAGAGACAATCGTTACCACCAACCGCTGCGCCCAATATTCTCATTGCACAACAACCGCGATCTCCAATTGAACATCAAATTCAAAGCCAATCGCCTATTATTGAATCAGATATTGAATCCATGACTGATACCTCTTCAATATCTGATGGACAAAGATTTGCGATGACTTCACAACAAAAGCATTCATTTATTGTGCGCACATTTGTGGCACCACTTAAATGCAATCATTGCACTTCACTTATGGTAGGATTAGTCAGACAAGGATTGGTTTGTGAAGGTATTACTAATTTTACATATTTTTTAAACATAAGTTAATAAAATTTAGTAAAAGTAAATAAAATAATATTTTCTGATAGTTTGTGGCTTTGCTTGTCATGTTAATTGTATGGGAACCGGTAGTTCATGTCCGTGTGAGGATGCCAGACAAAGACCTGTGGGAATTGATCCTAAAAATGGCATCGGAACTGCTTATGAAGGTATATTATTGTAATTATATTACATTAATATTAATAATTGATTATTTTGATTATAAGGTTATGTCAAAATACCTAAAGCAAGGGGTGGGGTAAGAAAGGGTTGGATCCGTATGTTTGTTGTTGTTTGCGATTTTAAACTATTTCTATATGATCTCAATTCTAATAACGATTCATTGAGCTCGAGCTCCAGTTCTTATAACACATCAGCTCTTAATCAAGAGGGCAATGGAAATCCACTTACAATTACACCATTTGTTTCAGTCAATACATTAATTGATATGAGGTTTGTACTATATTTTGATTAAAAATTATATTTTATTTTCACTAATAAATCTACAAAAAAATCATTAAAAATCATTTTATTTTCATATTATAAGTTTTAAATTAATTTTAAGTTTATTTTAAAAATAACTCAATGTCTTAGTTATTATCAAGTTATTAGTTTAATATTATAGTATAATTATTATAGTATAAGTATTATTGGTATTATAAATACATAACATTATTACATGTATTTAATTGCATTGCTTTTAGGGACGAATTTTTTAGTGTCAGTGGAGTTCTTGAGAGTGATGTCATACACGCGTCGCGTAAAGACATTCCGTGTATATTCCGAGTGACGACTTCAATGTTGGGCGACGACGGCAGTCAACGGTTCACTCAACTTATGTTAGTCGACAGAGAAAGTGAAAAAAACAAATGGATCGACGCTTTACACGAATTACATCGAATTATCAGAAGAAACAAACTTTCCAACAGAAATGTATGTTTTCATCATTTGTTTAATTAATATTTAATTATATTTTTTTATAAGCAGTCATTACGAGCGCATACCATACTAACGACAGTTCAATTAAGTTTCTTAAGACATCACAATAATATAAACTGTTGTCTTGTTATCGATGAGACGCGTCTATTGATTGGCTGCGATGACGCTCTACTCTGTTGTGATTTAGATATCCATTCATACCATAGACTTACTAACTCTAAGCGCATTCAACAGTTGGCACATTCACCTACAGAACAGTTAGTTATATGTTTGGCCGGAAAGCAGAGACAGATTAAAGTAAGTCTTTTGTTTATATTTTGTTAGATATTATTTTAGATTAAATATATTTACTTTCTAACAGTTGATTCCAATTCGCGGTTTGGATAATGAAAGTATTGAATGGATTAAAATTCCGGAGACAAAGAATGCCACAACATTTGCATTGGTTTCGACAAATACAGCAAATTATATCTGTGTTGCCATCAAAAAGACATTAATTTTGTTTGAAATCACAAGAAAGAAATGTCGCTATTCTTTCTTTAGAGAGATTCAAATGCCACTTAACATTCAAACTTTAAATACATGTAAAACAAGTTCAATAGCAGTGGGAACCGCTTCTAATTTTGTTGTATATAATTTGAATCAAAGAGATTCGCCACCACTTTGTATGTCAACTAATAATTAATTTAAATTTAATTTAATTAAATTACGTTTTTTATGAAATCAGATTTGGTTAATCAAGAATGCAATGAATTATCGTATTTAATCCAGAATTCAATCGATGCATTGATGTGCCAACCAATCAATGATAAGGAATGGATTTTAATATTTAATCGTAAGTTATTTAACAGAAAATCAAATATTTTGTTTAGTTTATCAAAGATTTATTATTATCTCGATATATGTGATCTTTGTTTTGAGTGTTTGAAACAAACTATTGAATTATTTAATGTTTTTAATTATTAGATTATGGAGTTTATGTGGACTCATATGGCAGACGAACCCGAGCTTCTGAACTTCAGTTCCCGACACAACCGCTTTATATCTCTACTCTCACAACTTCTGCTATATCTTCAATGTTATTAGCATTTTCTTCTACACATATCGATGTATTTGATTTATCATCAATACAATGGATCCAAACAATTAATATGAAAGCTACACGTCCTCTGCAGACAAATGGACATCAGTACGAATAAATTATTTTATATAATTTTAATGTTTTTATTAATTATATATATATATATATATATATATCTGAATTATACAAAAAAAAATTAGATCTTTAATTTGTTTGAGCGGCGCATTTGACTTACCAATTATGATACAAATTGTTGCCTCAAAGAAAAATGAATGCCTCCTTAAAGTTGCCGGTATTATAAAATATAAACAATAAGTTTTTTATCACACATTAAATTATATTAATTAATATTTTAGGAGATCCATCAAAATCTTTTACATTGAACGCCAACGCTTCGAACCAAAGGTTTTCTCAATTAGGTGCCAATAATAATGATATTATTAAAAAGGTATTATTATTATTATTATTAGCATAATATCAATGTTATTTGAATATTTATCACAAATAAAAAATATGATTTGTATGACAGAATCCACGCCTTCAAATTAGTGGTCCATCAGATTTCAGCCATATTTCACATTTGGGTCCCGGGAATGGACCGTTTACCGCTAATTTAATTGACTGTTAGTTTAGTTAATAATAATAATTTGTTTATTTACCGATAATAAAATATTTTTATTGATTGTTTATATAGTAAGCCATTCAAACTCTTCAGTCCAAGTATTGAAACAATCGCGCGAAGAGTTAAATAACACAAGACGTCGAGATTCCACGTCATCGAGTCATTCGTCTTCAAGTCCTTTCAAATATTGAGATTTTTTTATAATTGAAATATTGTATTGTATTGTATATCAGATTTTCATTTTGAGTTTTTTTATTTAATATAATTGTTATATTTATTTATTATTTATTTTAATGTTTGTTTGAGTTATGAAATGACTGATTATTTAATAAATTTTCTATTAATTATTGTATAAATCGGATTAAAAAAATAGAGAGATGTTTACAAAAATTGAGAATTTACATGAAAAGTGATTTAAACATTGATTTCAGCAAATATGTGATATTCAAAAGTTACAGTTTATAATAATGCAATTTAGTTTATAGTTATCTTATAAATATGATTAGAATTATGAATAATTAAATTAAGATATTTGATATTTTAAAATATTATTTCTTTATACTCTTAATACTCATAAATATTTTTTAAATATTTCTTATTTTTAATTATTATTTTATGAAACATCTCTTCTTTTTTTTAACCAATTTATATATTAGTTATTGTTTTGTATTTTTTAGAAAATATATAAAATTTATTTGATACTATAATGATATAAAATATGCATTTGATTAGCTTAAATAAAAATGTTTTTATGCTTATTGATTGTTGATTTGTTTAAAACAAGAAATTAATGAAAAATTACTTTTAAAAATATTGTTTGTTAAGTATTCAATGAGTTTAGATAAAGTTTGAATACAATATTAAGGTCTATTATACTGTAGAGATAGGAAATGATACTATCATTTACCGGTAATTGTTTTAGTAATAGATACTAAAATTATTTGAATATATAATATAAAAATTGAAAAATTTTTATTTGATTTTTTTTTTAAAAACAAAAGTTGCATCAAGGAATAAAAAAGTTATAATCAAGTAACAAAATATTACTTAATTTTAAATAAATATTTTATGTAAATTTGTTAGAAACTATTTAGAAATGTTTTGTTATTTGGTTTATGAATAAACATTACTATAAATAATGTAATATTTAAAACAATTACAATATATCATCAGATTTTTAATAATAATTAAAAATAACAATTTTATGTTCAATTCTGTATATAACGTCTATAGGAGAGAAACTACCGAACCTTACCTTTAGAGGTAACAGCACTGCGAAGGCGTTTGCTATACAACGAGTTGGTTGGTGTTTGGAAAAGGGATCGAAATTTACTCACAACTGTGCACTTAGTGATCAGTTAGTGAATTACTGCAATTTCTAGAAAGTTTCTGTCTATGGGATGACCATGTTAATTTTGTTTTTGTAATAATACTTTACATTTTGATTAGAAGTAATTGTTAAATATTATTAAATAATCTTTTTTATTATATTAAACTAAAAATACAATTAAATGATTAATAAAATTTTACAAAACTATAATTTTATATATAGAGATTCCAGTTGTACAGTATATAAGATTATATACAATATGTATTGTATCATTAATTTATTAAATAGTATTACAATAACTATAGATATGGGTATCCCATAGTATAAATTTTACTTATAAATTATACTATGGGATCCTCATATCTATAGTTATTGTAATATTTTTAATCAATATGTATTGTTACAATATAACTAATAATATAGAGAGAACAAAATTAACATGGTCATCCAATAGACAGAAATTTCTTTTAGAAACTTTCTAGAAATATCTATTATTTTATATTAAATCTTTTTTTGCCAACACTAAGTAGGACTAACCCAACATTTGTATTGATTTCATGCCTCAATTTTCACTATTGTTGAAAAATTTTATTTGAAAATTATTTTGTTTTCACCACTGAAAACATTGTTTTTAAGTAAATTAAAATATTTTTTGAATCATATCTATCAATCTATAAATAAGATTTAATACAATTTGAAATATTTGCCTTATCCTTATTTTTGACAGACTATATATATATTGTATATTAATACTTATATTTTAACTGAATATTATTAGTTTTAAAAATTGGATGACCTGTTATTAATTAATATCAAAAATTATCAATTATTAAATTAATCTTTTGTTAATAATTAAATGCTAACAACATTGTCATTATTTTTAAAGAAACTTATTTTATATTGAATATTGTATTACATAAATGAGTTTTTGAAAATTTGGTATTGAAACTAATTTATATGAATATTATATTTAGCATAAAATATAATGTTTGGAAATCAAGACTATATTCAATGTATTTAATAGACAACAGTTTATGAATAATACGTGTTATGAATACTATGTTATTAAACATTAAACAAAAGGTTAACTATATTTTATGTGAACATAAGTTAAGGTCATTGCACTGTATGAACACAAACCACATTATAACTACTGGTTTATTGCATGCGATACTAATTTCAAGATTACTTGTAATCAATTATTTAGTCAATAATTTTATTGCTTTAATAATAGTCTTGCGTTTATTGTATTATATTTATAATAATTTTATTGTTTTAAAATATTATTTTTGAATTTACTAAGTATTTCCTTATAAACTGTAAATAATTTTAATAAAATAATAAATTAATACAAATAAGAAATAGCAGAATATTCTTTGTTTGGATATTCTTGAATATAAATGAATGACATATGAAATGATAAAATTGTAGAGTTTGTCGTCTAATTCAAGTGTTTTATTCAAAACATAATATAAAAGCTTTTTATGCTTTGAAAAGTGAAGCTTTAATTTGAAGTTTTTACACACAAGAAAATTCTGTATTCAAATAATAATATCTATAGTTATCTATAAAAAATATATTATTAGTTAAAAATAATACATACAAAATTACATACTGTTAAAAATATACACAACTTTTATTAAATATTTATTATAAGATTATTATATAAGACTATATACCTTAATATATATAGCTATTTATATATTATCATTTTTAAGTAATTAATTTTATTAATATATAACTTCCTTATTTAGTTATAGAAATAATATTTTTTAACTGTTTATTTGTATAACTAATTAATACTTTTAAATGTGTTGATATTATATTTTTATACATTTATATACAATACATTTATTTATATATTGTATAATTAATTTCAATATAGTTTCTAAAGAAAATGAAAATATTATTAGATTTTATGAAAGCTATGATACAATTCTGTTGATTTCGCAAAATATCAATTCATTAAACAATTTGATGACAAAGACATGCGTATCGTATCAAACATTAGACTAAAACTTTTTTGTTATATAATATCTAATTTTTATGAAACAAATTCATTTGATTGTAATTTTTGGAGTGAGTTTGACTTAATAGTAAAACTGTTTTTTGTTTAAAATTTTTGAATTTTGCAAACAAAAAATTGAGAACAAATTGGTGAGATCTTTACTTTATTATTTACAATTTATTATTTAAATATTTATATCTTATCAAATTAGTTAAATTTTATTTTAACTATTATTTATTATTTTTGAAAATTTATATTACATTATAATGTGAAGATATAATTACTATAAAGAAATAAATTTAGCTTAAATACTGTAAAGTAGTATATTAAGATTATAAAAATTGCACTTAAATTAATATTTTTATTTTTTATATCAATTTTATAAATTTGGTAATTATTTAAATATTAGTATAACAAATAAAAATGAAATTATATATATATATTATATATATATGTAGAGTTTCAAAGCAAATAGATTATAAACTCATATTATATAATAGTTGGTAATAATTAATTAATAATAGTAATAAGTTGTAAATTAATTTTTGCATTTAATAATGTTTAATAAATAATAAAACAATAGAACTATTTATTATATAATATTTGTAGTAACTGTGACTTATTTAATTATTTGCTATATTGAATTACAAGCAAAATTATCCCAATTTACAAAATATATATCAATTAAGCAATAAAAAAGCGAATTCAATAATTTAGTTTATATCTTATACTAGTATTTGTTTAAAACTATAATAATGTAAAAATAATAAACATATATATATATTTATTCTATAAGTTATTATATTTACATATAAGCTATAATTTGTATTGTTTATAATTATTACATTACGTATTTATAACTTAAAATCTTAAATCTAATCTTTATAATATATATATAATAAATTTAATCATCTTTATTAAAAACTCAATTAAATAGTTTTTATTAAATATAACTTTCACTATAATAAGGTAAACAAAATATTAAAATAATCTTTTACTATAAAAATCTTTTATTAAATAAATTACATTTTATCGATTAATTATAGGGAAGTTGTGTCAAAATAAACAAAAAATTTTATGTCTTTTATTGATGAATGAAGCGGTGATAGCCAGTGGTTGTCTCTAACATAACAGTTATGAAACTCAATGCAACTAAAGTAAGTGACACTCAATTTATTAATGAATATAAACTGAATGACACTTCACATGTGGTCATTGACTTTGAAATTCAAAATGAATAACAAATGAATGACATGTTATGTCTAATATATGTCTAATTATTATATTTTTTATTATTTGTATTTAAAAATTTTTTTATTATAAAAATGAATTTCCAAATATAATATTTTTTTATTTATATATTTATTTACTTTCATTATCTTAACTTATCATAATAATTTTAATTGAATGCAAACATATCTTTATATTCAAATAAAAAGTTATTTAAATAAATATAATAACTTTAAATAAATTGATATTTTATAGGTATTTACTATAGAGCCTATAGAGCCAATGGCTAACTTTGATGCGGCAGTGGTTGACTTCCCAGTGCGCAAAAGGCAGTGCAAGGATACGGTGTTTTTAATACTTTTTATTGCTTTTCTAACATTTCTCGTAAGTTAATGAACTTCAGAGTTAATGAAAACTAATTAATATTAATATTGTTTGTTAATATTGAAATTAGTCATATGTAGTAATAGATGTGATATTAGTGAAGCACTCAAATATTAATTATGTAATTCATGGCTACGATAACTATGGAAATATTTGCGGTCAACCAAACAAAGCACTTCCAAATGTGACAAACTCTGGTCTCAATAAAACTGATTTCCCGTATTTGTTCATTGAATCCATTACCAACTTTTCAGTAATAACCAGATGTGTCAGCCATTGCCCAAACAATTCATTTTTGTAAGATTTATAGCAATTAACAAAAATAATTTTTAAATTTAATTATATAAAATTGTATGTATAGTGTGTTAACAATTTATCGATGTTTACCACATGATTCTCGACTACCGGTATTGATTGATGCATACAACACTACCCGCACTTTTTTTGAAGACATACTGTCCGATTTATCAGTTTGTTGGAAAGAGATCACATACCTGTGCAGCATTTCATTTGTCTTTTCGCTCGTTATTATGATTTTATTGCGATATTTGGCTAATTTCATCATTTGGTTCACTCTATTTGCTCTCAGCTTAACAGCAGTCACAGGATCTGCTTATATATGGTTTGTAAATACTCTCTACATATGTAATAAATTTGTATTAAAATATAAAATAGTGGACAAAATTATACACAACAATACAATATATTTGCTTACAATTTTCTAGATTTAAATTTTTTATTTATACAAGTGTTTATAATTTCTATAATTTTCATTTCACTATAAATAAAATGTTTATCTATAATATAATAATAAATATGAAAATGATGCAGGCTCATTTGGAATTATTATAAAAGTCAATTAATCTTATCATACGATGAAAAGCAACGGGCATTTCAACAACATTTGGTCGACCAATGGTTTATCGCTGGAATTGGTGTCTCACTATTGACTGTAATCATTCAAATATTTATATTAAACTATTGCTAATTTAAATTGACTTTCTATGTACTGTATATAATATAATATTTTTAATAATTTTTTTGTTAATATATAATATTTTTTTAGATAATATTTTTATTTATTGTGACTGCAATGAGAAAACGGATAAAATTAGTATGTTAGATTTTTATAAAATAATTTTTGTATAAATTATAAAATTTGTTTGATTTATATAATAGGTGGCAATTTTGTTTCGTGAAGCAGGAAAAGCTATCAGTGATATGCCATTCCTTCTAATGCAACCTATTTGGGTATATATTAATGCATCTAAATATTTAATAATTAATATTCTTATATAAAATTGTCTAAAATTTCTATTTATTCAACATTTTATAGACTTTTATGATTTTATGTTTTGTATCATTTATTTGGATCTATGGTTTGGTTTACTTACATTCAATGAGATTTCCATATATTGATCCAATCACTGGATTTGTTTCATATAAAATTGAAAACTTTTACAGAGTATGAAAATTTTGTTATTAAAATTAATATTATTATAAAAATTTCTAAAAATCTATTGCTATACTAAAAATGATTAGTATATGAAATGGTATCACATGTTTGCATACTTATGGTCCGTCCATTTCATCCTTTGCTGTCAACACTTTGTAATTTCTGGTTCAGTTTCTCAATGGTTTTTTTCCAGGTATTATAAATTAATATACATTTTTGATTAATTTATTAATATTATTGAATAATAGATCAAGATTAGATTTGGGATCACCCATATTAAATACAATATCAACATTAATTCGTTATCATTTGGGATCAATTGCTTTCGGCTCATTATTGGTGGCATCCGTTAAGATAGTTCGTCTAATTTTTAATAAATTAAACTCATTGTAAGTTTCGTTTCAAAAATCATAATAATTATTGAAAAATAGTAATTAATTTTGAAAACTATGAAAAGATTGAATCGTTACAAGACTTCATGTGACACAAGTCTTAAATGGTGTCAATGTTGTCTTTGGTTGTTTGAAAAGTTTGTCATTTATGTCAACAGAAATGCTTTCATTGAAATCGGTTTGTTGTAAAAACTTATTAACAATCAGTAAATTATAATTTTATAAATTAATAATTAATTTATTGTTTAATATCAAGCAATATATGGCACTTGTTTTACAACAAGCGCTCGAAAGGCATTTGGTTTGCTTTCAAACAATGCATTAAAAGTATTAGCCCTCAACTCTGTCGGAGATTTTCTACTTTTTGTGGCAAAAATATGTGTCGTAACAGTAATTGTATTGATTGGCATTGAATTGATTGAAGACAAGACTCAATCTTTGCATTATTACTGGTCACCGATCATCGCTTCCGCTTTCTTCGCATATTTTGTTTCTCATTGCTTTCTATCAGTTTATGAAGTATTTTACTATTTTTATTATCTTTATTGACAACATCTTAATATTTAATTATTTTGTTTTAGATGGCAATCGATACACTTTTTTTATGTTTTATTGAAGACACCGAAAGAAATGATGGAAAAACTAAACCTTATTTCATGAGTAATACTTTGATGAAGTTTATCGACACAAACTATAAGACCATTGCTTTTGATAAATAATTTATTTATAAATTATTTATAATCACAAATATATTCACTATATTGTAATTTTTGTATATTTGTATATTTATAAAGTTTAGATTTAGTTATATAAAATAATTTTTATTATTAAGTTAATTGTCAGTCAAGCGTATTAGTAAAATGTCTATATTGGTAGTCATTATCAATTTTTATGGAAATCCCATATTATAATAATAAAATAAAATTAATATAAAAATTTATTAGAAATTTCTATTTGTTTAACTTTACTGTTTATCACAACCAGTAATAACAACTTTTGACATAAAAATGGATTTTTTTACTGGCAATTGTCTAAAAAATTAAATTGTTATTAATTTTTTTGATAAAAGTATTTTATGGTTAAGGAATAACACGAGTATTGAAATAATAAATACAATTAAAATAAGCATATATGATATTATACTGTAGTACAGTAATATATTATATTACTACATGTTGTATAGTATTATAGTTTTATATTATATTATAGTACTACAGTATATTATTGCTCATTGATTTAAAAACCTATTATAAGTGATATACTGAAATAAAATACATAAAATTATAAAAATTCATATTGTAATATTTATAATTATTTAAATTATAAATAAATAATAAATTTTTATTATAATTTAATATTGTATGTACTGTACCAACCAAACATTATAAACTAAATAATTTCTGCATTTTTGAACCAAATCATATAAAATAGTTGAATTTTTCTATTTTATACTATACTATTCTAAAAATAAAATATACCTTATGTGTCCACATATTTTCAATTGAATAATCTTAAAAATTAGAAAATTAACTGTTGTTATGGGAATAAGTATCACATTTATTTCCATTCACTGGGAATACATTTAAGGGGTGAGTAGGAAACTATTTAATAAGCAACAAAATATAGACTATTTTTAATATTTTAAATAACGTAGAATTTACTTTAATTAATAAAATTTTCTTTAAGTAAGAATTTTTATTTTAAACAAAATTTATTTATTATTTGTTATTATAAAATTTAAAACTAATTATAAATAAAATATATTTAAATATAAAACTTATTAATATAAACATTTTAAATCATTTTTGTCATTTTAAAGTTTTAATGTTAAATAATATAGACAAAATTATAAAATTTATAAATAAATATTATATGTGAAAATAAAATAAAATAAATAATAGACAGAGATAATTATTACTTTAAGATTTGTCTAAATAGCAATTATTTTTATTTATTAACATTAATAAACTAATATTTCTATATTAGATAACTTTAACAAATAATTATTGATACTGTATATAAATAAGAAATAAATAATAATTATTATAATAATAATTAAAATTGCAATTATAATATTCAAAAACTAAATAATAATTAATTATATATATTATTATTATACTATATTTATTATAGCAATAGAAATTTTGTGTTTAAATTGAATAATATTAATTAACAATATTATATCGTGATATGTATTTAACTTTTAAATTAAATGTTTAATAAAATTATATTGCACTATTACCTTAATTTTCTAATTGTGATTAGATTAAATAAATTTGTTATATTTAAAATAAAAAACATTATAATTATTTTTATAACAATCTGTTTTGTCATATATTGTTATAGTATAAATGTATTTAGTATACCATTAAATATAATGATAAAAATAAGTTTAGATAGAATTACAATATATAATTAAATATATTTTTCAATATTTTCACAACCTTATTTACGTTATTAACGTAATTTGGTTAATATACGCTAATTATTTAAACTAAATTCACAACCTTTAGTTTTAAGTTTTGTTTTTAAATTATTTCACAACCTTAGTTATAATTTATAAAACATGTTAAAATACATTATATTATCGTATAATTAAACAAATGAAATAATTACTGTAATTAACAACAAAATACTATTTATGAAACGTTTTAATGAAGTCAAAACTCAGGCCAACCAAAGTCTTTACCGACCAATTGATAAAAAAGTCTGTTATGCGATGCGTAAAATCTTCTTAGTCTTTGAATCACTTGTGGATCAATTTGTGGATGTCTTCTACCTTTGCTTTCATTTAGACATTTATCTGAAGTGCCATTAAATCGGACACAAAAGAATCCTTTAGTAGAATTGTATGAAAAGTTTTCGCGACTAATCCGATGACTTAAACCTAAGAACTGCTCGACTTTTTGAACTTCAGGAAAGGGATCGTAAACAAGACGATCGCCATCAACGACATGGACCTGACTTTTCGGGAATACTTGAGTCCAACGCGAGTAAAACATAGCGTAAATACCGATGCGAATGGCTTTATAACTGGTATTGATTTTGTCGCCGTTAACTAAAATTAAATCTTCAAATGAAGCCATTTGTCGATTTTTATTAGCCTTATTGGCGGCCAATTGAGCGTAATCTGAGACCAATCTGGTGACTGGATCTCTTACAATTATAATTAATTTTGTCGACGCATTCATTTGATATATACGTTGCGGCACTGAATCGGTCACAAAATAAGCCGGACTTTTCTCAATAGTCACTTCATTAGGCAAAGAGTATGGCATTTGTTTTCGATACCAATCAAAACCTAAACTATATTTGGAATTGTCGTCAAAGAAGTGGACCTCATCTGAGGCTTTCTTCACTGACGGATGAATGCTTAGGAATTCAAGGAGAGCTCGAGTGCCACACTTTCGGACTCCGATTATTATACACTTAGGAAGTCGACGATCCAATTGATCTCTTTCTTCTATTTCACCATTTTTGTCATATCTATTCAATATTTAAAGATTTATATATTTTTATAAATTAATTAAACTAACAAAAATCAATTAAATTTAATGTAATTGTCTAAACTTTAATAATTTATAAAAAGATTAATATATAATTAAGTTACTATTAGTAATTATTAAGTACACAATAATAATTATTTAAGTTTTATTATTAAAAAACTCATAGAAAAAATTAACAAAAAATAACAGAAATTTGTCTAATATTACTAATCTTTATGTTTATAAGTTTACATTTATTAAACAATAATCATTAACACTATAAATACCTGATTTGTTGTCGATGTATATTATTGTGACAAATGTGGAGAATTTGGTATTCATAGGCAAGAAAATTGTAGATAAGAAATGATAGAAAAAGCAAAGTTAATAGCCATAGGATATATAAACGTTTAGTGTATATATGTTTAGTTGTATATCTAAAAAACAAAATATTGTTTATTAAACAAATATCAATAGAAATAAAGCCAAAGGCTTAACAAAAAAAGAGTAAATCAATTACAAAAAAGACAAACCTTTTGCCAAAACGAATGCCTTCTGGAAACCAGAAAGAATTGCTTCTTCTTCTGCCAAATGATTTCAATTTTGTTGCTTTGATTAACACTAGTTTCGGCTCTTTTGACAACATATCGACTCAAAGCCATTGTTTTGACACTTAAAAGAAATTTTTTAAAATTACTGTTAGTATCAAAAATTTTTATTGTAATCTTAATAAATAATTGAATTTACTGTAAATTTTACATTCATTTTATGAATGAATGCATTAAACTATAATAACCCCTGAAATGCTATTTAAGTGTAAAACATATTCTAAATGATGACAAATGCAGACAATGTATAAAATGAATGAATATTAAGATAACTTAAAATCTTATAATTTTAATTAATTTTTCAATTAATTAAATAAATAAATTTAATACTCACTCAAACGTTTAATGATAAAAACACATTTGATGTAATGATGCAATAATTTTGAACATTTTATAAATAATTATTTTGTGGGCACTTTTTCACAACCATTGGTTACAAATATTTATAAATATATTACATTATATTATATGCAATTAAGTATGAGATTTACAATAATATTAAATTTAGTCTTTGATTAAGTAAAATCATAATTAACAAATTAAATATTTGAATATGTAAATTATTTAATAATATTTTAATAAAATCATAATTGATATAATCTTTTAAAAAATTTAATCAATAAATAAAAATAATGATATTATATTAATGACATCAACTTATAGATAGATATACAATATATCTAGTGTTTTATGTTTATTGTGATACATATAATCTATAGATATATAGACACAACAAATACCAATATTCTTAATATTGACGATATTATAGAATATATATATACAGTATATATATAGTACTGTATATATACTGTATTATACTCTACTGTAGAATACATTGAATGCTTTAATAGACAATACGAGTCAAAGAATAAATGATAACAATTGTGACAAACAGTGCCATCCATTGACATGACTTGTAATGTAATCAAAACATGTGTACAACAAACACATGTGTTGTGTATGTATTGAATGTGTGATTGTTTTGTTGAGTTATTAAGTGATAAATAAAATGCCGAAAATCAGGTCCGACAAGAAGTGTCGCCCACATAAAGATGTCCAGAAACAAGGCATCGGATTTGATAAGACTTTGGGTCAACACATACTCAAGAATCCACAAGTTATCACAAGTATGATTGAAAAGGTATGTCTTGTAATTGATTTGACCTCAAAATAACGTTTYATGACTTGAATTGTGGTCAATAATAGGCCAGTTTGAGGCCATCGGATGTAGTGCTCGAAGTGGGTCCGGGAACGGGTAATATGACCGTTCAATTGTTGGAAAATTGCAAACAAGTGGTGGTCTGTGAAGTCGAYACAAGACTGGTCGCTGAGCTCCAGAAGAGAGTCCAATCAACACCATTGCAAAACAAATTAAAGATAACAGTCGGAGACGTCCTCCACAAAGAGTTGCCATTCTTTGATGTTTGTGTGGCTAATCTTCCCTATCAGATATCGTCGCCATTTATCTTCAAATTATTACTTCATCGACCATTCTTTAGGTGTGCTGTTCTTATGTTTCAGAAAGAGTTTGCACAGCGATTAGTTGCAAAAGCCGGTGATAAGCTATACTGTAGACTATCGGTTAATACACAACTATTAGCCAGAGTAGACATATTGATGAAAGTGGCCAAAAATAACTTTAGACCGCCGCCGAAGGTCGAGTCGAGTGTCATAAGATTAGAACCAATTAATCCGCCGCCAAATATCAATTTCAAAGAATGGGATGGATTGTTAAGGATATGCTTTCAGCGCAAAAATAAGACACTTTCGGCTCAATTTAAACATAATTATGTCATCGATATGTTGAGCCATAATTATCGGGTCCACTGTTCACTCAATAATATTTCAATTGATAACAACTTTGACATCAAAGACAATATACAGAAAATACTAAAAGATAACGAAATGGATGATAAAAGATCGCGAACTATGGATATCGACCACTTCTTAATACTTCTTCATGCTTTCAATAGTCAAGGATTTCATTTTACTTGATTTTTAATTACTTTATTTATACTTAATTAATAAAATTTTATTTATAAATTGTTATCGCTTTGAAAGCCATTGAATTAAATCATTAATCTATTAAATTAATAAGTAAAGCAATTTTGTTAAACATTACAGTAATAATAAATGAGTTAATTGTTAAATACCTCAACAAACCAAAAGCTTCCCGTTTTGAATATCACACGAGATATCCAAGACATTTGTCGGATGGGATACAATAGATGCAAATGAATATGTGATATACTATTGAATGGCGGCCAATGATAACCCATTCTGACAACCCATCAATTARACAATAATTTGATAATAATTACTTCAATAAGACTTACCTCAACTGAGATTCATCTGTAAAACCTTTACTTTTCATGAAATTTTCGCCAATTGTCTTCATATTATTGACTAATAACACAAAAAGTGAGTTAATTGTAGACATGAGTTATGTCTTAACTTATTTGAATGCTCTCCTCTTTCTTCATATTCTTGATATTTGTTATGTGTTTCTTAGGTAAGACCAGATAGTGTTGATCGACAGCTGGTTTAATATCATTGATAATCACCAAATTGTTGTCCTTTATTAACAATTAATTATTTTTATATTATAATATCATATGATATACAGTATTAACTCTCACTTCATATAATAGTTGTGAATTGTTTGTCAAATTGTTAGATATTTGACAGAAAATACAGTTTTCATCGACAAAGTTGTTGTCCATTGCTTAAGAGGATAATCAAAACTCATATAAAGTGAATATCAAATGTTATTAATAACTAATTAATTAATTAGCACTACCTTTGGTCATATACCCTATCAATTCAATACATATGTTATACAGTATTGTATTATATTCAATATATACAGTACTGTACTGTAGTGTTGACAGCTTAACAACAAAGTTGTAATCAATTTGTCAAACTATTGCAAAATCATAGACTAATCAAAATACTATTATTAATATTAATATTAATATACAGTATATTACAGTATATTAATAGTGATTGAAAGAGCTGTTTAACAATTGGTTGATATTATGAGAGTGAATTTGAAATCTGTTGTGAGTGTGTGTGTGTGTGATCTGTGAGCCATCTAGGGTCACACACTTATTAATGATTTTAATAGCAATTTGTATATAAATATAAATGAATTGATATAAAATTGATTTGATAAGAGTGTATAATTGAATTGATGGACAATTTGTTAATGTTTTATAAGTCATTGAAAGGGAGGGTTAATGTATGGTAACGTCATATGTGTTGTAATGTTGTTTGTATTACATATTTATTAATATTATATGACATTCAATGCAATGATTGTATATATATATTGAGCACACATGACATGACACACAACACACACAACAATAACAATAGTGTTGTATATATTGTTGTATAACATTGACTACAAAGCGATTGAATGAATGAGAGTTATAATGTCTAACCATTGCTAAGACGTGTCACTTACTATCACTATAATCACATCCACTCCACTTACATCAGGTCCCATGAAATATGAGTTTGGATACACTTCTGGAGGCCGCCAAGTATTTGGATCACATCCAGAAGTCAGGTCTGACACCACTTTAACACCACTCACGTGTTTGACATGAATTGGTCTACACGTGATCTCTTGTACTTCATGTCATATCAACTGATATTTAACTTTAATGTTTACTTATATCACATCCATTGACAGATTGCAGTGATGGACAAACTTGGGATTACTGCGAAAGAAATGAATATATTGGCAGTGAAGAAGTGATACTGCCGTCATCGACATATCATCTAAAAGTGGATCCAAATATACCTATTAGTGTACAGTTTCATACCTATACATCCAATGGGTCATCAATTGAGACCATCTCACAGATGGCTACATCACGAGCAATGGCTACCAATGCTAACATAAGTACAAAACGAAACGGTCATCAAAATGGTGGACATGTTATGAATGAATCAAACTTAAGGTCATCAATGAATACTTCAAATGGAGTGAACAATAAAATTAAAGACCACTCGGCGTACTCTCGACACCGGGAAATGCATAAGACATTAGAGAAGAACAGACGCGCACATCTGAGACAATGCTTTGAAGTACTCAAAGAGGAACTGCCTCTCAATGAGTACAACGAGAAGAAGAGTTCGCACATTAATATAATTAGTTGTGCCATCAGATACATCCAGCATCTCAAGAGAATCGAGTCGGAACTACACCAACAAACTGAAAGATTAATGAGAACCAAACATAGGTTCCAGAACCAGATCGCACAACTCAGACAAGACCTGATGGATGGCCACCAATCAGGCTTTACTCACAACAATCTATTCCTAAGCGATAATTATCTTGATTTTGAGCCACAAGTAGAGGAACAAAGTGATGAAGAAGTGATAATAGAGTTTGAGACGGGAGAAGACTGTTATGACGACGAGACTACAACTACAGCATCAGGTCTGACATATTGATTGTTTTGAATAATTATATTTTAGTAAAATATATAATATATTTGTATAATTGAATTGAATAGAATGTGCCGATGACTTGAGAGAACCCGATAGTCCATCCAAAATAAGCCGACCGCTGGCCAACCCTTTAATATACAAATGTCACGCTTGACTCACACTATTGATTCAATTGATTGGCCAATTAGTGTCATTTTGGACACAATGCCACTCAACTCAATGTATTATTTGGTGGATTTTAAGTGATACATAAATTATATGTTATACCTGTATAAAGATATTGATTTCATTTTTTAGTGAAAAGATACTAATTATTATTATTATATACATATAKAAAATGTCTAAATGTTTAGCAAAACTAATGATTAGTTATTTTGCTGTTATTATGTTTACAAATACTGTTTGATTTATAAATTTTAAATAGTATGTCATTTTCGGCAATTTCTTAAGTTATGCTTATCTTCTCATTTTTATAGTGTAATATTGATAAGTTATATAAATTATATAATGTAAATGTAATATTATTTTAAAATTATATAATAAATAAAATATTATTTTAAGCATTTGTTGATAATGTCTAATGAGTTATATTATTATTATTATTAAAGAGAATTTTATTAATGCATTAAATTCAGACTATTATTAGTTATTACTTTCAATATTTCATTGATAATGTTTGCCATAAGACTACATATGATAAATATAAATTGGCAAATCACCATGGTAAATTTTAATATAAAAATATAGTAAAAGCCATTTTATAATATAATATTGTAATTATTTAGTTATATTATGAATGTTTTGACGTAAAGTATAGTATTTTCAAACATTTTCCTTTCTATTAATAAAGTGAAGGGAATATCAAATAATTTCCTCATTTGTTTAGAAAAGTTTGTTTTTTGGGAATTTTTCTTTCAACAAATTTTCCTTATTCTCTGAGTTTTAATTTTTTACATATCCTTTAAAAATATTATGAGAGATATATAAGAGAAATATCAAATAAATTAACTATAGTTTAGTTTAGTTTAAAATATAAAATTTAATAAATATTATAACAGTAACCCAAATAAGGTAATGCTTTATAATTTATATTATATAAGCAATGGGTTGGTATCAGTTTTTTCATGTATTTGGAATGATGTATATAAATAAATATTTTACTTACAGATAATTAATTTTTTAAATCCATAATTTTCATATTTACATTTGGATAAAATGATTATAAAAGTGTACCTTTTGTATTGAAATATAAATTAAAAAATATATGTAAAGTATATTTATCTAATAATTAGCTTATCGTGAAAACCTATATTATATAAAAATATTTTATTAAATTATGAATAATAGTCAGTAAGACAACACTCCTTTACAATACATTAAAATAACTAATAATTATTAATTGTAGTAATTCTGTAGACATTTTCATAATCAACTAATTTGTGACCACAGATGTCACACACAGACAGACATTATAACTACAGTATATCTAACTTTCCTTATCCTATCTCTACTAACTCAGACAGTCTTATAATAATTTTAGAATTTAATTGTATTTTTTAAGATTAATATTAATAATAAATTGGTTTTAATTGATTTGATTGTCACTTATTAGACATTCAGTGTGTTGTATAACAACAGAAAACATATTGATTTCAGATTACATTTAATACATGAAACGATTGAATGGAAATATACCGATGATTGGTATTAACAACCGGTTCAAGGAATGGGTAAGTATTGAGATAAACGGTTGAAACAAATACTAAGAAATGGGTTAAATGTTTTAATAGTTTAATAGAAAATAAATAAAACTAATGAATAAAAAAATAGATTAAAATAAAAGTATATATGAATTGCCGTTAAAATATTTTAATTTTTAACATCCTTTCAATGACTCAAAAGTATATTTATGTTTAGTTGGCAGAAACAAAATGTTTGTATTATACAAAGCGTAATATACAGTATTATACAATGTAAAATACATGACCAATTTGGCTTACAAACACAAATTAGTGCTACCTATTGCTAAAAGTATTGATATAAGAAAGTAAATCATGTTTTATAATAAATATAGATTTAATATTATTTTTTATTGAATTTATTTTTTATTTTAAATTATTTGATTATTATAACTTAGAAGCGATTATAATAATGCATTTTCTAGAAATTATATTTTTACTAAATATTTTAAAGTAATTTTTAACATAATATACAGTATATTAGTTTTAAAATTTTATAATATTGATTATAACATTGTATTTTACTGTACAGTATTATACAAAGTCAAAATTCAAAACCTTGTATTTTTCCAACCCTGATATTTATATTCTATAAAATTAAATAATTTGTAAATTTTGTAAATACTTATATTTAAGAAACTAATTATGATTTTTTGTGTGATGTTTTATTTTATAAAATATTGTCTAATAATACCTTTACATTGCTTTTATTCCGAGCTGTTATATATACACTAAAATAAATTCATAACATTAATCTATATTTAAATAAAACCTGTCACACAGTTTTGTCGCCTAAATTTTATATTATAATACTGTATTGATATTAAACACAATGTGTTTAACACATATTAAGAGCATTAATATACAAATTTAAAAATAAAAGTTAGTCTATTTTATTGATTTAAATTATGTAAAAAATAGTAACTTAAAGGTTATCTCAAACATAAAACATTTAAAAATAACTAAAATGCACTTTTGTTACAACAATAATCTGTGATACATAATATGTATATTACATATATTAGTAGTAAAATTTTGATTTACCGTAAAAAACAATACTAGGATTTTAACACATAATTCATAGATAATAACTATAGTTAATTAGAATATATATAAATAGTTTATATAAAAATTTAAATAGTAAATTATAAATAGCTATAATTTTAAACTTAAATGTTTTAAACCACAGATTTAACAACAGATGACTAGAATCAATAAATTATTGGGAATAAAAATACAGATAATATCATAAAAATATCCTTAAATATCATCAAATAATCCTTTTGGAGGCCTCGCTGTTGAATTGTACGACCAATTTGTCGAATAACCGATGGGTTCTGACTCTCTAATTAATTCTTGTCGCATATTATCCTCAGAGTTGTCTCTACTTATCATTTGTTCCGGTGATATCGGTTGTTGATGTTGTTGGTGACCACCAATTGGTGGATCTTTTTTAAATCTAAGTGTTTGAGTGCTATTGGGTTCTAATTGTCGCAAAATCTTATTCTTCTCTCTTTTGACGAGTTCTTGACCTTCGCGTATCAATTCAGTGGTCATTTCATCAGTTAATATAAACTGTTCAAAACCTAAATTATGTAACAGTTTAGCGCCAAACTCGAAGAATGTGGCCAAACAAAAGAGACAAATACAAAGTGGAAGATATATAGCGAAACTGTCGCCTATGAATGATATAACATCCAAATGACCCATAATTTTAGTGAATGCCGTCTCCTCTTTCATTACTTTGTGAGTTATATGAGAATCAAGATGTATGAGTCCTAAATAATTAAGACATAGCGGTGGAGCCAAACGACATAATAGCCTTTCATTTAATCATAAATTATAATTCAATTAATTTCATTATATTTAGCAAACATTTATCTGTAATAATAAATTAATATTACATACATTCCACAAAATATTAGACTATATTCATCAGTTTGATGGTGTGCTGACAAATAATAATAATTAAAAATCCTTATTTTGAATACTGTATAATAAGCGCAAACACAGAGATAAGCGATCACTAGAATTGAAAATGACTGCAAAAACCAATAATAAAAATATCAATCATTAATTTATATACATTTAACAAATTAATATTTAATTAATTGTAAAGCGTTATAAATTTTAAATTATTATCTATTAATAATAATTAAAACAATATAAAAAAATCTCATTAATAAAATATTCTTAAATTCTACAATTTCACACATTTTACTATATATATTAAAATAATTAATTATCACAAATAATTTAGTAATTTAAGAAAAACTTCATTATTAGATTAAAATATGAATTGGAAATTATAAAATACCTCAACAAAAAAATAGTTGTAATTATTTCTCAATGAGTCCATTATTAGTGCAAAAATACTGAGAGGAATGGATTGAATTGAAAAAGTCATTTCGGACCAAATGACCATTAATGACAATATAGTCAAACAATAGCCGAGAAGCCGATAGAAAGGCGACCGAACACAACATTTCCAATACCACTCTACTCTTGGAGTATATATTGATGTCTTGATAAACATAGTCAACGCTGATTTAGGACGCGATTCAATGGTAGGTCTGAAATGTCGGTTAACATTGATTTCATTTTTGGAAATGTCTTCACATTCAATGGAATCAGTGATCAATACATTCCATTTACAATGTGTTCTGTGGTTTGTTTGCATCGCTTGAATTATATTCTTATGCATTCTCGTCAATGTCTTCTCATTGAATGTATTTCCTGAATAACTGACTGATTGAGCACTGGTTTGTGCCAAACGATTCATCATTTGATGTCTCCAATCAAGAGGACATTTGTCGACAATAATATCCAAATATGGACGCATCGGGTCGTGATCGCCTCTCAGTGACTCTAAACACGTTTGAATTTCATCCAAGACATCATCTAGTTTTTCATCAGATTCACACTTTTCTGCACTTAATTTTGCAACTTTGAAGTAAAGATAATTCAAAGATCGGCCATAATGACTGACATTAAAACACGATCGGGGGATCTCTACTAATCCGTAACCCAATAAGACAACCAATAAGAAGAGTCCCCACGTGTTTGAAGCTGTTGTGCAAATAATTTTTATACCCTCGAAGTTAAGTTGTGTTTTGATTGACACATAAATCAAAAATATTACAAAAATGACAGAAAATATGCCGTAATATATAGCGTTCTCTATAAAAGCGGCCTTTAATTTACCGCCGATTGAAAACTCGCCGGCCATACAATACGATTGCATTAGAGGTAATACAATCCAAGTAAGCATTTGTGATGTCCAATAGACTATACGCCAAAGTGTCGGCAATACTTGATTCGGGGCATAACTCCACGGCTCTAAACATGGATTATCCATATTTGGAGGTAATGGTGTCGTTGTTATGTTTGACACATTCATCACATCCATAGTGTCTTCAAATACATTCAAATGACTCACATTTCGCATGTCGTGATCGTTAAGACATTGTAAGTAAGTTGTCTGAAAATAATAAAACAAACAAAAATATAATATTAATTAATTGAATAAAAAAATAAATTGATTGACAAATACCGTTGAGATATCTAAAGGAAGAATAAATATGACGAGGAATGAGAAGAACCACGAGATGAACACCGAGACAGTGGTCACAATGTTTTGGTCCAACCAATTGCCGAATCGGTTCAATAGATATGACGACAATAAAAACGTTACAATAATTTCAATGGTCAGCGGCCAGAATGCCATCTTTACCGACAGTGTCCGACACCGATCACCAATCACTTCAATATTATTATTATTTCTAAATACAAGTTAATGGTTATAAACATAACATCAATCACTTAAATGTTTTAATATATAACATATAATTTAATTATAATTTAAATAAAAATTATATAAAATATGTTAAATCAGTTATCAAGCAATGAGATCATTGTTTACATTAATTTTGATAACAATTAACAAAACAAACACAAAGTCGCCATTGAATGCAAATTAAAGCAACAATTGATTCATTTTATCACTCAATTTGTACGATATTTGGCCACAATTTTGACTAATTTATTGATAAATAATTCAAATAAATATAATTAAATGACAATCAAAATGATAACAAAAATATTAGTTATTATTGAATTAAATAAATGGCAAACATATGTGTAATAAATATATGTATTAAATGTAGACATCATTGATGTTAAAGTCAATGTATGATCACGTGTTGTGTCACGTGTTTCCACATTAACGTTAATGCTTTCCTTTACGTGTCCATTGATTTCTAGGTTTGTATGAATTTTCACTTTAATTCAATTAAATTGTTATTTATTTAGTTAATTAATAATTAAATTTAATCAATACTTATATTTAATTATAGTTTTTAATGTATTTAATTCAATTAAATATCAATTTGTGCCTAAAATTAGTTATTAATGAGTTATTTTGTATATCAAAGAAGTTAGGCCTAAACCGCGTGGCTTTCAATACATTATAAACCATTGAAATATTGTATTGAAAATCATATCATTTGGTTAATGATTATTATTTTGAATTTATAATTAAATTTAACGATTGATTTGTTATTTGTAGACACAATGTATTCATCAAACGCTAAGATCGTTAAGCCTTTGGGCGAAAAAGTGGATGAATTTGAATCAACCATTTCTCAAGTATTGACATAACATATAACACAAAAAGACAAACATTTAATATCTAATTTAATTAAATAATAGGCACTTCTTGAGCTTGAAATGAATAGTGATTTGAAATCACAGCTCCGGGAACTACACATTACCGGCGCTAAAGAGGTGGACGCTTCGGGAAAGAAGGCTATCATTATCTTAGTTCCGGTGCCGCAATTGAAAGCGTTTCAAAAACTTCAGACAAGGATTGTGCGCGAATTGGAGAAGAAGTTTAGTGGCAAACATGTGGTGGTCATCGCTAAGCGTACTATTCTTGCGAAACCCACCCGYAAATTAAAGAGCAAAAGTAAACAAAAGAGACCGCGAAGGTTGGTATCTCTGAGTTAATCACTATTATTGGTGTTTCGTTCAAAAAATAATATATAAGAGAATTACTATGAATTTCATTGATTTGTTTTAATTTTTGTCGATTTATTATTGAATTGAAGATATTATTAAATGTAATTTTAAGCAAAATAATGAAATATTATAATCTGTTTACAGCCGTACTCTGACTGCAGTTCACGACTCAATCCTCGAAGACTTGGTATATCCGGCAGAGATTGTCGGCAAAAGAACTCGCATTCGTTTGGATGGTTCGCGACTTATTAAAGTGCATTTGGATAAGACATCGCAGACCACTATTGAACACAAGACTGACACCTTCACTGCTGTTTACAAACGGCTCACTGGAAAGGAGGTTACGTTCGAGTTCCCGGAACCGCTGTTTTAATACAATTAATGTATCGATAATTAAATGAAATAAATGAAAAATTAAAACTAATTTGAGATTTATTTTGAAACATTTCGCAAATCAATTGAAAGTTTTAAGTGATATAAACCAAAACGTTAAATAATAATAATTAGTCCTAACAGTCGAGGAAGTTTGCGGCCATTAGTAACTCCAATGCAATTTCGGGTGCGATCGGGAACTCCGGTATTTCAGTCGAACTGTTAGTGTATCGGACTTTGTATGTGAAGTATTGACAGACCTTTTGCAAGACATGAGACGGGATTTCTCTGAAATGAACTTCATTTGTCTCGTTTTCGGCGAATTGACCTAAAAATGGATAATAAATTTAATGAATTGTCGAGTAATGAGTTGGGTATGTAAGTGCAGACCGGGTCCCGAAAGCATGGCCTTAATGGTGCCCGAAGTGAGTGCGTGTTCTCTCTTAATAATGAACTCATGAGAATCAGATGAAATCAGTTTGACATACATGGCATCCGGACCCTCACACCCACCAAACATACCGCCACTGTCGTCATCGCGACACTCATTGCCCGAATCCGAGGCCGACATTACTGACCACTTGTTTTATTTAAAATAATATGATTTATCACACAATCAAAGACAATGCAATTCAATGTAATTCAATCACAACAATGATGTATACAATCATATATTTTTATGTTATTTTATAACACTAGAGGACAGCACTTACCATATATTTGACAAATTTATGACAATTGACTTTAAAATATATTTATATTGTAATTAGGATTTAAATATATTTTTTAATAGATATTGTTATTTATAGTTATATTATCTAATATATGGCACTATTGTATCAGAAAATTTAATATATATTTTTTAAAAACATGTTTTAAAGATTAAGAGAATATTCTGTTGAAACTATTATATATTTATAGATATGAAAAATAGCGATTTATTTGTGAATATAAAATACAGGTATTTTGTAACTCTAATCTAACTATTAAATTGATTGTTAGTAATAGTAATGATAAGTAATGCAAAATAATGGCAAACATATCAAAACTCTCAATTAAATACCTCTGTATTTTGAAAGCACTTATCAGTTATCACAATAGTGTGTCAGTGAATGGATTGTAAAGTAGTACCAGTGCTTCATAATGATTGTCTCAACGGAATGCAAAAGTGCAGTCATGTTGATGTTGTTGAGCACTGGTAGGCATATAGACATATACAGCAATTGAAGCACAATCTACGTGACCATACATTCAACTATTATCCTCTCGACATATAAACTCAATTCAATTCATACAATTCATGCTAAGCCATAAAGACAGTCCTATTATATAATTATATTATAAAAACTTTACATTAAATCAAATTATAAAGAAATTTATTTGTTTTGTATTTTTTCTTATTAAACTTTCTAACGATATCGTTGTAAATTAATTTATCATTTGTTGCAATTTTGTCGCCAAAAAATCATTACTCATAGGAAGTTATATTTTTACATCCGTTTGTTATTTACCGATGAGAGTCACCTATAATGATAAAGTAGTCATCAATTGGATTCTCATTTCATTCCTGTCTTTATTTTCTCTCTCTTACTTTCTCTTACTTTCTCTTACTTTCTCTCTCTCTTTCTTTCTTTCTTTTTCTCTCTYTCTCTCTCTCTCTTTATTTCTTTTTTTCTTTCATCAGTATAGTAATGTTAGTCTATATCTAATATGTAGGTTAAGGTGCGCTTTGGTATTGATATGGCAGTCGGCGCACTGCCATTAAGCGCAACAATTCCTATAATTTGACAAAACAAAGAATAGTGAGCCTTAGTTTCATTGGTTTCATTAGCTTTGACATAGCTATGGGCACTGAGACCATATAATTTCATACCTAACTTTACCATAAATCATTGGATTTTAATTAATTTTTGTCTAACTTATAAGTTTGTAGATTACATTTCATATATATAAACATTAATAGTCTAACAAATAAAATGACAAATATAACAATTTGTTACTAGTTTTGTAATATTATTTTTATATAAACTCATATAATGATAATAATGATTATAAGATATTAACAATATTATCAATATTAACAAGTAGTTTATTAGTGATTGTAGTGATAGTGTGACCACTTGTTTCATAAGAGCAAACTATTGCCACAAAATAGTTCACTGTTTGACTATAGAAAGTCTATTCATAATATTAGAGCTTATGTTGCATTCAATTACTCGATTCTACCGATTCTCCATTCCGTATATTATTTGCAATATTCTCTATAAGACTACTATAGCTTCTGCGCCAATCAATAGCTTAATGTTGACTTCACTATTAAGCATTCAATTGCTTTCAAGTTTCCACACTTTTATAAAAAAACTACTGTATATATATATATATATATATACATATTTATCTTTACAAATACTTTAATGGAAAATAATGTTAAATAATTTTTTTAGTTTTAAATGTAATTCAAGTATTTTCTAAGCCATCACAAAATATTCATTGTATATAAAAAATCTGTAAAACTAATAGATTTAGTAGTATATAAATTTATATATAAATATAATATATACATAATATATATAATACAGGTATATACTGTATAAATTTGTCAGACATAATAGCTGATTAAAATGGTTTATTTTTGATATTATATGACTACTTTAATAAATATTGTATTATTGTTTTGCTATTATTAACATAAATATTATCATTGCTTGCACCATAATGTTGTTTTAAAGATTAACTATATTATATATTATTATTATATTGTAACTTTGAATTTATCAAATATATACATTATATAATATTTACTATAGCTTTATATAAAGTTATATTATAACTAACATTTACAATACAAAATGTATCATTAAGTTTGTTTAAATATAATTTGATTTGCAAAAATTGCAAACATAAAATATAAATGTAATAATGTTATGACAATTAAAAATATTTCAAAATAAGTCAATTTGACATTTAATATATTTTATAATATTCAAGACTTTTTATATTTAAATGCCTAACAAATAATTCAATTAAATACACCCTTTCATTGATAATTTCAATAAAATGATAATGTAGTGTATATATTGTGCATAAATGTTGTATTGATTACAAATAAAGTGTTAAATAAGTAAATATTATACTTGAAATTGAAGAAACATGAGATGACATTAATAGTGTGGTAATAGCAGTGAATATATAATAGATTAAAGAATCTGTTAAATGAAAACAACAAAATTCTTGACTCTAAACTTCACTATAGACTGACTAAAAGTACAGTAATTTATGTTTTGTGCAGTAATTGAGGATCATTTCAAATATGTGGTCTACAGATCAAAAATTGTTAAATAAAATACATTAAAAATATAAAAAGTTACATTAAATTTATTTAATTTATGAAAACTACAATATATTATTATAAGGATATTTTAGCACAAAATTGTATTTATATTTAAATAAACTAATAGAATAATTGTTACATATAAATATTGATTTATTATATAAATATTAAACATGTACAATATATTACCCATATTATTCAAATATATATACAGGACAATTTGGGAAAAAATCTATAAAAAAAATTCGGTCACCCTATACGTTACTATCATAACAATACTATGCGCTATACAAATACAATAAATTGTGATATATTTATATTTTCAAACATTTACACTCAATCTCTATACATCTCTTATACACTCTAACACACTCTCAACAAGCAATCGATAAACTTTTTTGAAAACTACTCCTTTTATTACTTTTCATAAAATATCAGTTTGAATGTCACTATTTTTCAAAAGTAATATCAGAAATATTTACTTCAAAAAATTGCTATAAGAAAATAGTATTAAATTGTTTTGTAAATTAAACTTATTTATTAATGGCATAGTATAATATTTTGATTTAATACATACGTATTGTGTTAATATAATTTTATATGAATATATAAACTCTGATATACAACACAATTAGATACTGTACAGTATTTTTATACAATATAATTCATTTTTATTAATGTTATGGAATCACAAATGTTTTTTGTTATCATAACTTAGATTATATCAAATAATATTATATCTCTGTATTTTTAAATAAAACATATTATTTGGATCTATATATAATATAAAGTATATTATAAACATATAATACTGTATAAATAAATAAATATATGGGTTTATATACAGCAGTATTATAACATTATAAACTAATTAATTGATTGATTTATTTGGCAATTTATTCTTTAAATGTTTAAAATTTTGACAATATTTAGTCACTCTAATGGTTTATTAAGCAAATGAATTAATAGTATAAATATTTAAAAAAGTTATTTTTTTAAATATATATTTTTATTATTTAGCACACAATTTAAAGTACTGTATTATTGATTTAAATATTTAAATTCAATACAATGTAAGAAATATTTATGCAAAAGAACTAGTCTTTGAACTTGTTTTTAAATATTTGATATATTTTAGTGATCTATACTGTAATTTGAATTAATAAGTTTAACTAAATCGATACTATATTTATTAAATTATAAAGCTAAATATTGTATCGCCCAACAAGTGGTGATTTTTAATTACTTTTTTACAATGATTTATGTTGATAACGGCTTCAATGACATACAATTAGCGATTATTTCACTTACCATTATTTACCAAACATTTGTTTAATACAATATTATATTATAGCAGACTTTGTTATAGCTTTACTAGTATTGATAATTGACTGCTATCTTAACAAATAGTGACCATCATTTATAATAACTGCTTAAATATATTATTAGAAAAAAGGAAAACAATTTGATAAATAGTTGTTTATCATATCATATATAATAGAAATATATGTGCGATATATACTATAATGTATTTTATCAGAAATAAAGAGAATTCATAGTAATGCTTGAAGATATTGCATATAAGTATTAAGTTATGCTATATTTCTATATATTTTCAGTATATATATATATTATTTGGAGCTATACTTGTATATGTATTGCTTGCAGAGTTATGTGTCTTTACATATATTGCAAAAAAGATATAATGAAGGAAAAGACATATAAAGAGGACATACAAGGATGGCATATATGGATGGTATACAGGGATGGCATACCTGCGTCAGTGCGTCAAACTCTGAATTATAAAATCTATTTATAGTTTAATTTTATCAATATATGAATGGTGTATAGTTTTTTCATCAGTCATATTCATGATATATACATGCGATTAACTATTATTACAATACCTACTAATGTCACATATATTAAAGCGAATCCACACTTGAAATAATCAGAGCATAGAATTTGATGCAATTCATAGAACTATAGCTATAAATAATTAAATTGAAAGCAGGAATCACTTAATCGAAAATAATTTTATGGTGTTTCACCTGTTTATCATATTATCACATATTTACTATTTCCTATGAATTTTTATTTTAGGTTATATTGAGATAAAATATATTAAATTTTAACACTTTGACTCATTTATCGCTAGTTTTAAATTAGCTTTGGATATAATTTATAATTAACAATATATTACCGTTAAAACAATACTATAAATAAACTTTATTTAAACTTAATTCTAAAAATAAATATCAATAAAACATAAATTTTTAAATAGTCATTTGATTTTATTATATTTAATAATTTAATTTAACAAATAATAATAATATATTTGTAAATTAAAATTTACATAAATTATTTTAGTTACTTTATTTAATTAAAAGTAGTGTTGGTCAAATAGAAATTTTTAAGAAATTATTCACAAAAATTTTCTAGAAATTTCTCTGATAAAAATCTATTAAAAAATCGTAACTATTATAATAATTTTAAATTAAAAATTAGATTAAAATTATATAATAATTTATTTTAAATAAATAAAATCAGATGTAAATAAATTAATATTAATTTTATTAATTATGTATTAACAAAAATCTTTTTAAGATTTATGTTGTGTCTGAAATAATTGTATTAATTATTTATATAAAATATGGAAATATCTACTAATAATAACATTAACTATTATAATTTTTTCATAATTTTTGTAATCTTATGATATGATTATAAACACAGATTATGTTTAAATTGATTTTATCATAATATTTATAAATTAAATATAGTATTTTATATAGAGTTATTAATATTGTTACTTTTATATTTTATTCAGTTATTTAAAAATAAAAATCTATTAGAGATAGAATTAGATAATTTCTAAATTTTTTTATTATAATTTCTATTTTTGCAACACTCTTATTTTTGTAATTTATAAATTAAAATACAATTAGTATAATGTTAATTTTTGAATAATTATAATATTTAATAAATTTATAATTAATAACTGTATTTATATTTAGACAAATCGGACAGTTTTACCATTTAATGTATATTCTTTAAACTGTTTTGTTGTAATTTTAAGATATATTTTAATATCAGAGTTATTAATAATTGCATAGAAGATAATATCGAGTTTAAGAAAGGGATTACAACAAATGATATTTCAATTATAAATTTTTACTATATTTTCTTAGATTGTTAGGGATCACAATATACTTGATTTTATATATATTGAATATATATATATATATATTCTATTAATTATAATTTAATTAATAATTATTATAAGCATAACTTTAATATATGTCGTCTCTAAGTCTGAGATATCTTATAATTGCAATAAATTTTAATATGGCGTATTCAGGTCAAAGGTCAAATAAATGAATACTAAATTATTACAGTATGTTTTTTCTATAATTATGATATACTGTAGTACAATATAACTTAGTAAGTTAATTTTCAAAAAATAATATAATTAATAAATTATACTCTATGCATTCATTCTATAAATATTAACAAACTTATTATACAATTAAATATCTAACTAAAATATTTATAAATTTTCATGATTTACATTTTTATTATAAAACTATATGATGTAATATAAATATTAATATATAATGAGTAAATTTAAACAAATATTTTGTGCGTCTATGGATTATTTGGCAAAAATAACAATAAATATAATTTTTATGTTTCAGGTCAGATATGTGGAAACAAATAGATGCAATTATATAACTATTTTACCATCAAATCCATAATTGTACATAAAATTGGTTGATTTATTTCAATTTCTTGAAACAGTTTTAAAACAAAAACTAGTCAACAATTTATGTTTAATAATTAATTTTATGATAACCCATATAAAGAGTCGATTATTTTATACTAAAGTTTTGCAAATTACGTTTTTAAAGCATTAATTAAATGTATATTTCTATAAATATAGTTCATTAAAATCTTTATTGTATTAAAATATTTTTATAATTCTAAATTTAATACTAAATTCTACAAATAATTTATTCTAATTATAATATATATTATAGTTTATCATATATAAGCTATTTGTATATTGACAACATATATTAGTTTTTTAAAAATATTTATTATGAAACATTTATATAATAAACACAATATATATATATACTAACAGAATGATGAAATTTTTAACAGTAAATCTAATTTAATATTCAGTTTACATGAATTTTCTGAAATGAATGTTAATATGAATAAAATTTTATATGATATGACATGACATTGCATTGTTATTATATCATTTTCTCATTAATTTAATGTTAAAAACTATTGTATTTTATACATATATGAATGTATGAATGTCATCAAATTGTGTTATTAGCAAACACTGAACACATATCATCAATATATTTAATATAATTATTATGAGTCTGTTTTTCACGAAAGTTGTGTGCATTTATGACTTTGTTTGAGCCAATTATACCTTAATAATTGCTATAACAACAAAATCAGTCCGATTGTCTCATATATATATATATATATATATATATATTACTGTCAATGTTGTTGTATAATCCAGATCATCAAAATTAAATTAATGCTAAATTGTGAATTGTGTACATCAATGGTTGGATCAATACATAGATCACAATTAAGATTCTAAATTTCACTTTGAATTACTTGTATTTATAGGACGACTATTACTATACAATACTATTCTGTTATCAATACTTTTTTGTAATACTAGTCAATGTATTATATTAATGGTCACAAACTTGACACTCAAATTTCTTATTCAGCATTGATATCAACAAAACATTAACTTTTAAATAATACAAGTTTTATAACAAAATCAATACAGTATAACATATAATTTATATATATTTATATAAATATAGTATAACTACCGTATATATGCTGAAGAAATTTTATGAATGCTCAATAGGACATATTATATAAATAGTTATACATTAGTGGCTAAATATTTGCAATATGTTACATAATATCACACATTAACATATGTTTGATGTTTTAATTTAACTTATAAATGAATTATTGTAAAATTCATGTTTTGAGCTAATATCTAATTTATATAATTATATAAATTGACTATTGGGAGGGCACCAAATTATTAATATATAAATATTAATATTAATACATTTATTATAAAATGTCTCAAATTGCTCACTTGTGTAGAATTCAAATAAAGTAATGATTTTAAAACAAATTATATCTATTTATTTCAATTTACTATTCTATAATATATTGTATAAACTATTATGTGATTGTACTAATATGTGAGTTATAATTTTACTTATTATTATTTAAATAATACTGATATAAATTAGAAAATACTGTATTTTTCAAAGATAATTTAGGATCATTAAAGTTTTTTTAAAAAACTAAAATATAAATTATATTTTAAAATTTCAAATGAGATTTTGTTGTCAAAGGATAGCATCAGTTGTTATTTATAAAGATTCACATTATTATTGTTATAAATAAGTTATTAAATACAACTATTTTTCAAAACAATTTCAATGAATCGCTGGATTTTCTACCAATAATATTGTGAACAAGATTTGTAAATCTGACACTAATTATAATTGGCTTCATTTTCCAAAAAGTTGTTGCTATTGACAAAATATATCAAAAATAATTTTTAAATTTTCTTAATTTTAAAAAACACTATACATTGATTTATACTATTAATTCATTGTTATATTAAATCTACTAAATAGTATATGAATTTATATATATATATATATATATATATATATATATATATATGTAATAATCAAATAATAAAATGAATTAATTGTATAAAATAAATGAAAAAATAATATAATAAAGACATACGACTCCGGTTCCAATAGTTTGTAGCAAATTAGCCGATGTATTCTTCGAGTGATGAAATGTTGGTATTGTATTAAATGTGGGAACAGCTGAATATCGTCGACCACTTGTACGACCCGACAAAAATGAGTCTAATCCCAGATTTGCTGTGAATGGCTATCCATTGAAGCGTTTTTCACAGGAAATTGAAACGAATAAATCAATAATCAAAATAATAATATGTTTTGCTTTGAATACCTTATGTGTTGTGGACGACAAAAATGAAAATTTCGGGTCTTGTGGTCCAACACTAGAATGGCGTCTCATATGAAGATTTGAAGCACTGGGACCTCGAGATAGTGAGTAAGATCCGGTAGGACTGGATGGAGCAACAAGTATTCGTGGCGGTTGTATTGTATTATCTGAGTGACGTCTACCAGGAAGGTTGGCCTGAACTCGAAGTAGATTTGAATCGGGACTCGACGAGGCCGAGGCTGAAGATGTACGACGAACCACATCATCCATACTAATGGATGTCCGACGAGACTCTAATCTTAATGATGGAGGTCTGTGTGGATAACCTATTGGTTGCTCAATAGTGTGTTGCTGTGGAGGTGGGGGTACCCTTCAAATGTGACCATAAATTAAATTATTGAATAAATTAAAAAATGTTTGATTTTCTAAAATACTTTTCTTGAGATGGAATATGTTTTTCGAGTTTTATTTTATTTCTCTGACTTTTGGCCACATGTTCTAACATTTCCGTCAATAACTCCATTAATTGATTAAACTTTAAATTATAATAGTTATTACATTAATTTTAATTTATACAATATACTGTAGATATATAGTTTATATTAAAATTAATAATAAGTTTTATTAAAATGCCAATTAGTTAGCAATTAATAATAATAATTAACTAATTAACTAGTTAGCTAAATAGCTATAAAATCATTTAATAATAATTAACTCGTAATTATATAGTAATTAATTATTATCAAAAATAATATTAATAAAAAATATATTATGTAAATTAACAACAAAATTATAGATAATAATAATGATACTGTATCACAAATTGCAAAAAGATATTATTGGAATATACTGTATATAAAATTCAATAATAAAATAGTAACATTAGACCAATAAATATATAGTTGTTAATTAATATTTATCTAAGAGAATTTATATACAGTATATGGACAGTTAGGTGAGATATATGCCAAACCTCATCTAATTTCAAAGTTGGACTAACGACAGCCGGTATTAGTGTTGGCATAACTTTATTCGCTAATAAATTATTAGTCAGTCCATACCGTTTATCACCCAACATGTGTTTATACATTCCTGAAAGTCAACATAAAAATTACTTTTTATTATAAGGTTACTGAATATACAATTTTTTACAATCTATATTTTTATCATTCAATTATTATGCATTGAGTGGCTTAAAAAATCGCAACCATATGTTTAATATATAAATATATGGTTATGTAAAACATATATATTCTATAATATACAGTATATTGATTATTGTGATATAATATGATAATTCATTCAGTATTTGCTGGAGTAGACAAATCTGATTCATTTAATTTACTGTATGCTATATATTGATATTCTAAGTAAATAATATGACATTTGAATAAATATTAGTGTTATGTTATGCTATCATATATTTATAAATTTCATATAATCTATACAACAGACAAGCTGTAAGTAGTTATAGCTTATAACAAGTTATCACATTATACTAAAAATATAAACAAAAATTATGGACAAAATAATATAAAATATATGTAAATGTATTCAAAAAACATGAATATTATTTTTTAAATTTAACTTTATTTCTGTTTATCATTTTTATATATTTTTTAGTAAAATTATATTAAATTGCAACATTAGAATTAAAGTAATAGCCATTTAATAAGATAAAACAAAATATAATAATATTCAATATATAATGACTTACTTATAACGGGCATCAAAATGAATGGATCGTATAGTTTAGCCTTAGATAGCATAGGGAGTACGTCGTCGAGGATTTCGGTTTTGTCGAGATTGTCGATCACTCTCTCCACACAAATCAATGCATTTGCCTGAACCCGAAGCAATGACTCTTCCTATTAATCAAATACATATGCATTACATCACATAAACCCCAACCAACACATCCATGCAAATCAATATAGCTCTGGCATTGACATGACTTCCTTTAACACAAAACTTAAACATTGTTACGATTTATCATTAGATAACTAGAGATTACATTTTGGCACATATTATCACATTTATTCATAAACACCACAAACTCAACATAATTTTAATGTTATGAATAATATTTTATATTAATATATATTTATAATAATAGATAATAGAATATTATTAATAAAGTTAAAATTATGATTTATTTACACATCAAACAATATAATATTATATTATAGTGTTTTTACTTAGAATTTTAAATAATAACATAAACAAATGKTAATCAACTAAAATTATGCTTAAAATAAATAAAATATAATCGTAAAACTAAATTATACTTTGTATATACGGTTTATATATATATATATATAATTATATATATAATAACTGTATATACCAGAATTAAGTAAAGAGTAAGTATGATATTTATTGGGAATGTTTTTCCTGTTTTTCTTGAAAATTTATAGAAAATTGACTTGGTACTTTTCTTGAATTTAAAAATACTGTATAAAAATTGTTGTTTAAAAATGCAATGTCTATATTTCCCACTACAAGAATCAAAACTCTTGCTTAACTCTAATATATAATTTATATACGTATATAATATTCAAAATTTTTACACTTTTTCAAATTTAATAAAAATAATAAAATAAAACCTAAAATATTTAATATTTTTATAATTATTACAAAATTTCAATATATTTGTATGTATAATATATAACATATTAACATGCATATTTATTATTAAATCTAAGAATTATTACAATACAACAATTGTCAATATTATTATATTAACATAATTATTATATATCAGTATATTTTCTCATAATTTATATGCAGTGTCTAAATATAATGTTGTTTTATTGATTTACATTAGTAGTTCTTATATTTTATTAAAAAATAAATTAAATATTTCCTAATGATAATGAGATCATATAGTGTTAATCAAATTTAATTGTGATACAGAATTGAGTGCTAAGTTGTTATGTACTACACTAATGATTGTATAAATTCATTAATAATTATAATTATTTTGACAAAATGAGGCAAACTATATGAATGAATGAAGATTTAAGAAAACAACAATAAAATCTATTAAATCTGTTTTATTAGAAAATAAAAGGCAAGAAAACACTGAGAAATAGAAAAATAAAATACAAAAGACATGTTTTGCTATTTATAGGCATACAGTGTGAGAGATAATACATTAGTATGTATTGCATTATACGTGAATTGTAAGTGTAATATACAGTATTTGCTCTTTTAGTTATTTTTAATACAATGTATTGTTAACTTTCATATACCGTAAGTTATACGATGTATTGTATATATAAAATATAAATATACTGTACATTATGTATTAATACTAAAAACCTTTAAATTGAGTACTGTTTGTATGCTTATGATTAATTGTAAGTTGTATTGAATGTAAAGGTTGATTAAAATATAGAAAGTATACATACCTTAACTCCACAATTATTTTCAAAAATCTGTTTGGTTTTGGGCAAAACCATCTTTCTTATGGTGTTATCATCCAAATGATCTATTACTTGAGCCACTGCTGATAGAGCCGCACACTATACATATAAACACATCATTTACTATTTTAAGTAAAATGTTATACATATAGTAAATGTTTGTTTTAATTTTTAATAACTAAATACTATTGCATACATTAAGAATATTCTCTAAACAGTTAGTATAGAATTATATACTTTTTATTATTATGCAAATATTAATAAAACGTGGAATATATTCAAAATACACTTATAGTTAAAAATAAACCTTTAGTAATATAGTATTATTTGTAATTTTTAATAAACAAATAATATTTTCAAATTTGGATATATACTTATATATATATCAGGGTTAAGCAAGGGGAAAGGTGGGTGAGTATGGTCATTTTACCCCTAAGATTAAAATTTTGGATTCCCTCCAGACTTTTGACCAAATAAAAAATGTCGTTTTTAAAAATTACAAATTGCTATTATTTTAACAACGAGAAATAGACCCACCATTAAAATTTCGGCGCAAAAGACGCCCAATTTTTTTCAAATTAAAAAAATTATTACTTTAATAGTTGTTAATTAACTGTTAGTATGTTTTAACTACTTAAAGTAAAAATAAGTGAAATAGTTAAAATTAATCAATATTACATCATTGTAAATTTATTAAAATGCAAAACAAATATTAAAAATTATCTATTTTTGAAAAACTATATTTAAAAAAATAATTATATTACAGTTAGAATAATATTTTAAAATAATTAAGATAATAATAATAACATAGTCAAGAATTTAATTATTTAAAATTTAGCATTTTTAAAGGCCAAGTTATATTTATTTATAATTATAATTTTTATTAATTTAAGAAAATATTCTGAAAATTTAAGGAATTTATTGAGAATATTTTCCTGAAAATTTCCTCCCAGTTACATGGGAATTTTTGGGAATTGTTGATATTTTCTTTTGACCACCTGTATTTTGAAAAATTGTTTTATAAAAKGGTACACCCTACTTCCCCTAAGATCCAAAACCTTGCTTAACCCTGATATATATACTTTATCTAAAATTATTTATTTTGATTTAAATAAACATTGTAAAAAAATATAAAATAACTAAAAACAGATAATAAAACAATTAATTATATAAAATGGTTACTTAATAAACGTAAGTATAAAATGCTTATCTAAATTCACTACATTTAATAAATTGTATAAATTCATGCATATGTTAATTGAAATGACATCCGATTAAGCTCTGTATGCTTTTACTATTGACTATACTGTCTTCAAATATAATATAATCAAGTATTTCCCTAAATTACAACAACACGAGAGGTAAATATTAATATATAAATTAGTATTATATATATACAGCAAAAGTATTAAATTATTTTATACTACTGTATAAATTTATTTATATATAATAAAAGATTAAGTTCAAAGTTTCTATTAATGCTTGAATTAAGCCTATGTTTACATTTATTGCTTATTAAGTTTTTCATAAGATTTATAATTATTTTATGTTTAATTTTAAAAATAGTAATTTACATTATAACTTATAAGAATAGTTGCATATTGTTATGTTAATACAAATAGCTAACTCGTAAGTTTAAAATATTAAATACAGTATTATTACTACTGCTATTAATTGTAAATAATATTAATATTGAAAAATAATTCATAAGTTATCATAAATTTGTTTAAAGTGTTTTTGTTTGTTTGTTTGTGTGTGTGTGTGTGTGTGTATGTATGTGTATGTATGTGTATGTATGTGTGTGTGTGTGTGTTGTATGTAATGTATGCATGTATATCATCCTAACCTGTATTTGAGGTGTTGAAGAGTCGAAAGAGGCGTAAAGCATGGGTAAGACATCGGTTTTTAAGTCGCTTTGAGCTGTTTTGCCAATCAATATATCAATGTTTTCCAATAGAGTGACTGTTGCCTAAAGTAAACCAAAAGGTATTCTTTTGAATTGCAATTCAATATATTTTTGTTACTTTTGTTGATTTTTTTGTGGATAAACAGTCAATAAAATAGCTATAAACTCTATAAATAGAGTCAATTTAGACTATTATCGAGAATATTGGTATGTATTGGTTGAATGGTGTGATGCATAGGATTAGTTGATATGAATTAAGAGGAATACATTAAAATAGTATTGAAAGCAACAAACCTGTACTGACTTTGGCATTAGGAATATATTTCTTATAAACGGAAGAATTATATCTTGATATTCATCTACTGAAGACTCTTCGATCATATATATAATTGGTTGCAATGCGGCCGCCAATACCTCTGGGCTTTGCAACTCAGTCTCCATCGATGGCAATATGTGTTGCCACCACATCTTCTGCAATCCATATATACATACATATAATATATCATATATACACATATAATGTATATATACTGTACATAAACCTACATTTTCATGCATATACTGTATATAAAACTTTATATATAATTTTATTCATTATATATAATACATATACACTAACTTGATCGTCATCAACATAACTAATAACAATACTCATATCAAACATAATCAACTTATTCATGCAATCATAGTTTTGTAAATATAACTCAACTAATAAAACCTATGCAAATAAATGTTTAATTGACAATATCGTACATATCGTATGATATCAAATATAGAACATTAAATGTTTGAATCAACATTTTCTACTTTATGTAACTTACATATATAATATTGAAACCCTATATATTTTATATTATTTAGTAATGTTTTTTATCATTTTTTATTTATATTTTTATAATTTAACTAAATTAAACAATTGAATCTACCCACAATTTTCAATATAAATATACCTATTTACAAACTTTCTAATCAAACGCTAACATTAATAATGAAAATATTTATTTTCAAATCAAATTTAAAAAAGTAACCATAATATTTTTATTAAATGTTATTATATTAAAATTATTAAAAAATAAACTAATATTTTATTTATTTATTAAACTAAATATAAATTTATGATGAACACCTAGGTTACTAGGTAATCTAATTATATAAAATAACTTTATGCATAGAAAGATAGCAATCACTAACAAGTAAGTTTATATATTCGTATATTAATTTATATAAACATATAACAAATATCCTAATAATAATAATAATCAAATATATCATCATATTTTTATAAATTATAATGTATTAATATTTTAATGACAATACATATTTATATAGAAATACGAATAAATCAATAAAATTAATTTTAATTGCTTTTGTTTTATGTTTATAAATTTAGTTAATTCATTAATAATTTAACTTAATGTCTTTCACATTTAATTGTAGTAAATTAAGTAAAATACTTGCTCATTAAAATTAATTAATTTTATTTAATTAATGGTATTTAATGTAGATATTAGTGTTAATATTTTAAGAAAAATAGGTATTTTTAATGTAGAAGTTAGCATTTCAATATAAGAAGATATTAAAATTTGATCAAATGATTGTTAACAAAATCTATATTTATTTATTGATACATAAAAGCAAATCATTTAGCTAGTGGTCAATAAAGCATCAAAAGTAATCAAAGATGACACAAACAGTTTCACTTATAGAGCATTACTATTAATATTATAGATATCATAATATCATATAAGCTTTGATGATATTTGAATCATAATCTTTTTTTAAAATTATATTCAATATAAATGTAAAATAATTTACAGATATTTTAATTGCTAATTACAAATTTAGAAAACTAATTAACAAATTGATTTAATTATGCATACAATGAATTTTCTTATAAATACAATATTTTAAAATAAAGAATCTCTAAAACAAGTGCAAAACAATAACAAAAAATGGTAAACAAAAAATGCTAGTCTGATAAACCATATTTGATAAAATTATTAATATAATAGAAAAGTATTATTGATATGATATTTATCCAGTTAAAATAAAAATTGTAATATTTTTCATAATACTACATTATGTATAAATAAGTTTATAATATTATAGTATAAATAATATTATTACTGTATTAGCACTAAATACATCTTATAAATTTTTAATAAAAACGATAAATATTACATTTATAATAAAATATTTAAAATAAATAATTCGATTAATTTTTCAAAATTGAAAAAATATTAATAAATAATTTTGAACAATAAGCAAAATAAATTTAATATATAATCAATTTTATGAAATTAGAAATTTTTTTAGATACAAATTATAATAAAAGTTGAGATTATTACATATTAAAATAAATGCAAATTAGATTTTAATTTTAAAATATTATACATAAAAACTATACTAAAATATTTAAATTATATAAAGTAAGTCAATGCTTAAGATTGATATTACTTGAAATACTTAATAGTAAATTTACTAAATTATGAATTTGACTAATGATCTTATCTAATACTTTCAAAAAACTGTTTTAAATAATTATAAATTGAACCAAATCTTAAAATAATTTTTTAAAATTGCTAAGAAAATATAAAAAAATAAAGTTAAATACCATATTTAATATTTTTTGCTATATTTATATTAAATTTATCTTCTAAAAAATTCTAACTTTAATTAGAGCATACTTTTAATCTAAAAAAGTTAAGTAGTTTACTTAAACACAATTATTTGCACATTAAATTTACATACATTTAGCATCAAATAAATATTATTATTAGTGTTAAATCAGCAAATTATAAAAATACTAATAACCTTAGGAATACTTGAAAGGGCGCCCTTAAGGTTGTGATAAAAATTAGACTTATGTGTCGAGTCTTTCATCTGAATTACATCCAAATACTGTAAAGCATGGACTCCAGAATCCATAAAATATTTTATCTATAATAAAATTTATAGATAAAAAAATTGAATTAAAATTCTAATTAATATCATTATTATTAATTATAATTTAGATACATAATAATATAATAATTAAAAGATAAAAATAAGTAAATATATAAACCATTGAAAAGTTTTGTGAATTTGGTCGTCTTCTTGGATCAATTTCAAGAAGTCCTTGTAGAGGATCCTGTAGATGATGGGGTATATGATCTAGTATTTCATGTAAACGCTGTTCAATCTATTATTAGGTCACATAACACAATGTAATAAATATAAGATATCACTTGAAGTTATACAACAAAGAGATTTCAATTAAATTAAGTGATAATACTATACACAAACCGAATCTAATTGTTTTGAATAATGAGAACCATTAAGATTACACTCCATAAGAGATCGACGGTTATTATAGAGACTCGTTATTAGTAAACCTAACGAAAACATATCACTCATTGTACTACAACTCGAAACACTTTGAACTTCAGGTGCCGTATAGTCGAGGTCTGGCTGAGCCATCTTCGGTAACTTTGAGGTATACGATTGCACCGCAATTGAGGACTAACAACCATTACATATAATTAATAGATAAATATAATTAAATTATTAAACAAAAATATATTTAATTAATATACTGTAGATCTCTAATAAATGTTTTAATGTAATGTATTTTTCAGTTAATATGAATAATGACAAAAATGTATGCAATAAATTAGTTGTTAAACTGTTAAATTATATGAAATAATACAAAACAATTTTTTTCTTATATTATGGCATATTATATGGCATATAACTTATTATAAAGAAATAAATTTTCATTTTTTTTAGACAAAGTGTCAAATAAGTCAAACCAATACACATATCTTTAAACTTAAATCCTAAAGAATTTGTTGAATAGTATTGAATTTAAGTCAAAATTTAGATAAAACTTAGACGTGATCTTCAAATTTGGCAAATATTACATTCAAAGCGTGTAATGCTATCGATTTGATTCATTACTCATTCTTATCTATATTTTTAGTTGAAACTCAAAATAAAATTATTAAAATATGTTTATGTCATATATTAATATTGATTTACAAAAAGCATTTTGTGTTAGTGTTAGTATTATTTAAAACATATTTAGTAAAATAATGATCAAAAAAACAAAAATTACAATTATTGTGATAAACTATAATTATTTAATTATTATTAAACTATCATATATTAATTTAAATTTTATATAAAAAATTATAATTATATTGATACATTCAAAAAATTAGATTATTTTGTTATAAAATATAATATTTAATACAATATTATATGTCTTAAAATACTGTATTTGTTAACTGTAGTTATTCAAGTCTAATGTACGCTTTGAATATAAATATATATACCATATATTATTAAACCAGTTGAGAATGCTAGAAAGCATTGGCCAGAAACAAATTTTAATGTAAATTACTTCTTATAGTGATATTATAATTTTTTTATTGTTTATAATCATTAGTAATATTATACCCAAAATAATGATTAATTAAATGCCAATTATTTTGAGTTATATTATATTTATCTTATACTAAACATAATTATTTGTATTTTTACTTCTTTCAAAATTTTTAAAAATAACTTTATCGGCCATTTTGACTGAACACTTCTTAAGGCAATCCTTTTCTACATCTGAAAGCTTTATATGAATTCATAGTCAAAATTATAAGTTTGCACTTTTTTGTACTTTGACCGCTATTTTGTCCATGTTCCTAATGAGATCACCATGGATATTTTTATTGCTAATCCCCTATACCTTATTTTCGATGTTCTAACCGAATTTTAAGTCAGAATTTGCAAAAAGACATCGGACAGACACAGACACACACACACATACATTTCAGTAAACTAATTTTGAAAAAAATTGTTTGAATATACATTTAAAGTAATGTACTGTATATTTAAAATATATATTATAATTTATAATCACAAATTGAAAATTATTGTTATACATTTAAAATATTTACTAAAGATTATTAAAGATTATTTTGTTATTTAAAAATCTGTTTTATAAATTTTAAATATTTATTTTAGTAATTAAGATAATAGAAAACAAGTAATAATTTTATTTTATTAAAACTGTTAAATAATTATTTTATAAGTTTATAAAACTAATGATAATGCATTTGCAATACATCTGTAATATAAAGCGGCTTATATTTTATGAAATATATTGTAAATATGATAAAATTAAATTAAAACAAATAACTCAAATGATGTGATGTATATATACAATATATAATTAGCATTTATAACAAATTAGATTTGAATAGTATGTAGTATATTATCTTTATTTATTGTTACATTATTTTTTAATATAAATAAAATAAATTAAATTATCGTGTTTTTCTATAATTTGCAAATAAACCATTTTTTGAAGCTATAATCGACTCATTCATATTATAAATACATATATTATTATATATTTGTGATTTATATATTTAACTATTAGTTGTTTATATGAGGTATTTATATGATTAAACACTAAAGTAAAATATAGTATTTTATTTGAAATTTTTATAACAATTGATAAAAATAAAGTATTTTGTTTCATACTATTATATGAATTGGTTGTATAGTAATTAAAATGAAAAATCGATTGAAGTACTCAATCACACACTCGACTGCTTTCAGGTAAAGACTTTCACTGAAAAGTTTGCGTTTTTAGACATCTCTTCTCTTGTGTGCTAAGAATTTAATCTGAGATCAACTAAATGTTACCAAATAATAAACATTTATATATATAGTATATATATAACACTTTCTACTGTATTATTGGTACTGTTTACTGATACATAAATTATATTAATTTTAAAACTTTCATAACTTTATAACCTTTTTTAAAATACTTTTAAAATAAATAAATATTTATAGTGTAATATAGAAAATATATATTAGTTTAAATATACAATTACAATATATTTTATGTTTATTATGAGTATAAAGCATTATGTTGTGATACATTATTGACATACTTAATATTATTATTATTAAAGCAAGTTATATAAATATTGATAGTAAAAGTGTACTATATGTGCTTACAGTAAATATATAAATTGTACCGGTATAATATTTGGCATGTTATATATTTATATATTTGTTATATTATATATAAATTTATATATATATATACCGGTATATACTTAATGTTATTGTGTTAAAGTAACAATTGATAGACTACCTTAATATGCTAAGAAATATATAAAGTATATAAATAAATAAATACATAGAAAATTTTAGCAGTATTTATAACATGATGTGTCAGTTTTAAAAAAATAATTAATTTAAATATAATTTTATGTCACTCTAATCATTTATACACTAAAAGTTCAATAATAATAATAATAAAGATTAGTTATATTATTAAATTTTATTACAATTATATATAGTATATATAATATATATTATATACTGTATATATATATATTCTTTTGGTTTAATTTTTCAAGATTATTATAATAAAGCAATATATAATATTGTAATTAATAATATAGTGTTGTATAATACAACTTGTATTAAATATTTAAAAAACTGATTTAAAGAAAGTGTTTTTAAGTGATTTTATAAACGGATAGAAAAATAATAAGTTAAATTGATAATTCAACTAAATATTGTTTGTTTGGTTAACATATTGTCAAACTTTGTTTGCAAACTCTATTTTATAGATATTATATTATATAAAATATATGACAAAAAACAAATCAAATAGTCRTAAGATAAGTGTCGACAAAGTGTAGTGAAAGCGCTGAACACTACAATCAATAGTCAATATATGACTTTATTTTGATTACACATCAATGACAATGTTGTTGACTATTATATAAACTAATGACTAATGTATGCTATAAATAGATATACAGAATATATGTTTGAATGGTATGAATAGACATAATAGACATACCAATAGGTCTCCATCGGCACACTTCTCAGTGAATTCAAGTCCAGCCAACTTCCAGGTCCCCCTCTTATTGATGATCACAGATTGTGGACATACATTGCGATGAATCAATTTGCAAGAGTAGTGCAAATATAGCAGTGCTTCAGTTATCTGAAAACATATAATAAAACATACAATTTATGACAATTGATTTCAAATGCAAATCTTGTAAAAAACACAACTAAACTAAAATTACTTTAATTTGTGAGACAAACCATAATCTCTATAACTATTAAACCTTATATACAGTGCTGTAGAGTCATATAAGTTATATATATATATATATATATATCACAGTATTATAAGATTGTTATACACAACTGGTCTCACATAAAGACAACATATGTTTATTTATTTATTCAATTTCTAACATTACATATGTACTCAAACTGATATTTTTTGTGTATTTCAAATAATATTAAACATCTAATGTTTTGTTTACTACAAAACATTTTTCTGAACATTTGAATAAAATAAATATTTTACAAGTGGTTCACAAAATATATACTATTTTTAAGCTTAAGTTATATTAAATCAATAAAAAGTAAGTCAGCATTAAATTCATATAAGTTATGCTTTAAAGCAATACTCTTAACAATCTATAATTCCTTTATATTATATTTCACTAAAACATTGGTTCAACAATTTTATTGAAAATTCACAACAAATTGAGTATATTTTTTGACATTTTTCTCAATACAAATGTATAATATTATAAATTATTTATGTGAAGTATATTTAGCCATTTTGTTGACTAAAATCTTTTATATCCCAAATATTATCTCAGTTTAAACAGACACCAACAAAAAATTGTGTACTATATATATATATATATATATATAATTTATTATCTATATCATTGTTTATTTAAGTAATAATTCAATATATATTAGAAAATTTTATTATTTGTTATTAATTTAAATTAACTGAAACATTTAAATAGCAAGTAAAAAATGTTAAACTAATGTATCAGCAAATTAATATACATCTAAATTATTGTCGAAAATGATTAACAATTTTTTTATTACGAGTTGTAAATATTATTTATACACCAATAGTTAGATTTGTTTGAATTAACACAAACTCTGTTGGAATAACCATTTCATTAGAAGCATTAATTAGGGAAAGGCCTACAATAGGCTTACCCTTACTTAATCATCTAATACTCTAAATCAAACGCTTTATATACTTTATATACAGTATATATATAATAAATGTAATATATTATAGCATATATACGTGTATATATAAATTGTTACATTTGCTATTTGATGTTATTTATTGATTAGTTTTCATATGGTTTTTATTATTTTAAAACTAAATGTCGTTTGCTTTTCTTTATTTAATATTTTTACATCAAATATATGTTTACAAATTATTTTATTAAATATCTCTATAACTGTTAAATTATTTGTTCTCAGATTATATGATTTACAAATAATAATATTAAATAATCACTTTATCTATTATTATATATTTTTCAAAATTAATGATCCCATAAAAAATTGTTTTTTACTAAAATTATTTAATATATATAAATATAACACAATGAACTGTATAAATAATACAAAAAAATCAAAATCAAAATTTTATGAAATTACAAATAGGTTTAAAATAAATAAAATTTTTGGTGCAAATGTTTACTATCAATATATGTAAATTTTTGATTGAATTAAACTAAAATATTGAAAAATATTATCAATATGTTTATTTATTTTTGAGTTAATTAATTTTATAGCTATCAATATACAGTATAATATTTTCGATTAAAATTAATTTTTATGCTGGATTACCCATTTATCAAATTAAAACACATGTATATTATATAAAAAATTTATGTAAATTTTAACTTTGAAAAATATTAATGATTAAATTATTAGCTTTCACATTTCAACTCAATGTTTAATTTCATCGTAAAGATTAATTTATTAGATATACAAAATAAAAGTTATACAATGTATTGTATATACAATATATTTATGTCAAAATAATTAATATTTGTCGCACAATAATTGTCTCCTATATAAAATATTTATTATTAATGATTTAGTACAGTATCTTTTAAAATAAGCATTTTTGTAAATAATTCAAATTAAACATATAATTTTAATTGTCATATAATTATAAACTATTTATTAAAAAATTAGTTAGTTTTAGTAATAAATTCAAATTAACTATAAACTACTCAACTAATAAAACTTCATAATTACTAGTAAAAGTAAATATTAATAAATATATAATTAATTATTTAAAATTTCACTTATATTAGATAATTTATATTAATACATTGTGTAAATACATCAAAATTAATTAAATTTTAGATTTGAAACATAAGATATTTTCCTAAAAGTCATTTCCAATATATTCTTATAATAAATCTTCAATATTAGGAAACACCTAAACAAAGTAAAAATAGTAAGATTTACTGTATTTGTTTCCATTGATCAATATTTACTGACTTTCTATCAAAATATTTTAATATTTATACAGTATTTACTATATATTCTATATTTTTTGTAAATATATTGCATGAGATATATTGTTATTTATAGTTTTTATACCTTATAATGTCATAAATATGTTACAATTGAAATTTTGTCAAATCTGTTTATTAAATGTATAACTGTAAATTATAATAATTAGTATCATTGTTTTTTAGTAATTACAATATATTATGATTGATACAACAAAATAGAGTATATAGTATAACTAATATTATACATAAATACTTAAAATATGTTGTAAATAGTGTCAATTAGTCGTTAATTTTTATTATTTTTTATTCAAATCATTGTATATTACATATATAATTTATACTGTATAACTATAATGCTATAAAATTACTATAAAATTTTTATTATTAAAATAATAAAACATTTTAATAAAAAATCTGTATTAATATATAATATACAATAATAAATCGTAAATATTGTATCAAATTAATACTATAAAAATTATTTGATGCGTTAATGTATAAGAGTTACAAAGTCTAGATCTGTGTGTGTGTGTGTGTGTGTGTGTGTGTGTGTGTGTGTGTGTGTGTGTGTGTGTGTGTGTGTGTGTGTGTGTGTGTGTGTGTGTGTGTGTGTGTCTAACATTGCTATATTTGAATTTATCCATAATAAAAATTCATGTATCAATAAATACTAACAACAATGATATTAAAAATGGATGTAATATTTAATGTTATTTATTTATTTAGTTTAAATCTATTTTATATGTAATATATCATTTTTATTTATTTATTTTACATGTTAAGTTATTACATTTATTTTTAAATTTAATATAAATAAAAATTATATTTTAAGATTGTCTATTAATTTATTTCCATTTTTAGATGTTATTACAAATATTAAAAATTTAATTATCAGAAATTATAAAAACTAGTAATTTTTTATATACAAATAAAAAATTTAAATAAATTATACAGTTCTAATATTACTAAATAATTGATTATCTATAAAATACTTTAAAAATATTATTAGCATTTGTAATCATTATATGTTTAAATCTGATATAATAAATAATTTTATCAATTTCAATAAACTTTCCCTTTCTCTTTATAATCATTTACCTAAATTTTTGTAATAAGTAAAATTTAATTAATCTAAGTAATTTTAATTTTATAATTATATTTAAATTTAAATTTGACAAATTTATTTAAACTCCAAATTTTGTAATATTTTGAAAATATTTATATTAAAATACTAAAATTATAGATTTTAAAAATTAATCTTATTCCAAAAATAAAATTTATCAAAATTTATTTTCAAAACATTAAATATAGTAAACAAAATATTTTTTAAAAATTTATAAAAAAGAATCTTTATTGTAAAAAACAAAAACATTGACATAAATTAAATAAACAGATTTTTATCTTATAAACACAAAAGTAGTCTATAATATAATTTATTTTAAATAAAGAGTGAGAATATGTAAGTTTGAAAGAGAGAAAAACTTTGTATAAAGCTTTCACTGATTTATACCTAAACATCTAGTTTTAAAAGTAAAAATATTTTGCAATTTTTATGCTATTTTAGTTTTTTAGTTTATAGCTAATGAAAATCAAGTTTTAGACAATTATCTAATTCATTAATATTTTGATGCTTAATAATTTTGATATCAAATATTAATAATAATATTTTATTTTAAAATATTATTGCAAATTATGAGATTCGTTAATATACAATATGGGTATAAAATTAATATTATATTAATCACTATTGTTTTATTATTATTACAGTATAAGATGATTACTGCATTAATGTTAAATATATTTGTATTATATAAATTAATACCGGTATTTATATTGAATTTTATTGAGTAAATATTCTCATAATAAACATATTTTAGTTATAATATATGTTATTTATTATAAATTATCAATAATTATTATTATTACTGATATTCATATTGAATATATTGGGTTATGTAATGAAAAGTAATAAATATTTATAAAATTAAAAAATATAATATATCGTCAAACCTGTAATAATCCATATTTTATTTCAAAGTCTAGGAGTGTATATTCGCGGATATGTTTTGGCAAATGTTGTGGTAGTCGGTCATCTAAAGTGCCTAAAATGTTGGCCAAACTGGCCATAACTGGTTCGGTGGCAAAGGCCAGTGTATCACTCGATTCCTCCACTGAATGCAAAAGTGTTAACATTTTTGGATGTCTTAAGCGATCCAATTGTCTGACACTAAATCTTAATATCTCTGCAATCGTTTCTTTGCGTTTTGGTTTATGAAGTTTTTCAGCTACTCTTTTGTCAAAGAAAAACACTGACGCCTCCTGTCATTACAAATGTAGTAAAATGTCATCAGTTGTGTCCAATGGTTATAGTTTAGGTCAATATATATTTAATATGATATATTAGAGATAGTAATAATAATTTATTATATATTATTAATGGAAACAACATATAATAATAAAATGTTAGATTATATTATTGATTGATTGATGATTGTATACCTTTTTATCTGTTTTCCTGTTAGCGTCAAATATCTTCCAGGCCAACTCGGGACCAGCACTGGCCACTTGTTTGCCGATCTCAAAGTATTGACAAATTGGATTCAAGTCTACCGGCGATGGATATGATCCGCTCACTTGTGTCGAGCTCTTCAGTTTGGAGAACATTATTTGGTAATTGTATTCAAAACACTAGAACTTGTAATAAAACTTAAAAATGACTTTTTATATAATAAATAAATATTAATTTATATATTTGTTTGGCCTTTAATTCACAAATTCATATAATATTTAAAGTAATATTAGGAAAAACCATTATACAGTAGTATTTGCATTGATTGTAAGCAAATGTTGCAATTTTCTAAATAGATAACTGAAGGCAAAATGTGGCCAAACATTAAACGACATAAAAAAATTGAAACACACAATAGCTAAGACTTAATGACTAAAAATTGAAGAAAAGCTGATTTTTGGCAATCAATTCACTTTCGGTGGCAATTCTGTTAGTAGTTTGCATGGACTCTATGAATGAGATTTATCGGCACTTCATTGCCAACACTGACATTATTGTCTGATGTCTTCAATGTCTTAACTATCATCAGTGAAACATATCTGTCGGGCACGCAATACATGAAATACAATCAAATATAATGTCATATATTCACCAAAATATGCAATTTTTGTTATCTCAAGCAAAATAAATGTTGCTTTAATGTACAATAAAGTTCTTAATAAAAATTACTATATTGTAGTTATAAATTGCTTGTTTGCACAAAACAATCAACAATTTGTAATTAATTAATTTTATCAAATAATATGACTTATAATTGTAATTAATAATAAATTTAAATAATGTATATTTTTAATACATTTTAATTTTATTATAAAGTTTGCTATAGAATATATATAAATTATATTTTGATTTTTTGACAAATTTTTAAATTTAATAAAATTGTTTGCTATAAACAACTGACAAGTAAATGATTATTTACTACAAGGATATGAAACTTGAGATGAGTTTATTATATCTTTTATACATTAACTAATGAGACATCGCATATAGTAAATGACAGACCTATAAATATGATAGGTTTATTTTTTGTGGGTTTTATTTACAATTTTTTAACATAAATTAAATTTTCATAAAATATTTTTTTTAAAGATAAATAAACCAAAATTTATAGTTTATTTCATGTTTTAATAGATTTTGTATAGTTGTTTATTTGCAGAATATTCTAAACAATTGAGAAACAAAAACAAAAGTTTAACGATTGAAGAGTTAGTTTAATGTAATATGTTTGACACAATTGAAAAACTCAATTAATGGTTTTAATTGTTAAGAAAAAAACATTAGTAAACTCACAAATGAAAATAAAAACGACAAATAGACATAAACTTCTAAATAGAAATTGTGACCAAAATTATTGGTAACACCAGTTAAACACCATAGAAACACACACCTGATTGATCTACTAGTGCTGACTAAAGCGCTCTAACTCTATGACTGACTCTTTTAAAACATAAAACTTTGCAAACAGTCTGCTTGTGCTCAGTAGTAGTGGAAGTAAATGCTATATTTGGCTCTATTTTACCTCAATTTGGTTCCACTTATATAATAATATTACTCTTTTTCCAAATGTATTTTAACTAAGATTTGCTTTATATTTATTAGTATTGTTTTTAGACATATTTTCAGTTCACAAGTGGTTTTCTACTGTTTATACTGAAAATCCTCTCAAATGAGACATTAATTCATAAAAATATTGTTTTTATAACATAATCTATATATATATATATTGTATTATCATATATTGTATTATCATATATTGTAGTTAATGTATAATATTATGTTTCTAAAAATCAATCAATAAATTTCTCTGAGGACTAACCAATTTGATAATACATTGCTATTGAATTACTGTTAAAATACATTTATTTATAATTAATTATTTTAGCGATTATTGATTTATTGAAATTATTAATAACAAATGGTATTTATTAAATTATTAATTAATTTTAGTTAAAATCTAAAGTTTTCACATTTGATGCAAATTTCTATAAATATTTAAAAGCATAGATACTCTAAATGTATTCACAAATTTATTGGGATATAAACAATACATTTATATGAATTTAACTGTACATTACATTATTATACATTACTAAGATATGTCTATAATTGAGTTAAATCCTTGTAATTATGCATCAAATCATACGCTTACGTATAGTATTTGTTAAACGCCTCCTTTTTGGGAATAGTTTGAAACTTATAGATAATCACACATTCATTATATTTTAATTGATTTTTAGATGATTTAACAATAAGAAGTCACTGATTGCTCATTATTTCCAATCAAACAATTTGTTTTAATGATACAACAAAATCAAACAAATATTTCATACGTTTTAATATTTTTCATTAATTTGTAAGAAATTAACGCTTGAAATGTATATTGATTTCAAAATATTTACAAACAAATCAATTCAATTAAAACTGAGTTAATTGAAAATATATAAATAATAATAAAATATAAAAAATTATTTTATAAAAATAAGTGGATTAACGAGTTTTTAGTTAAAATAATATTAAATAGTTTTATCCATTATAATCAGGGTTAAGCAAGGTTTTTGATTCTAAATAGGTAAATGAGTGGGGAGTAAAATGTCAAAAATTTCATAAAAAATTTAATCGGTATTGTTTTATTGCATTTTTCAAAATCGAGTTTTCTTTTCATTTTTGGTTTTTATTATTTTTGCAAAAAACTGGGGAATAAAATCATTAACATTTTGTCTATAAGTTTGACTTTATATGATTATAAGTTTCAATTATTTAACTTTGAGTATAATAATTATTTTTTTTCTAACAGTATTTTTATACCGATATAATATTGTTATGTCTGGGTTAGGCCTTTTCCAAACATGAGGAAAATGAGTGGATCAGCTAATAGATCAATCGATATAGTGATTGTCCAAATCGATCGTTCAGTTTTTTGCGTCGGACGGTATGAGTATTTGATTTTTCTGGAATTTAAGGAATTTTTGGGGAATTTTCTCTTAACCCCCTTTTGATTTTGGATTTTTGACAAAATTGCCGCTTAAAAAGCAATAAAAATTTTACACCCACACTATACCTCTACCCCAAGATTTTTGTCATTTTACCCCACCCCCTATACCCCCTCTAAAATCCAAAACTTTGCTCAACTCTGATATATATATACCTGAGTTATATATAATAAAATTTCATTAATAAACAAATTAATATGTAAACAATTGATTGCAATTTCAACATATTCTATAATAATGTATATATGATGTACTAAATTATTTTTTACAATCAAAATAATAATAATAATTTTAATATATTACTTCATACTATTACTAAAATATCTAAATATAAAATTAATATTTAAATTTGCATTAACACTGTTTTGCTGTAACACAGTAACACTGTTAACACTAATAGATTAATACTGTTTTAATCCTAAATTTTATTTTATAATTTAATCAAACAGTTTTATATTTATTAAGTATTATGTAATTTAAATAATAATTTGATTATTAATAAATTCTTTTGCATTCATAAATTTAAATAAAATTTTTGTAATAATATTAAAGTCAGTGACGGTTAGTTTGAATGATTTATAAAGAATTATTGCATTTAAAAGCTAGGATTGTATGAAATGAATGTGTCATTAAAATTTGATAAATGCTTATTGAAGTAATAAAAATAATAAAAAATATTATTATTCTAATGAAAAAATTATTATAATTTTTTAATGTTTAAATCATTCAATTGAACGATTGAGTCAATTAAATACGATTAATGTTTACTTTTGTCAAATCTAAACAAAACAAAAGAAATTTAAAGTATATTAAAAGTTTCAAAATTTATATTCAATTATTTTATTCTCTAAAATATATGTAATTGAGTTAAAATAATATAATTTAATAATTAAATATTTATTTTAACGCTTTTATTTAGAAACTTTTAATATTTAGAATCGAAATGTATTGACATAAACAACATAAACGAATAATATATAGAATTGATTGCATTGTTAGCGGACAGCCCTCGGGTTGAGTTGAAATAAAATATGAAAAACACGTTTTTAAAAAAGTTGGCGATTTTACTGTTATCACAAATATTTTTTTTAGTAAAATTTATATCATTTTTTATTTATACAATGCAATGAAATACATTTTTTAGATAAATGTATTTATTAATTATTAAATTATTAAGTTTTTTGTAGTTATCGACTCATTTTAAATTAAATGTAAGTTTAGCTTACTTTGTTGGTCACAACTTTGTATCCGCAAACTAGCGGTAAATTTCTGGACAATTGTTTCGAGGATATCGGCTCTTCTTTATCATCTATTGACAAGTTGTATATAATGTGAATTTTATACTATAATTGTAAATAAATAAAATTAAAACATTTAAACACATTTTACACAAACACTAACATCACAAGTGATACCTATTATCACATATCTCTCCCAAACCCTGACTTTACTGCTGCTAAAGAAGAGCTGATATCCTCGAAACAATTGTCCAGAAATTTACCGCTAGTTTGCGGATACAAAGTTGTGACCAACAAAGTAAGTTGTGAGTTATTAATTTCATTGATTTTAACATGAATTTCAATACACTTTTTAAATCTTTATATAATAACCGTCTAATAAAAACATTTATCTAAAATAAGAATTGTATTTTAAATGTTAGTTAAATGAATAATTAAAATTCATATTTAATTTAAAGATAACATTTTTAATTTCAACAGTAAATACAAATGTAAAATCAATTTCATAAAATTATTAATTATTTATAAAAAATAGCTCAAAATATATTTATTTCATTTGAAATTTCAAGAAAATCATAAATAATAACATAATAAATATACTGTATATACCACTAGTACTCTTTAATTTTATATTAACAATTAATAAAAATATGACAATTCTATTAAAATAATAATTATAATATATAATAAATTATATATAACTTTATGTTATAATACATATTGTAATACATATTTAATTTACTATATATTTGTAAAAATTTCTTTAACCAATGGACGACAATTAAATTTATGATACAATCTGTAAATAGTAGGTAATGTTAAAAATATGAAATTTCAAATTTATTTCATTTTACAGTAATTAAGTTATCTAAGGCTTCGTTAGTTGTGATTGCTTTGAATGACTAGAAATGTGGTTAAACTTTATTATTATTATTATTAATTGCAAACACAGAACCGATTCGCATAAAAACTCGTTTGAGAGCTGATCTTAATTGAGGCTTTAGATCACAACAAACCAAATCACAAAATAAACGATAATAGGCTGAAGTATGGCTTCGAAACTATTAGTTTTAAAAAAATTTAAGTTAAAATATCATCTAATATCACATTAAGTAAGGAATTACTACCTTATCGTCACTAAGTTTATGTAATTTGCATAAAATAAGAAGCATTAATGGAGTCCACGTCTCCTTATGGCTCTCGGCTTCCAATGACATGTAATACTCAATAGCACCGAAACAAACACTACAACAATTAATTAATAATAATTTAACATTTTATAATAAAATATTAATAATACTAATAATACTAAACACTAAACACCTCATTATTTTTTGATCGACGATAGGCCAGCATTCCTGACGAGTTTCATCTGAAAAGAGTCGGAATAATATTCTGAGAGAACAACACAGACTCTTGACTTCTTGGTTAAGAAGATTAGGTTTTGCGTTGCCGTGAAAGCCGGCTCTCCATAAGATATTTCGCTGTTCGTGACTCTGATTAAATGTTTTTGCAAATCGATGCGATTGAATGAGACATTGAGACAATCGGATCAAAACATTTGATAATATCATTGAATACATTCCTTGTTCTTCTTCTTGTTGTTGTTCTGACTGACGATTTATACCTTTACTGATCGACTCTTTGCTTTGCTTAACATCCGCTTCAATATCTGCCAATAGCTCCGCGTCCTCCTTACGACTCGTCGCCGGAAAAAATACAATATTATCAATGGTCTGAACCAACTCTAACTGTACGATGCATTGAATTTTCAAACGACTAAACAAATATTTAGTAGAATTATTTGAATCATTTTCATCGATTGCAACATTTGTTTTGTTCTTTGTTAGAGAATATTTCATATCATTGGGCTTCCAATCCAACAATTCTTGAGGAAGAGTTGACTCAAACATCTCAAGAATACATTCAGAAGTCTTTATCCACGTTTCGTCTCTATATTTCATACCACAAGAGATAACAAGATTTTCGAGACAATTAGTTCCCGATCGGGCCAACTGTTCATTTTGTTGACGAACGCACCACAAGAGTTGAGAATAAACTTCATTTAACAATATAGGACTCAATATATCAAAATATTGGGTAAAAACATCGATAACTGAATACAAGGCGTGATTGCAAGTAGTGGTCATCCATTCAGACTTCTCGTTGTGTTGTTCCGGAAGTTTCATGTTATCGAATATTCTAAATATAATCTGAAACAAGTCCTGCCACCAGTGCTCACAAAATGATATCCCATGAGATTTAGTTATCTCAAACATCACAGTCAACGCACGTGTACGCACGTCTAATTTACACGTACTAACAATACATGACAACTCAAAAAGGATGGGAAACCAACCCCTAACCCAAACTCTATCCTTTTCAGAGGTCAGACTTCCCATGTTTTGGTCATCCATACTATAATCACAAAATAGTTGCGGCTGTTCGGCCACATATCGGGCACACGTGCGAATCAATCGTATTGCTTCCATACTTGTATCGGGAAAATTGGGATTACAGGCAAAATCTGAAAGACATTTGATAGCGTCTTGAAATGAATCAATTAATGAAATAAAGTTATTGTCATAAATATTGTTAATGATTTTGCAGGTCGTTTGAAATGCTAAATCAATAATTGATTCATCGCTATCAGAGGCAGCCATTCGGAAAACACTGAATATATTCTTCCATCCGGACCTGATCTTCGACGCCTGACTGTTAACCATTTGTGCAATACATCGCACAACCATATCACGAATGGCTAATGAAGAACTGCTTTTCATAATGTGTTCAAAAGGTCTTAAAAAATCTTTTTGAAACCGAAATTTAGCGAATTCTCCCTTTTCAATGAATTTCATCGATAATTGTCTCAATGAATCGATTGCAAAAAATGCAATTTCTTCGTTAGGATTGGAACCAACTTTATTGAAGTGTTGTCCCAATATTTCCCAAATTCTAGACCATTGCAATCTAATTCTTCCCATATTATAGTAGGAAATTTCAACAAGTTTTTGAAGACTAAACATACGTGGATGTGATGGATGGCATAGTTCTTCACTCGATACTTGACATAAGGCTTTAACAAAGTCAACGATGGCGTCACCATCTAAACGGATAGAACCGGTGAATATACGATCAACGGCTACCACTACACTCTGTGATGAAGTTTCAACAATAGAGTCATAAGACTTTTGTTCTCTATCTTTGGTTCGCGACATCGAGAGAGAGTCGGCAGCAAATGTTGATATAGTTTCCAGTTTCAAAGGAAATACAAATGAATGATAAGTGTTAGCATTCGTGCCATTAATTGGATTCAAAAATTGTGGTTTAACTCCGGTTCCGATGAGTTGAGCCAATTCAAGCTGTGAAATACATCTTAATATTTCAAGCCATGATTTGCCCAAATAGTTGCCGTCTGTATGAGCGACAGCTATAAGTGTCTTAATTGTGTCTATATTTTTACTCTTCATTTCACTGGGAGATGAAGTGGCCGTTAATAACGTAAACCGAGATAATGCCTGAACGTAAGCGTCTCTCTCTAATGTCATTTGAAATATAGACGCTATTCTTATAGCACATCGGATGCCATCCAAACATAAACAGGCGATTTCAGAGTCATCACAGTCTTGAAGGCCAACACTAAAAGCAGCTAAAAATGGTGTCCAAGCAATTCGGAACATTGGCCGCACGTGCTCCAGATGTTTGGCACACGTAAACTGCGATTCCACGTGTGATACACTTTCCATAAGTGCTTTTGCTGTGGCAGCCATGGCCTCCATTTCCACGTTATATAGTAAGCGTCGTGTCTTCTCACTGGTCAACTCTCGTCCTAATTTACGTCTTGTATTGTTATTGCCTTTCATTTTGATCTCACTTCCAGCGATCTCATCGTAAATTTGAGATAAGTATTCTTCGGGTAAATCTTTGCTGTCATTAATTCCGCGATTCATTTTAATGTATTGACTTTTAGTCATCTTATTCTTAACCTGAGGACTATGAAGATCTGTAGTTAACATTATTATAGAATAGGCCAACACATAGGCGGTGTCAGCGCTGGAAAATAATCCGTTTATATTTGTCTCACAATAACGAGACGCAAATTTTTCCATAAGTCTATCTATTTTCTGTGCTTCACCAGGAAGTCTAAAACCTTCGAGGAATGATCGCAAAGCGCCGACTATATCACGACCTGAAAAGTCCATCTGATCCACATAAGCATACATCACTTCTCTATTAAAAGAGTCGATATCTCCTAAAAATTCGCCGACTTGTGTCTTATCAAGCATTTCATTGTTATGAAAAAGATGAGCAACACTTTCAGCACTTCCATCAATAACATTGTGTTCTTGAAGATATGCAATTCCACGCTTTGGTTTCATATTAAACAATGAGATTCCGTGTTCTATAATATCTTTTTGATGTTTAACTTCTTCATATTGTTGCGGACTATCCAATTCTAGCGGACCTTTTGATGTTACAGATGATGTTCTTCCCATAGCTTTAAGTGAATTATAAGTATTGTCGTCAATGCTATCATCACCAGTCATGTTATCTTCTTTAATATTATTGCTGTCAGTCTTTTCGTGACCAAAATTGACTAATTGGTTGGGATTAATGTAAATATCTTTAGACCACTCAACCATACATTTAAGTATAGAGACGAGACATTCCAGACCCTTGATCCTCATATTCCTTTCATCAGTGGCTGTAATAATGCCGGCGTCTAACATCTGTCCCCTTCCCTGAGCTATCTTTGAAAGATCGTTAACAAGTCGTCGAAATATATTTTCGGAGTTAAGATCGCAATCATAATTAACATAAATATCAACAACAATCTGCGCGTCSGCACAAATCCTGGTCAGTGCTTCAATGACCAACTTCTTGTGTTCATAAGGACTCGTCACTGTTTCCAATATATTTAAAAATATTTCTTTGAAAAATATCTCGATTTGCACTTTAAGATTAACTTTAAATTTCTGAAGAAGTTCTAAGAATATACTTAACGATAGTTTAAAAACTTCTGGAATATTTGAGACACCATTCTTTGAAAGTGCAACACATAAGTACTGTTTGATGGCCACCGCAAACATATCACTCGATTGAAATACCGGTCCAGAGTTTTGAAGTATTGTAAAAATAAGTTTCAATGAAAGCAATTTAGATCGCAATTCATGTGACTTTGGATCGGGATATCCGTCGGGAAGTGGTTTCATACTTAGTTTACATAGTGAACGAAACACTAAAAAAGCATCTTTTTGTAAGACATGAGTAAAACTTAAATGAATGGTATCATTGGATATGGCAGAAGAATCTGTTGTATCAATACTTTCTGATGATGGGATGCGAGTGCCCATCATTGACACATCTATACCGTCACTACTATTGTTTTCTTCCATCATTACAATCTTATCAATCATATCTTTAACAATATTTTCAATAATTATATCCAAAGATAGCATATCATCACTGCCGGTATCCACACCATTATAATTATCCATTTCTTTACATCCATTTAATTGTCTTTCAGTTGATTGCGCTTCCATTCGACTAAAGATAACATTAAGCATTTGAGTGAGTGTTGCGTCGGCTGTCTTCTGGTTTATCAGATTTTTAGATCCCAAATAAATGTTATAACAGGTCCGCACTGCCAATAGGATACTTCCCTCGTGAACCTGACATGACTGAGATGTGACAGTCGTTAACAAAGCTTTGATTATCTGCAGCTGAACGCCATCATCGGTGTTGGGTCCGTGAAAACAACCACAGATGGTCTCAACAATTGAATCAATAAGAAGCTTATCTGTATTATTGGGATCAACTCTATTGCCGGTCAGATGTCCGTAAGCAATAAGCTTTTGTATACAATCTAAGGCTGTAATCACTATTTTTGGTGACTTTGATTGACACGAGAGTTCAAATGGCAAGAAATACTTTTCGGCATCAATTGTCATAACACTCTCTCCTTTGGGTTGTGGAAGTGCTGACGACAACTCTTGTTGTAATAATTCATTTGAAACCTTTTGGGATTCATTTTTGATATCATCTGCAAAAAACAACAATATGTTTAGTTATTATCATCAAAAAAAAGTAAATTAATGGTTAATATTGTGGACAAACCGAGAGCTGATTCACACGCTTTCCTCACTTGAATGTTATACGACTTCTTAATCTCTCTGTCGTTCAAAATCTTTTGCAGAGCTCTTGTAATAAACATTTCTTTATCTTTATTAGCGTTTATCTGCCAATTAGTGGTCATTATTTGACATCATTTATAACATTTATGGTAACAATCTTTAGGTCAATCAATCAAATAATAAATCATTCAATAAATGCATTCAATTTTGAAGAGTAATCAGTCATTGAATTGTTTCTATACTTTATTACTAGAAAATCAGTTTATCTATCAATAGGTAAACAATTGTCAATAAATTGAATAACACTTAAAAATAATGAACGATATGTTGAATATGTTATATATTTTGAACATTTGATGACAACATCACTATTAAAGTAATACTCTTTTATTATTAATAATACATTTATTAATACATTCATATACTCTAGTCATTCATATATTCTCTCATTTCAAATATAACGTAACATTCATTTAAAGGGAGAAAACAATATATTATTTAATATTATTTTAATTTATTTTAATTTATTTTAATTTATTTTAATTTATTTTAATTTATTTTAATTTAATTTATTTTAATTTATTTTAATTTATTTTAATTTATTTTAATTTATTTTAATTTATTTTAATTTAATTTACTAATATATTGACTGATGAAATGTGATTGTAATACAAATTGTATTGAAATACTGTTATTAATATTAACGGCTGTTATTGACTTTGACAGTCATAAGTGTCTCTTATGATACAACGTTACTGAAAATAACAACAAATAAATTATATATTAATATCTTAACTATTTTTTGGTATTTAGTTAATTTAAGTTTAGTTTTATAATTAAATTTGTTAATTAATTTATTAGATGTGTGTGTATTTCAATTTAATTAGGTTTAGGTTGTTCTGCATTACGCAGAAAAACCAATTGAATTGTAATGTAATAATCACTTCAAATGCATTGAAAGGTCTGTATTACTAATAAAATATTAGTGTCAACTAAACCGCAAGCTTTTTACTATAGATGTCATTAGTATGTGTTTAAGCATTAATACAATGATATGATTGTAATGTGTAAATGCATTATGTAGTCAATGAATAGACAAAAATTACATTTTTTCAACTATTGTTTTTTTTAATCAAAACTAATATTATAATTAGCATTTTTGTTTTAAATGTGTTATTACTATAATTAAATAATATATAAATTTAAATGCCAATTATAATATTAGTTTTGATTAAAAAAACAATAGTTGAAAAAATGTAATTTTTGTCTATTCATTGACTACATAATGCATTTACACATTACAATCATATCATTGTATTAATGCTTAAACACATACTAATGACATCTATAGTAAAAAGCTTGCGGTTTAGTTGACACTAATATTTTATTAGTAATAAGTGAACGGCTTATAAAATATTTGTTTCTAATGTCTAAGGGATGAAAAATAACACATTTTTTCGGAAAAATTGGGGGAAATTTATTTAGAAACTTTATTTAGAAATTCCTTTGTAATGTTTCAAACTCTAATTAAAATACAATATTTTTATTTATATAGAATTTGAATCCTATGTATTAAATTATACCTATTATACAGTACTGTATAGTATATTACGTAATATACTGTACAATATACTACATTATTATACAGTTAAGTCTATAAACAGAGATAACTTAATATTCTACTAATTATACAAAATTATTTAATGTCTTTTTAACTTTCCTTTATATATATTCAATAATTTACATTTACATTAATTATAAATTCATATACTGTACATGTATGATATTTTTTAACTAAAAAATAATTATATTTAAAATTTGGTCATATTAAAATATTAATATTATGTAACATAAACTATGTTGAATTTATTTAACTTAACAGTGTAATTAAATATTTTAACAATGTTAATTAACTAGGACTATTAGAAATTTTTTATAATATTAAATGATAAAATTAACAACAGTTATAATTATGACAAATATTAATTGTTAATAATAAATGATTGTTAAGTATTATTACCAGTAATTATATATAAAGTATTGAATATTATATTGAAATGAATATATGTTTATTAAACTGTTTAATTGTTAATAGATTAGTCCATTTCTTCAATTGTCGGTCCACTTTTAGATCTGTGGCCACCGCTGGCACCGACATCTCTGTCGCCGGCAAATTGACGTTCATTTTGATAAAGTTTTCTTATAATAGGATTGCAAACCGTTTCTAACTCTTTCTGTTTGTGTTGGAACTCATCTTTTTCTGCCAATTGATTTGAATCCAACCAACGGATGGTATCATTAACTTTGTCCAAAATCCTCTTTCTATCTGATTCTCCGATTTTTTCTTTAAGTTTTTCGTCATCAATGGTTGATTTTATATTAAAAACATACGATTCCAATGAGTTTTTGGCTTGAATTTTGTCTTTTTGTTTGTCGTCTTCATCTTTGTAAGCTTCAGCCTCTTTAACCATCCGTTCAATGTCTTCCTTAGAGAGTCTTCCCTTATCATTAGTAATGGTTATCTTATTTTCCTTTCCGGTACTTTTATCAACAGCCGTAACATTAAGGATACCGTTGGCGTCAATATCGAAGGTCACTTCAATTTGTGGGACACCTCTGGGTGCCGGAGGAATACTTGTTAAGTCAAATTTGCCCAAAAGATTATTATCTTTAGTCATTGCCCGTTCGCCCTCAAAGACTTGAATTAAAACTGCCGATTGATTGTCTGAATAAGTGGTGAATGTTTGTGTCTGACGGGTGGGAATAGTTGTGTTTCGCTTAATAAGTGAAGTCATGACACCACCAGCAGTTTCAATGCCCAACGACAGCGGAGCCACGTCTAACAGTAGCAGATCCTGAACGGCTTGACTCTTATCACCGTTAAGAATGGCCGCCTGAACGGCTGCTCCATAAGCCACAGCTTCGTCGGGATTAATGCTTTTGTTTAAATCTTTGCCATTAAAAAAGTCCTGAAGAAGTTTTTGAATTTTCGGTATACGAGTAGAACCTCCGACCAAAACTATGTCCTGAATCTGTGATTTATCGAGTTTTGCGTCGCGTAATGCCTTCTCCACGGGATCTAATGTTCCTCTAAAGAGGTCGGCATTTAACTCCTCAAAGCGGGCTCTGGTTATCGTTGAATAGAAGTCAATGCCTTCAAAGAGTGAATCGATTTCAATGGATGACTGAGTTGATGACGAAAGAGTTCTTTTTGATCGTTCGCAAGCAGTTCTTAATCTTCTTAAAGATCTTTTATTAACAGATAAATCTTTTTTGTGTTTTCTCTTAAATTCCTGTACGAAATGATTGACCATTCGATTGTCAAAGTCTTCGCCACCCAAATGAGTGTCACCAGCAGTTGATTTCACCTCAAATATCCCGTCATCGATGGTAAGTATTGACACATCAAAAGTACCGCCGCCTAAGTCAAAGATGAGAACACATCGCTCTCCTTTTCCTTTCTTATCCAAACCATATGCTATGGCAGCAGCCGTCGGCTCATTGATAATACGTAACACATTCAGACCAGATATAGCTCCCGCGTCTTTAGTAGCCTGACGTTGACTATCGTTGAAATAAGCGGGAACTGTAATGACAGCGTTGGTAACCGTAGAACTCAGATATGCTTCAGCTATTTCTTTCATTTTCACCAAAACCATCGATGAAATCTCTTCGGGAAAGAATGTCTTCATCTCTCCTTTATATTCGACTTTAATCTTAGGTTTGCCGCTCTCTTGGATCACTTTAAAAGGCCAGTGTTTCATATCTGATTGAACGGTCGAATCATCAAATCGACGGCCAATCAATCGTTTTGCATCAAACACCGTATTTGAAGGATTCATTGCCACCTGATTCTTGGCCGCATCACCTATCAATCTCTCGGTATCAGTGAAGGCCACATATGACGGTGTCGTGCGATTTCCCTGATCGTTGGCTATGATTTCTACCTTTCCGTATTGAAAAACACCAACACATGAATAGGTTGTTCCCAAATCTATACCGATTGCAGGAACTTTCGACATTTCCAATGAATTGAGAGTTAAAATATAATAAATTTTATATGAAGTTAATAAAGACTAAAAAAAACTTTTATAACACTTTTTTGCGCAATTATTCAGCTTTTCTATTGACTGATAGCTTATATACCTAACACTACAATCTCTTATATACCAAAGCTTTCGTTGCTTTCTGTTTTTTGCTTAAAATTCGAGTTAAAACTAAATACTTGTAAACAATTCATATATTATAATCACAATTTTGATACCAAATTAACTTAACTCATGTCAAGCTTTAAGTAACTGATTGTATGTTTTAAATGTTATGTTTAGTCCTCAAAGTGTTTAAAATGACATAATTATTGAATGCATGAACACCTCTGCAAAGTCGAGAATATTCTTGAATAATGTAGAGGTAGTCATACAGTGCTGTCATTGGTTAATGTCATCAATGATTCATTCAATCCAATGATGTTTGAAAATTCGTGATTAATATAGTCGTGAATATAGTAAATAATAACTACTTATAATTCCGGCCAACGCTTTATTTTTTTGATATTTATATTACATTATTGTATTAATTCATTATTTCAATTATTATTGAAATACATAATATTTTTTTTTCTTTTCAAATACACGTACAGTATTATTTTTTTAATATATAAATTTTACATTAGATTTTACTAAATATTATTTTATTTTAGCACAAAAAACATTTTAAAATTACATTTTTATAAATATACATTTTATGCAATCAAAAATACGATTTATTTTTTAAAAAAGTTATTGACATAGTCATTAATTACTATAAATATTTTAGACAGTTTGATTACATAATAAAGTTCATACTGTAATTCAACTAAATATTATCAATTATAATTAAAATGTACTGTAATGTTAACAAAGTTGGTTAACATTAAATCATTGAAATTTTTAAAAATATAGTCAAAAAATTGTGTAAATTAACAAAATTCAATTGTATTGTATTTTTAAAATATCTGCTTTAAGAGTAAAATTAACTAAGAGTTTAAATAAATTAACTAAAACAGTAGTTTTGTCAATTCAAACAATATTTTATGTTAATATAGCAATTTTAAGTAATGTTAATTAGTTATTAATAAAATTATTATATTATTTTAATTTAATTAATTTTAATTCATAATATAAAACGTCAAATTATCTGTATCTGTAATCTGATAATTAAATTATATAATAATCTATTTCAATGATTAATAGATGTATAAAATATTGAGCATATATTGAGCGAGTTCTCCAATATTTAAATAAATGTTAATTTAGATATACAGTGAAATTGTGTTTAGTTTTATATAAATTAATTCATATGATTTTATCTTAAAGTTATTATATAGCAATATATAATTGAATAAAATAATGTAATTAATAACTTAATTTTTTATACTTTTTAAAATTTAAATAACAAACTTTTAAAAGTTTGTTGAAAATTACTCACAATTTTTGTACTATAAATGTATTATTAAAGTACTGTATTACATAAAATGCAATTACAATTACAATCACATTTAATTACATAAAATGTAAGTTTGATTTGTTTATTAGTATTAATGTTAATAAATTATTTTTCAAGTATTTTACAGTATTTTTGATAATTTATGTAAATTTCTAATATAAATTACATATACTTTAATATAAGGTTAATATTAATTAATTTGTAAATATGTGGTCATATAGTTTTAATTTACCGGTACGGTCTTTGTAATTTCCATGTAATTTCTATGTAACTTACTTGTAATTTGCAGGTCATTTAAATAAATATAGCCTATTATATACCGTATTAATAGTAGCATATTATTATTAATATATATAAAGGACAGTAAGCGACCCCCATTACCGACCCCCGCATAGGAGTGGCTTTAAGTGTGTATTAATATATATAATGTAATTTAGTGTTTTAACGTGTTAATTAAATTTACAATTAATTTACTTATTTCCAATGATATTACCTTTTAATTAAAGGTATATAAAACAAAAATACAAGCAAATATATTATAAAAACAATGTTTTATAAATTAATTAATAATATAAAATTAAAATAATAGGTGTCACCACCTGAAAATAGATGCCCAGGGCATGGCAGAGACAGGGCAGGCATTTGGCAAAATTGGCATCTATTGTTTATGCCTGCCATTTTTAAAACCCCGATTATAACATAGACTTTATAAAAGTAAATTAGTATTAATATAAAACACATTTAAGACTACAGTATACTCTAAGTACAGTACAGTACAAGTCATGTATAAGTATATGTTGTTTATAGCGTAACGTTAATAATGAGTGAAACAATACTATTGAATATTTGTTTGCTATTAATATTAAAACATATAATTTATTATTAAATTTATAATACACTGTACTGTACTGTATAGTGTTGTACAGTATATAATAATAGTGTTGTACTGTACAGTCTGTATATAATATAAGTGTTTATGATTTGATTGATATTATAGGAAAGTTAGTGACCAGAGATGGCAAATGTAGTGTTAAGAAGATTAAACCAATTGGTGACAAAACGGTCTTCACTGCAAACATACATCAAACCTGTCCGGCGATCGTCAAGTAATTAGTAAGTAATTGATAGATATTTATAGAGATAATTGTATTAATGTATGTTAACTGTTAAAGTCAAGGCTATCGGGAACCTAACTATGAACCCAACCGACCATTCATTCAACGTTTATATCACTTCAACGCTGCCATTATGTGGTGCTATATCTTCTGGTGTTTTAGACACAACTGGAGGGAACTGATCGGTGAGTTTGACAACACATTTCAACACACAATAACATACAATGGCTTTTCAGGTGAAAAAATTTGGCCGCAAAGGAGTCTTTGGACAGATGAAGAATTAGGCGTTCCTTCCGATGAATATGACTAATGACTTACATTAGGACTAGTAGTTGATTGGCTTTTAATGATTAGTCAATTTAGTTGTGTATAATAATGAGTAGTTTTGTTAAATAAATAAGCATTTATTGGTTTAATCAAAGAATTTTAAAAATGCATTTTAAGTTTAATGTAATGACAACTGAGTTAAGAGATTTCAACGTTTAATAATACAAATTATAATTATTTATCAATAAATTACAATACTATTAATACTATCAATACTATTGCGCTTTTTTCGTGTCCTTCTTTGAAGACTTTGTCTCCTTATTATGGTTTTTGCCATCTTTTTCATCCGACGGATGATCTTCGTATCTATTGTTCAGATGGAGATCATAGTTATAAAAGATAAATATAATAAAGAAATAATATAACAAACTTGAAGAGTGCTTTAATGTCTCCTCTAATCAGAGCAACCGAAAGGGGAAAACTAATACAAAATGGCACTAAATAGAGGAGTGCCGGCTGTGCGTGTCTGAAGTATGCCATCACTACTATAGTCAACACTAATCCTAATATATAGGCCACAAAACTTGTGTAAAAATAGACGTTTACTCTCCTTTTAAGACTGTAATCAATAATAATCATTAATTTAATCATTAAATGGATTTAAAATTAGTCATAACCTGACGTCAAATCGTAAAAGAAGAGCTATGAAAATGCCAGGAATGACAATATCTCCCAATCCTAACATTGCAAAGTGAGTCCCATTGACTCCATGTTCAACAAAGTCTTGAGGGAAGACCAACTTAATGGGCGCTTCAAACGATTTGGCAACTGTTACCATAACATCAGTGCCAAACACCCAGAAGACATCATAAAAGAATAGACCACCTAATAGTATACAACCGGTCACCACATTGTTTAAGTGCAATAACTCGACGCCGTTCACAGCAAATGCCAGTCCGAAGATGTTATTTGCGATCCAATGCTATCCGAAAATAATAGATAATTAGCGTAAGTTTTTTTTGTCGACTAATCTAATAATGCTTTAATTAATACTTTTTTCAAGAGATACCAAACGCCGAGCGAAGCACTGATGGCAAGTGTTATGAAATCTCTGGAATCGAATCGATAGTCTATAAGAGATTCGCTTTTGTCATCACTTTCTTTGTCGAAAATTAAGTGATAAGGAATAATAGGGAATGCTTTGGGTGTCAATCGGTTCACTATTGGACTCAATATGTGTGACAATGCCAACACTCCGAGGAAAAAGAAATAACCCGTCAGTAATAAGTTTATATACTCTTTTGAGAACAGCTATCAAATGATGACATCAAATCATTAGTACCAAAGAGTGTCAATAAGTAAATCAAGTCAAACCTTGAAGAATACATAAAGACCGAAGAGTGCAGCGCTGGCAATGAGTGGGAACATTGCGGCGTCTTTGTGGGACATCGTCTCCGGAGTCTCTCCTGATTCCTAACCATTCGTGTGATTCAAACAAATCTTTTACTTTAAAACCCCTGACTTTATCGATCTTTGTCTCACTTTTTGTTGTTTGTGATGAATGACTGAACGGAAAGCGCCGATGAAAATGGGAAGCAATGCCATAACAATGAGACTGCCGTAAGCGCACAACATTCCCGTCGGTGAAGACACAAATTTATCGGTGCTGTTGTTGGTCTCACTTGTGTTGATCGTTGCCTTTAATTGATTCAACACGTGTTCCGCTGTTTCCGATGCCATAGTTGTTGCCAAATGGGATCAAACACTTGATTATCTCAACCGATGTATTCACCGATAATATAAAAACTTATTCAGAGCTGACTCGGAGTCCGACGTGTACTCCACTGACAACACATAGACATCACTCAACAAATACGTCCACATATTTGTTAACAACTCATCTTTTGAGACAATTGTTATCAATTGTTATTAACTAACCATCACTTGTGGTAATACTTTTAACTGATTTCAAGTAATGTGTGAAACTCTATGACTGTTTGTCAATGAGTTTGGACACGACTGGAGTGTTGTTGAAGTGTCAAAGTGTCAAATGTCAAGACAAGACAAGACAAGAGACATACTGTTAGTCCATTCCCTGTGCTCTCTATCGACACGTAATAAGTGTTGACAAAAGTGTTGGCATTTAAAGCATTTAATGCATGAATACATTGAAGACATGAATTGCATGTTATCTGTAATGACGTGTAGATAGTGTTTGTGTCTTCAGATAGACATTGAATGGTTAATAAAGAGATTACCATTTAATTACTTATTCACTTCAAATTGTTTTAAAGAGTTAACCACTGATTGTGTTGTTGTCCAGACATGTATTTAAACAAATGTTTCGCCACTTTATTGGTCTTTTTATGGACATTGTGTTCAACTAAACTCTTTGGTCAACAATTATCATATGATTTGCCTCACAAGAGATTTGAATACAAATATTCATTTAAAGGTCCATATTTGGCACAAAAGGATGGAACAGTTCCCTTCTGGGCTTATGATGGCAATGCTATAGCATCTGAAGAGATGGTCAGAATCACACCATCTCTGCGAAGCAAAAAGGGATCTGTTTGGACAAAGACTAAGACATCGTTTGAGTGGTGGGAAGTGGAGCTTATATTTAGAGTTAACGGCAGAGGAAGACTCGGAGCCGATGGTCTCGCCTTTTGGTTTACCGACGAGAGAGCAACCGAGGGACCGGTGTTCGGTTCGGCGGACAACTGGAAGGGTTTGGCGCTTCTCTTTGACTCATTTGATAACGACAACAAAGGCAACAATCCATACATTATGGCGATGATTAACGACGGATCCAAAAGTTATGACCATCAGAGTGATGGCATAAATCAACAATTAGCCGGTTGTTTGCGAGACTTCCGTAATAAACCGTTTCCAGTTCGCGCAAAGATTGAGTACTATAAGAATGTGTTGGCCGTTATGTTTCATTCGGGAAATACCAATAATGAAGATGAATATGAGCTTTGTTTAAGAGCTGAGAACATATTTTTGCCACAATTCGGCTATTTTGGAGTGTCTGCCGCTACCGGAGGACTCGCTGATGATCACGACGTACTCAAGTTTTTGACATACAGTCTTCATGTTCCTGGAACTGAACCAAAGCCAGCGCCTGGTATTGCAGACTCAGAAAAAGAGAGGTTTGCGCGAGAATATGAAGAATATAAGCATAAGTTAGATCAACAAAAGGAAGAGTACTTGAAATCACATCCCGAAGAAGCAAAACGACTACAAAATGAGGGCAATGCTCCTGAAGAAGAGTATGATTTTGGAACCCGAGAATTGCAACAAATATTTGAAGGACAGAGTCAAGTGTTTGAATCCGTCAAACATTTGAATCGAAAACTCGATGAAATTGTTGGCCGACAAGAAAGAGTATTATCGATGTTGAGTGCCGTCCAGTCGGGCGCCGCTCCCATTCAGGCTAACCAACAGTATGCCGGAGGAGCGCCTCAGTTACCATTAAACAGACATGAAGTGGAAGCTCTTCTGGGAAATCAACGAGAAGTAGTTCAAACATCACGAGAATTGAAGACATTATTAATACAACAACAACAGCAACAGCCGTCTGCTGTCCCTCAAAATGGTCAGCAAACTGCACAATACAACCAACAAATGCAACAATCACTCACTGAAGTTCGTGATGGCATTAATGGACTTAATAGGGAATTATCGTCATTAGGCAACAGAATCGATACGAGAGCATCGGCTGCTGTTGGCTGTCCACCCGTACCCTCGTGTTTGTCTTCATTTTCCTTTTTTATAGCAATTTCCATACATTTGATTATTATTATGGCTTATATGTTATATAAAGCCAGCAGAGAATCAGCCGCTAAAAAATTTTATTAAATTGTCTCTCTATTTATCAATTGTTAATTTTTTAATTTGAAATACTATTGAATAATAAAATTCTCACCTTTTAATATTCAATTAATTAATTTTAATAATAATTTCAATTATTTATTTACTGTTTAGTCGAAAATGACATGTTATACAAAACATGATCGAAACAATCGATTTAATTGAACAAAAATGATAATTAAATATAACTACTTTAATGATAAATGTTTTCACTTGATTTGGGCTTTATTTTCACTATAAAGATTGATTTGTTTTAGTTTATTTCATTTAATATTATTATCTATAAAACAAAATTAAGCCGTTTTTACTCTTAATTATAATAATAATAATAGTGATAATATAATAATAATATAATAATAATTTAATATAATCATTGCAATAGCATTAAGAGTATATAACGACTTAAAAAAGTTCAATCACTTATTGTCACCAAAAAAGAGTCAGTCACTCAAAATAATCACAATTCACTATGAATTCAATTCATTGATAGTGTAATTCACAATTTTCACAAGTTTTCAACAAATTTAGTCAACTGGTCCTGAGGTGTCAACTCTTGTTGGTTTTGTTGTGGATTTTGTTGTAACCCGAAATCGTTTTGTTGTTGAAATAACAACATATCTGTCGGGTCTTGAGGTTGTTGTTGCTGTTGTTGAACACCGGTATTCATATATCGAGGCGTTTGTAGTCTTTGTTGTGGTGGCGATCTCATCATTTGTGCCGTTCCTCCTCTTTGGGGTTTTCCTTGACTGGGATTTTGTGCCCAATATCTGGGCGTAACTGTTGGATACATTTGTTGTTGTTGTTGCTGCTGACCAGTCATTAACCTTTGTTGTGGTTGCAATGTTTGTCTTTGTGTAATCATTTGTTGTCTTTGCGGTTGTTGTTGTTGCTGCTGCTGCTGTTGAAACCATTGTTGTTGTTGTTGTTGGTTTTGCTGTGGTTGACCAATCATTTGCGGCTAAACATTAAAAACAATTCAAAATATTAAGTTTAAAAAACATTTGAAATTTTTATTAAATTACCTGTTGTTGTTGCATAAGCTGTGGCTGTCCCTGCATTTGTTGTGGCTGTCCCTGCATTTGTTGTGGCTGCCCCTGCATTTGTTGTGGCTGTCCCTGCATTTGCTGTGCCTGTCCCTGCATTTGCTGCGGTTGTCCCTGCATTTGCTGTGGTTGACCTTGCATTTGCTGTGGCTGTCCCTGCATTTGCTGTGGCTGTCCCTGCATTTGTTGTTGCTGTGCCTGCATTTGTTGTTGTTGCTGCTGTTGAGCAGTTCTTTGTTTAATGAAGGCTGCCATTAATGCCGGGTTAGACTTAAGAATTGTTAACACTTGTTGTTGTTGTTGAGGAGATGCGGGAGATTTAAGTGTTGCTAAAAGTTGTTGGAGAGCGTGTTGTTGTTGCGATGCATTTCCTGGAATTAAATTTTGTGGGGCACCGGATGGCATCGTATTCTGCATCTTTCATATATAAATTTAAAACAGTAATTATTATTTATTCATATTATAATCAATTTAAAGACATACCTGTTGTCCAACCATTCCCTGATTAATTTGTTGTTGTTGTTGCGGTTGTTGTTGTTGTTGTTGAGGTCCAACATTAGACATAACGGAAGGCAAAAGATTCTGTTGTAAAGTTTGCTGAATCGGCATTTGTTGTGACGGATTATTTGTGTGCATCATTTGCACAGATTGTTGGTTAGTAGTGGTCTGAGGAAGTATTTGTTGTGTTTGTTGAGCTAACATTTGCTGTTGTTGTTGTTGTTGTGATGCCAGGTTTGGTTGTTGTTGTTGAGGCATCCTAATAAACCTCTGTTGTTGTAACTGTTGAGGTGCTCTGATTTGTCCGCCTGAATCGTACCACTGTTGTTGTTGTTGTTGTGGTTGTGATTGTTGTTGTTGTTGTGAAATAAATTGCATCCTTTGTTGATGCTGTTGAAGCATTTGTTGTGGTGTCTGTCCAGGAGGTCTGATAGTCTGTTGTTGAGGTTGTGGTAAAATTTGTTGTGGAGTTGGATTAGTATTGCTTGACTGTTGGTAGTGGTGCATAGGTTTTCCCTTTCCATAAGGATTATTCATAGGGTTTTGCTGAGGCTGTTGTTGTTGCTGTTGTTGTCGAGCAACCACTTCTTGGACGCGTTGCACTGCTTGAAGAGCAGCAGGTGGTGGAGGGGTGACTGTTGCCGGCTTCATGTAATGTTGTTGCGGCTAAATTGCAAATAAGGTTATCTACTAATCAAATGAAATAAATAAAACTTAATACATACAGTTGATTGTTGAGGAGTGAAGTCATGTTGTGTCGTTGTTGGTGGTGGTGGTGGTTGTGATGACTGTTGAGACATACTGGCCATTGTAGCGATACGTCTCTTAAGAATATGTGCTTGTTGTAATCGTTGTTGCAATTGTTGTTGTTTCAATTTATGTTTAATATTAATACAGTAAGGAACGGGACATTTATTTTCATTGCAATGTTTCGCGTGATAACAACAAAGAGCTATCAGTTGTTTACAAATAGGACATCCCGGAGCAGCAGCTGTTTGGTTAGACTTTCTTTTACAAGACTTAGCGTGTTGTACAACACGTTTCATCTTATGACACGATGGCAGTCGACAGTTGGCATCTCTGCATTGACACGCGTGAACCAGACTCTGAATACACCTTTGGATTGATAAACGCCGCGATTCTCCGGGAGATGTGTTATTTGAACCACCGGTCGCATTCTCTCCACTTCCATCCAAATCACCTCCAGATGCAACAACTCCTGAGGCGCCTAATTATACCAAACATAATATAAGAAATTTWWAAAATATTTTTAATAAAGTCATACCAGTAACTGAACCGTCTTCTCCGGCCACTCCACCGACTAGGTCACCAAAGCTTAGTTTGTCCATTGGGTGGATATGACCATCGCGTTGATAACAAATAATACAAAGATCAAAATCATCACAAGTTGTGCAATGATATCTGGTTTCAACCTGTCTTTTGCATGTATTGCACGTATAAACAAACCTATCATTAGTACTATTGTGAAGTTCATAAAGCATTGCAAGACTTGAGAACTTTGCGCGTCTAAGACTCGAGAATTCGTAATGTTTTTCTCGGGCCAGAGTAAGGAAGGCGTCGCGACCGTCCATTAGATCACAATTGGTAAGAGGATCGAGATCTTGAATGGGAGGCAAACTGGCCGCTGATTGACTCGAATGTAGTCGTACAACAAAAAACACTTCTTTATGCTTATCCATAGTCGCGTATACCTTTGAGGTCAAATCTGCGTCCCATTGTTGAGCTGCTGTTAGTTGTGGCTGTTGTGAGTTCTGTTGAGTGCCAGGAGTTCCGCCACTTTTGTGTCTGGCGTTATGGACATTATTTTTCCTTTGATTTTGTTTTTTATTTGACTTTTTATTTCCACTCGATTTCTTATTTTGCTTAATATTGGAATTGCTTCCATTATTTGACTCTTTATTAGAATTGGTTTTTGAACCATTTGTTTCCATACTTTTACTATTTTGATCGTCATTACAGTCTAACATATCTATAATAATCATTAAAAACAAAATATTAATTAATGAAAACAAAATAAATTCAAATTATATAACAAACCCATTGACTCTTCATCGGTAGGATTTCCAGAATTGTTCATTAAATCTATATTTTTTGAGTCATTTTGTTGTTGTTGTTGTTTTTGTTGTTCCATTTCTATCTCTTTAATTGAATCCTCCAAAACATTTGGCCAAAAATCGCCTAAAATTATAATTATAATTAACTAAAATTCTATATAAAATATGTTTACCTTCAAAATATGGTAATTCTGAAGAAAATCTTAGATTGTCTTCTGTCGCTTGTTTTAAGATATCTTTATAATCCAAAACAATTCTCTCAATGATTCCTTTATCCAACATTTTCTTATACCACTCTTGTAGTCGCTTAGGTTTAGGTATCTTTTGTTCGGTCGGATGGCAATGAAATATGTAATCATCTCCTAATAGTTATAAATAATCACATTTAATATTAAACTATAAAATATATTTAATAAATATTTTAAATACCTTCAGATGGAGGACAGGCCCATATATGAGCCATTGTGTAACCCAATTGCTTTGCATAATCAAGATATCCAAGAAGTATCTCATGATATACTGCAGTTCGGTATTGCTTCGGTCGGAAAAAATAGACTGAATCCAAATATGCCAAATAGACACGTCTAGGTATATATAATATATAGTAAATAATATATATATATATTATAACAATCCTAACCTTGTATTTGGTGGACTACTGTCTGATCCATATTCTTGTACATGCATTCCAAAAAAACAAACATCTGTTCCGTCGATCTCTTCAAAAGCAAATAATGCTTTGGCTCTGTATGGAAATGTTTCGGGCCATTCACCAGTGTCCACATATCTATATATCCATTCAAATTACGACAATTAACACCAAAGCAAAACAAATGAGTTTACATTTACGGTAATACCTCGCTTTCATTCCGGGTTTTACATCGACGTATTTATCAGAAGCGGCCACAACTCTAATGGACACTTCTCCGGCATCGCATTCCTTCTTTCGAAGAAAATTATTAACACGAGTTTCAATATACTGACCCAATTTGGTATTTGGCAATTCTATTCAAATTATAAATTAAAGATAAATTATTATCTAATCATACATTTTTAAAAACAAAATTTACTAACTTTTTGCACAATATTTATTATCTTTTCTTCTTCGACCATCTCTTCTAAAACATCCATCGCATACAAAGCTAATAATTTTAAAACATAAATTTATAACAATTAAAATAATGTTTTCAATAAAATAAATGATACAATAATTTACCCTTCGGTCCAAATGGATTCGTGATGAAGAACACAAACTTGATGTAGTTTTCGACCACAATCTTTACAGTCAACAAATGGTTCGATGTCTAAGTGATCGTTCTTGCATTCGACAAACTTGTCTTTAGAAATAGTTTGTGTCGACGTTGAGGTCGGATCGAGACCAAAGGCATCGCCAACTGTCACCACTTCACCAGGAATTTCCGAAAAACACTTCAAACAATATGTATACCTATTTTTAAAATATCATTATTATTATTACTATTAAATACACTAAATTTGTTTAATAATTTAAAACTTACTTATTTTGATAACTCATATATTTAGCATCTCTCGGAATAGTACACAATTGCTTTCCAAAACAACAGAGAATTTGTGGTTGAAATACATATTTTCTACCACAACAATAGCCTAAAAGTTGCATAACTGGATCTATTTCTGATTCAAATACCTCAGACAACTAAAATTTAAAAATATAATTAAATAAATTCACTTCAATCGTAAAATTATATTATACAGTATAACATACTTTAGTGCAATATCTATAAACACGAGATGTTTTTCTATTATAAAGCCAGGCGTTATCAAACATAAGCCAAACATCATCAACATATTGCCACGGATCAGAATATTGACCTAAATATTAATTAATTCATTTGCATTAATATTATATATTTAAATATATTACATTATAAAATAATTATAATCAAACCTGTATCTAATTTTTTCTTAATAGTAGATAAGTCCATCGGTCGCTTAACAATATCAAAGTAATCAGGAATTTGGAGAAGTGTTGGATCAACTGGTTGTCTAAAAGGTAGTGATTCTGGATCCTGACGATACAATTTTTCAAGTGTTGGCATCAAATGTTGTCGTAGTTCGTCGGGTTTGAAAACTTTTTTCTGTGCCTGACGTGAAACAGGTTTGGAAGCCGATTGTACGGCAGTACACGATGGCGTCGGTGGTTTCACATCGGGTTTTACATCATTGGAATCACTTTGAGATACGGGTGAGACTACCGACTCTTTTTTCGGTTCTTCTATCATAACTATTTCTTCACTTTCTTTTTTCACATCATTTGAATTTACACTCAATACTGCAGTATTTAAATTGTCATTTGATGCCACAGTTTCTTGTTTTATACCGGAAACCGATGAAACAGGAGTAGCAGTTGCTGGTGTTGGTGTGGCCGAAGACATTGAAACAAATTCATCTAAAGGCTCAGATTTAATTGATGCAATTGATTCAGATTGTCCTCCTTTATGACCAATTGCTGATTGAGGAGTTTGAATATTTGTTGGAACTGACTGTGGACGAGGAGGTGGAGGTGTCGCTGTCGAAGATATTGGTTGTGGAGTATTTGGTTGAGCCGACTGTTGCAAAAGTGTATGTATTGCTGATCCATTGCTTACAGATGTTTGATTTAATAAATTAGTATTATTATTATTAGCATTAGTAGAAGTAGTAATTGTGTTATTGTTAACGTTTGAGTTGTTATTAATTATTAAATTATTATTTAGATTATTATTATTATTATTACTACTACTACTACTACTATTGCTACTATTACTATTATTATTAGTGTTGTTGTTGTTGTTGGAATTTATTTGTGGTCTAATTTGTGGCTGAGATGTTTGAGCTGATGATGTTTGTGGTACACCCGGAGACATAAAGTATTGCTGTGATAGTGATGTGGTAGGTGTCTGTTGGTTAAAGTTTTGTGAAGTAAGCGTCACATTAGGCGGCGGCTGATTCATTGAAGGCATTCGCTGTTGAGATAAACCTATTATATTGTTTTGTTGTTGTTGTTGTTGTGTTGGTTGTCCACGAATTGATGGTATTTGGTTAGGTGTCGGTGGCATTTGATTCGTTGGTTGCGGTGACTGTAAATTATTTAGTTCGCGTCGTTTCTGACGTTTCTCTTCCAACTCTTTTTGAATTTTATATATTTTTTCTGCTAATAAGTGATAATATTCTTCACGACTATTTGCCTGATCATACATATCTCCCTCTACTTTCTTGGCATAGGCCACAAGGTTTACCATACGTCTGTCCTGAACAGCATTTGGATCAGGTGTGGGAAAAATTGCCTGAACTATCTTCTGAACTAAATGGTTGCGCAGATCAGGAGTTACAGATCCGTGCCATTCTTTGGTCTGCGGTTGTGAAAATGGAGATTGATTTTGTCCCAAACGATTTGTAGACAACTGTGATTGAGATGGATTGGGTGATGAGTTGTTAAAAGGTAGACCTAAGGCTTGGTATGCGCGTTGCATATCTTGTTGGTGCTGTTGCTGTTGAAGAATCTGTTGATTATTTGGAGGTCCTTGTGGTGTCGTTTGATTATTATTCATGTTTGAAATGTTACTCATAGACGGAGATTGTGATTGTGATGGTGTTGACACCATTTGTGTTGGATTTGGCATTTGTGACACTGAAGTCTGTTGTTGCTAATTGTTATGATTATAATAATTAATTAAAGTATTTTTAACAATTTGATAAAAAACTAAACATAAAATTCATTATCTAATTATAAATTACAAATAAATCAATACCTGCTGAGCCAATGTAACGGCTGCTCTCCGATCTGATGCCTGTTTCAATGGCAAACAAACGGGACAATCACCACGAGTACAGTTCTTCCAGTGAGAGATGATTTGTCTTGAACTGGCACAATGAGCCACATTACAAGATTTGCCTAATGGGTGACAATCATAACAATTAATATTGACAATCAATATAATTATTGTTATAATACTATCTTTTTCAATATCATAATATAAAATTCATATTACATTATATTGTAAACATCAGTCTTTTAGTTATTTAAAAAAAAGAAAACTTACCGGCAGTACAGGTAGTCATATGGTTGAGAACATTCTTCATAGTTGGACAGTGAGGTAAAGAGCACTGTCGTTGTGGTTCAGTGCCACCATTCTGTCGTTGTTGTTGTTCTCTTCGTTGACATTTGTGGGCGTGAAGTAAAAGAACTAACTGTTGTTGAATTAATTTACGTTTCTCGGGATCAGTAGTTGCAGTGTTGGACGCCGTAGCCATTGGTGGCTGATTTGGTTTCAATTGCGTGTTTGCTAACATTTGGTTCACACCCGGCGTTTGCAACATTGGTTGCTGTGATTGACTCGGAGGCAAATTGTATCGAAACTGTTGCGGTGGTAATGTCTGTCGGGGTTGTGATGATGCTTGTGGTGTCTGAACTGAAAATTGTTGTATATATGGTTGATGTTGTTGTTGATTCTGTTGTTGTTGTTGAATGATTTGCATGTGTGGGGGAACAGAAGCTAATTGTTGATTAGGATTCTGTTGACTGGCATAACGCGGTTGAGCTCTAAGTTGTGGCGGTTGACCCAACTGTTGCTGAAGAGTTGATGCTAACATCCTTTGAGGTGGCGGTTGATTCTGTTGACCGATATTGTTGACAGTCTTAGACTGTAATAATTGAGACAAGTTTTGGTGCGGCTGTTGTAATGATGGTTGTGGTGTTGTATTTACTAATGATAAACTCGTTGTGTTAGCGGTAGCAGTGGTCACAACATTAGAATTAAGAACAACACCACCAAGAAGTCCGTTATCAACACTGGTATTCATTGAATTTGAAGACAATTCTTCAGGTAATAGTTCCAAATAACTAAATATAGTCTCAGTTGAGTCACTCATTTTTAGTCTTTTGCTCGGTGGACCACCGATGGCTTCGTGATTCATATTAGATGAAGGCGAGTGACCAACTGATGTGGTGACCGATGCCACTGATGTGGCAACGGTTCCCAAGTTATTCAAGTGATCACCCATTATGTTATATACACACTTCTCTCTTCACAATCAATCAATTATTAATTAATTTACATCTTATAATCATTATATCAAATGTATGATAATTTACATATAGATAATTAAACTATTGTTAAATAAATTTTTGTGTTTTATAATCAGTTCAATAATCTATGTTTCAAAATATGTACAAAATATGATTACAATTACAATATTATATATTATGTTTATATATTGATGACAACTATTTGTTTACATCTTTTCAATAAACTATATGACAATTAAATATAATTCATTTGTCACTTTGAATCAAATAAAATAAACTTAATTTAAATATTAGAGCTCTTATGGGATAAAACACAATGAAAAACAATCTTCAATTAAATTAAGTGGTAATCAATGTTTGTCACCAATTGGTCCAAACGTAGACAATATTATAATTTAAGAATATATCATATTATCTGTAAGATAATGACCGCTAATTATATATATGTATGTATTAATAGATAAACAATTAATTTAATGTTAATTTAATATAAATATAAATAAAAGTAAATAATAGTAAATATGAAATGATGTTTGAATACAAACAATGATAATATTAATTGATGCAAAAAAGTGATGAACAGGTGATAGTATTAAATCAATTGCATTATAGGTTGGCACGAGTGGGCTCTTGAGCTCATCCCATCAAATGGTGACAAATAGGAAGCAAATAATTAAACAAATGTCTTCAATGACAGGGATGTCATCAAATGCAATGACAAGTAATATAAGACACTTTAAGAGCGCTATCTCTATATTGAGTCGCAATCTATACCAACACTTGTTATATATATTATTAGGTAGTGTTGAGTGTCGGGCACTGGTGTGATGTTCACTGTCTTTAACAACTGTTCAATAGTATATATGGTGATCATCAACCACGACAATCACAATTACGGACCAATCAATCGGTCTTCACTACAATCACACCAACAATTTCATCGACAAATGGACGACATTTTGATTGCATGAAAGCATTCAATAAAGACATTCACTAAACACTATACCATTGGTCAGCACTCAGCACGTCATCACACATACCAGTGCTTACATCAAACTACTCCTCTCTATACTCAACCCATACAACAATCATAATAATACTCACTCTCTATAATACAACACTATTTATATCAAATATATATAATCATGCATTGCCTTCATATACATATCAACAAATCTATAGTACATTTATTGTAGACTTGATATTCCCAAACCATAAGTAAAGTTTATTTTTTAAATCAAAACCAATTATGCAAATTATTTGAGCATGATAAAATATTTTATAATACAAAATAAGCTAGGTAGAATATTAAAAAATAAACTCTAACTACAGTACATTATTGCAATTCAATACACACTGAAAAATATAAAGTTACTGAAAAAAATTAAAATTAATTTATTATAAAAAATTATTTACAGTATTTCCAAGTTTTTTGTTATTTTAAATTATTTAATCATATATTGTAATCATGTATTACTACAACAATATTGCTATACATTACTCTATAAGTTATAATGATTACTTGTGTGCCATTAAACTCAATGTATGATTTTAACTTATAATAAATTTACTACATTCACACATCAATTTTATGGACATTAATTACGACAATTAATGTATTGTATATATACTGTAGTACTCATGATATGTATTTATATTGATGTAATGCTAATACAGTTAAATTAAATTAAATTATTATAAATTAAATTATTATAAATTAAATTATTATAAATTAAATTATTATAAATTAAATTATTATAAATTAAATTATTATAAATTAAATTATTAAATTATTTTCTAATTATTCAATCTTTTTTCAATCAGTACTTATATTACATTCAATATCGACTCATTTACGTGACATTTATTATAATTAAAATATTCTATATTAACCTAGATCATATTCTATATTAACCTAGATCATATTCTTGTATTAAGTCAATATTCAGTTATTTTTGTAAAATACTTAATAATACATTATATAAGTTATATTAGACTATATATGATAATCGTATTTAATAATTAATGTAATAATTGTAATAATAAACTTTATAATGTATTTTAATTGTAACTCATAATAGTTGTGTGCAATAATATAAAACTTGGTATACATTTGTTTAAAATTGAATACTAGAATATATTTAATAAAAATATTATTTGCATTTATTTTCATTGACAAAATAAGTATCCAAATCAAATATATGTAAATTGATCAAGTCTATTTTATACAATTGTAAACACATTGTATTAATAAATTTACTTATAATAACCATTATTTGCTATTTATTAGACAACTAATGCATTTTCAAAAGTTATCAATACATTTGTAATTGCTATTTGTCCACACATTTCATCCAAAAGTATTTTGTTAATATTACATAAGATATATGTAAAATGTCTTATTAGTTAATAAATAAAATTTTAATTAATTAAAAATGTTTTTAATTAACTTTTTAATGATTTTGAAATGAATTCAATGGAGTCCTATAATAGTAGTACTGTATTGTATTGAAATATTTACTATACTTTAGTTTAGTTTACTTTACAGTACTGTTCTTATAGTGTAATAATGTTATGCTATAATAATTTGGTAAAACATTTGATATTATAGACTACTGTATACTGTATTGTATTGTATGTATAGTATTGAGTGACTCAATGAGTGGACTCACATCTCATGTGAGAATCGGTGAAAACATAGCGTATTAGACAAACAATAGCATAATATTTGTGTATATTTTAAGTGATTGTATGTTATATTTGTGATTACATTGAAATTTATTTAATTAATAGACATTTAGTTTAACTACAAATGATTAGTGAATGTAATAAAATGCAACATTTGATAGAAAAACAATGAAATGAATGACTGAAAGACTTTCGTTGATTTTGATTGATTGACAATAACAAGACATGAGTACTCAAAATGGTACCATCGATGGCATCAAACAAGAGGTTTGTCAACAAAATGGTGACAATGACCACAAAGACAATAATGACAACAATGAAGAATCCGAGCCCGAAGTCGATATCACTATTAGTAATGTTGTCACCAATTTTAGTGTCAAATGTCACCTAAATCTACGACAAATTGCTAGCAAAGGATCTAATGTTGTCTACAAAAGAGAGCAATCGGTTAATTAATTGAATTGACAATACATATGATATTTTATTTTATTAACAAATTTTAATAAATTTTTAGATGATATTAATGAAACTGCGGGCACCTTCTGTTACCGCAAGTATCTGGTCATCCGGAAAGATCACGTGCACCGGAGCAACAACTGAGGACTCAGCCAAATGTGGTGCTCGTCGTATAGCCCGATGTCTACAAAAATTAGGATTTAAAGTTAAGTTTAATAGCTATCGAGTGGTCAATGTGTTGGGCACTTGTATTCTGCCATTTGGTATCAAAATTCACGACTTTAGTGCTGAACACAGACCTATTGCGAGGTATGACAAGTAGTGTAAGATGACTGACAAATCAAATTTAATTTAATAATTTTGTATAATTACATAAAAGCTATGAACCAGAGCTACATCCCGGAGCCACATATCGAATGAAAGATATAAAAGCAGTTCTGAAGATATTTCAAACGGGAGCCATCACTATAACTGCTCCCAGTATTGGTGCCGTTCAGACTGCTGTCGAAAGAATCTATCCCTTAGTCTATGAATACCGAAAGCCTAAACCTAATCAAGCGATCAATTCAAATGAATCGAAAGGAAGGAAAGGACCCAAAAAGTCAACTCAAAATTTTATAGCGAATGACTCGGATGAAAGTGAAGCCAAGTTAACTGATAATGAAAGCGATTTAGAAGACATGGATTCAAATAATAGCGATGAAGACGACTACTCTGATAAATCTGATTAATAGTTTGATAGCTTTTTATTGATATATTTATGTCAAAGATTCTCAAAAAGATAAAACAAGTTTCTTATAATTATACAATTGGTTCCAAATTGTTCTGTGATATAAATACAGACAAACGATTGTTACTTTAATAAAACACATCACAAGATATAACATTAATTCATTACTCTGTCATTGATCTCATGATTAATAAAAGTATGGCATTAATATCTACAGTAATTGTTTACTACTATTTGTGAATATTATGTAGATTTAGCTTACCGTAGGATTTAAATGACTGTCTTATTAATAAATAATTTCATTTACAAATAATCGATATTTAATTTAAAATCTCTAAACTTTATTTGACAATTTGTTTACAATAAGTAACTGTAATCTTGATTTACAGAATCCATAACAATTTATTGCGATTATTTATAATATATAGATAACTTGTTATATACGGTACTGTATATTTAGAATTTATATTATATTAGATAATAATAATATGACTTATTATATGTGACATCAATTGTCTTATTATTGTTTTATAAGTCTTGGCTGGAATTGAATTGAAATTACGAAACGGAATGATTTTTTACGATAATTAACTCTCGACTAGTAATGAATCTTTAAAACCCACATTTAATTTGAATAAAATATGTGAAATATATTTGTAGTTTATTTTTTGCCGGACACTCCTATGTTAGCTCCGGCACTACCGGTCTGTCGCGGATAGAATTCAGCCAAAGTTGTTTGTGGAATACGTTTAAGCATTTCTTTGGGGAATATCCTCAACAATTGCCATCCAATATCTAGCGACTCAAATACTGTCCGATTCTCATAATTTCCCTTAAAATAATTAAAAACTCATAATTAATTGATTACAGACTCGTTATTGCAGTTTCTTACTTGAGATATAAAGTTTTTCTCAAACTTTCCTAAAAACTCTAAATACAACAAGTCTTCCGGACTGAGCGCTTCCTCGCCGACGACAGCTTTCATTGCCTGAACGTCTTTACCAATTGCATAGCAGGCGTACAACTGATTTGAGACATCGGAGTGATCTTTGCGAGTCATTCCCTCTCCAATAGCAGATTTCATAAGTCGACTTAAAGATGGCAATACATTAATCGGGGGATATATTTGTCTATTATGTAAGTGTCGATCAATATAGACTTGACCTTCGGTGATATATCCAGTAAGATCAGGAATAGGATGAGTAATATCATCGTTAGGCATCGTTAAGATTGGGATTTGGGTTATAGAACCAGTACGTCCTTCAACTCTACCGGCTCTTTCATAAATTGTGGCCAAATCGGTGTACATATAACCTGGGAAACCACGTCTACCGGGCACTTCCTCACGAGCAGCTGATACCTAATAAATGACATTATAATTATGTAAACACATAAATAGCGGTAATCAAAATTAAATAATTACTTCACGCAACGCCTCTGCATATGAAGACATATCAGTAAGGATGACGAGTACATGTTTCTCGCACTGATAGGCTAAGAACTCGGCAGTAGTCAAAGCAAGACGTGGTGTAATAATACGCTCAATGGTTGGATCATTAGCTAAGTTAAGGAAAAGACAAACGTTTTCCATTGAGCCGTTCTCTTCAAAATCTTGTTTGAAGAATCTGGCCGTTTCCATGTTTACACCCATAGCAGCAAATACAATGGCAAAGTTATCGTCAACGATATCACTGCCCGGAGTCTTTACAAGACTTCCCTGTCGACAGATTTGGGCCGCAATTTCATTGTGTGGCAAACCTGCCGCTGAAAATATCGGGATCTTCTGTCCTCTGGCTATGGAATTCATCACATCAATAGCTGATATACCAGTTTGGATCATCTCCTGTGGATATGTACGAGACTCAGGATTTATAGGTTGTCCCATAATATCGAGATAATCTTCAGCGAGAACTGGAGGTCCGCGATCTATAGGTTTACCCGAACCGTTAAAAATTCTACCCAACATATCCTCAGATACAGGAGTCCGTAATATATCGCCTATTAATATATGAATAAACAATAAGTAATAACGGGTTTATGTCTTATCAGGTAATTGTGACAAACCTGTAAACTCGCAGACAGTATGTCGGGCATCAATACCTGACGTCCCTTCAAATACCTGTACGACAGCCTTAGAACCGCTCACTTCTAGCACTTGTCCAGTTCTGGTCGTGCCGTCGGCTAAAACTAATTTAACAATTTCAGAAAACTTCGGGAACTTTACGTCGTCCAAAATAACGAGCGGACCGTTAACTCCGGTCACTGTCTTATASGTTAGTCTCGGCTGTGATATGTAATCTCGAGTGACGGCCAATGCGTGCGTCTTATTAGCCGCCGATTGGTTTACGACGTCGTTAATAGTCATTGTCTATCGTTTTCTTGTAAATAATAATCAATTAATTATAATTATAATCAATATTTAGTTTTGTCTTTAATGGATGAGTTGTTGACACACCTCTCACAACAACTGTTTGTTAACTCAATGCTATATACAGTACAGCATTAATATCAGTGCTTCACATATAATATACACTTAAACTAATGTATAGTCACTCATATTATTCGCATTTTTATAACTTTTTTAAATTACAGTCAAACCTCATTAATGACAACATTTTAGAATTTTCTATATTTTTTACAATAATTAGAAATTAAACGATTGTTTTTTATTGAGAAATTTATAATACAATAATTATTTGAAAATATTTTACAAAATTTATAATAAAACAATTTAATCGTACGAATGGCTAATAATTAGAAAATATAGCGTCGATTACTTGATCCAAATGTCTAAATAATTAAATAAATGTCAATCAATACACTATTATATTAAATATTATCCTATATGTCATACTTAGACTTAATTTGTTGACCAAATTGATAGAAAGGGTTACCAGAGGTCACATTGACATACGTATTGTGGACAGACTTCATGATAAGTCGGGCCTCATTGTCACGGAAGGCCTGAGGAGTTACCATAAGTAGGATTTTGGTGTTAGTTGTCGAACAAAAGCCATATATCTTATGGCTTTCAGTTTGGGTGACAACACCTATAAACTGATCCCTATTTGATTGTTTCTCATTAATTATATCAAGACATGAATGCATATGAAATAGTGATGATATAGTGTCTGTTGATGACATCGGTGTCCGACTCCTCACCACTAGTGGCACATTCTCCCGGTTCACTATCACCAGAGTTGATACTGCCATCAAATCTCAACAATTCATTCAATTGTTAATCAATATTTCAATTAAAATTCATCCAATTTATTATTCATGTAATAAAAATTGCTTTAAATCATTGGTTAAGAAAATAATTAATTAGAAAATAATATATTTATATAAATTAATAAAGTTATCAACAAATCATACAAACCATACATTAATAATATTTAATATTATATTAATAGTGTATTAATCACTAAACTATAAATTTACTAAATTATTCAATAAGTTATTAATTCAATTCAATTCAATTCAATTCAATTCAATACAAAATACAATACAGTATTACATTATCAATAAATATCTCCAAGTATTCAATACAATATAGTAGAGGTGTTGATAACTCTTTTAATTTATACTACACTATTGTATAGTAAATACAAATTTCTATAAATTTAATTACAATAAACTAATAATAAATAACTGATAATTTAAAGTTCAATTGAATTATTTATAATATAAAACATTGATTATTAAATTTAATGAAATGTGTGTAATGTGTGTGTAATGGGTGAACATCTCTATACACTATGTGTTATCCAATAGTGAGAGAGTGTGTCAATCATTAGATGGTTTGTGACTTTAGGCGCCATTAGTTGTAATGACTTATAGTTTAAAACTATAACTTAATTAAACTAATTGTTGTAATCCTTAAGTGACTAACTTATGGATCAATTGATAATTAAACCAAAGTTTATGCGTTGTATGATTACCAACATATCRGTGACCAGCGATGGCATTGAGATCTGGAGCCAAACTGATGTCAAGAGTTGCACACGTGTTAAGCAATTGTTGGATTCATTTCATAAGCATTTAAGTGATTTGTTTGCCATGAAGTCATTGCTGATGACATCGGCTCCGGTACCACAAGTGGGGGACACACTTCTCACACAGTATGTCAACATATTATTATAACTTTATAATTAAATTAATAATATTTGTTTGAAAAGTATGGCCAATGATCTGCACTTCTATCGGGTTGTCGTCACTCATGTGGATCAACAGTCTAATAGAGCTCTRGTTTCATACATTGACTTCGGAAGTGAAGATTGGGTTCAATTCAAACATCTAGTCGTTTGCGATCAACTCTTTGAAGAGAAATCTTTAGCTCAAAGATTTTTCTTGGCTGACATTAAACATAAAACTAATGGTTTGTAAACACTATTTGAATATTGAATGAAATGATTAATTAATTAATTTTTATTATCAAAGGATGGGATGTCGATAAAGTTGTTTCGTGTCTCAATCAGTTCCTAATGCATAGCTTTCAGTGTGAAGTCATCGGAATCACTAAAAACACTGAATGTATTCGTGTTTACGATAATTATTTGAATCAGCCTTTGATTGCCAATTTGGTTCAGTATTGCGATGGATATGTTTTGTATGATAGCAGTGCTGAAGAGGTTCTCAAAGCATTGGATATACCCAACGATAATAATGTCTTTAAAGCGACTAATAAATATCTGAAGAGTGAATCTGTTAATACTGACACAAGTGACACAATTAAGAAGAAAATAATTATCAACGGAAATAATATGTATATGCATTTTGATGACAGCAATGCTATACTATGTCATCAAGAATTTGCCAAAACTTTTGCTATTATCGGTAACAATAATCCCGATCTAATTAAGACAAATGCCATTAATGATATACCAAAGGCTACTATATTGACAAATGGCGATACATTCAAAGCAACTAAATTAGCTAATAATGATATACCTAAACCTACTGTAACATCAAATATGCATTCAATCAATACTATTGAAATGGTAAAAGTTGACGTATCCAATGCTTCCGAATTAACAAATAGTAATACATCCAAAGCTATTGAATTGGCTAATAATGATATATCTAAAGCTATTGAGATACCAAATACGTCCAAATCCAATGCTATTGAAGTGTCAAAAAGTGATACATTAAAAACTACACAATTGACTAATAATATATCCAATACCACTAAATTGTCAAATGGGAATATATCATATACTACTGAATTAATAAGTAATGATATATCCAGTGTGTCCAATGCTATTGAATTAGCAACACATGATAACACATCTAAATCTATTGAAATGGCAAATAGAGATACATCTAAAAACTTTGAATTGGATAATGAAAATATTCACAAAACGATTGAATTAGTAAACAGCGATAAATCCAAAGAAGTTGAATTGGCTAATAAAGATGTATCTAAATCTATTGAACTGGTAAAGAGTGATACATCCAAAGAGGTTGAATTGGTTATTGAAGATATATCTAAAGCTATTGAAGCTACAAACTGTGATACATCTAAAGATACTGAATTGACTAATAATATATCAAATGCAACTGTAATAACAAATGGTGTCACATCTAAAGATACTGAATTGGTTGATAAAGATATTTCCAAAACAATTGAATTAGTAAACAGTGATACATCTAATGCCAATGAATTGACTGATAATGATATGTCTAAACCTATTGTAACAGCAAATATAAATTCAACCGATGCTATTGAAGTGCCAAAGATTGATGAATGCAATGCTACCGAATTAACAAATACTAATAAATCCAAAGTTATTGAACTGATAAATGATGAGACATCTAAAGATATTGAATTGGATAATACTATTATATCAAGCGCTACTGTATTGACAAGTGGTGACACACTTAAAACTACTGAATTAGTAAATAGTGAACCAATCGATAATGTGTTTATATCAGCCACTTATTCGGATATGACTTTCTATTGTCAATTGTCTTCAAAGTTTGATGAAATTAATGCATTAACTGAAAATATGACACAATATTATAGTAATAACAATACCGGTATAGTCGAGGCATTAGATATAAAATCTTTGAAAGTAAACGATACAATTGCTGCTCCATTTAGTGGTGACGGTCAGTGGTATAGGGCAAACATAAAAGCGATTAATTCGGATGAAATTGACATTCAATTTATTGATTACGGAAATACTGAAAAAATAAATGCAAACAAATGTCGAGTTTTGAAAGCAGATTATTCCCTATTGAAACCACAGGCATACAAGTGCTCACTGGTTAAGGAATCTCAAGTGACTTATGATGAACTCAAGAGATATGAAAACGATATGATTGAAATAGTTATTGATGTCATTCATAGTAATGGCAATGATTTGAAAGTCAACATAAAACAAGTCAATTAAATATTATTTAACTAATTAATACTTACCGTACTTTAATTGTATTAAAAAGTTAATACATTGCAAATTTTATACAATTTTTATAATAATTATTTATTTATAAAGTAATACTTTTCTAATTTAAGTCATTTGATTGATATATTGTATTATTCATTAAATTGGTATATTATTCATTTGTTAATTTCTATTTTTTGTTAAATAATTTAATATTGTTTGATATCAATAAAATATACTTGTTTTTATAATTAATATTTCAGTAATTGTCAACAAATATTACAATAGTTTATAATTAGAGTTATAGTTTGTATTGCAACAAAATTTGTATCAAAATATTTTCAAATTAATATTTGCCAAACATTGTAAACTTGCATTTTACTTTAAATTAAAGATTTAATGTATACTTTAACTATAATTTAACATTAAACTACTATATAAGTACTACGGTATAAGTAACAATAAATAATTATAATTTAACTTTTTGAATCATTTTTATTTAGCAATTTAAAAATTCAGTTAATATGTAAATAATATTTTCTGTTATAATCTGTTATAGAAAATATTATTTAAAAACTAATTTTTATAACTATTAAATAAGGCTATAATTAAATATTTTTATATACAGTACATATATTAGTTTTATATTTAAAATAAATGGTATTTGAAACAATTATTGGCAATTTATTGAATATATATTTGTGAAATATGACATTTTTAGTCACAATAAACGCATATTACTGTATTATATTTAAATTTATTGAGTTTTAATTAACTTTTTTTTGACTACTTTTTAATAATTTTAAGTTGATTATTATCTAAAATGATCATGTACATTATGTACACATTTGTATGTAATGTAGAAATATGTTAAAAAATATCTAAACTAATATTTTTTTCAGATCAATGAACTATTGAATGACATTGAAATGCATGAACTGGTCATTGAACACAATCAGCACTTATATTACATTTATAGTACATTATAATGTGTGAACAACTATTCAATTGATGCCAATCTTATAAACTATTAAAATATGATATTGTTTTGTAATCATATAGTTGTATGTTTGACTATATGGTCAATAGTAATCAATTATTAGTTATATTGATAATCTCAATGTCAGTACATTTATCAGACATTCAACATATTGTAATATAGACTAAACTATACATTAGTTTATAATATATAAGTAATAATTTGAAACTTTGTCTTATTTTTAACCAATAATTAGTGTTTAAAGTKCAGTACAGTATATACAGTACAGTATATACAGTACAGTATATACAGTACAGTATATACAGTACAGTATATACAGTACAGTATATACAGTACAGTATATACAGTAAAGTAAACTACTTTATAGGCAAAAGACGTCAAACAAGGTTTGTATTGCTATTGTATTGTATTATTGGTTGTAATGTTTGTAACATTATATATGAATGTATGTATTGGTTGGTCACTGGACTCGATTGAAGTTTGACTCTCTTTATAATATTAATACCTTTAATACAGTTTAGTATAGTTTGAGTGAAACGTCACACAAATGTTGAGACAAAGCACTGAACATATAGTGAGAGACAAACCATTAAGCGATTGATCCGCCATTCAGTGCATACCTATTGTACGTATCATTGATTTGATTATTGATTTATATATTAATTACTATTTTATTGATTCAATTGATTTAATATTATTTTCAAACATTATCTCTAATCTACTAATTGTCTTAAATTTAACTTTAATTTGCATATTATTTGATGAGTTATTGATTGCATGTATTTCTTGTAAAGACAACTCATTAGACTCATTGTCGACAACTAGTGATACTGTAGTTAACTATTATTAACTATTATTAACTAATATTAATATTAATTCTTTTTAACTAAATATTTCAGATATTGAACAATCATTATATTGATTTGAAGTGATAAACAAAGAAAACCAAAGGACAGGTGATTTGGACACTATTTTACGTTATTTGATTGTCTTTGCTGGTTGTGGTCACTGAAGAGGTATTAGTTTATATTACTGCTGTCCAACACAACGGAAGCCAAGAGAGGAGAGGGGGGTATTGCTTCTCAATGCTCGGGAGGAAAGGATGCCATCGGCTCTCCTCAACGGCAACACAGCTCATCGAGCAGTTGGTCGGCCACTGGCTTAAGAGCCACCACCCGATGGGTGCCTCCGAGTAGCATAAGAAGAGATTTGCAAACCCTTAACCAAAATACATCACAATCTGTTGAAGAAAAACAAAATRCCATTTTCCGTAGATTCAGAGGGTATACTAATTTAATCCAATAGTTTTCTTTGTGTCCATTAATTTAATGATTTTATTATCCATAGTATTCTTAATAAGATTACTCCCGAAAAGTTTAAAAAGTTGAGTAAAGAACTGTTGATTGTTGGTCTCGACTCTCCAGCTATACTTAAAGGCCTTATTTTGCTAATATTTGACAAAGCATTAGAAGAGCCGAAGTATAGCTGTATGTACGCTCAGTTATGTCGCATAATCAGCGAAGAAGCCCCTAATTTTGAATCCAATCGTGAAATAAATAGCGAAAATAGACATCTAAACAATGTATGCCTTAATAATAACATTTATAGGATTTATATTTATTAWATTTTGTTATTGTTTTTAGACATTTTGTCGATTATTGTTAGCCAAGTGTAAGGACGAGTTTGAGAACAGACGTCGAGCCAGTGAGGCTTTTGACAATAGAGATGGACCTCTCACTCCACTCGAAGAGGAACAGCGCTCTGTTGCTAAACACAAGATGTTGGGCAACATTAAGTTCATCTGCGAATTGGGAAAACAGAACCTCTTGCAAGAATCAATTCTACACCTCTGTATCAAACAGTTGTTGTCAAAGCAGACAAAGGATCAGTCAATACAAGAAAAGGCTGAAGACTTGGAATGTTTGACACAAATAATGAAAACTGTTGGACGCCTTCTCGACAATGAAAGGGCTGAGCTTTTGATGAAACAATATTTTAAACGAATGGAGTATTATTCTACACATCCAGAACTCAGTTCAAGAATTAGATTTATGTTACAAGACGTGCTCGAACTCAGACGCAATAATGTATGTCTTTAAAGCATTTGATTATATTTTTAATATTTATTGTTATTCTTATAGTGGGCTCCGCGTCGAGTTCAGCGGGAGGCCGGACCTAAAACTATTGTTCAAATTCGTGAAGAGGCTGCCAAAGATTATGGTGTATATATGCCACCACATCAGTACACCTTTGGTCCTCTTAGACCCGGTATTCAGTCAAAGGGAGGACATGTAGATGTCATAATGCCTTATGGCTTGCACTTAGGCACAGGTCCAGGTGCTATAAACGATGTCTATAATCATAATCCACAAATTATGGGAAGAAGAAACCCTACAACTAATTTAGTTTATAATAATTATACCGGATATCAGAAAATTCAAAATAACAAAAGGGATATTAATAATACTCGTCAACAGCAACAACAACATCAACAACAACAGCAGCAGCAACAACAACAACATCAGATACAGCAAATGGCTAATAATTCAATTGTCAATACTACTGGAAATAGAGAGTTACCGCCGAGGTTTCAAAAGCTACATCAAAATCAACAACCAATAGTTGGTACTAACACTAACAATGCTAATAATACAAATCAATTACAACCACAAGTATTAGCCGTACCGATGAAACCTTTAAATCAATCAACTTATGGCTTTGATTCCGGTGGTATATCTTTACGACCGGCCATTAACTCTATTGTCTCGAAACCAAATATACCAATGACTAAGCAATTGATAACTAACTCTAATTTAAACAATGAAAATAATAACATAAATGTCAAATCTTTAGAGCCGAACAGTGATTTAAACAAAACTATTGACAATAACATTAATGAAACTAAAACCAATAACATTATCACCAATAAAAGCAACAAAGAGGTGATTCTTAAGAAAACAGAAGAGACTCTTAAAGAGTTTTTGACGCAAAATGATAATATCGACGAAATTGTTATGAAATTCAAAGAAATGAAAATTCCTAAAAAGTTTGTTAATAAAATAATTTATTTAATTTTAACTAATTTTTAAAATTTTAGTTTTCAGTTAGACGTATTGGTAACGATTTTTAAGAAATCTTTAGAGGCCTCTGAAAGTGAAAGAGAGACGTCTAATAAATTGTTAAATCATTTGAAAGATGAAGATGTTATCGGAACTAATATTTTTATGAATGTATGTTTGCATTTGTTTTATCAATTGAATGTTAATTTATTATTATTAACATAAATGCTTTATTATAGGCTTTTAAGGATTTGATTAATCAAATGGAAGATATGGAAACATATATACCTCGTGTTAAGTCACATGTGGCTGCCATCATCTCCAGCGCTATAGTCGATGATATAATCAGTTTGAAAGAGGCCAGTGAGCCATTAGAAGGCGGACAACATTTTCCACTATTTTTGTTATGTTTACAGCATTTGAATAAAACTAAAGGACAAGTTTGGCTTTTCGAGAAGTTTACAGAAAGTAAAATAGATTTAATTGAATTGTTGCCCGAAAACGATCGAAATAAAGAACGAATGGCCGCCATCTTAGAAGACCGAGCACTCGGATTCTTATATCCAATGCTACGAATTGAATCGGATTTATTGAAACAACTAAATCAAAGTGACTGCACTCCTACTTCATTATATCGATGGCTTAAAGATAATGTCGATCAGTCTTTACAAAATAACAGCGAATTTATAAGAGTTTTGTTCACTTGTTTGCTTAAATACATTATCAATGAGGCATCAAAACAGTCGATTTCAGAATCAGATAATCAAACACAAACTCAAACTAATACAACAAATATTGCTGACAATGAAAAACAATTATTGAATAGATATGAACACGTATTGAAAGCATTTTTGCATGAAAAGCATTCATTGCAACTCTTGGTTTTGTATGTATTGCAAAGTTATTGGTTTAATAATTTACACAATTTATCAAAAGGTATTTATTTTTATAATCATTGTTTAAATTTTGATACACTTTTGACATTAAATTTATTTTTACTGTAGGAATGATATTGCGTTGGTTTTTAATGCTTTACGATCTGGAAATAGTCGAAGAAGAAGTGTTTATTAAATGGAAAGAAGATATTAATGATGAATATAATGGAAAAGGAAACGCATTATTTCAAGTGAATCAATGGCTGACGTGGTTGGAGGAGGCAGAAGAAGAAGACGAAGATGAAGATGACGACAGCGAACACATTCTTAATTAAATCAATTCTTTAATATTGTTAACCACTATATCTAATGATTGCATTATTGAATACTTGTTTAGTACTCAATGTTTCTTTTAAATAGAAATCTACTCAAAGCTTATAATGATTTATTTACAAACACTTGTCTCTTCTTTTTTATACAATTTTTGCCAAATGGATAGTAGTTATTAAATAAATGAATTTTTATTTATATTTCCATAAATATTCTATTATTTAAGAATAATGTCTTAAAATTGATAGTTTAAACTAATAAAGTAATGCCGTTTAATCTCACTTTATATTTCTGTAAAATGTGTAAATTTAGTTAAAATTAGTTAAATTTGAKAAATAATATAAATTTATTCGGATATAACTTTTTAATATATAATCATTCATTTAATATACAATTATATAAAGTGAGACTAAACGGAAATCTTTAATTTCTGAAAAAATATCTTATTTACATAAATTCCAAATTAAATCTCCAAATTTTGAAACAATTTATAATTTTTTTTAAAAATCATTTATACTAAACATCTGATAACACTATTAATGATTTTTTTGTTTAATTATATTATAACTAAATTAAAATAATGTTATAATAATTAAACTAAAATATTAATTTATTAAATTATCTGATATGTGATCTGAAAAGATATGTGACGAACAATAAATGATTAGTTAATTGAAAATAATCTCTTCTTCATTGTGGAGAAGTCTCCAAATCCTTCATCGAAGACATCTTCATCGAAACCTTTTGAGTCCACTTCTGGAAATTTTCTTCGCATACGAAGGAAATGATGAACTAATTTATTATCCAATGGTTTATATAAATGTTGTTTTGGTGTTGATTTCCAATGGTTTGTTTGTAACCATAATTTGTCGCCAAAATCATTGTTTCTATTACTTGAATCATCTGTTTGTGTGAATTCATCTAAAGAATTGCTGCCAACTGTTAGTATGCAAACTAATAACAGCCATATAATAGTTGTTTCTATATATGAGTACATCTGAAACAATATAAGTGTATATTTTAATTATATTATTCATCAAATGTTTGTTATTTACTCTTACAAATAAACTTTTACAACATTTTAATTAAAATCTATGCAAAATATAATTTATATATTTTAGAAAATCATTGATAAAAATTAATTATTGTTGCAAAAATTATTTTGTTAGCATACTATATCCATATAATTTTTGTTGAACTTTTTTTGTTTGTTTGTTAATAATTAGGTTCATAAATAAAGTTAAATATTCAATATAATTCTATATACTAACTAATGCTAGTATTAAATATTGAGACATTGTATTTGATTAAACTTTAATTAGTCTTAGACCAGATCCCAAAAGATTTTTTTATACAAAATGTATGTAACTGTTAATCTATTCTATTATACTGTATATAGGGTTCGGGCAAATTCCTTCCCTCGTTTTTTATTATCCAAAAGTTCCCTATTTTTTCTGCTCACTGGGAATTTCTAAGGAATCTATTTCCTTGTGCTACAACCTATTGAACTCTAAACAACAATTTTTATTACAAGATTTAATTAACAAATGTTGTATTAAACTGTATTTTGAGTGTTATTGTTAAATATTTTAATGAAATTTTATGTAAAAAATTAAGTTTTAGTATTATTTATTTTAGAAATATGAAATATATTTTCCTTTCTAACAAGATATGAAGGGAAAATAAAATATTTTCCCTATTTTCCTGGAAAATTAGAGGGATTTTATTAGGGAACTTCCTTTCAAGCTGCCCGAACTCTAAGAGTATAAGAAAAACTAATCTAAATCTTTATTTTGCTTAAGTTTTAAAAAAAATTAATTTATTTTAGATTAAATAATTTATTTTCATAAATTATAATAATTATATTAAAGCAGTACTATACTACCGGTATATATTTAATATTATACTGTTATAATCAGCGTTAAGCAAGGTTTTGGATTTTAGAGGGGGGTAGACCGGGGTAAAATTTACTAAATTCTCGAAAAATCTTGGTGGGGGTATTGGGTGGGGTAAGATTTTTATTGCATTTTTAAACGGCAATTTTTTCAAAAATCCAAAATCAAGGGGGGTCAAGAGAAAATTCCCTAAAAATTCCTTAAGTTCCCGAATATTCCCATGTAAATTCAATAAAATTCCCATAAGTTCCCGTATAAATTCCCGGGAAAATAGGTAAAATTTCCAAAAATATAAAAAAACTTAAAAATTAACAAAAACTTAAATTTTAACAAAAAATAAAATAATGTATTTAAGATTTAAAAATAGTTGATAAAAGCATTAATGATACACTATGAGTTATTTTTAGTATTTTAATAATTTTTAACTTTTAACATAATTAATTTTTTAAATAATACTTAATGTTCATAGTTTATAGATATATAATTTTATTTTTTAATGTTATTTTTATATAAATACTGACTGAATACTAATTATTAAATTCAAAATTTTTAAGATTTTTTAGTTAAAATTTTTAAAATTATTAATAAAAACCTTGTAATATAAGTATTTATTGTTTTATTAACTTATTAAACTATCTTAAACTTATATTTAAGTTCTAATATGATTACTTTTTTCAACAAATAGGTAATTTTTAATTTTTTAGTTTAATATTTTAATTAAAATTATGTTATTTTTTCATGAGTTTTAACGTTATTTTAACTATTTTATTTATTTTTAAAATTAGAAAAACTAAAATTAAAATTTTTAAAAACTTCAAAAAATTTTCGGCGCCTGGTTATAATGTATTATACTGTAGACAATTCCATAATTGATATTATAAATTATAATATAATTATAATTTATAATACATAAAATGTTTGAGTTTGATATTTAATTAAAACATACAATAAGTATATTAAATAATAATAATAATAAATCCTCTTTTAAGTTAAATCTTTTTGAAATAAAAATCTAAAATAATTAAACATAAATTAAATAAAATGTATAAAATTTATAGTTTGAAATTCGCGTTATATATTAGATAATATATGTTAGCGTAAGATTCACGTTAAATAATATACTTAGAAGTGTAGTTAACATGTTTTTTAGATATAAATTATAAAATACAATAAATTATAAACCAGTTATCTGTATATTAATTAATTTTAATTTAATAAAACGTGCGATACATTCATAAGTCTAATAATATATCATAATAAATGTATACTTCTAATAATTTATTAAAATAATAATAATAGCAATTTATGAAAATTACTTTTAAGACAATTTAATTAAATTGCGATAAACAATTGAATTTAGTTGAATGAAATGCAAACATAATAAAATATAATTTAATATATCAACTAARTCTACTCAAACAGTTTATAATAGTTTCTATAAAATAACTTTTTAATGAAATTATGATTCATTATAAACATAAATTTATTTGTAAAATAAATATTTAAAAGTATTAGTTATTTCCCAGTAATTAAAAAATTACATTAAATATATAATTTATATTAAATTTAAATTATATTAATCCCAAACCTTTAAATAGTTTAATCAAATTATCCGAATTGATTTAGAAACTGCAATCAAGTTAACAAAGCAAACAAACAAATATTAAATAAAATATATTATAAGATATATTACACACATAACTACTGTTTAAGACCTAATCCAATGTTATCTCATATATAGTAACTCTGTTTTTATATAATAAACTTTAAGATGTATGAGAGTGTGTGCACTGAAAGCAATTGTCTATTGGATCCCATAATCAGCTCAATTCACAACTGACTCTATATTTTTAAATCTTAATTTTATTTATTCATTTATAAAACTCAATCTGTATTTTTAGTCGAAATATAAGTTAATAATTGTTTTATAGTATTGATATCAATGTACAAATTGAATAATTTAATAAATTAAAAAAAAAACTTAACAAACATTTCGATAATTTCAATTACATAACATTTGGAGTCATACCTTAAAAATAATGTTTTTTCATGTCATCAGTTGGTTAAATGTTTGGTCAGTGAGATCTTATGAACCAAATATTGCTAAATAGTATGGAAATTGGTATTTATATGTAGTTTATAGAAATAACAATTTTCTAAATTTTTTATGACAATGTAATTTAATATTACGAAACTAAAACAATGTTTAATTAAATACAGTATAAAAGCAATGAAAGCTATAATTATAGGTATGAAGGCGTCAACTGTTTAATATATTAGCAATTTGTTAAATATTTAGTATTTTAACTCTAAAATTTATTCATTAATTAAAATTATTGTAACCTATATAAATATAACTTTATTATTAAAACTTAAAATTTTTATTGTATTGTAACGAGTAACTGATTTAATAATTTAACTTTTATTTAAATGTCTAATTTTATTGAAAAAAATAATTATTAATTTTTATAATCTAATTAAAATGCAAATAAGACAAAAAAATAAAAGCAGTAAAATTAAATAAAAATATAAAGTTTTAATTATGTGTATATATAATTTTATATTATTCTCAAATTCTCATTTATTAATATTTTTATTGTTATATTTTCAATTTAAATTTATTTAATTTTATGTGGATGATTGTGATTGCGTCAAATTGCAATTGCAGTTTGTGAAGAAATATGTGATGAAATTTACAATGTAGAGTATCTTGGTAAATTATAAAGCTTTTAATTGTAATTTAATAGTAAACTTATAAATTATTAATTTGYAATATGCAATCTTTATAATTACTGATGATTTTTAAAGGCAATACATTAAAAATTATTTAATAGTATACTATATTTACTGATGATTTGATAGGACGGTTTTTACCCATTAAACTTACAATTTTCACATATATTGTTATTATAAAACTTATTATAATTATTGATGCAATTATTTGTTACATTAATACTAATTTTGTTGATTTTTTAAAGTTTTATAAAAAATATTTTCTAAATAAAACTCGACATACTGTACATTGAATTTCTAAATATTGTTAAACAATTATTTTTTAAGCAAAATCCATTATTTTTTTATCAATAATGAGTTATTATTACATAAACACAAAATATTGTCTATTACATACAGAATAATAATATTGTATTAATATTAATATATAATTAAGTATAATAGATGAAAATATACAATATATTGAAATATATAGTACCGGTATATTATATTGTATCAATAACATTTATCAATAATGAATATAATAGAGTAAAAATGATATAATAGACAATAATACAATTATAATACAATTATAATACAATTATAATATACCAGTAATACACGTATAATAGAATATAATAAAGAATTATTAGTACTATATATATGATAGTAAAGAAAATATAATTTTTTATATAAGTAATTATTTTAGAGAAATCATAAATTAATTATAAAAATTTTAATTTTCTCTCTATTTGTGGCTTAACCGGCAAACTTGTAGACAAACTGCGGCACAATTAATACGATTGATATCACTATTTGTAGTCTATTGTTTAGTAAGAGGGAGGACTTAATTACAAAATTATAACTATAACATAATAATTATTGATATATTGACCAACAATTGGCAACAATTTGAGACTCTATTAGCAAATGCAGAGCTCATATCTCAATTAAAGTTGACTTTTTGTGACTTTTTTCACAAACTTAAGTCTTCCTCAGTCTATAATATGTTATCATCTGTAAGGCCTGAACGGACCCAAATAATTATATGACTAAATCTTATTATTTTTTATATTTTTAAAATACATTTAATCTTTTATTTGATAACATTTGCAACAAACGGTATGTCGTGTTCTGGATGTGATTAATAAATTAAGAAAGTTCTGCCAATATTTACATTAAAATATTTTTTTTTTAWAAATTTTGTTAACTCTTTTTAAAAGTAATTTCTTATTTTGTATTTGTTGTGTTATGTTTATATTATTTATTTAATAAATAAATTATTAACATCATTATAATATAAAACATATATTTTATCTTTTCTAAATAAAAACTAGAAAATAATGTTTTTAAAATTTTATTAAATAATAAATAATAAAAAACTATGTTTAGAAATATTTAAACTCAAAATAATTATTTTATTATATCTATAATTTAAAAGAATAATTAGAATATTATTTAAAATACATTTAATTAAATATAAATTTTTAAAAATCTAGTTTTCTACGACTTTTATTGTTAAAATTAAGAACTTTAGACTAACACTAAAAATAGGATTTATAGAAACAAAAAGTATCTTATTTTGTTGGGTTATATATATATTGAGATTCCTCTAAAAAAACGTTTTTCCATGACTTCACACAAACCAAAATCAAAGTGAATTTTACTATAAAGTTATGTTTTTGGTTATGATATATTGTATGACCATGGTCGAATATAATTATTATAATAGTAATTAATWGATTATACATGTAACGGTTACATACATTTATAAAAAAATCATATAAGTGTAAATTGTATCCAATAATTAATATTAACCAAATAGTTAAATACGATTTTCTTATAAAACAAATTTATAATTTGAATAAAAAATATACCAATAATTTAAGTATACTAAAAGTATTGTAAGTATTGTAAGTATTTATATTTATGTATTTGTGTAGAGTTTCTCTATTTATATTTAATGTTATTTTATAAGAATATTAATATAATATGATATGATATACTTAAACCAGAGATGAAAATTGTAGTACAAAATAATGTTGACTAACAATAAAATACTGTATAATGATTATTACAGTCGACATCAAGACATATAAAACTAAAAAATGTTTTAAATATTGATAACAATTTGTGTTGAGGTCTTCTCTCACGTCTTCACTCGACATTTATATTACTTATTTTGTTTCAAATCATATATTATTTAAATTTCTATATTTTTTCTAAATTATATTTTATGGTTAAACATAAAATTTTTAAAAATTATTATTATTATTATTATAAAATCTTTATTCACTTTTTACATTAAAACTTATGTAATATTCTAAAATAATAATTATTATTATGAGTGTGGGTTAGATACAAATGTGACAATTGATGATCAAAACTATAGTTAAAAGTAATTATTATTTATTACTAATTGATTGATCCATTTCTGTAATAGGAATGTCCAGTTCACGGGAAACGGCTTCAAAAAATCAATAGTAGATAAATCATTGATACTATACATACAAAACATACAATATATTAAAGTAACAAATTATTATTAAGTTTTTTTTACTTTTTKATCTAAATTACAATTTCTTCACTCTTATGATAAAAATTATTATTATTAATATAAAATTGTTAAATTATTAATTTATTAATACATATTTATCTTACTACAGATATAATACTGTTTATAAATTACTCTATACGATGTGTATATTCTGTATATTCTGGTAATAAAATAATTGATTGATAAATATTAGATATGAAATAATGAAAAAAGTTATTAATATTAAAACACGTTTTACTTGAATATTGCAGTGTTTAGTGTATTGAGTGTCGAAACTATAGACTCTGTAATAAACAGTATTATAGACTTCAGTAATGTTCGTAATGTTTGACACATAGAAAGTAAACAAACGATTGCATCGATTAATCAACTGATTTGACATCAAATAAGTGAATGAATGGATACTTTATGGCGATTGGCCTCTGGATCTACTGTTGAAGAGTTTGCTAAAGATGTCTATATTAAGAGTAATATAACCATTGAATTAAGCAAAACAATTAAGTCTATACTGAAAGAGTTGGCCCAAAGTGACACCAAATTAGTAATTGAGAGCCGACTGGTTGTCGACTTGTGTCACATCTTTGAGGCCATACTTCTTCACGGACTCAAACAAAAATTAAGTACTCGTATGACAAATGTCTTCATGAGTCTGTCGCAAACAAAGAGTTTTGGTCTCGATTTCTGGACTGTTATATTGATTTTATGTCACAATGAAGTATCCAAAACTGTAAGCGATTTGTCAAATGTGTCGACAGATATCGGTCGGTGTCGGGCATGGGTTCGGTCGGCACTTAGCGATGGACTTATATTAAGCTATTTCGACGCCTTAACTGCCGACTCATCCCTATTACATGGTTTTTATCRGTCTTCGGCATACATTCGTGATAAAGAGCACACAGATATTGTCAAACGCTTACTCATCGGTCTCGAGGATTATGTCTTTAATTTAACCATTGATTGTTCAACATTTGATTCATGGGATGAACAAACTTTAAGATTAATTGGTGTTAATTACATGGAGACTGAGCCTCAACCCGTCATAACCGCTACCGATGCTATTGATCTCATTGACAACTTTGAAAGTAATCAAAAAGTAAAATATATTTTAGTTTTTACTGTTTTTGTTGTCAATTGTTTAATAAAAATTTTGTTTTTATAATTAGTCAACGATTAATGAAATAGGAAAACAAGATGAAGAAGAAGAAGACATAGAACCGACAAATAATGAAGATTTCATTTCAGACAATACTTCTGAAACAATTTCAGATATCAAGTCTAACAATTCAAACGAAGCGTTTGATGAAATTGTTGGCAAATTAGAGTTGGAGTCTACAAAATGTTTGGACTCAGAAGTTATTGAAAGCGGTAACAGTTTGAATCGTATGTCCGGTTGGAGTACAACTCCTCACAAATCAGACGAAATGTCGGCAATTCGTGACCAAAGCTATGATGATATTCTTCAAAGTTATTCAACTCAAGCGGTTCTTTCCAGTACTCCTGATATTCGTGACTTTACTATTACTATKGACTTCGAGAATCCAACGAATAGACCTCATCTAACAAAAACAATATCAATGCTTTCAACCAAAGAGAAATCTCCAACGGATTCATTGATTTCTGAAACAGATTTTGAAGTAATACCAAAAAGTGTTGTTTTAAATAATTCAGATCCGGAAACAAAGAAATTTTTAGACCAATTAACCCGATTGGCTAATGAGTGTGGACTCGATGAACAGGATTATAAGTGTATTGCTTGTGGTCGACCTATTGGTATGATTTATGGTAAATCCCGTTTATGTTATTTTGATGGATATCATTATTGTCTGGATTGTCATTCAAATGATGAGTCACTAATCCCCGCCCGAGTCATACATAACTGGAATTTTGGAAAATATCCGGTCGCTAAACGAAATAAGCATTTCCTGGTGTCGACCGAATTGGAACCGTTATTTGACATTAAAATATTGAGTCCATTATTATATTCAATAGTCGGAGAGATGAAAGAAGCACTTGATTTGCGGACTCAACTCTTTTATTTGCACGCATACCTGTTTACTTGTCAGGAAAATATAGCCATTGAAATGCGCAAAACTGTTTGGCCGCGGGAACACCTCTTTCAGCACATCCATCTCTATTCGGTTGCTGACCTCTTTCAGGTATTGATGGCATATATAATGTTTAAATAAGTTTATACTATCGATAATTGTATATTATATTTGTTTAATTGTTTTCAGGTTCAAAACAATCAGTTGTCACAAACTTTGACAAAAGTGATATCATTTGCAAAAAAACATGTCTTGTCGTGTCCTTTATGTACACTAAAAGGATATTTCTGTGAAATTTGCAATTCTTCACAAATTTTATATCCATTTAATACTGAATCAACAAAAAGATGTGAGAAATGTAAAACAGTGTTTCATTTACACTGTTTTAATGAAAGGTATGACAAAACACGGTGTCCTAAATGTCTTAGAATTGAAAAGAGGGAACAACAGTCACTTCTTGCAGATAATTATCAGTTAAATTAAATATTTTTTTATAGTTTTAATATCTAATATTTGTTAATAAAATAATTACTTAAATTATGGATAAGAACTAAGACTAATAAAACTATTTATTAAATGAAATACTATTTTATTGAATATATTTTAATCAATTATTACATTTGTATAAATTATTAATACAATATTATATGATTTGATGTATTGTTATTAACAAATACATAAAAGTATTGTATTATATAATAAAAGAAGAATAAAGATGTTATTATTATTAATATTATTATTAATATTATTATTAATATTATTATTAATATTATTATTAATATTATTATTAATATTATTATTATTATTATTATTATTATTATTATTATTATTATTATTATTATTATTATTATTATTATTATTATTATTAATATTATTATTGTATTGCATTTTATTTTATTTTTCTTACTATTAATATTTTGTTATATTAAATATAATAAAAATTTTGTTTTTAATTTTATGAAAAAAACTTTATAATGTTTTATGTTAAGTGAAGTAATTCAATTTATTTAATTACATTTTTAAATAATCAACATTTTAAAAGGCTTTGTAACATATGTTGGTAACTGTATAATAGAAATATTTAGTTTATTTTGAGTATAAGATAATACTAATCTAATTGGTATTTTTAATTTATGTTTAGACATTCATATTGTTTATATTAGATTAATAAACGTATAAAACATAAACATGAAAATATAAAGATTTACTGTACAGTACAACATAATTATTAATAAAATAGAAATGTTAATTAAATTTTATTAATTTTTATTATTTATAAAATTATATACGATTTTTATCAGAATTTTATTTAAAATCAAATATTGAAATGAAATACAAAACTGATAAATAATGTGTAAGATTGTAGGGAAAGGCCTTTGTGTTTGTCATTTGAAATAATGACATCTAAGTAAAGATCTTTAGACTCGTTTCAACTCTCTCTCTCTCTCTCTCTCTCTCTCTCTCTCTCTCTCTCTCTCTCTCTCTCTCTCTCTCTCTCTCTCTCTCTCTCTCTCTCTCTCTCTCTCTTTCTCTCTTTACTCTGTTTTGCCTCTTTTCTTGACAACTCTTCAGGCGTGGTCTATATTCTGTATACATTTGAATGCATTTATTTATATCTTACAACTGATTACAGTTCAGCCAAATGAAGGTTCTCTGAAACTGCTAATAACTGTTCAAATGACTGTCCCCTTCAAACACATGGGTTTCCTATTACACACATTAAGTTTGAGAGGCTGTAAGGCATAGAGAAATTGTACAGTAATTCACAATTGACTCTCAGAATAAAGAGAGAAAAATATAGAAAGTTTAGTTTATGAGGGAGTAGTTGTTGAGGCAATTGATTTAAGACAGACTAATATTACAATCATTTATGTGTTTATAAATATAGACAAACATTTAAAATGAGAGACAATGCAATAGTCAGGTGTACTAAGCATTGGCCTCTGGTCTTACTAATAGCAGTTTGTCTGAATCCATACGATTTAGTTTCGGCTCAAGTGTTGAATCCGCCGTATTTTAACTTAGCTGAGGGAAGAAATGTATGTCTTATCCATTACTCCTTAAATTTTCATATAAATTATAGTTATATTAAAAAAAAGTTAATTATATTAAAATAATTTTTAAGATCACAGCGACAGCAACTTGTGGTGAGAATCTTCCCGAACCTGAACTCTACTGCAAACTTGTCGGATCCAATTGGTTGGACAAACCCGATAACGTTCACATCAATTTAATTCAGGTTTTTATTTCTACTAATTATTATAAACTAGATTTTACTTATATAGTTATAGTATTATATTAAGTTATTATATAATACATTAATAAGAAATTACAATAAAAGTTAAAATTTTAATGAAATCATGAAATCAGGGACAAGCCTGTGACTACTGTGATCCTAATGATCAAAACAGAGCTCATCCGCCACAATATGCCATCGATGGTACCGAACGTTGGTGGCAAAGCCCACCTCTTTCTCGAGGAACTAAATATAATGAAGTGAATCTTACCATTGATTTGGGACAAGTATGTTATGCTTTATAATCATATACTTTATTTTAATTATTAAAATAAATCAATAGCATTATAATTATTAGTTTTAAAAAATTCATTTTTTTCTCTACAATTTAATTATTTTCTATAAAATATATGATATTAGCAATACATTTGCTGCACATATGATATTACATTATAAATTATAATTTATAATATACTGTATTTATGATATATGCACTGTATGTATAAGTTCAATATAATGCACTGAAATATTAATATATTATTTAAGAAACCAATTGTGATAAATATTTTCTATTAACCATTTTTAATGAATTATTTAATACATAGTTATTATAAGTAGTGTTGGTAATTTTTCGCAATTCAATTTTCGATTGCCGCAATTGCGGAAAATTGCGTGAAATTGCTTGAAATTGCGCGCATGAGGGAATGTATAAAAATTAACTTTGAAAACGTTAAAAATTTTGTTTACAATAGATTAAGAGAATTTACTAATTTATTATTATTTTTACATGGTTTTTAGATGGCAACATTTTATGATAAAATAATTAAATTTTATATAATTAATTTATGTTTTTATTCATATTGCTTTGCCATTTAAATTTTGTTAATTTTTTAAAAATTATAAATTGTTCTATTTTACAATTGCGATTTTCGCAATCGAGCTTTTTGCAATTGCGGCAATTTCACGCAATTTCCGAGCAATGCAATTGCGCATTTTGCAATCGGTACATCACTAATTATAAGACATTTATTTGACAACATAAAGATTTAAATTATAAATATGATATTATACAGATTACAGATTATAATTTTTATATTAAATAAATAGCATATGCTATACATTATATATGCAATATACTGTATATAGTATATACAGTATTGTACTGTATATACTGTAATATATGTATGTTTATAAACTTTATTTTAAACATATAATATAATATTAAACAAGAGATAAAATGGTATGAGCTGGAGTATCATAATTATAAATATGATAGAATTGCTCCAGATCATCCTATATTTTAAGATATTTAGCTAAATATTTTTTAAAAATTATACATTGATAGTCTTTATAAAATGGTTTGAAGTACTGTATATCAATTTACAGAGAAATGTAAAAATGCTATATATTTAGTGATTATTTCAAAATATATTGTTTTAATACAATTCCATTATATTAATAATTATGATTATCCAGTACTAACCCATCTATCATTGCTTTATACAATATTGAGAAATTCCAGTTTAACTTTTTATTTTTAAAAAAAACTGTTTGCTGAATAAGATAATGTATTATAATTTTATTAATATAATTAAACTTTATAGATTATTAAGATAAGCAATATAATGTAAAATACAATATATATAATTACATTTAAGATAAATAATTTAATTATTTTAAATATTATTATTAAAATGGTATAAATACTAATTTAACAAAATTTATATATGATATAATCATATAGCTTACATTTAGTAATTATATTTTACTATATTTAAAAAAATTTGCTAATAATTTAATTAGATTTATATACATAAAAAAAATTAATATCAATGGTATTCGAACATACAATTAAAATCATAACAAACATTGATTGTTAATTTTACTTTAATAGCTTAAAACTATTTGATTAATTTTAATAATTTACTTCTAATAATAATAGTCAACCAAAAAAGTTAATACCACATAATAATCGCAACTATTATGATAAACTTGATGTCACACAAGTGTAATCTGTATTGAAGTTATAAAATTACTTAATTTGATTTTCAATTTAACTTTCAAATTGACTTAATAAATAAATTTGATTTTTATTTTGTAACTTTTTATATATTATAAAATACTTTATTAATTTAAACTAATTTAAAAATTTCATATATTATATACAATATATAAATTCAATTTTTTAATCAAATTAAAATCTAGTAACTATTTCTGTAAAGTAATAATTTCAAAGTGGTTTGTTTAAAATTTAAAGATAGTATTGAAAACTTGTATAATTAATCATGAGTTAAATTATTAATATAAAAATTGTTATTTAATCACTTTAATTGAATGCTTACTACAGTATAATCTACTGTTACCGGTATATTAAACAACGTTATGTATAAAATTACTGTAATTTGTGTTATCATATATAAAATATTTATATTACTGAAGTACTTTAGTATTGTATTAAATGCGATAAAATCTGAAAAACTACTTACTATTTAATTGCTATAATTACTATATAATTATACTATAAATCCTTTTATTGCTATAGTTTTTCATTTAATAAATAAATCGGAAATATCCTAAAATCTATATTTCCAATCAAATATGTATTCTGCAAATACTGTATATTAAATATTCAATAGTTTAGTTATAATTTGATATTTAATAAAATTATATCATTAATAATTTAATAATTATTAGTTATTAAAAAAGATAATATTATAATTAGTCTTTGTTTTATTTTAATAACAACTTATAAACAACTTATACAATATATTATATGAAAACTAAGAATTATATACAATATTAAATTTTTTTTAAATAAAAAATAGATTAAAATTTTATTATAATTACTGTACATGCATAAAAATTATTAATTTTAATTATCTACGTAAAAATTTTTAAAAATTTTTATTAAAATTTAAATTATTGAGATACCGCACTTCCCGATGTTAGCATATCGGTGCCATTTGACACAACTACAGTATTTATTTTACACTATAGCATTATATGGCTCTATCTTAAAATCAGACCCGTATCAGACTCCCGACTCATGGTTTTTTGAATATCTAATAAACCATATTTTCAATATAAAAATGAATACCCTTAATGTTAATAATTTTTAGCTCTTTTAACGGGTCTGATGCTATTATCTGGTCAATCATAAGAGTAAATAAAAATGATAAATTATAAATATATTCAGTATAAAATTGTTTATAACATTTGCCACTTTTGGTCATTTTTATATTAAAAATATGGTTTACTAGATATTCAAAACAAAAAAATTACGAGTCAGGAGTCTTATGCGGGTTCTGATAGTAAGATAGATTCCATTAAATTAGTCCCAAAATCCATAGTTTGCAATAATATATATTTTTTCAGTTCTAATACAGAGAGAAGTTATTTTCTAAAAACTATTTTAGTCTATTTTGTTACTAATTATATAATAATTATAATATAAAATGTATTATATATAGGAATTTAATGTGGCTTATGTATTTATTAAAATGGGAAACTCTCCCCGACCCGGGGTCTGGGCCTTAGAAAAGTCAAGAGATTATGGAAAAGTATTCACTCCGTGGCAATACTTTGCTGATACACCTGGAGGTGACAATTAGTTTAAATTTAAAATAGTTATTAAAAACAATTTACTTTTTTATTATATAGATTGTGTTCATTATTTTGGTCCACAATCTTTGGGTCCAATTATAAGAGATGATTCTGTATTATGTGAAACAAGATTTTCTAAAGTAGTTCCTCTTGAAGGCGGAGAAGTAATAATTAAAGAATAAAAATATTTAAAATTATAGTCATAACAAATATATTAAAATAGATAGCAATATCATTGTTAAACGGAAGACCCAGTGCTGACAACTTTTCTATATCAGCGGCACTTCAAGAGTGGAGTATTGCCACAAACATTAGACTTCGTCTGTTGAGACCAAAGACAACTTTAGGGCATCTTTTATCAGTTGCCAGACAAGACCCGACTGTTACCAGAAGAGTAAGTTTTACAGAAAAAAAATAATTTAAAAATATTAACGATTGACACACTAATCAACTTATAAATATCTTTTATAGTATTTCTATTCAATAAAAGATATTAATATCGGTGGCCGTTGTGTATGCAATGGTCACGCGTCCCAATGCGACCAAATAGATCCCAATGATCCTTACCGAGTAAGTTGCAAATGCACGCGAAACACGTGCGGCAATCAATGTGAACGCTGTTGTCCCGGATATCAGCAAAAAGAGTGGAGAAGAGCTACTATAAACAATCCATATGTTTGTGAAAAATGCAATTGTTTTGATCATTCAGAGGAATGTCTTTATGATAAACAAATTGATAATAAAAAACTTAGTCTCGATATAAATGGCAAATACAATGGCGGAGGTGTTTGTGTCAATTGTCGTCATAATACTGAAGGTATTAATTGTAATAAATGTAAATCCGGTTTCTTTCGGCCAAGAAATAAACCCCTCGACGCTCCTGATGTTTGTCAGGTATTATAATATTTATTATTTATTGTATCTGTATTTATAAATTAATTATATTGTTAGCCATGTAATTGCAATACTCATTATTCAACTGGCAATTGTACAGAAGGCAATGGACAGGTATGAATATTTTTTCAAACAAATTCAATGTATTTCTTGTATAGTAACTAATCAACTAATGAATAACATTTATAGTGTGAATGTAAACCAAACTTTTTATCACCACTTTGTGATCAATGCAGGTATTAATATATCAATAAAATAATTGTTAAACATATTTTATAACATAATGTAAGCTAATTATATAAATTATTTAAAAAATAAGTTATGGCTATTTTGGATATCCTGAATGCCAAGAGTGTCATTGTTTTCCAAACGGAACGCACGGAAATGTATGCGAGTTGAGGACGGGTTCGTGTCCTTGCATTGAGGGTATGAATCAATATATTATTAATTTATTATAAATCTATTAAAAAAATATATAATAATTTTTAAAATTAATAATTAAGTAATTAATTAAATAATTGATAAGCTATATAGATAGTTAAAATATATTGTATAATTAAAGGATATACCGGTAAATTTTGTAAACAATGTGCTCAAAGATATTATGGTTTTCCAAAATGTGAGTCCTGTAACTGTCACACCACTCATTCGGTTACCGATGTTTGCGACATAAGCTCCGGTCAGTGTCAGTGCGCCCATAGTTTTGGTGGCAGAAAATGTAATGAATGCGATGTTGGCTTTTATGATTACCCTCGATGTCAATTCTGTTCATGTGATCCGAGCGGAACAACAGACAAAATATGTAACAATCAAACGGGTATTTGTTTTTGTAAAGAAGGATATGCTGGCAATCGTTGCGATACTTGTGCTCCAAATTATTATGGATTTCCCAATTGTACGAAATGTATGTGCGATGAAATTGGGTCTTATAGTCAGTTATGCGATATGTATGGTAAATGTGTTTGTCGTCAAAACTTTGGAGGTCTTAAGTGCGGTGACTGTTCTCCCGGTTAGTTAATTATTGTATTCATATATAATAATAATAATAATAAAATATAAAAATATTTATTTATTTATTATTATAAATACTATTATAGGATTTTATAAATATCCTGAATGTTTGCCGTGTAGTTGTGATTATAGGGGCAGTAATGGTGTGTCTTGTGATTACGCCGGCAGATGTATTTGTGGCGACAGATTTGAAGGTAAATTAATAATAATATATTTTATGTATATTTAATTGATAAATATCTTTAAATATTGACAATAATTGACAATAATTGACAATAATTGACAACAATTATATTATTTTTATTATAAACAGGAGAGAAATGTGACAAATGTAGAGAAGGGTATTATAACTTTCCTCGATGTGAAGGTTTGTATATTTTTTATAATTCTATATTATAATTATAAAATTGATTATATATATATATATATATATATATATAGAGTGTAATTGCAATCCGGCCGGTTTGGTGGCACAGTTTGGTGGATGTGATAAAGTACAGGAGGGAAAGTTATGTGAATGCAAACAACGAGTTACGGGACGTATTTGTAATCAATGTAAGGATTTGTATTGGAATTTGCAAATAACTAATCCATTTGGTTGTGAGGACTGCTTATGTAATCCAAACGGTACTATCAATGGTATTGGTTTATGTAATACTGAATCGGGAGAGTGTCTCTGCAAACACAATGTTAAGGTATATATTGATTTTTAAATAATAAATTTCATATGAATTATATATAAATATATAACTTATCATTTTTGATGATAAAGGGGAGAGTATGTGATTCTTGTAAAGATGAAACATATGGACTGACATCAGGAAATGTATTTGGATGTGTCAGGTAATCGACATTACATTTGCATAGTAGACAACCTTTAGTTTTATATAAATGTTAATTAAATATTTAGCTGTAATTGTGATTTCGGTGGTTCCATTCATTCCGTATGTAATAAGACAACCGGTCAATGCTATTGTCGTCCCCGAGTTAAAGGTCAAAGATGTACTGAGCCCATGGATGTCATGTATTTCCCGACTTTCTATCAATTTCAATATGAAGCTGAGGACTGGCGCAATCCAACCGGATCTCCGGCCAGATTTGGTTACGATTCTGACTTATTTAACGACTTTTCGTGGAGAGGTTACGCCACCTTCACTGACCTCCAGAGAGAAATCATTACAAATATAACAATACAAAAGCCAAGTATTTATCGCTTAATAATTCGTTTTGTAAACTTAAACAGTGAGACAATCAGTGGTACACTTACGCTGACTCCGTCTGAATCATTCGGTGAAACACAACAGAGCAGTTCCATTCATTTTGAACCGACTAAAGACCCCAAACTCGTGTATGTTGTCGGCAAACCCGGACTCATAATCCCTCCATTTGTTCTCAATCCGGGCCAATGGGGAGCGTCACTCAAAGTCGATAAAAATGATTTACTCGTCGATTATATAGTTCTTATTCCTCAATCATATTTTGATCAAACAATATATGAGGAGAGGACGACTGCCCCGTGCAAACTCAATGCTCAACACAATTGTCGACACTATGCTTACCCTGATTTTCCAGAGGAAAGTTCAATAGTTAGGGCACAGTCAGCATTTATAATGGATGGTGACATCCGATCAAATGCTGAAGTACTAAACGATTTGGATGTTATTAAAAAACTCAATTACGAAGGAAATATGGCTCGTCTAGACTCAAGACAATCAAAAATTTTTGTTGATTTGGCTGTCAATAAACCGGACTCTTATGCCTTTATAATCAGTTATCACAACCCATTCAGTGACGATATTAAAAATAATGAATCGTCTAAACTGACTCTCGAAATCAAGAATACCAATGGAGATATCATTAAGACATCTAATGTTATGTTAGGCAACTGTCCCTATAGTTTCATTTGCAGACAAATAGTAACAGAGCCGAGCGGACAAATTGGCACTCATGAGTTAGACTCAAGTTTTATACAGTTGTCATTAGGTTTACCCAATAGTTTAGCTGAAGATCGTATCATTATTTTAGATGCAATTGCAGCGGTTCCTTATCCTAATAACTGGAGAATTGATAATTTGATTCCAAGATTTGTTTGCATTAAAAAGAATGGACAATGTATTGAATCCACTTTTTCAGTGGTTCCCGAAGCTAACAAAGTTTGTTATATTTTTTTATCTAATTTTATGTTTTGATATTTTCTAATACATTGCAAAATTTCAGATCGAGTTAGAAAAAGATCAAAACAAAGATCGCATATCCAGTAGATTACCATTTGAATCAAAAGATTCATTAGATCCCAGTCTTCCCAAATTAATATATTTGGAGGAAAAAGAGCCGACAGTAGATATCAGAGGAACAGTACCTCGAAAAGGCTTATATACATTTGTATTGCATTATTTTCAACCGGAAAATCCAGGCTTTGAATTGGAAGCACTCATTCAAAATGGTTTGTTTCATAACGGAATCATTTCGGTAGATCACTGTCCGAGTCGTACCGGTTGTCGATCACTGATTAGACAGCGCGACACAAATGTCACCTTTTTTCAAGTAGAGGATAGTTTTATGTTAACACTGAAAGCTCCCGAAAGAAAAAACATTTGGGTTGACTATATTCTAGCCGTTCCCGTTGATCACTACGATCCGGCCATTCTTGAAGTCAAACCTGAAGACAAATCCACTAATTTGATGTCTCAATGTTTTAAAAATTCATTTTATATTAACACTGATGAAGCAAATGGTCAGTTGGAAAAATTATAGATTAATTTTAATTTATAATTGTATTTACTTTTATTTTGCAGAAGCGTGTCGTGCATTCATTTTCTCGATAACTGTTGATTTCAATGGAGGAGCCCTTCCCTGTCAATGCAATACTGATGGTTCCCATGATTTTAAAGTATGCAAAATACTAAACTTAAGTGTCAAACATTAAGTAATAATATTTTTAAAAATTATTATATTCAGTGCAAACATTTTGGTGGTCAATGTAATTGTAAACCCAATGTTATTGGCCGAACGTGTTCGCGATGTAAGACTGGATTTTATGGCTTTCCTCAATGCAAACCATGCAATTGTCCGTCAACTGCAGTTTGTCATCAGGTGACCGGTGAATGTATTTGTCCTAGGTACTAATCCAAACAGTTTTATTATAAATTATAACTTATAATAATTAAATTTAATTAAAATTTGATGTTTATCTCAGAGGAGTTACTGGAGAGCAATGTAATAAATGTCTTCCTCTGACTTTCGGATTTGATCCCATCATTGGGTGTGTGGACTGTGATTGTGAACCATATGGTGTCCAAAATCGTGACTTACAATGTGATGTTGAAACTGGTAATTGTAATTGTAAGTCAAATATAATTGGTCGCAATTGTAATAAATGCAAATCAGGTTTGTTAGTCATTTAACTGTTTATTATTAAAATTTACAAATAATTGATAATTACAGTAAACTTTGATTATAATAGGATTTTGGTCTTACCCTCATTGTCAGTACTGTAGATGCGATCTCAGAGGTATTAATAAAGTTTTAATTAATCGGTAGTTTTTAAAATTATTGAAAACTTTTGAACCTAAAAAATAGGTACCACTGATGATATATGTGATCAAAGCACATCCCGATGTTTTTGTAAAGATAATGTCGATGGAGAGTATTGTGATCAGTGTAAACCAGACTCATATTATTTAGAGGAGAATAATGTGTTGGGATGTACTAAATGCTTCTGTTTTGGTACAACCGATCGATGCACCAGTTCTTCACTAAAAACTATTCAATTGAGTGCAATGGATGTCGGATGGAAAGTCGTCACACTTTTATTCACCGAAAAATATATGAGAGTTCACTCAGTTAGTGATCAACACGCAAGCGTTGAATACGAATCGGGAAAAATAAAATCAAAACAACCGACGGTAACGGCATCGGACACGACTGACAATATTATTCTTTATTATTCATTACCCGAACAATACTTAGGAAATAGAATTACCTCTTATGGAGGCCTTCTTCGCTATAAAATCTTAAATAATAATAAAAACAGTTTGGATTCGACCAGCTTTGGTGCCGCAGATTTAGTTCTTGAGGGAAACAATATCACTATAATCCATGAGCACATCGAACAGCCCGCCATTGATGAGACATTCGAGTTTAGGGCCAAAATCATTGAAAGAGAATTTCGACATTTGAATGGACACGACGTGAGTCGGGAACAGCTGATGATGGTTTTGGTCAAATTGAAAGCTATTTATATTAGAGGAACTTATTTTGATCCCATTTCTGAAATAGTTTTAGAAAATGTTTTATTGGATAAATCGGTTGACGGAAAACGTATGAGTGATGCTCCGCGTTCTTTCACTGTATGACTTTATATCAAACTATTTCAATACTAATAGGATTTTCATTGCTTTACATTTACTTATAGGTCGAACAATGCATTTGTCCACCAAATTATAAGGGAACATCTTGTGAAGTATTATTTAACATTAAATATCTATTTTTTTATAAATATCTAAATAAATTGATTGCTAATTTAAATAGGACTGCGCATCTGGATATTACAGAGCACCCACTGGTCCTTATTTAGGCTTTTGTGTCCCCTGTTCCTGTAATGGAAAATCTAATGAATGCGATCCCATTACCGGCAAATGTTTTAATTGTCAATTTAATACAGAGGGTGATCATTGCGAGAGATGTATTTCAGGTTATCATGGAGATGCTACTAGAGGTACTCCCTATGATTGTCTCATATGTGCCTGTCCACTACCATTAGCTAGTAATAAGTAAGTTATAATTGGTATAACTAATATTAATTTAAACATTTTCTAAAATTGTTTTTAATTTAAATATTTATAATTTTAAAAGTTTTGCCACGAGTTGCGAAGTGTCSCCAAATGGACTAGAAATTAGTTGTCAGTGTAATCAAGGTATATATATATATATACTGTATATATATATTATTTAATAATTTTATTAATTTCWTGTATTAAAAAAATATTTAAAGGTTATTATGGGACGCGATGTGATGTATGTGCTGCCGGACATTATGGTAGACCAGAAGTTATTGGTAGTAGTTGTCAATCGTGTAATTGCAGTGGAAATATAGATTATGAAGACCCGACAAGTTGTGAATCAACAACAGGTCAATGTCTTAAATGTTTGCATAACACGGGTGGCAGTGATTGTGAGAGATGTGTGAATGGATATTATGGCGATGCTATTCACACGAAAAACTGTTCCGAGTGTTTGTGCGATAACTGCGGTACTGATGTATGCAATCATTTGACGGGTCAGTGTCAATGTCGGACCAATGTTGTCGGTGATAATTGCGATCGCTGTGCACTCGATCACTGGGATTTCAAGTCATGTCAAGGCTGTCGTAAATGTTTGTGTCAAATTGGAGCCATTGGAACCAATTGTGATGATGAGACGGGACAATGTATGTGTAGGCCTGGAGTTACCGGCAAGAAATGCGAAATTTGTGAACCGGGATATTGGAAATACAGTCAATTTGGTTGTACATCATGTAATTGTGTCGATAAGTACTCTTATGGAGCTGTTTGTGATCAACAAACAGGACAATGTCAGTGTATGCCCGGTGTTATCGGTGACAAATGTGATAGTTGTCCTCACAGATGGGTTTTCATTCCAAAATCTGGATGTCATGAATGCGGTCTTTGTGTTCACGAGTTATTAGATGATACGGACGGTCTTCAACAACTGATTGATCCATTAAGACTTGAAATACAAGACACATCTTCATCAGTATTTGCTTACAGACGACTTAGTCATGTAAATAAGTCTTTGCTCAAGAATGAAGAGTTGGTCAATGAGATGAAGAAAAATCCTAAACAAATAAATTTGGTTCCGCTCTTCACAAAAGCTCAGAATCTCAACGATGAAGTCGACTCTTTGCTTAGTAAAGTAAGTTGTAATACATTTTACAATAATATACAATACATTATACTTTTATACATAATTTACATTTAAATAATTATTTTCAGAGCGATTCCACACTAAAACAAGTGGCAAAAGTTTTAGTCGACGCCTTAGCTTTAAGAGAGGACTCCATAACAAACGATAAACTTATCAGTGAATCAATTGTCAAGACATCTCTTGTTGTCGAAGATATTAAGAAACTGGAAGAAGGTTTTCGATTAGCATCCGTTCAGATCGGACAGAGTATTGATAGGAGAGTATCTGAAGCAGATTGGATGGCACAAGAAGTTAGGAACAGAACTTTTACAGAATCGCATAACAAATCTAAAGTCGAGTTAGAAGAAGCCAAACGTTTTCTTGAAAATATTGAAGTATTCATAGAGCCGGCGATATCAACCAAAAATCAAATCAATGTTACTCTTAATAATGTATTGAATGTCATTAAATTATTATCTGAATTAATGAACAAAAGTCATGACTCTCTCAAAATTATAGTCAAAGTTGAAGAACTTAATTCTCAAAGTCTTAATCGACAGTTTGATCGCTACCTTAACTCAATAAAGAGTGACAATGAAGACGTTCAACAAATGATAAGCAAAGCCAACGAATTACTCGATGACACTAAAAAGTCTTTAACTTCTTCTGAATCATTAATCATAGATTTAGCTCAAATGTCTCGCAGATTAAAAAGTGATACAACAAAATTCAATGAAACAATGATAAATAGACAATCAGAAGTGGATCAAATTCATCCTAAAGTATCAAACGCTGTATCGCACGCCTCATCTTTAAAGAAACAAAGTGAAGAATTGGAGCGAATGTTTTCAGACACAAGAAATAAAGCAACGGATCCATTAAAAGCAGCCAATGCTTACAATTCAATCGTAGACTTATTAGAAAATGCCACTAAAGGATCCAATTCTGCGATTGAAAATTCACAAAAAGTATCTACAGATTCAGCTCTTCGTGATTTACTTGAATATAAAACCAAAAGTCATGATTTGTCTAACGATTCACAAAATTTAAACAGAAAAGTTAATACAGAATTAGCTGATCCACTGTCACAAAGCATACTAAAAGTTAATAATATAGAGAATCACATAAATTCTTCAACAATTAATAAGAAAAATATTGAAGAAGAATTAAAAAAATTACCAAATCTTAAATCTATTCAAGAATTAGGCATAAAAGTGACCACTGCTGTAGACATGGCCGAAGTGTCAACAAAGAAAAACAATGATAATGTCGAAGAATTAGTAACAAAAATTGAACAAATGAAGGAAAATACAGATAAAGTGCCACAAGATTTGAATGATGTGAGTAATGCTATACGTATGAGTCAGAGCTATATTGAACACATCTCAAGTCATACTCCCGGCAAAAATAAAATCGATGAGATTAGGGCTCATTATGATAAGCTTAGGGCTCAAAGGGATGGATACAAACAAATTATTCATGACTTACAACGTAAAATTGATTTGGCCAGACATCAAGCCAACCGAATCAAAGTGGCCACAGAGTTCCGAACCGATTCACACCTTCAACTTAATAATCCCGTTTCCCTAAGAGAATCAGCCACTCATACAAAACTATCGCTTTTCTTCAGAACTTCTGAACCAAATGGTTTGTTGGCTTATATTGGAAATCCAATTGCAATCTTACAAAAGTCTAAACAAAAGAGACAATCAGATTCAGATGATGAAGAAAAGAAAGAAGATGAAGACACTGTTAATTCGAGAAGAAAAGCAACTGATTTTATGTCATTAGAAATACAATCAGGAAATGTTGTGTTGACCTGGGATTTAGGATCCGGTGCTTCCAATCCTATTCGTAATGATAAATATGTAAGCGATTGGAAATGGCATCAAGTGATTGTTGAACGTATTGGAAAATCAGTTAAAGTTGTTGTTAAATCGCCGCCAGAAGAAGGGGATCCAATTGATGTGTCGACAATAGAAGGGTCACTTCAGGGGCCGTCTAGTGTTTTCAATTTAGATCAACAATATTCCCGTATATTTATTGGTGGCATACCTGATAACATTCACATACAAAATGAAGTTCAATACAAACGTTTTAAAGGCTTTATTGAGGATATAGTCCTCGGAGAAAATCCATTGGGTTTGTGGAACTTCAGGGAATCAAATAATGTTTTGGCCACTAAAGAGAGGGAAGCATTGGGTAATCTTGAGTCAGCTGATGGTCTCTACTTTGATGGCAGTGGTTATGCAATCCTTCCGCGAGGAAGACTTAACTTAACCATTGAAACATATATTAGATTGAAATTTAAAACCTTTGCTAAAGACGGACTATTGTTTCTTATTGGTCACGAAAGAGACTTTTTAGCAATTGAAATGAGGGATGGATTAGTTAATTTCAAATATGATTTGGGAAGTGGTCCGTATGCTATTACTTCGGGTGAGACATACAATGATGGCAAATGGCATTCACTTATTGCTAATAGATTTGAAAAAGAAGGCGCTATATCTATAGATGGTATTCCTAAAACACACGGAGAAGCAATTGGTCTGAACAAAGAGTTATCTACAACTGACGATATCTATATAGGAGGTTATCCTAATCATCACTTTTACTATGAAGTGACAAATGTAGACTTCGAAGGCTGTCTTAAAGAGCTRCAGATTGGAACAGAACAACAAAATCTGCAAAATATTAAAGAAATGTTGAGAGCAGTGCCGGGATGTCCGTCTACTTCTGGCCGAACGGCATCTTTTAGTAATGATTCGACCGGTTATGTGGCCATTGAGTCCAATCTCAATCTCGATCGTAACGTTCAAATAACTCTTAATTTTAAAACTATTAATCCAAAAGGTCTACTATTTTTCGTATCAAATGCTGATCTCTCATCGAATTTGGCCATTTATCTCGAAGATGGAACACTTAATCTTAAGGTACAACCGGGTGGATCAATTCGAACTGAACATCGAACATATAATGATAAACAATGGCATTATATTACCGCCAGTTTTACACCCGAAAGATTACGATTAGATGTCGATGATATAAATGCATTTACTATAGAGACTAATGAGAAAAATGAGTTAACTTTAGGCGAAACAAAGACAATATATTTTGGAGGAGTTCCGCAACAAATCTCGTCTCTGGAAAACTTTGATTCAAGTATTCCGACTTCTTTTGTCGGATGTTTAGGTGATGCGACTGTCAATGAAAAAGTTCAAAACTTTGCCGACACTAACAATAGAGTGAACGCATCTCTCACAAGTTGTCCTCTAACTGATCACATGTCTCCGTATGATGAGACAAAGGAAGAGATTAGACCGATCACTGATGCAATTCGATCTACTGATAAGCCAAATGGTATGGTTGAGACAACTTCGAGAGTGCCATACATTATAACCCGATCGACAACACAACCTCCGCCTATAGGTCAGTGTAGGCTATCGAGAGTTCCTTCTAAGGACTCGAAGACGTCTGGCGATAATGCTCTTAGATTTGGAGACACGCATTGGAGTCGACATGAGTTTTCAATTTCATCAGAAGTGGCCAACGATCTGACTGATGAAAGCGGTTTCCAAATAGAATTTAAAACAACTCAAGAGGAAGGGGTCATATTTTATGTAACATCTGCTAATCATATCGATTATGTTAGCCTTTACTTAATGGAGGGAAAAGTACATTACGCCTGGGATTGTGGTTCTGGTAGAGCTATTATTGCATCAAATTATAACTATAGCGATGGTCAGTGGCATAAAGTAACGTTTAGTCGTAAAGGTCAGAGAGGTCTACTCAGAATAGATGACGAAAGAGAAGAGTACTCGAGTATGTCTGCCGGTCAGACAAACTCATTGAATGTTAAGTCTCCCATATATATCGGTGGTATTCCTGAAGAGTTAAGTAAATCAGCGAAAAACAATTTGCGAGGAATTGATAAACCGGGATCTTTGTCATCACATGTCGTCACATCATTTCCGGGATGTCTTCGAGAGCTCACAATTCATGCAAACAAATATGACTTTGGAGTACAAAGTGTTGGTTACAATGTATCGCAATGTGTGGACTCAGTAGAGTTGGGATCGTTCTTCCATTCAGACGGCGGACACATTCGGCTTTACGACGAATTTAGAGTCGGCTCTCAATTCTTCATTAATCTTGAGATTAAACCACGAACTCTATCGGGTGTACTGTTGGCTGTATTTGGCAAAAGTGATTACCTATTGATTTACTTAAATGATGGCGATTTGATATTTAGTGTGGATAACGGAGCCGTAAGATTAATTTGATTTTTAATTTTATCAAGGTTAAATTAATTTAATTATGTTTATATTTAGGGAGCAATTAATGTGACGTTTAATCCATCTTCAAAATACTATTTTTGTGACGGGGAATGGCATACAGTTCAGGCCAGCAAAATCAATAATGTAGTTACTCTTAGTATTGATAAGCAATCACTGGAACCGGGTATTGGTATCGGAGGCGTCTCATCTACTGATACTAAAGACCCGCTTTATATCGGCGGAGTGCCAGTGGATGTCAAACAATCTAAAGGTTTAGTCGATAACTTTGTTGGATGTTTACGTATACTTGAGATGAATAGTCGCCGACATTCACTAACTCAGGCCAGGATTGAAGGACACGTCACTCTCAACACATGCTCTACCCTTTAAACAACTATATCTATGTCTTTATGTGTGCATTATATTCATTGAATACTCAATATATCAATCGATAAATTTATCAAAAATCTTAATAATCTCTAATTTTAAAAATTAATTTATACGCTTTATATTACTTTTTTATAATCAAAAATTCATACAATATTTTATTACACGATTTAATTTTGTAAAAGTATATAAAAAGATTTTCTTTAAACATATTAAAAGTGTTCAATATTTGTATGTTGTTTCATAAAACTTATAATAAAAATATAATGAGTATTGATTTGAGAGAATGGCAATCAATTTTTTAATATAAAAAATTCACTTCAAATTTATAATAGGATAGTATACTCTTATTGTGTCAATTTTGATCCCTGACTGAGAGCTACCAGAGCAACAATAGAGCAACAGTTCACTCTTATACAGCATTGTGTTCAATATATTGTCAGTTATATTCATGTTTTCATATTCAGTATTATTAACAAGAGATGCTTTGATGTATGTAATAGTGCTAACAGTGCTAACAGTACTCTAATAGTGTTGTGAGACTCCGGCAAAAAGGCATATTAGTGACACACTGTATGCTATCGTTGTATATAATATATAGAAATAATGTACAGTTATATGACTTTATAGAATTTGATGCTTCAATAAACTTATATTGAATGCAATATATATATATATATATATATGTGATGAGGATTTTATCAGTTGTGAGTTCAATACAATGATTGCATTGTAAAGCAGTGATGCGTTCAAATTGGCCCTAAATCAAGGGTCAAAAAGGCCAATACATGTGATCAGTGAAACCTTATTCAATAATTACCACTCCATTCAAACCAGTCATTCCTCAACACTGATCAAAACCATTGCTTTGTTTTTCTAATAACCTTAACATACAGTATAACACTATATATTGGAAAAATAAATAAGTTTAATAGCATTTACTATACCAGTATATATCATAATTAAGCATTATATAATGCAATATAATACAATGAATTGCATATTAATTTCAATTTATAACTTAATTTGTTGTAATTGCATCAATCAACGGCACAAATAATAAAATTAGCAAAAATTTTATGAAAAGCATATTTTCACTGATAATAGTTAACTCAAGTGAAGTCAGTTATGAAACAACTCTTGAATTTATAGAGTTAAGCAATACTTATACATTATAGTAGTAATGATAGCATACTTTTTTAAATAGCTTTCATTATAACTTCAATTGATATCTACTCTTAAAGTATGTTTCGGTTTACATTGCGATTAGAGTTTAATTTATCTTTAGTTATTACTTAGCTATACTAACCATATAATTGACAAATGTTTAGTTTTTATTTAAGATTTGCTGTCGAAGATCGTAGTGCTTGTAATGGCAATGCTTGTGATGATTGTGATGATGGATGAAATGGTCTTTCAAACCAATGAGAGACTCTGATCAACGCAACTGCCTTTTGCAGCAAACGGTTAGAGTTGTGGCACTTATAGCAACAGTTAACTACAGTTACCGATTGTCACTTCAAAACTGATCAAATACTTTCAAACTTTTCTCAATATTAATTATTATTCAATTATTATTATTTTTATCAATAACTTTAATACATTTCTCAATGAAAACAACATTTAAGTTAAAACTGTGTTACAAATATGCAAGAAATGAATAATTTGAGTACAAATGAGATGCAAAGTTCGTCGTCAAATGTGGTTAACTCTAACTCATCGTCTCAGATGAATCTTCCTATTGATGATAAGATACCATCATTTCCCCAATCAATATCTACACCCATTATGAACTTCACACATAATGAAATGGCAAAAAACATTACCAACAAAAGCATAGTTGACTCAGACAATGGTTTGAGACCAACGATGACCAATGAATCAGATCGCGAGACTTGGAATAAAAAAGTTGACTTTTTGTTGTCCGTCATTGGATTTGCTGTCGACCTCTCAAACGGTATAATATTGTAATTAATTCAATCATTTATAAATTGAATTTACTTTTCAAAAGTCTGGAGATTTCCTTACTTGTGCTTCAAAAACGGAGGCGGTATGTGATTGTCATTATATTTATTATTATCACTATAGTTGTTAATTGTCATACAAATTGTGTTATTTAGTTAAGTTAACATCTAATGTTTAAATAACAAATTAATACTTATTGTTAAAACAATTATAATGATAGTATATTTTAGTTAGTTTATTTTATTTTAAGTGATTGATAATCTTTTAAATTTAATTATTTAATTTATTATTTGTCTAATGGCAAATTTACTTTATAACATTTTTTTCTAACCTAAGTTTTATTATTAGAAATTAATAATTATGTTTTTAATAAAGTTAAATTTAATCAATAATAATTGAATAATTAAATGTTTCATAGTTTTTCAATCAATTTTTAATCCTTTTATAGTATTTTGTATAAAAACAAGTTTTTAGTTAAATGATTAGTGAATTGAAAATAATAGATGATATGTCACCAACAGATTGTTTTGCTGATGACACTTAAATATTTTTTCAATTAGTGCTCAATTATGTTTATGTGTCAATTAGTTAGAATAAATTTTAGCCAAAACTAAAAAAAATATCTCTAATTGACTAATAAATTGTATTGATTTTAGGAGCCTTTCTTATACCTTATGTTATAATGCTTGCCGTTGGAGGCATTCCTCTATTTTTCATGGAATTAGCGTTAGGACAATACCATCGTAAAGGAGCCATCACTTGCTGGGGAAGAATTGTACCACTTTTTAAAGGTTTCAGTATTTTTGTTGTTTTTATTGTTTATTATATATCAAAATATGCCAATAATTTGACACTTTACTAATATATTTAATTAATTATTTTGAAATACATATATATATATATTGAAATTAATTGTATTGTAAAATACTGATGAATGTCATAGAATTTTAAATTCTATTAAATAGAAAAACTGTATTAAGAATAATTAAATTATATTTAAATAAATATTTATTAAATTTATAAATATATATAATTCGATCAATAGTTAGTTAAAAGTTAAAATGTTAAAAAAAATTAAATTACCAAAAATAACTATAATTAAGATATTTTTATAAAGGTATATTAGTCAGATAATTTTTAAGTTGATAATTTAATTATACGTATTTTTACATATTTTGTACGATTGTCTTAAATTTTCATTTTTGTATCATAAAGTCATAACATTTATTATCAATATTTGTTTATTTACTCTATGGACACACTTTTGTATTCAAAGGTATACATGGATTTGTGCCGACGGCACACGTTTGTTGCAATCGCGTTAAATAACAGTATTAAACCACTAATTACTATATATTGCATTTAGTATTGCATTTAGTATTACATTTAGTATTACATTTAGTATTACATTTAGTGTTGCAATTTTTCGCAATTCAATTTTCCATTGCCGGAATTGCGCGTATGAGGGATTATATAAAAATTAACATTAACAATGTTAAAAATTGTTTGATTATAGATTAAGATTCTTTGCTTATTTTTTAGCATTAATAACTTGTATTTTAGATAGTAACATTTATTGTCAAAATAATTATTTTTTATAAATAATCAATGTTTTTATACATTTTGTTTTACTATTTAAACCATGTTATTTTTAATAATTATAGATGGTGCCATGTTACATGCCATTTTGTAAATTTATTTTTGCAATTGTGACAATTTCACGCAATTGCCAAGCAATAAAATTACGCATTTTGCAATCGGAACATCACTAAGTACATTACATGGAAATCCCATAGTACCTGTATAATAAAAAAGTTTTTACATTTAACATTTTTAAAAAATATTTCAGAGTAACTTTATAGAAATTTTATTGAGTAAAGGAAACATTTCTTTTTAATTGTTTGTACAATCGATACAATCTGTGCCTAAAATTAATTAATTAATCATTTCATTGAATCTATTTATTGCAATGTTATTGCATTACACCAAATGTGTAGACAATTTAATTAATACGAGTTTGTTTCGGTTAGGTTTCCAGTAGTTATAATACAGTATAACTAAATCATATAGAATTGCATTCAATTATAACAAATGCTCAGTAAAAGTGAAACAAATAATATCTATTAATATTAAATTCAAATTAAAAATTTACAAAATTAAGAATTAGAAACATTTTGTAAAATACATACAATATTATACAAACTTTAATATCGATAATGTTTATAAAAATAAATATACTAAAAATCCTATAGAGTCTACATTATTGTCATTATAAAACAATTGGATTTATATAAATATATTTAAAATAAAAAAAATATAAAACGTATGATTTTTAAATATGATTTATACATAATTAATTAAAATATAATAACTAAATACCAGTATTTAAGTAATTATACGGTAGTTATTGCAAAATTACTTATTATCAATTTTTTCAAATAATATCGATAGTTTATATGCACTAAATAAAGTATTATTTATATTAATATAATACTTGATATATATATATATATAAATATTACTTGTTGCTATTACTACATATATAATTTTATATCATAATTACCTAAATTAATAGACAAAGAACTAAAATATTAAAAAATAAATAATTAAAAAATAAATTAAAAATAAAATTATATTTTAGGTGTTGGCTATTCAGTTGTTTTGATAGCATTTTATGTAGATTTTTACTACAATGTAATAATTGCGTGGGCCCTACACTTTTTATTGACCTCTTTTCGGACATCACTTCCGTGGACTAAATGTCATCAGTCGTGGAACACTCCCGACTGCTATGAATTTCTCACAGACAACGAACCCATTCCTATAATAGGCAACACTTCAACAACTATTTCACCAGATTTTCATTCAAAGAGAAAATCTCCGGCTCTCGAGTACTTCAAGTATGTAATCATTTTAATTCAATATTTCTATTTATACGATATATAACTCTAATTATAAGTTTTATTAAAATTTTATTCACATATGATTTCCATAAACATTAAAAAATATCTTTTCAAAACTTACATAGTTTTAATAAATTTTTATTAACTTATGCACAGATAGCTTTGCTATAGTAATTTTGAATTATATATTTTAAATATTTAATAATTCAATATTAAAATTCTTGATTGTAGTAAATATAAATTATACTAAATTTTGAATAAATTATTGTATACAAAAAGTAGATGCTGTATAATACTGTAAATTTATAAGAAAAATAAGAAATTATGCATTTTTGGTATAGATTATAAATTAATTATATAATTTATTAGATGGTATTATGAAATGATGTTGATTTTTAGTGATAACAAACAATTGATAATATATACTCTTTTTAAATATTGTTTTCTAATAATTAATATAACAAATCATGAGATATTATACTATATACGGTACAAATACATTAGTATAAATTTATTAGTAAGATTTTTGGTACTACTATTTACTCATTTAATATAAAATATTTGGTAAATTAGGTAATACACTGTAATATAATATTAATTTATTATTAAAACTATTGATAATATTCTTTATTAATTAAAATACTCTTTTATTTATTAATAAATTATTTGATGATTAATTTATTGTATAATTTGATTATTTATTTGTGTACAAATGTTGTAAACTCAAATAAAACTTTATTTGTCAATTTAATGAATCGTATTTATAGTTGTTTTATATATTTAACATTTGTTTTTTGATTCTTGTCTTGTTATTTAAAACTAGTTTCATTAATTGTATTTAATTAATAATTAATTATATAATAGCATCAATCTATACATTATAAGTAACAAAAACAATAAATAAATAATATAGTGTTAAATCAAAACTTATACATACATTAAATAGAGATTGAAGAGACATTTCAATTAACGAAAAGTTCAGTACAATTACAGTTACGAAGAGAAAGTGGCAAAAATGTAGTGCAAAATGAAAGCAAACCATTTGTCAAAGTAAAGGCAATATATGTCAATATATGCCGATATCTATGTGTATACCCAATGGTTGTATTATCAATAAATATGATGACAACAACCAATTTCTTGGATGCCTTACTTTCCATCAATTACTTCACTTAACTCTCAATTTTCGTATTCTTTCATTAAGTGAATTATTCAATCATAACAAACACAAACACATATAGACATTGCAATGCATTGCATATACAGTAATAAACTATAAATATATACGAATATAGTTTTCTTCGATATTTTTACGATTCTTATATAATATTGTAATAATAATTGCAATGATTTTAAATGTTTGTACGAAATAATATATTAATTATACATATTCTAAAAATTAATTAATTTTTATAACCATATAATATAATCTCATTTATTAAACTATAATTATATATACATATATATATATATATATATATATATATATATATATATATATATAGCCGTGGATTTCTTCAGTTTCACTTAAGTTCTGGTATTAATCATTTGGGTTCAATCAGATATGAGATTGCCTTAAGTTTGTTTGCCGTTTATATTATCTGCTATTTCAGGTATAAATAGTTACATTATTTCTCTAATTCTCTATTTATTTAATATTGTTTTTGTTTATATTTAGTCTTTGGAAAGGCATCTCAACTTCAGGTTTGTTTTTCTAATAACTTTAAAGTTTTTTACAATTTTTATTATTGAGTGATTTATGGCTAATGTGATTTATGATTGATAAAAAATACTAGATAATGATGTATTAAACAATTAATAAATAAAAAATTTGTATTTTTATAAGCTATTTCTAGTTTAAAATCTTACATTCAAGATATTTATATAGAAATTTTTGAATTATGATACCATTATAATAGAATAGTATATAAATTTGTTGAATATATAAGTAGTGGTCATTGCAAATGTCTTGCGATGATTAACGACAATACTTAGTGTAATGTAAAAGTATGGTCCAGTGATCACCACTTATAGTATAAGTTATAACTTTCTTATGATTCAACTCAAGGGAACTACATATCAAACAGCAGACATTAAATTTAGTTTTCTCTATAAATGCTTACATTTTACACTAAAATTTATTAGATAATATGCTTTTGTAGGTATATATATATATATGTATTGTACTGTATAGTATAAATATATATAAATTTATTTATAGCTTATAAAACTGGTATAATACTGTACTAGTGTAAATTAAAATAATTTTATTGTCTAAACTTTTTATTGTAATAAAAATTTGATATTTTTATAGTACATTACATTATGATACTAGTGTATTTATAATAATTATAATAGTATTTTAAATAAAAATTAATATAAAGTTATAATTTATCTATATAAATTATATACATAATATGTAGTATTAATACATATATTGTATATAGAAATATTTAAATAATAATTTTTATTACTAATAAAGAGTTTGTTTGTGGATATCTTTAATAGAAAATTTTGATATTTAAATAAAATTATAACAAAAAATAGAAAAAGTGAGTTTATTTTTATAAATTAAGTTATCTTAATTATCACAAATAAATATGAATAATTACCAAAATAGTAATAAATATTTGTTAATTATAACTATATATATTTATATATAATAAAAGTTATTACAATATTAAACTTCTTACTTTATACTGTATAATATATATCATTAGTAAGTTTTATCATTACTTTGCTGTATTAAATGCAACTTATATTTAAAATACATATCTTATAATATTTACAGTATATTTTATAATTATTAACTACTGTCTTTTTACTTTTTAAAAATTTATACTGGATCTATATTTTGTCTTTCACAACACTAATTGATATTATTACTCTCAATCGAGATTTTATACCTTTAAAAGTTATCAATTAGTCAATAATATAATTAAAATACAGATAACATATTTAAATAAATTTTTAAATGATTTAAAAAGTTGTATCAAATAAATTGTCAATTATAAATTTTATAATTTTTTACATGTTTGACTATATGCTCCAGGAAAGGTATATTTTTTATTTTTCTTATTAATTTTTAAACAGTATATTGGTTTTGAATTAAAAAATATATAGTGATTATTAATTAAGTATTAATTAAGTTATTTATCTAAATTATTTCCTGTAATAAGTATCATATATTAGTTTAAATCTATTATATCTTTATATCTAAACAACAATAGCATTGTATAAAAATCAAAGGAAGAGTGGTAGAGATAGGAAGGAAATGTTTGATTAGTAGTAAAGTAATAGTAAAGAGATGAACAGTCATATGATTTTTACATCAATTTATTGATTAACGACAAAAACTTTTCAAATCAATACACTGTTTGAGAAATATGTTTATATTAAATATAGAAATATAATTTAAAATTTATGAAATTGTTGAACAGGTTGTATGGTTCACAGCCCTGTTCCCATATGTTGTATTATTCATGTTATTGATTCGGGGTATAATGCTTCCCGGTTCGTTAGATGGCATCAAATATTATTTGACTCCCGATTTCAATGCTTTATATAACGCCAATGTATGGGTAGACGCGGCGACACAAGTATTTTTTTCGTTAGGTCCGGGATTTGGTGTATTGTTGGCATTTGCCAGTTATAATCAATTTCATAATAACGTACACAGAGATGCTCTGCTCACTAGTGCTGTCAATAGCTTAACCAGTTTTTTGGCCGGTTTTGTCATATTTGCAGTCTTAGGATATATGGCTCACCGTTTGAAAGTCGATGTTAAAGATGTGGCCGCAGAGGGACCGGGACTTGTGTTCATTGTTTATCCGGAAGCCATATCAACAATGCCTGGCGGACCCATTTGGTCCGTCATATTCTTCTTAATGTTACTCACTCTTGGTCTCGACAGTTCTGTAAGATTATGGTTCAACTTAATTAAATTTCAAATACTTTAATTAATTAATAATAATAATAATAATAATAATAATAATAATAATAATAATAATAATAATAATAATAATAATAATAATAATAATAATAATAATAATAATAATAATAATAATAATAATAATAATAATAATAATAATAATAATAATAATAATAATAATAATAATAATAATAATAATAATAATAATAATAATAATAATAATAATAATAATAATAATAATAATAATAATAATAATAATAATAATAATAATAATAATAATAATAATAATAATAATAATAATAATAATACTTTACTTTAAATATAAAATATTTAAAACTTTCAATTAATTTTATTTATTTTTTATATACAAATTGTTACACATAAATTTTATTTTGTATTTATTAGTATTTTTTCTTGTTGCTATTTACAAATTATTTTAGCTATATATAAATACATAATATGATAAAAATAATTAGCTTGAACAATATTTAATTAGAATATAATAACAATTTTTATATATTTTATATATTTTATATATTAACTGCAATAACAAATAGTGATCTAAAATGTCATAAAAAACTAATAATTTTTTATTAATACATTGTATTATTCTACATATTATAAATAGCTATCAATCTATAATAATAACCAATGTTATTTTCTACATTTTATTAAAGTCAATTCATTTAATACATTATATGTATTTTTATGTTAGTCCATGTATTGATTATAGCTATAACTTTCATACATTAAATACTGTATTTAATGTAATATACAAATAATTATTATTTAAAATAGTGAAGATATGATAATGATTGAAATGTTTGACACAATTTTCTTATAGATTTGTTTTAGATTCTCAACTTTATTTTATATTAATATAAAATTAATATAAAATTATGTTATTATATATTACAATATTAAACTATATTATAATTAAATTTAGATTAAAATTTATAAAAATTTTTAGTTTTAATTGCATTTTTATGTCAAATTATAAAACAGATTTTATATGAATTTCTAGTTTGGCGGCAGTGAAGCCATTATTACGGCTTTGAGCGATGAATACCCGATAATAAAGAGAAATCGTGAGAAGTTTGTGGCCATTCTCTTCTCATTGTATTTTATTGTCGGACTTCTTAGTTGTACTCAAGTAAGTCATTGCTTTAAATTTACTAATTATTTATAAATTATTTTATTTAAAATTGCACTCTTATGTGATTACAATGACTGCGACAACTAAAGGGTGGCGCATATATCGTTAATTTGTTGGATCGTTTCGCTGCCGGCTATTCCATACTATTTGCAGTTTTGTTTGAAACTATAGCCGTTTCATGGATTTACGGTATTTCAATGAAACTAATTTTATTATTATTTTTTATAATTTTTATAAAATGATGACAATAGGCGTCCGGAGATTTTCAAAAGATATAAAGTCAATGTTGGGCTTTGAGATCAACATTTGGTGGAAGTTCTGCTGGGGTTTTATTGCTCCCTTCTTTATCATTGTATTGATATTAAACTGATTTATAAATAGTTATATATATATAAATGAAAATCAATGAATTATAATATATTTTATAATAATTTGTTATAGTTTATTATATTCTATGGTTTGGCCAATTTTGAGCCTCTAAAATATGACGACTATACATATCCATTATGGGCTAACATATTGGGTTTATGTATCGCTGCTTCATCTGTATTATGCATACCTATTATGGCTTTGTGGCAAATATGGATAACTCCGGGAACTTTCAAAGAGGTTTGTTATAAAATCTATCTTACAATCATTGATAATATTTAATTAAAAATTAATTTATTAAAGCGTATGATAACGTTGACGACTCCCTGGCAGGACTCACATGACGTCAATATTACAAGTAATACAACACCACAAACACAAACCCCGAAGAATAACACTATTATCAATAGGAATACAACTTCTGACTCAACACAACCCACTGATGTATAATACTTTCAATTATTGTTATTATATGTATTATCTGTTTATTATATTCATTATATATATATATATATATATATATATATATATATCTCATAGAGTTATGGTTTAGTAATAGTCAATGATTATTGTTTTAATGTTGATTATTAAATTGATTTACTGTTTTATAATTAATTCAATTTACATATTAGTTAAATTAAATTTATTTTAAGTTAATGATATTATTTTGTAGATATGAATAATGATACAAAATTTAAATGGAAATTACAAATGCTTACTATAAACTAAAGCATTTTGTATATTTATTACAATATAATCATAATTCATTAAATCTTTTTACAAATCTTTCATATTTTGTTTATTATCTATATTTTGTAATTTCTTATAGATTCTCTAAATAAATGAAAACAAAGTGATTGATGGATTATTAACTAAAATTGGGTTTAAATGATTTAATTTGTTAGTTGTATTGTATTTAATTAACATATTTAATTATTATATAGTTAAGGAATCATTTTTATTATTAATACAATACATACCGTATATCATATTATTGTCTAATGTTAAAAACCATTGCTATTTGTATAATAGTTTAGTTGCTTAAACATAAAGTTAATCATAGAATAAATAAAGTTTAACTTAAAATTAAATTTGTTTTATTATAAAATATAACTTTATAACTGTTTTTATTTTATAATTTTTATATTTTAATATTAATATTAATATTAATTTTAAAATAAATTAAATATAAATTATAATAATAAAAATAATAGAATTGGTAAATTATAATTTATTGAAATTAGGTTGTATTTATAGCTTACACTATATAAAGATTTAAAAAACAATACTTATTAAATAATTGATAAATCAAAGTACTATAGTATGAATTAAATATTTGTAAAAAGTAATAAATATAATAACAAAACAATTAGAGGCACATCCCTTAAGAGGGATTCATATATCGAGCTCTTCTCAAACCAAAGATGTTTGTTTGATATAAGGGTATTGTTGGCCATCCGTCACATGTTATCCAGTGTTACGAAAATTTTTGTTCACTATTTAAATAAATAATATAAATTATTTATAATAAAAAACATTTTTGAGTTCAGATAGAGAATTTCAATATTTAAAAATATATCATAGTTTATAATCTGTTATAATAGTTAACAATTTAATAGTACATAAAATTAAATAAATACTATTGATAACCACTAAAATTTTATTGAATTTTTAATCTTTTATTACAAAAATAAGTCATCTTATTTAATATATTAGTTATATTACTTAGTTATATTAATATAATGTATATATAGTTTAGCTGTCTTATAAATTTGAATTTTTAAAATGTAAAAATTCGTATTGATATATAAAAATTGCATTATCTTGGATGAATATTTTAGATAATTTTAATTAGATAAATTTTAATATGTATTTAATGTATTTTTAATTATATATCTCTATCTATCAATTTGTTGTACATTTATTATAAAAATAACCTTATATATATATATATATATTAAATAATTTTAATCATTTTAGTTTACAATATTATAAATGTAAAATTAAAAACAATTACATAAACATTTAGATTCAATTGATGTAAACTTAATTTTAAATTGTTTATAATGTGTTAAAATTGATATTTGCTGAACTTCATTTCAATTATGAAACTAAATTACAATATTTAATTGTGTATACATACAACATATACCAATTTATTTTACGTGTAATATAAATAATTAAATTATTAGTTTAATTTAATCAAATAGATATCAAAAGTATTCAACAACAAAATAAAAATACTAACTAAAATAATATATTGACTATAACGGGAATAAGTGATATATACTGTTATATGGATTGAATCATTAGATAATGTTTTGGTGAATACTATATGTATGTGATATGTATTGACAATAATGATATATACCTTCATAATGCATATTCCTCTTCATGGTTGGACAAACACTCGATGCCTATAATATTACAAATAATATTTGTTATAAACCTTACTGTAAGTCATATTCAATCATTGGATACTAAGCATAAAACTCCTTAAATAAGCAAAAAATGTTTTTTTACGATTAATTTTATTTATTATAATGATATGAACTAACATAACATACAGTATTTAAAAGAAACGTTGTGTGTATTCGTTAGCTTATAGTTATAAATATCAATAATATTGAAGTGAGACTTAAGAGATGAGAGCATATTTTATGCATCGCTTATAAAGCGATTGAAATGTCTATCCGTTTGTTATAAAATACTGTATAATATAATGTAAACAGAGCTTTGTATCGACACATCAATCAATTTAATGCATTTCTTTACTCACACTTCAAAAAAACTATTTTATAAAAAAAAAGTTTTGCATTTAAATTGACACCAACTTTGGAAAATATGCAAAATAATTGGCACAACCGGTGAAAACATACAATACATACCTGTTCTCGTTTGAAGTCAATGTTGGTTCGCACGACCCGTTCATTTAAAGGCTGAATCGGACGATAATTGTTTCCGAGCGGAGCTTTCGGCAGTTCGGCTTCTCCTTCACAACATTTTATAACATAAATACATACATTTTAAACATTTTCAATATGTTTTTCATAATATTATGTCTTATTTATTTTTTATATATATTTTATTTTACTAATATTTTACTGATATAAGAATCAATAAAATCAATAAAATTTTATAAGTTTAGTAATATTAGTTACATCTATAAAAAATAATAATAATAATTATAAATAAAAATAAAAAATTATTTAAATTTATTTATTAACTTTTCATATATAATTTATTAAAAAATAATTGTATTTCAATAACTTTATAAAAAATCATTTGTTGTTGATTAACTTTAATTGACATTAATGGTTATCCATAACACAGGTATACACTGTACGAGTTTCTTAACATATATCTGTCCTCTTAAGGACTGTGTTATGGGTGACAATTGTTATCAATTTTAAGATAAACAACAAAAAGGTTTTTATAATGTAAAATAAAATAAACAGAACATAAAAACAATTTATTTATTAGCAACAAAACAATATTACCTTGCATCAATTTCCTCAATGCATATAACTGTAAAAAAATTAAATTATATTATTTAAATAAATACATAATCAATTGAGTAATATTGTTGCAAACTATTTTAGCAATCATAAATTTGCTTTTTACATATCAATAGATATTACATTTTTGAATTTATATTGATATCAAAACATAAACAAGTTTTTATTTTATTTTTAAATTCACTATTTTTAAACAACTATTATTTTTTACAAAATAAAAATAAGTATATACTGTAAAAACTGTATAAAATAAAAAAAATCAATTGTAATAAATTTTAGATAATTTAAATGTAAAAATAAAAATTTTTATTACATTTACTGTTTCTTATCAAAAATAAAAAAATAGTATAAACATATAGATATATGATAATATTTGTATAAAATTTTTTGATACTTGATTATATTTGTAAACTTTATAAACAAGTTTATCAACACTTTTTTAGATTTTCAAATATTATGTATTGAATGCCTGAAGCACTTTTGATTTTTAACATTTTATCAAAAATATTCAATCGATTTTCGTTTTTATTTTGTCACTCAATATGACTTATGATACAAAAGATTTGAACTCTTTCTGAAAGAATATTCTTTATTTTACTCTTTCTTTATATCAATAATAAAAACTAACATATATTATGAACAAATACTATACTATATTCCGTTGATATTTATGTAAAATCATGTTTTTTATAAACTAGTTTTCAATATTCATGATATAAATATCAATAAAGTATTATATTTATAGTTAATATGAAATATAATGTAGTACATCAATATCAATAAAAGTTATAAAATAATTTGAAAAATCATCTACGGTTTCATATAAATTATTTTAAAACTATTAAATCTAATGAAATTTATTTATAAAATATTTTTTAATATTAATATAAGTTTAAATAATCTTAACTTTATGTAGCATTCAAATATTTATATGTTTGGTTATTATTATTAATGAATATTACTATGGTATCTTATTATCTGATAAATTGTACATCCCATTAAATATATCTAAAATAGTATTTAGATATTTAAATGCAAAATCTATCATTTATATAAAAATCTACCCATTATTAGCATATGGTATACGATATATAGATTTTTATAGTTGAGACACACCCGACCCGAATTAACTTCATTAATAATTATTTACGTTAACAACTTTATTCTAGTAGTAAAATCAAACATAAAATATTTAAAATATATTGATTTATTTGTACTAATTCGTCAAAAAGTAATTTTACGTCTATTTATTTTTAAATTGTATATTTAAATTAACAATATCATAAAAATTTAAGATGTATATTTTAACATTTTTTAAATATATGAATTTTTAAATATTTATCATTTTTATGGATTTGAATAATATGAAATAATACAATATTTCTCAAAATTTAAGTTTAATTCTGATAATAAAAAACAAAAATTTCAACTAAGGTTAAGAATAAATTTATGTAAACATATAGTATATAAACAACAATATAACTTACCTGTTGTCTGGTTATGAAGAGTGGCTGAAATGTAATTAACAGATTGTCATTACTTGTATTACAAAAATTAAGTTATAATATCTGAATTATTACTGTTAATTTTATGTATAAATATATTAATGACTTAAATATCTTTCAAAATACAAATTAGTTTTGTCAAATAGCAGTAAATACTGTATACAGTGTATTATGTAGTTTATATAAATTGATTTTTTTCTAAATTATTATATATAACAAAATCATTAGAATATTAAATATGCTAACAATATGTGTATAAATAATAAAATTTTAGTTAAATGTAAATTTAAAAGTAAATTTTTTTTTATGTAAATAGACATATTTTAGGCATAAAATAGAATTAGAATTATTTTTTAAAAAATAATTTTATTTCTTCTTTACAATATATTTTAATAAATGTGTTATTTTATTGTATAATTTACATTTTTATGCTATATTTTCAAGTATCATAATCTTAATTATCTTTATCTTTTAGCATATATTAATATAATAATTAAAATAACAATTAAAATAATAATAATAAACACTTTTAATAATAGTAAGCAAATATTAAGACATTTGTATATAAGTTATTAACAAACAAATAGCATTTAATGTAATGCAATTGAGATGTTTGAATGGGCGGAAACTAACCATTTTTGGCAAATGTGTGTCAAATGCAGACAATCACACTTTCAATCATTAATTTACTTTAACTTAAGTCTAAGCTAATAATAATTACTTAATATTCAATAATTACTACTTAGAATTATACTTATGTAATATAAAAATTAAGTAAAAATTCAAAACATTTACATAATTACAACACAAGATTTAAACTTAAAATCAACAAAATTTAACAAAATGATAATAACTAAATATAAAATAATAAGTGAAATAATGAAACAAACCTTATTGATGACAATCCAAGTGACCACTTCAGCGCACGACGGCATCGTAAGTGAGCCCTCATATGTCATATAGAAGCGATCGTCAGGAACTAAGTCTCTTATACTTAAAGACTTGAGGGTTATATTTTGACCTATAATCACAATAATTTCAAGTTTTGTAATTAAATAAATAAATATATCTATAAATAAATTTATATAATAAATGTTGTTATGTTACCTCTATATCTAATATGTTGCAATTGAGATATTAATGATTTTAATTCATCAGAGCTGGTGTCTCCAACCTAAACATTATTGGATTATAATTACTAAATAATATAAAATATTGTAAAAAATATTATTAAAAACCTGAATTAATAAAGCAATCGCAACCAAACCGTTTGGCTTTGTTGAGGCTTCGCTCATATTTTGATATAAATCTGAATTATATCCCAGAATTTGAAGCTAATGTCAAAATAAATTACTTAATGTTTTAAGAGAAGCTAAACTTTGGGAAATACCTCGCCTGGGAATGTAAGGCCTGCTATCATATGTTCGGAGCCAAATGTATCGGTACGACCAAAATGAAGGTGTAGTGAATCAAAACTATAGGAATAAGAGAGGGGTCCGCCACTCATGTTGATTGTTGTCACAATTGAGGATGGATTCAATGAATTGATTGAATTAAATAATTCAATTTCATCTGAATTACTGTTTATATGGAAGACAACACTGTGGCCGTTGTTTTCTAAAACACCGTTTACTCTAATTTTGCAATTTATAACAAATATAACAAATAGTCATAGTTTTGTATATTAATTAATTATTTAATAAATAATCACAACTCAATAACAATTAATAACTAACCTATTTTTACCAATATGTATTGGTCTCAAATTTGGATCATATAATAAAAGATTTGGCTTTATATCAATAGGTGACTGTCGATGACCTTTACTACACAAATGCCAATCGGGATTTAATATACCCCAAAATTCTGGTCCTATTTTTATATATAAACGGTTTGTTAGTATTTGAATAATTAATAATTTAAAGAAAAAAAAATTTATATACTAATAATAAATTTAAATATAATAGTTTTGGCTATTATGATATTTAGAAATACAAATTTATTGAGTAATTCAGTATTATCATATAACAGTTTGAATTAAATAAAAATATAGTTTAATATAAAGTATAACAATTTATATTTAAGTATTATTATAAATTTGATATACACTAAATGCTATAAAATAAAAAATATGTTACAATTACTGTACATAAAAACACAATAATAATTCCTATTATAATTGATCATTGGTTTATCGATTTCTTTAACAGTATCAGAGATTGTAATAACATAGTAATCGTTTGTAATATAAAACTTGATTGTAGTGTATATGGGTTTTCACTTATATTTTGTATTAAATGACAGATTATTCCCGTGAGATCAATATGATTGTGAGGTCACTGTGACTTCAAATATCATTGTCTCCTTCATCTCATCTTATATTTAGAGCACTTATATTGACTTCGAGTTATAAAAAGATTGGAAACTAATTTACTTTAATGTAGTCTTTGTTTGACTTTAATATACTATTCAGACTGTTATATGACTTCATAAATAAGGTTTTTACCATTTCTTCAACTTAATTAAACATTTCTTTTATCTATTTGTTAGTAAACGACTAATTTACTGATAATCAAAATATTATTTTATGGATGAGATGTTATACTAATAGTTGTCAAATAGTTTATTGCATACACAGCAATGCTATTGCTTAGTATTATATGAGTCAACCCATTTAATGTAATAACCAAAAGTTTGATTATATAACTAACTTAATGATAAAATAATACACTGTTTATTAATTACTGATTTTATTTCATCATTAAATATTAATATTATAAAATTTTTATTTGAGATTCAAGATGTAAAAATTGTTTATTACAAATAAACATTTTATATTAATTTCTATTAAAAATCTTAAATATTAATTATTATATAAATAATTTGTTATGATACTGTGAACAATAATATATATATATACATATGTATATATAATAATTATTATTTAGATTATTGAATAGTGTAGGCATAAAAATATTAAAAACAATTTTATAAAATATATAATGTATAAACAGATATAAACATTTAAAGTATTTGTTAACAATAGTAATGTAATAAACAGACAAATGCATAACAAACTGGTAATTTGTATTTTGAGCTTAAAGTCCATCGGGAATATCAAGCGAGTGTGTGATAACATACGTTTGGTTATAATATATAATTGCTATTATAATTGCTATTAAGTTTTATTAAAGTAGTCACATAAATATATTGCTATATTTATGATCTAAAAATTTAAAATGCATTTTATGATTATACAGTAAATTAAACAATTTATAAAATATTATTTGTAAAATTTTTACAGCAATATAAATTAAAATAATTTGTATATCTATATAATATTACTGTCAATGAAAGTTTGATTAATACTATACATATTCATAGAGTGTTTATTCAAAATCTTTTACTTAAGTAAAAAAGATTTATAAAGTTTGACTGCTTTTTGTGAACACATTAGACTAAATTAATAGTAAATAATATGATTGAAAAGCTTTACTTTATGTTATGATCCATATTTTGATGATTGAGTCAATACAAAATATTTCATTGCTAGTAATGCAAGCGTTTATAGTATTTATAGTATTTATATTGGTTTTTGTAATTTCATTGTTATTTCCTCCCAATTCATACAAGTTTTGTTCGCTTATAAATTCAGTTCAAATCGATTCACATTATGATTGTATGATTATATAGACCATTGAATTGGTATTCATAGAGCATTGAATAATATCAAGCATTTAGTGCCAAACTCTATGACTGTCTCCCAGTGCAGTGTAGTTACAAGTGTGCAAATTATGCCACAGCTTACAGTGCTTACAGTGGCACTAATAGTAGCACAACTCCGGTGCTCAACACAGCTATTGCAGATGTTTAGTAATGTTACAGTCAGTACCGGTAATGCATCAGATGCTATATATTGATTACAATCACAGTTTATATATATTTTAAACTTATCTAAATATTCAATATATATTATGAATGTGTGTTAGCCTATTGTATACTCAATTCTCATTTATTTACTATTTTTATATTGAAAACTTAGATTATTTTCATTCATATGAACTTATCTTTAAAGTTTAAACGTTGTCAAGCTTTTACTATAATATATATCAATATAAGTATTAAAGTTATCGATTAGATACTCATTTTATTCATCTCTCGTATTATAAAATATTTGCATATTTATTCACATTTCATAAATAATATTTTATATTATACAATATGACGACATTAATCCGATTTTCAATCAAAATTCATATTTGATATCATAAGACATTCAATGACAACTAAAATGTATCGTTATTTAAATTTTATTTTTCACTCAAGTTTCAAATCAATTGTAGCAATATTTTTAACTTTTTACCACGAAAATTGTTTTATTTAATTTTATTTAACTTTATAAAAAATGCTTAAATAATAATGCAAAAAATTATATCAATTTTTTGTAATCAAATGAAACTATACTAAAAAATAAAGTAATTACAGTATAATATTTAATAATTTAATATAATAATATATAACTTTCTAAAATAAAAAATAATTAACAATATATTGTATTATATAAATCAAAAATGCAACAATTGATAATTTAGAGTAAAATCTATGAAATGATGATATGGTTGGTTGGGTATTGGTTATCGGGTGATGACTACATATAATGATGAGATAGTACTCAAGCAGTGCTCAGTTGACTCATTCATGTGATCATCTCTGGGGAAATTAGGTGAGAGATCAAGGCGTTTGCCTCTTGGGCTTAAAATACAAGTCATCACATCATTGACTCGTGTAATATACAGTCTCTTATATCAATATGAGACATAAGCTTATGTTTGGACAAATATAACATTGTTTACATGTGTGCAGACCATTACATTATATCAAACGACAAAATAACATTTTTTTATCATTTTCACTATTTTTTTGTCTCAAACCAACTCTATGTCTAAAAATATAATCCGGAAGCCAAATGTCACTCAAAGATCGATAATATTTTTAATACAATAAATATCTAATAAAAACTCAATAGTATATAGAATTTTGTATATAAAACATTAAATATGATTTATTAATCTATTGCAATATATATACTCTAAAGTATTCATTTTGTCATTAATTATTTAATTTTTATATTTTCTTAACATTATAATTTAATTGTTTACTTATTATACTTTCAATAATATAATTTCTCATCTTTTAGTATATAAACTTTCAGAAATATTTTATATTTTCTACTTAAAATGATTTATAAAGCAATTTAATTGAAAAATATCTAAAATTTTCTTTTTATTTAAAATTGCTAAAATTATTGACATTTTGTCTATTTGTTTGATTAAATGTTTTTGAGAACTCATACAAAAATGACTTTTGTGGACATAAAATAACTTTTCAATAAATTTGATTGTAATATAAAGTGAAGAATAATAACAGTTTTTGTCCGTTGATTACTTTAAACACGCATTCATTTTGCTTTTGTTTGATTTATGAAAGCACTATAAATATTGTTAACACAAATATTTATTAAAATAAAAATATTTCAAACATTTTTCAATACATAACATTAAATGGCTTTTATTTATTTTTTATATATAAGAATAGCTTTTTTAAGCAAAATGTTAGTTATAAATAATAACTAACATTTTGCTTAAAAAATTAAATTTAAATTTTAGATTTAGTTTTAAATTTTGTCTAAATCAGTATATATTTTTCAATAGGTTTTTAATCATTTTATATCAAATAACTTAATGAATAGTTTGGTTTTACATAACTTTTATTAGAAGTTTTATGTTTAATATACAAATAACCAATTTAATAATGTAAAATATATTTTATTAAATAAATAAATAGTAATTATTTCTGTGTCTATATTAATATTACTAGTAAATTGCATAATATATATCATATTATCTATTAATTAAATCATTGTTTCTAATAAAAATCACTTTGAGTTAACTTAATTATTTATAAATTTATTTATAAAAAATAGTTGTTTCTAATAAGAATCTGTTTATATAATATAAATTCAATAAAACAAATATAATTTATAATGCTATTTTTTAATAATAAGCTTACTTAAGTAATTTAAATGATTTAGCTTTAAATAATATAAACTAATAAAATGTATCTTAAAATCGATAAAATAGATATCATTCATAAAAATATTTATTAATAAACATTAAGTTTTTACGAAAGATGTACAGTATGTGATAATTTGATAGAAAAATAATTTTTAATTTTTCCAAAAGTCATTTTGAATAAGTAATAAACAACATATTGTCATAAATATTATTTTATGCGAACATATTGTATGAAATCTATAGATATTTGCATTAAATAAGAAAAATATATAAATTCTAAATTATTTTTAGAGCTATAATTTATTATATATATATATATTTATTAAAATTTATTTATAGCTATAATGGTATAAATTTACTGTATAACAGTTTTTTATATTTAATATTTATGCTATATATACGGTAAATATACAGTAATAATAACGTTATTTATAAGTATTATTAAGTAAATTAAAAGATAAATTTTATTTACAATGTTTGTCACAATGTTTGTCTCTACAAACTTGCGGTATATTTATGGATATTTGTTTAGAGTATATAGACTTGATTGCATCATCTTGTGGTCAACTGATGATAATATCTTTTGTTTTAATAGCCATAAGTTAAATCATAAATCATAGATGAGAGCAACAAGAGAGAGAGAGAGAGAGAGAGAGAGAGAGAAAGAGAGAGAGAGAGAGAGAGGTAAAGATAGAGAAATTGTCTTAATTATGTCAGGGTTGTCCCCTCTTACCCCCTAAGATCATCATTTTTAGGTCCACCTCTGACCTAAAGCTGACAAGTTATGGGATTCCCAAC